GTGAAAGCACAGGCTTCCCCTTAGGGATGAATTTCAGGTAAACAGTGAGCAGCTTTTAGCAGCACGTGTCCTGAATGCCAGACCGGACACACCCTGAAGACGACTTTCCATTCACTTGGGTGGGTTTCACTGGGGCCTTGATTCTACCCGCATCCCTCGCTTGGACCTCAGGGTTTTAGTGTCCAAAGCCAAGATGGTTTCTGCTAAAGTGACGTTCCCAGAGCTGCGACAGTCCTCGGTGATGACGTCCGCTGGCCCACGGCTGCACGCTGGGCCTGCATCTGTCTGGCGTGTCACGAGCCCGTGGAAGCACACGCCACAGCAGCCACCATCCCCAGAGAGCGCGATGCAGGTCACAGTGGCTCTGGGTGTTTTGCGTGTCGATCTGAAGGCACCAGGGCCTCTTCTCTGATGTGTAATGTTGTGACCCAGGAAGGGCAGGGAGAATAAAGACCAGGAGGGCCTGGCAGGCAAGTCTGGAGCCCACAGCACTGGACACTTGGTGGGACCGTGGGGTCCACGGCAGGCCTGCTCCGAGAACCAGCAGCGCTGGGCAGGACCAGGGTCCATGGTGAGCCCGCTCCAAGAACCAGAGGGCTGGGCACTTGGTGGGACTGTGGGGTCCATGGCGGGCCTGCCCTGAGAACCAGCAGCGCTGGGCAGGACGGCCCGTGGGGGTGGGCACGGGCGTGGGCACTGGGGCACGCTGCCCAGGGCCTCGTTCCAGCCTGAAGACTCCATGAGCCTGTCCGTGGAGAGGCCCATTGCAGGCAGGGGCAGGAAGGCCCACACAGGCAGGGTCGGGGAGGAGGCAGGTTAAGGGTCACACTCCCCAGCGCCCGCCCCTCCCCAGGCTCTGCTGGTCAATGAGGAGAACGAGGGATTCTGCGGGGGCACCATCCTGAGCGAGTTCTACATCCTCACGGCCGCCCACTGCCTGCACCAGGCCAAGAGGTTCACAGTGAGGGTCGGTGAGTGCCAGCCACGCCCACAGCGCCCTCCTCCTGTGTCAGACACGGGGACCGACAGATGCTGGAAACACAAGGAGTTAAAGCCCTGAAACCCTGGGCCGGGGGAGAAAGGGGAAGAGGGGCCCCCTCCTCCAGGAAGCCCGCCAGCACCCCCAGTGGTCTGAGCAGCCAGGACATTCTGTCTGGGGGTTAATTCCAATCACCCCCCCTTCTCTGGAGGTCTTAGAGCTGCTCCGTGAACACCCAGTGCAAGCCACAGACGCAAGCCACATCTGCAATTTCTAACTTTATAGTTACATTGCCTTTTCATTACCCATTTTACAAGTTTATAGGTGATTCTCCTTTCAGCAAATTTAGATACTGTCAGCTCCACATGTAATGAGTTTTTGCAGTACTTGGGGGAGATTTTCAGTCATTTTCTTCATTCTGAGTCTGAGAATTGGCACTCGTGGCACACAGGGGTTCTGACCTGTGCCCACCTGGCCCTGTGGCCTGGGGGGTCTGGAAGGTCAGACCTGGGGGCCGGACCATGCACGGGCAAACAAGGGGTCAGTGACCGCTGACACTGGCCAGGAAGCAGAAGGCTGTCTCCCCGCCTCGCACTTCTCGCCTATATTTCACATTGTCTAGTGCCCACGTGCCAGTCTTTAAGCAGAAACTATCACGACTACTTTAAGGTGTCAGCAGTGTGCTGGCCCTGAGCTGATGGCCGTGTCCCATCCTCAGGCGACCGGAACACGGAGCGGGAGGAAGGCAACGAGATGGCGCATGAGGTGGAGATGACCGTGAAGCACAGCCGCTTCGTCAAGGAGACCTACGACTTCGACATCGCGGTGCTGAGGCTCAAGACGCCCATCCAGTTCCGCCGGAACGTGGCGCCCGCCTGCCTGCCCGAGAAGGACTGGGCGGAGGCCACACTGCTGACCCAGAAGACGGGCGTCGTCAGCGGCTTCGGGCGCACGCACGAGAAGGGCCGCCTGTCGTCCACGCTCAAGATGCTGGAGGTGCCCTACGTGGACCGGAACACCTGCAAGCTCTCCAGCAGCTTCAGCATCACGCCCAACATGTTCTGCGCCGGCTACGACGCCCAGCCCGAGGACGCCTGCCAGGGCGATAGCGGCGGCCCCCACGTCACCCGCTTCAGGGACACCTACTACGTGACCGGCATCGTCAGCTGGGGTGAAGGGTGCGCGCGCAAGGGGAAGTTCGGTGTCTACACCAAGGTCTCCAACTTCCTCAAGTGGATTGACAAGATCATGAAGGCCAGGGCGGGAGCCGTGGGCAGCCGCAGCCCCAGTGAAGCCCCCGCCACCCAGACAGTCCTGACTCCCCTTCCGCCCCATGCTGGGCTCTGAGCGGGCTCCCTCCCTGCCTGATTAGAACTGTGTCCTCTCCTTAGCCTGGGTCTGTTCTTGTCCCCCGGAAACGGAAATGAACTCCAGGGACCAGGCCCAGGGCTGCCTCCCATCCCGCTGGGAGTGTCCCTGGGATTCGGGAAAGACGGCCCAGCTCCGGGAAGAAGCCTCAAAGCCTTTCCTGTCCCCAGTGCATCTCACTGTCCTCAGAGGCCCCAGGCTGCAGTCCAGGCCGCTCTGGACTCTGCAGAGGATCTGGGAGCTGGGCTGGGGGCTGGGTTGGGCGGGGTCTCCCCTCATGGGCCTTCCCGGGAAAGGCAGGCTCCCTGGGAAGAGGGACCCAGAGGGCTTCCTGTTGCAAGGGTGTTTTGATGTTGGCCTATCAGCCAGTTCTCTACCGGCTTCACTGATGAGTCCCCCAGGCCCAGCCTCACAGACTCTGGAGTCCCCCACACACCCCCAGGGTGACTGTCTCCAGCTGGGGCTCTGAAGTCCCAGGTCCAGGCAGAGTCCAGAGCACTAACCCAGCTCTGACGAGTCCCCACTGCCCCCCAGGGCCCCTTCAGGCTGGGCGCATGCTGGGGGGCTGTGGGAGGGGCCCCTCCTTGAATGGTCACATCCCAGGCCAAGCCCGCCCACCTGCACCAGCTCCAGGCCCTCAACTCAGTCAGAAAAATCAGACATGCTTCTCAAAGACACAGTCACGTCAGCGGGCCCTGCTGTTTACCATGCCAGCTGCCTTTTGCATAACCCAACAAAGCAAAGTTTCAAAGTTCCATCCCAAGAGTCCCCAGGGGTCACCGGACAGTTTTGTAAACAGGAGATATTGCAAGTTTGGAAAAATCAGTGGAAACAGGCTTCCCAGAAATGGTCAAACCAGAGGGTTTTTTCCCGAACATTCCACCTTGACCTCTGCAAAGGGAGGCCCCACAGAGAAGGTGGTGGAGGCCAGGCTGGCGTGGTGGGGCCGGGGCCTCTGGGCAGAGTGAACCCGGTTCTCTGGGCAGAGTCACCCCGGGGACTCTGGGCAGAGTGAACCCGGTTCTCTGGGCAGAGTGACTTGGGTGGGCTCTCGGACAGCAGCTGTTCAGAGTCCTGAGATGGTTCTGGGGAACCTGGCTCCCATCACGCTCATGTGTCCCCCTGTTGGGGCCGAGCCTGCGGATTAGTGGGCAGGGGGCTGGGCCCTGGGAAGGGAGGGCCCCCACCACCGGCGGGCTGAGCCGTCCCCGCAGAAACTGGAGCTGGACTCGGAGCGTCAGCGGGGGCTCTGGCCACATCGTGGGGAGTATGTCCTGGGCCTCACGGGGCTGACTCTGGGCCTGGGAGGACCTGCCTCATGGTCTGAGCGTCTCCCTCTGGAGGGAGACAAAGCTGGTCTCGAGGTGGACCTGTGCCAGGCCTGCCCCCAGGATAGCCAGTCCGCCGGGCGTCTCCGAGGAAGTCTCCTCTGGGAACAGAGAGGAGCAGGAAGCTGACAGAGAGGAAACACGGGGGGCAGGGTCTGACCACCCTCCCAAGAGTGGGGGCCCCCTCGCCAGCACCTGCAGTCCCTGTGGGGGGACACGGAGCGCAGCGGGTGCAGAGGCCCGGTGCGGGGGGCCGGCACACGCAGGGCTGCAGGGTGGGGCTCTCACGACAGCGCTGAGCCACCCCGACGGGGGCCCAGAGCCCCGGGGAAGGTCATCCTGAACCGCAGGCAGGACAGCGTAACTCCGGACGAGAGCCAGGGCACGTCATGACCACATGGGGGTGTGCCCGCCAGGACGACGCCCAGAGGGCTCAGCGGGGCCTCCACGGTGCCCACATCCAAGACCGAGACAGCCCGGGAAACACGCCGCACCAGTCTGAGGGAGACTCAGACAGAGGGTGCGCGGCGGGGGCGCGTGGAGTTCTCACCAGGGACCTTAGCAGGCGGGAACCCGACACGCGGGCTGTGCAGGGATGGAAGGAGAGACCGGCAGCCAGAGAGACAGAGACCCAGAGATGGACGGGCGCAGTGTCCCCGGGTGGACTCCGAGCTGACGGCCCTGTGCTTTTGCTGTCCCCGGCACAGTCAGCGTACCGCTGCCCTCACGTGCTGAGCGTGGTTCTCAGTGCGTGTCCCCATGTGGCACTTGGCACCCCAGGGAGCTGGTCTCCCTGGGAGGCGGTGGTGGGCTCCCCTGCCCTTAACAGAAGACCCCACAGGCCCGGCCTCCCCACCCGGGCCCGGCCGGCCTTGTGGACCTCGTGAGGCCCCTGGCCCTGCCCCCGAGGGCCTGCCTTAGCCCCCTCCCCGGGGGCGCGGTCTGCTCACTGCTGTGTTCAGGTTCCTCCCAAAGGCGGCCCCGGTGACCAGCTTGTCCTAAACAGCCCGGGCTCCACGCTCTTGGCTGTCATTCCCGCACCAGGGAGAGGTGAAACCTCCCCCCATCCTCGCCGGAACGCTGACAGGCTCCCACTTCCACCCCCACGAGCCAGCTCCACGTCCCTCTGCCTTGGGCTTACATTTCTCCGTCATTTTCCCTCTCTGCTTTAACAGAGAAACACGGGAGTGGAGGCTTCACCCGGAACCCTGACCGCGCTGACGCAGTGTCCTCTGAGGGCAGCCTCTCTCTGCGGGGTTGGCTCCCTGCCCCCACGCGGCCGCCCTGCACAAGGAGCCGGTGGGGACTTTGGCTGCGGGCTGACCATGGCCGGCTGCATCCCGCCACCGCTCGCCATCCTTGGGGTCCTAGCCCTTCTCGCCCCGCACGCTGCCTGGCCCACAGGTAGGTGCACTCGGGCAGTGTGGCGGGGGGCCGGGGGGCGCTCGGGGGCTTTCTCTGGGAGCAGAGGAGCCCCAGTAGGACCAGGGTGGCCTGCGCCCAGCTCCCAGTCTCTGCTATTCATGTCGAGTATGTCGGAAGTGACAGTGTCCTCTGGGGTGGCCTGCGCCCAGCTCCCAGTCTCTGCTATTCATGTCGAGTATGTCGGAAGTAACAGTGTCCTCTGGGGTCCCCAGGGGCCCAGACAGAGCTAGCCGCCAGGTCTGGGGCTCAGGACAGGATGGGGCACAGCTTCCGAGGAGCTCTGAGGGGACCCCAGCCTCTCCAGAGCCCCTGCCCGGGGACCCACCCGCCTCTTCAACCCTCCTATACCTCTGAACCCAAACCAGCGACTGCAGACCGGGGACCCTGGACCCCTGCCACCCATCTGGCCACGGTGCCTCCTCCCCAGCTGGCAGCAAAGTCAGGTTGCCGGGAGTTCAAAATACACCTGATTGCACGGCTTTAGCAGAGAAATCAGAATGCAAGTTTAGTTTCCTTCAACAGTTGTGTCTTCAAACAGTACTATTCTGGATCTGTTGGCTAGATAAGTATACTACTAAAATGACTGCGACCTCCTAACGGCCCGAGTGGGCCCAGGAGGAGAACCCCGCCCAGCCTGGGCCGCCCTCGGTACCGCTCAGAGGAAAGATACACAGCCCCCGAGGGGACAAGGCCGCTGGTGGAGAGCCTCTTCCTGAGACTCAGAGGAAAGATACACAGCCCCCGAGGGGACAGGGCCGCTGGTGGAGAGCCTCTTCCTGAGACTCAGTCACTGCGCTCGGCCTGGGGTCTGGAAACAGCAGTGATCCTGTGTCCCGTCCGCCTCACCGGCAGAGCCGCAGTCTCTCTCTAGTCGGGCTCAGCTGGAAATAGAGGGCTCTCGTCCTGGCAGAGGACTGCCCGGAGGACACAGCCTGCTCTCCGCCCCGTCCTCTTGGGTGCCCGCCCTCCTCTTCTAAGCCCCGCCCTGCTCACCTGGCTGCACGTGAAGGGCCGGGGCCCAGTGCCGTCAGGAGCAGGAGGACAACGTTGGTCTTCCGGGTCTGAGGGCCACGCGTGGGTCTGCCCGCCCGTCGCCCAGAGCCGGGCCCTCGGGCCTCGGCCGCAGCCGCACTGAGGCGCCTGCACCCCCGTCCCACCCTGCAGTTTTCCTTCCCGCGTCGAGAGCGCACGAACTTCTGGCCAGGTGGAGGCGAGCCGGCTCCCACCTCTTAGAAGAGCTCTTCGAGGGGCATTTAGAGAAGGAGTGTTTCGAGGAGGTCTGCGTCTACGAGGAGGCGAGAGAAGTGTTTGAGCACGACGAGGCCACGGTACGCGTCCCGCCACACCCTCACCCGCTTCCCGATTGCGCTGCTGCCTTAGGGGGCGTGCTCTCCCCGAGACTCAGTGAGGGAACCTACTCACGCACCTGGGAGGCTGATCTAACCCGGCTGTGCAGACGAGGAACTGGACACTGCAGGGAAATCACTTTCCCAGCCTGTCGGTGGGGGACCCGATGGCAGCTCAGTCCCCCTAAACCCCGTAAACTCCTCCTTCAGATCCAGCAAGTTAGCACAGTGAGTAGCCGGGCTCCTCGCAGAGGTCACTCACCTGTCAGGACTCTGACAGACTTTAGTGCTTTTAATAGAGATGGAACGGTTTCAATGTATCAGCAACACAAAAATCCTCCTTAGGATGCCTCCACGGTAAGAACACCTCTCATAATCAGCAACTTGGATCAGAAGTGATGACACGTACACTAAAGACCAGGCGGAGATCTCCCCGGTCTCAGTTACCCAGAGGCTTGTCGGGGGCAGACAGGGGGGCTGGGTGTTTGTGCGTAAATTCTCAGAACAGCAAACTATGTAACATGCTTTACATATCAAGGCAGCAATATTTAAAGTTGATTCTGAACAAATGTTGACCTGTTTCTTGAATATATATTATATATATATATATATATATTTTAAGGGGGCTTCCCTCATAGCTCAGTCAGTAAAGAATCTGCCTGCAATGCAGGGGACCTGGGTTTGATCCTGGGTTGGGGAGATCCCCTGGAGAAGGGAACGGCAACCCGCTCCGGTATTCTGGCCTGGAGAATCCCATGGACAGAGGAGACTACATGGGCTACAGTCCATGAAGTCCCAAGAGTCGGACACAGCTTAGCGACCAAACCACCACCACATGTGTTTTAAGATCTGCTTGTGTGTCGTTTGCTTTGGCTGTGGCGCGGCTTCTCCGCTGCAGGCTTTCTCTCTCGTGGCGGGTGGGCACCCTCTCCCTCGCGCTGCTCCGGCTTCTCGGCGGGTGGCTCCTCTTGAGAAGCACAGCTCTGGGCTCGTGGACTCAGCAGCTGCGGCCTGAGGGCGCTGGAGCGCTGGCTCAGTCGCTGTGCATGCAGGCTTAGGTGCTCCGAGGTGCGTGGGGTCTTCCTGGGCCAGGGGTGGAATCTGTGTCCTTTGCATCGGCAGGCAGACTCTTTACCATGGGACCAGGGAAGCCTCTCTCTAATATATTTTTTAGCTGTTTTAAAATATATTTTCTCGGATGCCCATGTATAAAAAAATTCTTCTGAAATAGACCATCTTTCATAGAACTGGGAGAAATGGAAACTTCCTGGTGAAGGGAAAGCTGGGCTCGCCCCCTGAGGCTGCAGCCCTACTCGAGCTGTTGGAAGCTGGGGATGGTGTGTGGCCTGTTCATGCACTTACCTCCAGGCTTTAAGCCTGAGTAGTCTCCTGCCTTTAGATGCCCCGCCAGAAAATAACACCTCCCATATGCAATTTACAAATTTCCATCATTGTTGAATTGGCTTACAAAATGGAAAAAGCAGTGTGAGTCTCTCACATCTGCATCCGGTACTCTGTGGAGTGGGACCCTGGAGACGACTGGGAGGGGAGGTGCTCAGGAGGCCATGGGGTCTGAGCTGCGTCTCAGCTACTGACACTTTCCCTTCCTCAAGTGGGTCGCAGCAAATCCACACCGAACAGGACGTGGAGCACACATTGCTGTGGATGTTCAGTCGCTCAGTCCTGTCTGTCTTCAATGGACTGCAGCCCACCAGGCCCCTCTGTCCACAGGATTTCCCAGCAAGAATACTGGAGTGGGTTGCCATGCTCTCCTCCAGGGGATCTTCCTGACCCAGGGATTAAACCCGCATCTCCTGCATTGCAGGCGGATTCTTTACTGAGCCACCTGGGAAGCCCGGAACATATATTAAAGAGGGCATTAAGTAGATGTAGCTTTGTTGGTGGCTTAGCTGGTTAAAGAGTATGCCTGCAAAGCAGGAGACCCGGGTTCAAACCCTGGGTGGGGAAGTTCCCCTGGAGAAGGAAATGGCAACCCATTCCAGTGTTCTTGCTTAGAGAATTCCACGGATGGAAAAGCCTGCCAGACTACAGTCCACGGGGTCACAAAGAGTCAGACATGACTAAGCGGCTTTGCTTCACTTAAGTGAAATAAATGTAGAGAATTTCATATTCTTTGTCTCAACCAGCATTTTCCTACTAAGTGAACAGAGTCAGCATTTTCTTATCTTCAAGCCCAGCCCCAGGAGAAGGTGGAAGAACAGGTGTTTGATTTCTAACACTCTTATGTTCACTTGGACAGGATGAATTCTGGAGGACATACATGGGTGAGTGTCCCCTCCACCTGGCCCACTGCCTTCTCTGCTTTTTGCTTTGATTGGAGGAGACAGTACACTCTTCAGGGTTGAGAACTTGAGGCCAGAGGATCCCCAGTGTCCAGCCTTGGGGTCCTGGACCTTGGCCCAAAGGAAGGGCCCCGGGCCGCGGGATGAGGGGGAAGCTTGCCCGCTCCCCGGGCTCCCATGGGCCTTGTGCAGACGGCCTGAAGCCGGTTAAGTTACGGAAGGCGAGGCTTGGGGGTGCTGTCTGGGGACCATGGTGACCGGGGGTCTCCAGGAGGCCTCTCGGCAAGGAGACGGGTCCTAGAGGGGCAGGCGGGCCGGCTGGGCCGGGGGCATGAGGGGGTCACCCACGCGGGGTGTCCTCTCCGCAGGCGGCTCCCCTTGTACCTCCCAGCCTTGCCTCAACAACGGGTCCTGCCAGGACACCATTCGCGGCTACGCCTGCACCTGCGCGCCGGGCTATGAAGGCCCCAACTGCGCCTTCGGTGAGCCCCGCCCCTCCCCGGACCCCCACCCCCTCCCGGGACCCCTGCCCCTCCCCTGTACCCCCCACTCCTCCCCCAGGAGTCCCCTTCCCGGGACCCCGCCCTTCCTGGGATCCCCGCCCCTCCCCCGGGACCCCTGCCCCTTCCAGGGACCCCCGCTCTGCCCCCCCAACCCTCGCCCTCTCTGGGCCCCCGCCCCTCCCCCAAGGGCATGGTTCCCTGGGTCGTCCGTCCTCAGCTTCATCACCTGATGTCCCTTAAACGTTGCGGGTTGGGGCGCCGGGGAGGAGGTGGGGGGTGGGGGGGGGCAAAGCCGATTCCCGCCAGAGACCCCTTCATGCAGAAATGAACTTGCTCTGTCCTCGATGTTAACGCGGAACCTGCCAGCGCTCTGCTCCAGCAGCCTCCCTGAGAGCTTGGCCGATGCTGGGAGGGCACCCCAAGTGCAGTGCGCTGAGCAGGGCTCCCAGCTTCACCCCACATGCGCCCCTGCCCGTCCCGACCCCCACCTCAAAGAAGCCCCTTAAGAACTCTGGCTGCCGTGGCGGGCAGTGAGCCCACAGAGGGCCCACGCGGACCCTTGTGCGGGGCTCGCAGACCCTGCCCCGCCTGCCGGCTCCACCCCCGTTCATTCCTGACACGGAGTGGAAACACTCACACGAGCATGATTGGAGTGAAAAGCGAGAGCCCCACGCTCAAGGATAGTTCAGTTCAGTTCAGTCGCTCAGTCGTGTCCAACTCTTTTCGACCCCATCGACTGCAGCACGCAAGGCCTCCCTGTCTATCACCAACTCCTGGAGCTTACTCAAACTCAGGGTCCATTGAGTGGGTGACGCCATCCAGCCATCTCATCCTCTGTCGTCCCCTTCTCCTCCCACCTTCAATCCTTCCCAGCATCAGGGTCTTTTTAAATGAGTCAGTTCTTTGCATCAGGTGGCCAAAGTATTGGAGTTTCAGCTTCAGCGTCAGTCCTTCCAATGAATATTCAGGACTGATTTCCTTTAGGATGGACTAAAGGATAGTTCAGAATGGCTATTTCCAGGGTAATATTTTTGGTTTCCCCCTTTTCTCTTTTTAGCTAAAAACGAATGTCACCCTCTGAGGCTGGACGGGTGTCAGCACTTCTGCCACCCCGGACCAGAGTCCTACTCCTGCAGCTGTGCAAAGGGCCACAAGCTGGGCCGAGACCACAGGTCCTGCCTCCCCCATGGTGAGCCCCCTGCCCCCGGACCCCAGGCCTTCCTCTGCAGCGACTCTGAACGCCCACCTCTCCTGCTGTGGCTGGGGGTGGGGAGGGGGCTTCCCAGCCCCCGCCAGGCTCCCCTCCCCGCCCTCCCACCATCTCTGAGAGCAGGTATGAAATCCCACCTGCTCTGCATACACACGAAGTGTATGGGCACCACGGAGCAGGCTGGAAGGGTCGGCAGCGTGGTCACCCCGCCGCCTGCCCGGGGAGGCACTGACCTCCCTTTCTGTGTGGCCGCCACAATGAAGACAGCTGTGCGTGTGGGACCCTGAGCTCCGAGTGCTGCCAGAGGCCCCAGCGGGGCCAGCAAGACCTTCCGCCTCTCCCGTGGCAGGTAACAGAAACGCAGTTTGATCGTCCCTTACGTTTCACCTGTCTGTCCTCTCTCCTTTCTTCGATTTAGGTGAACTATCTACAACCTCCACATCCCACTTCAAAGCACTTTCTCATGCTGAGCTCACAGCTTCAGTGTCTTATGTTTTAACTTAGCAACACATGAAGTTATGATGTTGACACTTCTCCCAAACTATTTCAAGCACTTTCCTTTATGCTCATCTGCTACTTTGACCAGTATTTTCTTCTTTTCTTGCGTTTCCAGTACCCCCACAAAATAAGCACCATTTTTAGTAATACCACCAATCTACCACCAATGTGGGTTTGGGTTTACCTACATTTTGCATTTTCCTTGCATCCCAGGTCTCTAACACAGATCACCCCGTTCTTCCTCAGCCGTGTCAAGAGAAACACCAAGTTGGCCACAGACCTGACTTAAATTTTCTAGCAGCCACGTGCATAGAAAGCGGGTGAAATTAATTTTGATGATGTGCTTTACTTACCTCAACACGTCTATGTATCATTTCAACACGTAATGAACAGTTTAAAAATTGAGATATTCACGCTTCCTCTTTCTACCTAAGTCTTGGCTCCCGGGCGTGTGCAGTACAGGGTCTCTCACTTGCAGCACATCCTGGGTTGGACCAGTGGATCGCAAGTGCTCAGTAACCATACTGACCTTCACTTGACAGAGAGCTTTACGGGTTGCTCTAGCAACCCGGCTGCGCTCAGCCCCCAGCGCGTGCGCGTGCGCACTTGTGTGCAGGCGCGGAGCGTGTCTCCCTCACCTGACGCTCACCCGCGGGTCTGGCCGGGTGGAAGCACGTAGCAGCTGTGCGGAGGCCTGGCCAAGCGACGGCCACGGCTAAGTGACCACCAGGACTGGAAGGGTCCAGGGAGGGGAGCTCAAACGAGGGGCGAGCCGGGGCTGGGGCTCGGTCTCCCCGGAACTGCACCTCTGCTGACTGTCCCCCCCACTCAAGCCCGCGCATCCCTTGCTCGCCTCTCCCCTTCTCGCCCCGCCTCGCCCGCTGAGGGGGCCTCAGTAATGGGTGCGCTGGGCCGGCTGGAGGGTGTGCGCCCCACCTTCTCGACCACAACACCGTGCTGCCCCGAATGCTGCAAACGGACACTAACTCTTTCTTGTCTGTTTTGGTTTTTAAAGGTAAAACTAACAAATGCTGAAGGAAAAGACTTCTGCGGGGGTGTTCTAATACAGGACAACTTCGTGCTGACAACAGCAAAATGCTCACTATTGTACAGAAACATCAGTGTGAAAACGAGTGAGTACTTTGTCATTCAGTTTCATAAGATGGCACCAGAAACAAAAACTACCCTATGGAGAAATAAAAGGGAAAGTGAAGTCGCTCAGTCGTGTCCGACTCTGCGACCCCATGGACTGTAGCCCACCAGGCCCCTCCGTCCATGGGATTTTCCAGGCAAGAGCACTGGAGTGGGGTGCCGTTTCCTTTTCCAGGCAGAAATGAAAAGAAGCCCTTCACTCTCGAATTCTTGTTTCTAATGAAATACACACTCGGTTTAGCTTCCCGCTGGGGAGGTCACTCATACAATCAAAGCAGTGGGGACTAGCCAGCGGAATTCTGGGCACAGGACGCAGGCAATGCGGAATTTGACAGCCGAGGAAAGGGGCCCTTGGTTTGCCGCTGAAGTGGAGCGGTCAGACCCCCGTCCTCACGCGGGCCTGGGCTGCGTTGCCAACTGCTCCACAGTCCCCAGGACCCGCGAGTGGGGAATGCATCTTACCCTCCTTCCTCAGACATTTTTCAGTCAACAGGCCGTCATTCTAGAAATGACTCCTGAACAGGCAAGTCTGATTCGCTCTGAGAGGGTCTTCCTGATTTCTTCCGACCTTTTCAGCTCCCACTCAATGCGCTCCCGCCGCGCCCCCAGGACGCCTCACTTGGGGTGTGGGAGAGGCCCCGCCGCGGTGCTCCGGTCCCGGCGGATGGCGCGGGAGGGGCGCGGGCGGGGACGCCGGGGAAGGGGGCGCGAGGAGCCGCCCCGAGCGCCGGCCCCGCCTCCTTCCAGGCTCCGACTTTCCGGTGCGCGTGAAGGGCGTCCACGTGCACACGAGGTTCGAGGCGGACGCCGGGCACAACGACGTGGCCCTGCTGGGCCTGGCGCGGCCCGTGCGCTGCCCCGACGCGGGGCGGCCGGTCTGCACGGCCGACGCGGACTTCGCCGAGCGCGTCCTCCTGCCGCGGCCCGGCGTCCTGGGCGGCTGGACCCTCCGCGGCCGCGAGATGGCGCCCTTGCGGCTGCGCGTCATGCACGTGGAGCCCGCGGAGTGCGGCCAGGCCCTCAACGCCACGCTGACCACACGGACCAGCTGCGAGCGGGGCGCGGCGGCCGACGCGGCGCGGTGGGTGGCGGGCGGCGCGGTGACCCGGGAGCACCGCGGCGCCTGGTTCCTCACCGGCCTGCTGGGCGCCGCGCCCCGCGGAGGGCCCGGGCCGCTCCTGCTCATCAAGGTCCCGAGATACGCGCTCTGGCTCCGGCAAGTCACTCGGCAGCCGAACCTCGCCAGTCCGAGAGGCGACCAGGGCCAGGGGCGCGGCGGGGAGCCAGTGCCGGGCGATCGCGGTGGGCGGCGGGCACCTACGGCCCTTCCTCCGGGACCCCTCGTCTGACCTGAGCCCTTAGCAGGGAAGGAGGCGTGTCCAGCAATACAAACAGACCTCAAACAGCGCTCTCCTAAACCGGCTGGGGAACCGGGGTTCAATCCACCAGCAGCGACTCTGGGGTGGGGGGTGGGGGTGGGGGTAGTTGCACACACAGCGACCTCCCAGCTCTACTGGCGGCGGGGGGTGGGGGGACGCGGGTGTGGAGCTCGGGGAGGAGGCGGCAAAGGGAAGGAACTAGGGCCTGTGCACGGCTCACGTCTGGGGAGAACTTCTGCATGGAGGGTCTGCAGGCCCCAAGAGGGCAGAGCGGCCCCGAACCCACCAGCGAGTCCCACCCAGACTGCAGCTCCCCTCTCCCACAGACAGGACCCTCCCCCATCTGCACCCAAGTGACAGCAAGAGCACGTGGATGGACGTGCTGTGTACTTACGCCATCATTTCTAAGCCAGGAGGTGCCTGGCTCACCGAGAATGGAGGGGCCCTCACGACTGAGCTCCCTGGACCCCAGGGTGGGGCCTCGAGGTGGGTGGGATCCAGAGGCTCATGCGTGAGGCACTGCGCTGCTGGGGAAGGCAGCCTTGTTTTAAGGGGTTAGAATTGTGATGTATACATTCTTCTGACTGGAAAACTGGTAGGATTTCAAAGTCTACTGTTCCTCCATTGCCTGCCTTTGTTTTTGCCAAGGTCCTTTCAGAGAAATGGGCCAGTGCATCTGCAGATTGGCCAAAAAACGTTAATTCTGGGATTAAAGTATAATATCAGAAATGAAAGTGTTTTTGAATTGTTACTTAAAAATCTGAATTGTGTTTAAACTCCCAAAAGTGCGGTGGTATTATCTTCAAACTAAGGTCATTGCCTGCCCAAGATTTGAAATCTAGCAAAGGAGCACTGTGGTTTTACATGAATAATCCTGCAAAAATATCTGCAGTTTTGTCGCTGACATTAATTTGCTATACAAATCTGTATTTGCTGAAGCAGAAACGCTATCTGGAAATTAGGACGAACAGCGCAGGCAGACAGGACTCTCCCTGCAGTATTTATAGGCTGTACGTGCCTGGTGGCTCAGATAGTAAAGAATCTGCCTGCACTACAGACCTGGGTTTGACTCCTGGGTCGGGGAGATCCCCTGGAGAAGGGAATGGCTACCCACTCCAGTGTTCTTGCCTGGAGAATTTCATGGACAGAGGAGCCTGGCGGGCTACAGTCCATGGGATCACAGAGTTGGACATGACTGAGGAACTCATATTTTCACTTCCACTGAACACAGACCACTGCTGAGAACACTGCAGGCCTGCAGGGCAGCTGAGGCACAGAATGAGAACTGCTTATCCATCACGTGTTAACTTAATAAAATGGTTACAAGTCACCTGAGGTAAGCAAATCAAAACAATAAAACTCAAGAAAAGGGAATGTGATTAGATGGCAGAGACTGTCTGCTTCCTTGGCATCGGTGTTCTCAAGGCCGGGCCGACCACTCTGCACAGGCTTCCAAACCAGTGGGAACGCAGCGGACTCAGGCCTGAGGTTCTATTTCTTTCATTGTTTTGCCAAATACGACTTTGACCTCGTGTTATCGTTCGTTGTCACTCCAGTGTCACTACTTACTGGTCAAATGACAGTACCTGAAAGTGTTGAAAACACCCAGCTTTCCACACTACGAGATCCAGGCACATTCACAGAAGTCCAGGGTCCCCCTCCAAGGACGCCGGCTCCCACCCTAGCTGGAGGCCGTGCCCGACCCTGAGGAGCAGGGACGCTGTGAGGACAGCACCCCAGGAAACATGGAGAGGCTGTCCCACCCTGGCATCTGCGCCTCCCCCAGGCCACACTCTCCCGCTCAGGGGACTGGTGGGGCTGGGGAGGCTGGTGACCGGACACCGACGGCAGGCCGCCCCCAGCACGCCCCATCCCCATGCCCAAGTCTGGACATGCCCGGGGTGGAGGCTATGCTCTGTGACTCAGGAGCCCGGCCGAGAGTGGATCCAGCGCCAATTGGTTCTTTGGGGTCCTCGCTCTCGGAACCCGGCTCCATCAGCCTGGAGAGGCCACCGAGCACCAGGTCAGAGCCCAGGGGGACACGCCTTCAGGGTGGGTTGCAGAGCCCCAAAGAGCCCTCCAGACAAGCTGCATGGAGAAGCCGAGGACACGCTGCAGACCTCGGAGCAAAGTGGGACGCTCAGTCTGGCTGCTGGAGGGGCAGACATGGGGGCACAGATGGGAGGCCTCGAGCAGGCCTCAGGGAGGGGGGTCCAAACCCCACGGCGGCCCCTTCCCCATACAAAGGCCATAGCCTCCTCCAGACTCGGCACCTTTGCAAAGATGAGCCACTCTAGTCCATGGATTTTAAGTTTTTGCGTAAACCGAGGAAATGTGTGTGATCCGAAAAAAAATAGCTATAGTGCCTGGAAAATCTAAATCAGATTCAGCTTGTAAAAAGAAACATTAAGTTAACCAAACATTTTGATCACACACAGTGTTCAAATTTAACATAAAATTAGATGTGTCCGGATAATACAATAAAGAATATCCCATCTGTATAAATTTAAACACCTTTTTGTTTTTATAGAAAGTTACAAAGACGCCTTCACAAACAGTCCTCTTGGGAAGTAAACAGCAGCTGCCTGGGAGACGGAGTGGCCTCTGGGGAGAGTCACCGGCAGCCTGGCTGGCAGAGGCGGCAGCACTGAGGCCCGAGTCCCAGGCCTCTGTGACGGGGACGTTCGTCGGCCGTGGTGCTGGAGATGTCATTCCCGGGACGAGACCCAAGAGGCTCCGCTGCAGAGCATGAGCTCCGGGCGGGAGGAGGGCCAGGATCAGCCTGCCCCTGTCGTCGGGCCGGGGTCATCAGCACACCGTGGACAGTGGGGGGAAGGGGTTCTGCTTGCTGACAACCAGCTTCTGGTGCTGGTGTGAGATATAGCCTTTGATGTGACCCTAGGGGATGGGAGAGAGGGGGCTCATGACTCTGAAGTCAAGGCTTTCAGGGTGAGTGAGCTGGAGCTGGGGCAGAGCGCCTCCCACCCCCAGGGCCCCAGCCATTGAGCGGTCAGCTCGCTGAGAGGAAAACAAGTGTGTGTACACACGCGCGCGCGCGCGCGCACACACACACACACAGAGCACCCCCACCCCCACCGACCCAGTTATTGTGCAGTCAGCTCGCTGAGAGGAAAACAAGTGTGTGTATACACACACACACACAGTGCCCCCTACCCCCACCACCCCAGCTATCATGTGGCCCGCGCGCACATGCGCACGCACACACACACACACACAGTGCGCCCCCCACCCCCACTGCCCCAGCTATCGAGTGGTCAGCTCGCTGAGAGGAAAAGGAGTGTGTGTACACACACACACACACACCAGCCCCACCACGCCCTCTGAGGACATGGACATGGCGGGTACCAGACCCCCCAGCCTGGACGGAGCCCACACACCATGTAGATGAGGTTGGCCAGGATGCACTGGACCTCGGCGATGTCCACATCCTCCACCTGCATGAACTTCAAGGCCACCAGGAATGCGTCCAGGGACAGTTGGTGGGTCTTGAGCAGCAAGTACCTGGAAGAGGCAGAGCTCAGGCTGTTGCTGATAGGAGGCAAGTGGGCAGGAGAGCCTCTGCTCGGGAGGAACACAGCACCTCCCACCAGCCAGGCTCCTCAGAAAACAGGAGCTTCCGGGTGACTGACTTTCCCATTTAAAGAGCCACCAGAGCAAGTAAACTTGACCGCTTCCTTGAATCTCAGATGCTTCCACTCTCACGTTTCAATACCCCTCAAGTTGGGAAGCACCTGACAGGGACTGTCAGGGATCTGATGACCTTCAGGCCTCTCTGACCTGGACGTGATCCTCACAGCGGAGTCTGACAGAGATCCTGCTGGGATCAGGCCTCAGACAAGAGCCCACTTCCGAGTTCCACAAAAAGAGCAACTTCCTGACACACAGGAGTGGCGGTAGGGTCAGCGGGTCACGAGCAAAGGAAACAGGCACCAGTGCCACGCTCTGACCATAGTGTAGGTGGGTGCTCAGGGCTGGTGTCAGAACTCCTGACAGACTCCACACTTCACACAGCCTGAGCTACTGCGCCTACTCCCTCAGCCGGGCGCTCCCTCGCCTGCGCACTCCCTCACCCGGGCGGGCCCTCCTTCACCAGGACCTGCTAGCTCTCTCACCCGGGCCTGCGGTGCTCCATCACCTGGACGCTCCCTCACCCAGGTGTTCTCTCAGTCTGGCGCTCCCTCACCCGGCTGCGCGCTCCCTCACCCTGGAATGCATGCTCCCTCACCTGGGCCTGCGCGCTCCCTCACCCGGACGCTCCCTCACCTGGGTGTTCTCACAATCTAGCGCTCCCTCACCCTGGAATGCGCGCTCCCTCACCCTGGCCTGCGCGCTCCCTCACCCTGGCCTGCGTGCTCCCTCACCCTGGAATGCGTGCTCCCTCACCCTGGCCTGCGCGCTCCCTCACCCGGACACTCCCTCACCTGGGTGTTCTCTCAATCTAGCGCTCCCTCACCCTGGAATGCGCGCTCCCTCACCCGGGCCTGCGGCGCTCCCTCACCCGGACGCTCCCTCACCTGGGTGTTCTCTCAGTCTAGCGCTCCCTCACCCGGGGCCTGCGCGCTCCCTCACCCGGGGCCTGCGCGCTCCCTCACCCTGGCCTGCGCGCTCCCTCACCCTGGCCTGCGTGCTCCCTCACCCTGGAATGCACGCTCCCTCACCCGGGCCTGCGCGCTCCCTCACCCTGGAATGCGCGCTCCCTCACCCGGACGCTCCCTCACCTGGGTGTTCTCTCAATCTAGCGCTCCCTCACCCGGGGCCTGCGCGCTCCCTCACCCGGGCCTGCGGCGCTCCCTCACCCGGACGCTCCCTCACCTGGGTGTTCTCTCAGTCTAGCGCTCCCTCACCCGGCTGCGCGCTCCCTCACCCTGGCCTGCGTGCTCCCTCACCCGGACGCTCCCTCACCCAGGTGTTCTCTCAGTCTGGCGCTCCCTCACCCGGCTGCGCGCTCCCTCACCCTGGCCTGCGTGCTCCCTCACCCGGACGCTCCCTCACCCAGGTGTTCTCTCAGTCTAGCGCTCCCTCACCCTGGCCTGCGTGCTCCCTCACCCGGGCCTGCGGCGCTCCCTCACCCGGACGCTCCCTCACCTGGGTGTTCTCTCAGTCTAGCGCTCCCTCACCCGGCTGCGCGCTCCCTCACCCTGGCCTGCGTGCTCCTTCACCCGGGCCTGCGCGCTCCCTCACCCGGACGCTCCCTCACCTGGGTGTTCTCTCAATCTAGCGCTCCCTCACCCTGGAATGCGCGCTCCCTCACCCGGGCCTGCGCGCTCCCTCACCCGGACGCTCCCTCACCTGGGTGTTCTCAGTCTAGCGCTCCCTCACCCTGGCCTGCGTGCTCCCTCACCCGGGCCTGCGCGCTCCCTCACCCGGACGCTCCCTCACCTGGGTGTTCTCTCAATCTAGCGCTCCCTCACCCGGGCCTGCGCGCTCCCTCACCCAGGCCTGCGCGCTCCCTCACCCTGAAATGCGTGCTCCCTCACCAGGGCCTGCGCGCTCCCTCACCCGGGCCTGCGTGCTCCCTCACCCTGGAATGCGTGCTCCCTCACCCGGGCCTGCGCGCTCCCTCACCCTGGAATGCGCGCTCCCTCACCCGGGCCTGCGCTCTCCCTCACCCGGACGCTCCCTCACCCGGACGCTCCCTCACCTGGGTGTTCTCTCAATCTAGCGCTCCATCACCCTGGCCTGCGTGCTCCCTCACCCGGACGCTCCCTCACCTGGGTGTTCTCTCAATCTAGCGCTCCCTCACGGGGCCTGCGCGCTCCCTCACCAGGGCCTGCGTGCTCCCTCACCCTGGAATGCGCGCTCCCTCACCCGGGCCTGCGGCGCTCCCTCACCCGGATGCTCCCTCACCTGGGTGTTCTCTCAGTCTAGCTCTCCCTCACCTGGGGCCTGCGCGCTCCCTCACCCGGGCCTGCGGCGCTCCCTCACCCGGACGCTCCCTCACCTGGGTGTTCTCTCAGTCTAGCGCTCCCTCACCCGGGCCTGCGGCGCTCCCTCACCCGGACGCTCCCTCACCTGGGTGTTCTCTCAGTCTAGCGCTCCCTCACCCGGGGCCTGCGCGCTCCCTCACCCGGGCCTGCGGCGCTCCCTCACCCGGACGCTCCCTCACCTGGGTGTTCTCTCAATCTAGCGCTCCCTCACCCTGGCCTGCGTGCTCCCTCACCCGGGCCTGCGTGCTCCCTCACCCGGGCCTGCGTGCTCCCTCACCCGGGCCTGCGCGCTCCCTCACCCAGGCCTGCGCGCTCCCTCACCCGGACGCTCCCTCACCTGGGTGTTCTCTCAATCTAGCGCTCCCTCACCCTGGAATGCGCGCTCCCTCAGCCGGGCCTGCGTGCTCCCTCACCCTGGAATGCGCGCTCCCTCACCCGGGCCTGCGGCGCTCCCTCACCCGGACGCTCCCTCACCTGGGTGTTCTCTCAGTCTAGCGCTCCCTCACCCGGGGCCTGCGCGCTCCCTCACCCGGACGCTCCCTCACCTGGGTGTTCTCTCAGTCTAGCGCTCCCTCACCCTGGCCTGCGCGCTCCCTCACCCGGACGCTCCCTCACCTGGGTGTTCTCTCAATCTAGCGCTCCCTCACCCTGGCCTGCGTGCTCCCTCACCCGGGGCAGCGTGCTCCCTCACCCGGGCCTGCGCGCTCCCTCACCCAGGCCTGCGCGCTCCCTCACCCGGACGCTCCCTCACCTGGGTGTTCTCTCAATCTAGCGCTCCCTCACCCTGGAATGCGCGCTCCCTCACCCGGGCCTGCGGCGCTCCCTCACCCGGACGCTCCCTCACCTGGGTGTTCTCTCAGTCTAGCGCTCCCTCACCCGGGGCCTGCGCGCTCCCTCACCCGGGGCCTGCGCGCTCCCTCACCCGGGCCTGCGGTGCTCCCTCACCGGGACGCTCCCTCACCTGGGTGTTCTCTCAGTCTAGCGCTCCCTCACCCTGGCCTGCGCGCTCCCTCACCCTGGCCTGCGTGCTCCCTCACCCTGGAATGCGCGCTCCCTCACCCGGGCCTGCGCGCTCCCTCACCCTGGAATGCGTGCTCCCTCACCCGGGCCTGTGCGCTCCCTCACCCGGGCCTGCGGTGCTCCCTCACCAGGGCCTGCGGTGGTCCCTCGCCAGGGCCTGCGGTGCTCCCTCACCCGGACTCTCCCTCACCTGGGTGTTCTCTCAGTCTAGCGCTCCCTCACTCAGGCGCTCCCTCACTTGAGTGCGCCCTCGCCTGGGCCCTGTGCCCTCCCTCAGCTGTGCACTCCCTCGCCTGGACAGCACCAGCACCAAGGTCTGGGGCTGCAGATCAACTTCATCCCATAGAATCAGGAAGGAAGGCTGTGCTCACACTTTCTTGAAGAGATTCCTGTAGGTGATGATCTTCAGCTTCTCGAGGATGAGGAAGATGCCGCAGCGGATGAAGAAGGTCTCATGCGCGGCCAAGGCCTCGTTGAGGAGGAGGAGGTTGCCTTCGCTGGGCCAGAGAGACATGCAGACGCAGGCAGGACACCACCCAGGACAGGAGACAGGACCCCATTAGTTCCCTGGAAACACGGGGACCTCTGCACAGACTTTATATCCTAAGCGGCCCCCGAGGGAAGAGAAGCAGCTACCTCACGGCTCGGGTCACCTCCGCAAACTGCATGAGATGGTACTTCCTCAGAAGCTCAACAGTTGGCATGTGGCCCTGAGACAGAGTAATTTTCCAGAATAAGAACCTTCTCATTTTTAACAGAACTGTCTTTGATAAAACCCTTACCAAGTTTTAAAAACTTTTAACCTGTGTTTCTCAGACTTTCTTCCTAAGCAAACTGAACAAAAAACGCGTCCTAGCCAACTGGGAAAAAAACAAATGCTGGTTCGGAAATCAGAAAACCTGGCACCAACACAGCTCTGCCAACAGTGCCGTGTGACCCTGACCTCAACCTTCTTGCTAGCGATCACAGGAGCGGGTGGCACCTGAAGGAACACTAGGCTACAGCTTAGGGATTCAGACCCAGCTTCCAGAGCAACGAGCTGAAGCCCAAGACTGGCTGCTCCACAGGCTGGGTGAGCCGTGGGAGGGCGGGGCACTCTCTCCTCCCCACCACACGCCGTCCAGAGCTGGGTGGCTTAACGTGTCTGTGTGCTGCTGTGGCCATTTCTAAGAAACTTCACTGGGAGGAAAGGAAGCCCTATCACTGTGAGAATGTTTTAGTCAATTAACTTTCTAGTTACTTTTTTTTTTTTACAAATACCAAAAACAACTTTCAGTGACCAAGTTAGACAACCAGACAGGCTGGAATGATCTTTTTCTCTCTTGGTTAATCCAGCTCTATTATTCTAGATTTTCAGGAGTAACAGACATAACATGCACTATTTTACCTGTCTTACATACGTTAAACCTTTGAGTGAGGTAATTTTAGGAAAAAGGAAACAAAAACAGACAAGCCTTTCTAGAAGGATCTGGAAGTGTCAGTCACGAGAAGAGTGGTTTGGGTCACACCCAAGGCCTGTTCCTCCTCTATTCTGAGAGTGCACTCACATGTGGCTCAGATGAGACCCACCACACACCATGGGCTACGCTGTGAAATGACTATGCATTCCTTGTGGGGGGCAGGCCCCCAGAGAGCTGGAGAGACCACTTACCAGGAGCATCTTCACAGGAAGCAGGTAAATGAGGACCATTCTTTTGTTCTTTTGGCTGGAACGATGGCAGTGCTCAAAAGCAAAGGACAGGTACTCCTCAGCTGCAGAGTCGACCACAGACACGGTCAGCACAGTCCCTGCCCTGTGCCTGGAGCTACACCCACCCTTACACGAAGGCCCAAAGGTTTCAGAGGCGACAATGTCTACCATCAACATTAACAGATTATTTTCCACAGGGTCAGCTATTTTTCAAAAATAACCAGAAGAGCACTCAGTGAAGATTCAGAGAAGCAAAGCAATGCCTTCCGAGACGTCAACTGAGTATACAGCTGACCTGAATGGGGCAGGTCTGCTCTGCACGGGTGCCCTGCACGTCCATGTTTTCAATCGTAAACGCTACGATATTGCTCCGTCTGTGGCTGCTGATCACAAATGCAGAGTAACCAAGGACACAGGGCCGACCATGAGTCAATGGTGGATTAGCCCTCTCGCTGTTCAGCTATTCCAACGCTTCATATTTTAGGGGAAAGAAAAAGGACCAAGGAAAATCCTCTTTCTAAAGTTGTATGTACTGAAAGCAAACTCCAGGAGTTGATGATGGACAGGGAAGCCTGGCGTGCTGCAGTTCATGGGGTTGCAAAGAATCGGACATGACTGAGTGACTGCACTGATGTATTGAAAACTCTGTGAAAGGAAATGAAAAGTCAGTCTATACAACCCCATGGAATAAAAAGAGCTCTCAATATGAAAGAGCTGTTCTTTCTGTCACCCAGAGCCTCTGTGGCTGTTGACACGTGGAGTGAGAAGGCTCTTACGTCTCACCTGGCACCTGAAGTCACGTGGCTTTGTGTGTGAGTAACTGTCAAGGAAGTGAGTTTAAAAAGTCTCATTTGAGAATAAGAGAAGAATCATAAAGGACCACCATACACCGGCCACTCCAAACTCTCAGAAAGAAAAAACAGCCTCCCAATCATGAGAAAGCGAAGGACACAAACCACATAACATGGTTTCGTGAAAGGGCAGCTTGGATGTGGCCCTGACCCGCTGCCCCCAGCCACAGGCACGTGCCCTGAGGCTGGAGCCAAGCCACGAGCTGCCCAACCTCCACGTCCTGTGCCGAAAGGACCCACTGAGGCCACAGGGAAGCACGGAGCACGGCCCACATGTGGGACAGAGGTGCGTGGTGTCCTCTCCCAGCAAAGGACACAGTGGTGACCGCTCAGAGACCTGGTGCCGAGCAAGAAACGCAAAAGGGATTTTCCTTTATGGAACCGACTTGGTGTCGGAGCAATGCTGCTCGGATGCAGTGGACACCACGTCCGCCTCCACATCAGAAGGCATGAAGGTGCTCTGGACCCCTGGTTGCTTGGCAGCAGTGACGCACCTTGCTTGAAGTCGCTGTCGAACATGGCCTTGCGCCCCACGTAGTACCTATAGGTCACCCTCTGGGCCGTGCTGTAGTCGTCCTTCAGGTTTGAGCTGTCGATGGCTCTGATGAGCGGTTTACACAGATGGAGCTTGTTGATCTAGAACAAGTAAGAATCCACTCCAGACGGTCTTCCAGATTAACAGGCAGGACAGCCACCAATCCCTGGTCACTAAGGACACATCTCCTGAGGTGGCTTCACATGATCAGAACTGAGGGCTCACTAAGGACACAGCACACCGCTGCTCTGTCCAAACCAGGCCACAGGGGAACGCCCACCTGCAGAGGGGCTGACCAGACATGCTCCCCACCTGACCACACCATTGTCACACCTGGACCTGTGTGAGGTGCCAGCACTTGGTTCCCTGACGCCTCAGAGGGTGGAGGTGAACATAGACAATGAGTTCCGAGCACCACTACAGTCCGTGCACCCAGAGGCCCTCAACCAACACCAGCCCCCAGGACTGTGTGTGGCTGGTGGGGACTGATTCTCAAGCCAGGCCTGCCAGGCCGGCTGACAGGGGAGAGAAATGCTCTCTGGGAAGACAGGCAGAATTCAAGCAGAGTTTACCTTAAAATAAATCTTGAATAACTGATTCACCAGAAACAGCATTCCCCACTTCTTGGAATCCTCTATACCAGCACGACTGCAGGGAAAATGATGTTTTAAAGGTTACATAGGAAACAAAAATTTTATGTACAAATCACAAAGCAAACTTCCAAAACAAATTCACATCCTGAGATAAAACCCCACAGTTCAAGTCAAATTCATGAAAGAATGTAACACTACAAAAGCAGGTGTCTCCTCTGACAGGTAAACCTGGAGAGATGGCCTCAGGAGTTCTGACACTGGCTGAGCATCTGGGGGGCAGCAGATGAAAACTGCTCCGTCTGCAGCAATGTTGTGTAAGAGCGGATTGTTATCAAGCATTTGTGACATGTGGTGAAAGTATTTTCTCTTGTCATTACAACATCATGAACCACTGAGACACAACACACGAATTTCAGAAAGCATGAGACCCAGTGTGCTGGCCAAGTGGGCCCAGAGGCGCCGTGCCCGATCTGTGCTGAGCACGAAAGAGGATTCTTTTCTCTTATCCCTTACCAAGCAACAGATTATTCAAAGCAGAAATGACCACGGCTGTGCGGCTACGGCCACGGCCGCCCACCCCGGACTCACGTGTCGCTGGCGCAGACGCGGAAGCATCCCATCAGCAGCTCGGCCGCCTTCTCCAGCATGTCCCCCACCTTGCTCTTCCCCTTCTTCACCAGCTGCTGGTCTGCCTGACAAGAAGTAAAAGCCTTCACTTTTCATCTCCTCTTGATTCTTCAATTAGAAAGAAAATCACCACACAGCCAGAAGCAAGAACGGACAACTTAGGGGTGGCCCCCAGGCTCCGAAGAGACCCTCGAGGCTGTGCTGCGGTATTCCTCAAAACTGCAGCGTCTATCACTTGTTCCAACTTTCTACAGGCCACGTGGCTCCTCAACTGATTCAGACCAGGGCGCTGGTCCCCGAGTTTTTAAGCCTGCGTCGCCCAAGCCATGTGCTGCTAAGGGGCCTTTTCTTACTTGGCACAAACCCCCTGACCTGTCTCACGGACGACATGGAGGGGACAGCACAGAGAAGGCAGCAGGAGGCAGTGTGGGCACCCTCCCATGTCCTCACCACGCAGGCCCGCGTCCCCCCTCTGCGTCCCCCCTCTACCGACCAGAACAGCGAGCTTCACTTCAGAGTCGGTGACAATGCAGTGAACCTGTCAGTGAGTCTTGGTCCTTGAATACACATGTAGTTTTAGTGTTCCCTGTGATGAAGCAGGAAGCACAAACACAGCAAGTCTGTTTTTTAAGGTAAAGCACCAGGGCCACTGTTGGGGTTGCAAGCTGGACGGGGAACAGACAGCTGCAGAGCCTGGCCGGCCAGTGTGGACCACCGGCCAGCAAGAGTCTCCAGAAAGTGAAGGACACAGGCCTGTCCCACCAGGAAACACTGACAGTACTTGCCAATGACAACATTCGCACTTTCAAGAAAAACTTAGAATTTTGGAAAACTTGTACTGACCACCAAGAGCCTGGCAGCTTTTCATTACTTCAAGATGTCTCTGAGGAGGTCACTGGATATACTAACAAAGGTAGAGTTTTCCTGGATTTCATTTTTTACATAATGAAATACATCAACATTTGGAATGTCTGAGCAGCTCAGTGATTGAAATGTTTCCAGATCATCAAAATTTTGTTGGAAGTCACAAAATCCTGCAGGGCTGGAAGATCCATCCACACCGCTGGGGTTGGAGGTCACACTGCCAGCCTCAGAGGCCACACTTTGACCAACAGTAAAAACCATTCCTGGAGCCTGAAAAGGTGCCGGTCAGACAAGGACGTCAGCAATCGCCTGGAAAGGCTATCAGAACAGGCCTCCCACTTCCACCCATGTCTGTGTGAAGCCAGACTGCTGCACACACTCAACCAAAATGATGCCCAGCAGAGTGACCGCAGCAGCAGATGTGAGAATCCGAGTGTCTCCCTTCTATTTAGGAAGTCAGTGATGTTACCGTGTAAAAGGTTTATTACTTTAGGTGCGCAAGTACACTAAGGATGGATGTAAACTACACAGGCAGACGCTCTGGCAGCAGCTTTGGGCGCCCTTGAGGGTCTCTGTGTAAGTTATCTTGGTTCCGCGGCTTCCGTTCGAGGCTGTTTGGCGTCTCCCATTCCTTTGTGGAGATGTCTGTTTCGGCCCTTGCCCTTGCTCCGGGGTTTTGCCGCAAGTGGCGGGTGTGGAACGCCATCCGGGACGTGGCCCGCTGCGCCCGGATCCAGGATGCCCAGGAGACAAGCAGGACGGGCAGGGAGCTCCCTGTCCCGCGCGTCCCGCCTCTCAGAGCCCCGCTGGCCGTGGGGTCCCCAGCAGCGGGGCGGGGAGGCACGTGACTGCGCCCACCTGTCCACAACCGGGTGTCAGAGACGGCTTCTGACCCAGTAAAGGGATGTGCGGACCCAAGAGCTAGGGACTGCTGCTCCCTGACCAGCTGATGCTGCCGGGAAAATGGACGCGTCAAGTCCAGTCCTTTGCCTCTGCACAGCAGAGAGGCCCCTTGCTCCGCCGAGTCCAGCAAGGTGGCACCGGGCGCGTCTTCATGGCAGACGCGGGCAGCCCCTCAGCAGCGAGCAGAGCCGCCCCACTTTGTTGCTCTCTGCACCAGGGGTGTCCCGACCCCACGCACCCCCCCAAAACTTGTGGGAGGAGTGACATGAAATTAAGCAACAGGTACAGTGAGTTTGGGTTTAAAACAGTGACAGAAACCAAACTTACATTGTTGGCAAATATTCGAAGGTCCAGGGCCACTGCATACATGACAGGCAGTGCCCTATGGGGCAAAAAGAAGTGTGTGTGAGGCTCTGAGGTCAGAGGCTCCCTCACCAGCGCTGGGGACACCCATGGCCCCCAACCGGACGGGAGGGCCCCACCCCCATGACCCCGTGGTCCTCCCCTCACCTTCCTTCCAGGAGCTGCAGCCCCTCCTGGTCTGTGCATCTGGCCGGAAGAGCTCTGCACCCGCTGACCCAGCCTCCCCAGAGGCCAGGGCCTCAGCCCTGACTGCCCCCACCCCATGCTCGGCCAGGAATTCTCCTTCCCCTCAGCCCCACCACCACCTAAACGGCTACATGAAAACAAGACGTGTGGTTCAGAATGATCTCCTAACAGGCCCCAAGGTATGGAGCAGACAGATGTCGTCAAAAGATTTCTAAAATCTAGCCGGCAGTGTCAGTTTCACATGTAAGACAGATCTTCAGTCAAACCTTTTTTTTTTTTGGTAAAAGGTATCTGTAAGTCTTCAGTTACTTTAGTATAAACAAAATTTCAGTATTTACCAAGACTTTTAATAAATCCTAAGACAGTTTAAGATAACCCAAATATTCTGTATCTGTCATCCCAAATGAACTGTAGTTGATCTACATCTTTTATCCAAGTTTAAAACCAAAAAGTGAAAGTGAAAGTTGCTCAGTCATGTCCGACTCTTTGCAACTCCAAGGACTTCTCCAGGCCAGAATGCTGGAGTGGGTGGCTGTTTCCTCCTCCAAGGGATCTTCCCAACCCAGGATTCAAACCCAGGTCTCCTGCATTGCAGGCAGATTTTTTACCAGCTGAGCCACCAGGGAAGCCCAAGTAACATCAAAATTGACAAAGGAAAAAAAGTTGTATTTAATGAATACCTGGGAGCATGGAATGGCTGAAATAATACTTCATATTTACAGAAAAACACTGGACATGATCTGGCTGACCTGCCGTTTAAGTTTTCACTGACTATTAAGATTCCAGCATCTGCGTTGATATCATCCTATGTCAACACACAGTATCAAATACCAACACAGAAAACACAGTACATATTTATTTAGAGTAAATCTTTTAAAAACCTCTGCTTTTGATAAAGAGAAAAAGCCATTTGCTCATTTCCAGCTCTTTCTGTTTGTACTTACCAGTTTTCTTCTTTGTGGGCCTGAAATGCTCGTAGGAATGATGTACTATGTTAAGGAAGGCCCTACATAAAAAGTTCAGGTGATGCTACAAGTGAAAGGATGACGAACAACACGTTCTGAACTGTAAGGGCTCCAGCTCACCACTCAGAAGGTTATGCACCACAGCAGGTTTTCGAAGGAAAGAAACACATAAGCCCACATTACAGACACCTGAGTGTCATTCGGGATAAGTAAATACATTGATTTCACACATCTTTTCCCCAAAGTAAGAAAAACACTATTGTTTGAAGATCTTTTAAATTGGCAATTTCACACATTTTGTTTGGTTTCTCTGAGTCCCGATCATAAGTTACATATAATGTGCTTAGAATCTCTAGTATAAAGTCTGTTTCGTTGATTACAAAAGTCTTTAATTCAAACAAGATTCAGTTGGTCAGTAACCAATTCTCTTCTGTGCATACTAAACAAGATGACTGAAAAGTAAGCAACTGGAGGGAGTTCCCAGGCGGTCCAGTGGTTAGGACTTGGTACCTTCACTGCTGGGACCTGGGTTCCATCCCTGGTCAGGAAACTAAGATCCCACAAACCATGCAGTGAGGTAAAAAAAAAAAAAAATCAACTAAAGTCTGGAGATGCACATAAGCCTGAGAACACCCACTGGCCACAGCTGCAGCCAGGAGATAGCCCTGCAGTGATGAGAGCCGGAGCCAGCCTGACCAAAGCCTCCACTCCTCCCCCGGGCCCACCTGGATCTGGGAGTTCTTCCATTTCCACAAGGGGACTAACCCATCCCGTAACTACACGCAATTGCTTCAAAGGCAACAAAATACTATTCTTCACAACAGGATTAAATAAAACTCTTAATCATAACCAATGCTCTTCCCTACTGTGTGACTGAACACCAGTATGAAAGCTCAAACCAAGTTTAAGTACCTGAATGGAGCAGCTTAATGAATTTCTCTTCCAAAAGGTTTTAATTCTCCCTAATTAAAGGTATGACTCAAACTGGTCTGATGTTTCGAGATCTCAACCCCCAGGTAACCTGCTGCGTCTGTCACACACTGAACAGGAACGCACATGACAAAAGATATTGGACGATGACGGTCTGGCACTTGTAGGCCTCGATGAAGTCGTGGTTCCCCACCGCATACGTGCACCTGCGGAGCGAGCAGAGGGGACTGAGGACGAGGGGCAGAGTGCTGAGGACCAGGCGCAAGCCACGTGGCTGCACGGCTCACGACTGTCACAAACACCCTGCTCTCTGCTGGCCCAGAGCCAAGCCGGAGCTCCTGCTAGCAGGAGACCACTGGGTATAAAAGGAAGTCTTTCAAGTCCCAGAAGGAGAAGCTGAGCTGCAGAGGTTCCGCTATTAACATGCCAGTGGCCCTTCCAGGGCATCAGTGGGCGAGGACGCTGCACCCAGATGCCTGCTGGTAGCGTCAGCATCAGTCAGTCCCTCCCCAAGCCCGAGCCTCATCGCACACGGCACAGATCTAGGAAGATGCTTCAGGAACACAGTGGCACTCCAGCTCTTCCAGAGATCTCAGCGGGGCCAGGTCTACTCCGCCACTGCAGTCCTCTGCCAGTGACACTGGCGGAGCGTGTCAGGAGGACAGTCCAGACCACACGCTTTAGGACCCATAGCTTGGCCTGAATCGAGGCTTCAGAGGTGAAAATAGCAGACAGGACATGTAAATAAAAAGCAAAATTTCATTTGCTCCTCTCTGACCCAGTTTCTTTTCCAGTTCAAGGCAAAGAGGTTAAAAACTGGGTGTTTCCATGAAAAATGCCAGTGGGCTCAACACCCTTCTGAGTAAAGACCACCACACAGCCAGTGGGAGGAGCATCAAATGCTTCCTCGAGATTACAGAGGGGACACAGACACACAATCACCATTTCATTAACTTTTAAAACACATGTGGTCCCTGAGATGGAAAAGTTTATTAAATTTTAAAGTATTTTAAACTTCACAAGATTTTCACAGGTTTTACCAAAGTGCAATTACAAACATACTTTTCTACTCTTTCAAAGGAAATTTTTCAACACTTCAAGATGGTGTAAAAACCCCTAATCAAGACAGCAACCTCCAGACTTGCTTGTTTTCCTACCTCAACCATGGCTTACCTTAAGTGAGCTGCAAACATTTCGTCATAAGGGGGCTCTAAGACTTGTTGACACTTCTCTTCTGGAGAGGCCATCTGCATGCCAATAAGAAAAATGGTAAAAAGAAAATTAACTGGGACAGAAAGAATGCAATGCAAAGGAAGAGATTCAGACAAACCTTTGTTTCAAGAGAATTTACACTTTACAGTTGACAGAAGCTCTTCACACTTTAGCAATTCAAAAAAAGGTTCATTACCTCCATACGTCTATCAACCCCGACCTGCACACAGGAGATGAACGTGGTCTGCTTTGTCTACCACAGGTCAGGAAGCACTCTAGGCGTGCTCACAGATGTCTTTGTGTGTTTATTAAGCAGCTACTACGTGCCTAACAAACGTAGGTAGCTCATGTGAGGTCAAAGGAGCTGGAGACGATGCCTGGGGGGAGGGGAGATGGGGGGGGTCCTCACCTCCTGCTGACAGACTGCCCACTCAGGAGTCCTGGGGGATGGCAGACACTCACCTGTCACCTGCCCTCTCCTCTCAGTGGCCAGATTTTAGATAATGTGTAACAGGACGGCTTACACAACAAGAAAGGGACTGGGGAACTCTACTCTGGCACCATAACTATACTTGCATATTCATGTCAATAAAAGTGAGAGGGGAGATGATAATACGGGAAAGGTCACCGCTCCACAGTCTCTGACGAAATGACTGGGTGGACGAAGGCCGCCAGTAAAGGGAGCCGCAGATGGAAGGTTAGGCGGAATTTTGTAACGAAGGGATCAGCCTCAGGTCACATATGGGGCTACCTGCCAGCAAGCAATCTGAGACCCACCAAGACTCTAGGCACTTTCTTTCAAAAGAAAAGTTTAGCTCCCGATAGAACACACTCCGATACGTAATGGCAATTGACAAGGAAGTGGGCACTACTTCAACAAGGTTTCAACAGTGCTTACACAGAAGCTTCTACCTGGATGCCATCTATCATCTGAGTCAAGGATGCTTACATTTGAGAGCAGGGCCTGGCAGACATTCGCATAAAGAGCCAGCCAGGAAATGCTGCAGGCTCTGCGGGCCCAGGTCTGCCTCTGTGGCCACAGGCACAGAACCTCACTGGGAGCAACACCACACAGCTGTGGGCTTCAGGGACAGGCAGGCCTGCCAGAGCCCGAGCCCGCCACCCGTCCGCTGATCGCCTCGCCACCCTGCTTGCTGCTCTGAGCCCGGGAGGGTCCTGCGGCAACTACGGCAGGGAAACAAGCACGGACCTCAGCACGGGTTCTGACGCATGGTGCTCAATTAATGTTCAAGAGATGAACTGAAATTAGGTAAACTGTGAAGGAACTTGGCGATTTTCAAACAAGAATGGCAACAGTATTCTTCCAGCTCACACCCTAAACTTAGGAAGGTGGTGACCCAGTGACCCTCTAAGACATCTGTGTGCGTGGCCCCCCACCTACCTGAAGCCGCGGGTTGGCAACATGAGGATGCTTGAAAGACACCAGCTCTGCAAGGGATGCCCCATCTCTGGTGTCAATTGCTTCATAGACCTGAAGCATTTGGAAAGAGAAGAGCTGTTAAGTGGAAAGTGAAACACTTAACCCCAACAGAACCTAGACAACACACTGCACCACTTTCCCCTGCTTTCAAAGGAGTGGAGGCATAATCAGTACCCTCCATAGTGAGCAAATAATCACTGCATTTCAAAATGAGATCTGGAGGCAAATAGGTGACTTACCATTAAAAACAATGAAAAAGCGGAATCAGCCAGTGGTTTATTATTTGCTTAGTAAAGAGGGTTAATTAGGCCAGTTTACTCAGTCATACTAATAAACATTTGAAAATCCACTTATTCAGCTAATGAAAAAGAAAAACAAGCTTGAAAATCACATATGTTCAAAATGGAAAGGCACTGCATGTGTTCTGCCAGCATCCAAGAAAATAACAAGAGACCTTACGAGTTTATGAAGGTGAAATCAAACTCCAGACCCAAAAGCCAATGGAAGTTATCAGAGACCACGGGAAATGCAAGACATACAACTTGTCCACAGGTGGCCCTGGCCAAGGAGGCTGCAAAGGTGTGAATTAAGTCCAAGCTGACAAGGTCACTGAAATTCAAGATACAATAAACTTTGGAAGCAAAGGAATAGGCAGGTTCTGACTCAGAAAGGAAATGGGTGAAACCTGGGCTAACAGAGATAATGAGCCTGGTGTCAGAGCATGGACTCTGGGGCCAGGATTCCTGGTCTGAATGTATCACCTACTTGCCCAGTGACCCCAGAGAGTCACTTAACCAGCTCTGTGAAATAGGGTTTGTAATGGTTCAACCTTCCAGGAAAACGGTGATGGTGGCAAGCTACCTCCCCCAAGTCTGCAGCTAGGTGTGGGCAAGAAAATTGTGAGTAATATAAAAATGTACAGAAAACACAATGTTTATATCCAAAAGATAAGATATAAAAAAGCATAAACTTCTAGAGATTCTATATCCACACTGGTTTTCAAATGTCTGTGTTCTTGTTCAACTTTATATAAAAACTGGTATTGAAAAATGTTAACTCTGCAAAGATAAGGCCAAGGTAGACATATCCTTAAAGAAAAAGTCTTAGGCCTCAACCAGAAGACTGCAAACGAATGTATTATATGTGCAAGCTCTAAGTTAAAACAAAGGCATGTATTTGTATTTTCATGATTCTTGTTTTAACCAGTTTTCTCAATGAACCATTAACCATTAAGCTAATAGTTCTAATCTTGTTATTACTATATTCAACTGCCAACTAGGTATCTTCGCCTGGTTGTCAACCGACACCTCCAACACAACAGGTCCAGAGTAATTTATTTTCCTTTAAAATCGGTTCTGCTTATCTGCTGTCAAGCCAGAAACCTGGGAATGATTCTTGATTCCTCCCGGTGCCCCAACCACACACCTTTACTCACTAAGTCCTGGCAGTCTTTTTAAAGTCCACGCCCACCCCCACCCCCCTTTCCTTAATCCTATTACCACGGTTCTAGCTCTGCCAGTTAGCATAGCTCAGAGGAAAGACTGTGTTAGTCGTTCAGCTGTGTCCTAGTCTTGGCGACCCCATGGACTGTAGCCTGCTAGACCCCTCTGTCCATGGGATTCTCCAAGCAAGAATACTGGAGTGGGCTGTCATTCCCTTCTCCAGGGGATCTTCCCGACCCAGGGATCGAACCTGGCTCTCCTGCATTGCAGGTGGATTCTTTACTGTGAGCCACCAGGGAAGCCCTCAGTGTTTATGCTGTGCTGTGTTTAGTCGCTCAGTCGTGTCTGAGTCTTTGGGACTCAGCAGCCCACCAGGCTCCTCTGTCCATGGGATTCTCCAGGTCAGAATACTGGAGTGGGTTGCCATGCCCTCCTCCAGGGGACCTTCCCCATTCAGGGAGCGAAACTGGGTCTCCTGTATCGCAGGCGGATTCTTTACCGTCTGAGCTATCAGAGACGCCCTGCTTCCAGCAAAGACTGTAGGCTTTGAATCTGTCGATGCCTGTGTTCGCGCTGTGCTCCTGCGTTTACAGGCTGTGTGGACACAGCCCTGAGAGACACAATTACCGAAGGACGCAAGCCCGCCGGGCGCGGCCCGCTCGCAGGCGGATCCCGGCTCTCTCCGTCCCCGGCTCCCACCGCGGACGTGGCCGGCCCCCAGGACACACACCGGGTCTGCCTGCCGTCCGGCGGCCGACGGCGCGGACGCAGCCGGCGAAAAGACCCCCCCCCCCCCCCGGCTCCCGCTGCAGCGCACGGGAAAAGGCAGCGGGCGGGCAGTCGGCAGGCGGTCCGCAGACCTGGAACCTTACCTGCTGCAGGTACTGGTTGATGGTGATGTGCGCCATGGTCGCGCCCGCCGCCGCCGCGCGTCACTTCCGGGCCGCGGTCCGGCCCCGACCCCGCGCCCCCGGCCCCGCCTTCCGCGCGCGTTGGTTCCGGAGGTGGTGTGTTCGCCGGAGCGCGAGCCCCGGGCCGGCATGGCGGCGCGCCCGGGCTGAGGACGGCCGGGGGCTACGCTGCGACTCCCTTCTCCCCTCGCGCGACCGCCTCATTGGCGCCGCGGGTGCCCGGGCCCGCCCCTCCCTTAGCGGCTGCGGGTTCCTTACGGGCCGCGGCGGACGCGGACTGCGGTGCCCGCGCGCTTGCGACCGGGTCGGCTCGGGTCGGGGTCCGGCGCACTCCGGGGCCTGAGGCGCGGGGTCAGGCCGGGCGAGCCGAGCGGGCCTAGCGGGCGAGCCGGTCGGCGGTTGGGCCGGGCCGGGCCGAGGGAGCGCGGCCGAGGGAGGCCGGGGCAGAGGGAGGCCGGGGCGGAGGCCGGGCCGGGGCGGGCGGCGGGCGGGTGGAGGCCGCGGCCATGGCTGACGAGACCCCCCGGAAGGGCAGCTTCTCGGCGCTCGTCGGACACACCAACGGCCTCACCAAGCCCGCGTCCCTCGCCGCGGCCGCCGTCACCGCCAAGCCCGGCGGCGCCGGCGGCTCCAAGAAGCTCGTGATCAAGAATTTCCGAGGTGGGTGCGGGGCCGGCGGGCGGGCCGGGGGCGCCCTCGGCCGCCGCCCCGCGCCCTGCGGCCGCCCGGTCGGGGCGGGGCGGGCCGGGCGCGGCGGGACCGGAGCTTTCGGAGGGCGGCGTGGTCACCCACTCTGCTCGCCCCGGCCCTGCGGCGTCGCGGCCCCCAAGCAGGCGCCTCTGGCCCGTCAGGAGCTCACGTCTCAGCGTCCTCCCAACTGGGGGCAGTTTCGGGCAACTTTCAGTGTTGAGTAGAGTGTAACTATTCCTCGTCCTCCCGTTTGGGAAATCCACTCGTTAAGTAAAAGAACACTAAGATTTTTATGTTTTCTACATGCACTTACACTGATCATCAGTATTAGATGTGTTTACTTAGCAAAACGAAGGTGGGATGGTTGCAGAGTCTGTAACCCGAGAGATTTATAAACATGATACCTTGTACTGCGAAAACAATGTCCTGCGTTCCTTAGCTGTGTGTCTTTGACGTAACTTTTTTGTAGAATGGTTTTTTAAAGACGTGTGATTGTTGGCATGGGTGCCGTTACCTACTGACTCTGTCTGCCCTTACAGACAGACCTAAATTGCCTGATAACTACACTCAGGACACCTGGCAGAAGCTTCATGAAGCAGTGAAAGCCATACAAAGTAGTACCTCCATCCGCTATAACCTGGAAGAGCTCTATCAGGTAAGCATCCACAGGTGGCTAAAAGCAGAGCTTTATAGAATGCTCACTGAGATGTAAAGGTTCCCTTTTCTTAGGGTGCTGGCGTCCTGTTTCCCACTTACCTGACTTTTTTTATAGTTGTCTAAATAGCGCGATAATCCAGTTCCGGTGAAACGTGACGCTGCCATGGATTTTGTGGTCCTCAGTGTTTTTCAGAGACAATAAGGAAGGAGGTAATAGAATCCGAGTATTTGCCTCCAACAGGAACAGTAGGAGTTCTGTGGCATCCTGTCCCGAGTCAAGGAATGTTTTTTGTTTTTGGTGGTTGTGGGATTTTTATTTCATTTTCAGGCTTAAGCTGTTGAAAGGCATTTAAATTTAACTCATTTATGGGAGAGAAATGTGTTTCTAAGAGCCATAGGACTTTTAACATTTTCCAAACATGCAGCAAATTATTATCCATTATGTTATATATGAAACTCTTATCTACATTTTAGGTAATAGAATAGCATTTCTATGAATATACAGCTCTGTTAAGAGACCTGAGTTTAAGCGTTTTCCTAGGAGGGTCTGGGGGAGAGTGGGCAGATGCATGTGTGTGGCTGAGTCCCTTTGCTGCGCACTGGAAACTACAACAGCATCATTAATTGGCTGCACCCCAGTGTGACATAGAGAGTTTAAAGTTTGATAATTGTAAATAAATAACTGAAACCTTTCATGTTTACATAAGCAATTACATTATAAAAATTATGGAAACTGCAAAAAGTACATTGAAGAAAATGAAAATCCCCTCAATTCCTACCACCCAAAGAAGACTGCTGGTGACAGTTTGATGAACATGTGTGCCTTCTTTGTCTTAAGGTTATGTCTGTTGTGTGTTTTAACCACTTTATTAAGGTATGGAATGTGTCCTTGAGTAGGTTTGAATGATGTGTCCACTTGTAGAACATTCTGTCACCACAGACGGTGCCCGGAGGCCACTGTGCAGCCAGCCATCCCGCCTCACTCCCAGTCCTTGGCAGTCCCTAATTTGTTGTCTGTCAGTGCATTCTGCCATTTCTAGAACCTCTTCTAAACAGAACCGTGCCTCTTGCAGCCTCTTGTACCTGGCTCCTTTCGCTTAGGGCAGTGCTTCTGCATTTGGTGTGGGCCTTTTGACAGTAACTGGTTTCTTTGTCACTGAGTACTCTGGGTACCACGGTTGGTTATCCTGAGTTAATGAATGTCTGGGTTTCATAAGACGTTTCATAGCTTTTTCAAAGTGGTGTCATGATTTTGTCTGTCAGTGGCGTGTGAGAGTTTAAGATGCTCCATGCCCATGCCAATGTCTAGTATTGTCAGTCTTTAATTTTTGCTGTTCTAGTTTGGTATGTAGTAGCATTTCACCTTGGTTTTAATTTGCAATTCTCTAATGATATGAAGTGTTTTTTCTTGTGCCCATTGCCATTCCTCATACCTGCTTTACTGAAGTGTGTGTTCACATCTGCTTATTTTTCATAGTCCTGTTTATTTTCTTACCATCAAGTGTTTGGGTTATTATGTATTCTAGGTACATATGGTATTCCAGATATTTGCCTTGCACTTATGTTCTCCCAGTTTATAACTTGCCTTTTGATTCTTTTAACTATGGCTTTCAGAGAGTAGAAGTTTTAAATTTTGATGAAGTCTTTGTATCAGTTTGGTCTTTTATGGATTGTGCTTGTAGTGTCTGAGAAGTCTGAGGAGGTATAGATTCTCTGTTTTATCTCCTTGTGGACATTTCAGGGTTTTCCATTCCACATCCAGGTGTATTACCCGTTGGCAGGTGAGTGGCTGTGTCTCTTGCGAGGTGTGAATCCAGGCTCGTTGTCCTCCCTGTGGATGTCCGCTCGGCCCAGTGCCACGTGGCGAGGCGTCTGAACTTCCCCCAGTGAGCTGCTTTGTCCCTTCATCAGAAACTGTTGTCCGCATGAGAGCCCTGAGTCTCAAAGTCTGGAGCGTTGACCCTCCAGCTTTATCCCTTTTAGGATAAACTTGTTTTGGCTGTTCTAGGGTCCATTGTATTTCCGTATGAATTTTAGAATTTGTTTGCCAGTTTCTCAGAAAAGTGCTCCAGGATTTTAGGTGGGACTCTGTGGAACGCTAGGGGAGCGTGGGGAGAGCTGTGCCTCAACAGCACCGGCCCAGCCCGTCACCAGGGGCCGCTCGCTTTGCTCCGTCTCAGCAGTGTCTGTAGTTCCACTGCACGGGCCTTGTGAGGTTCATCCCTAAAGCGGTTCATGTTTTTATAGTGTCAGGAAAGGTGGTATAAATTTTAATTTCTTGATAGTACATATAAATACAAAAGATTTTATACATTGATCTTCTGTACTATGTCTTGCTGATTGCACTTTTTTTGGTAGCTTTTTTTGTAGATGCCGTTGGATTTTCTATACAGACAGTCACATTGCCTGTGAATAGAAATAACTTCACTTCTCCCTTTCTAATCTGCATTCCTTTTATTCCCTCTTCTTGCCTGATTACACTGTTTAGAGCCTCTGATGGTTAATAGAAATGTAAAGAGCAGGTACACTTGTTTTGTTCCCAGTCTTAGGAAAGAAAGCTTTTAGTCTTTCATCATTTAACATCATGCGATGCTAGCTGTGGGTTTTTCCAGAATACGCATTATCAATTTAAGGAAGTTCCTCTCTGTTCCTATTTTGCTGAGCATTTTTATCAGAAATACATGTTGGAATTTGATAAATTCTTCTGTGACTGTCGAGGTGGTTGTCTGATTTTTTTTTTCTTTTCGTTTGCTAATTACATTGATTGATTTTTCAAATCTTAGACTGGTCTTTCATTTTGGGATAAATCCTGCTTGGTCATGAGTATTTTTTTTTTTAATGTGCTGTTAGATTCAGTCTGCCAGTCATTTGTTAGTTTTTGTACCTGTGACCACAGAGGATGTTGATGTGTTATTTTCATGTAATGTCTGTGTCTGGTTTTGGTGCCACAGTAATGGTGGCCTCAAAAAATGAATTGGAAATATTCTCTTCTTTTCATTTTCTGGAAGACTTTGTATAGAGTTGGTTATTTCTCTCTAAAGGTTTGAGAGAATTCCCCAGGGAAGCCATCTTGGCTTTCTTGGAAGGATTTTCAACTACAGATTTCCTTGGTGGATATGAAGCTATTCAGTTTATCCGCTTCTTTAAGTTCATTCTTCTTCTGTGGTGTCTAATCTGCCATTAATGTCATCCGGTGTAATTTTCAGCCCTGCATTGTTTTCCTCTCTAGGTGTTCAGTTTGAATCTTTTTTGTATGTTCTCTGTCTCTAATTAGCTTTTTTGACGTGTGGACATGGTCATAGCTCTTCTGCGTCCTGATCTGCCACGTCTCCATTCCGGGCTGCATGGCGTGGTTGATTTTTCTCTCCACTGGCGTTGTTTTCCTCCCGTTTTGCCTGTGTGGTAGCTCTGACTGGATGCCAGACATTGTGGGTTTTGACTTGTGTGCTAGATGCTTCTATGTTTCTGTGAGTATTCTTGAGTTTTGTTCCTAACTTGGTTAAATTATTTGGAGTCAGTTTGACCTTTTAGACTGTTGACTTCAAGGTGTGCCAGGCAGTACGAGGGCAGGGCTTTGTCCAGGACTGACTGCCCCGCTGCCAACGCAGTCCTCAGCTCCGGGCGCCTGCTCTGCAGCCTGGGCGCTGGACGCCCGAGGGGTCAGTGCTTGTCTGTCTTCTGTCTGCCGAGGTCACTGCCTCTCAGAACCCAGTATGCGGTGCTTTGGAAACTGTGGTTTTGTATATTATTTCAGTAGCAGAGTGAGGCTTGTTCCTTTGCTGTGTCTGGGCCAGAAGCAAGTGTCCCACCACATGCCCAAACTCAGGGGCTTTTAATTTAGTAAAATATTACGTCTTTCAGCTAGGGTCATGATTGCTCTTTTCCTGGAGATTTGACTGGTATTAATTGCTCAGCATTTTCTTAGCTGTACTTTTACCCAGGATGTGTTTCATCGTGGTTACCTTGGATATTATCACAAATGGTATTTCCAGGTGTTATGGTGTTGTGTCTTGGGACCTTGAGGCTCAGGGTGCTTCCACCCACAGTGGCCCCACTCCTCCTGGGGGGGTGTCTCTGGAGGGCCTGTCGGGGCCAGTGGCTGGCCTTTGGAGGCAGGTGCATGGGCAGGCGCCTGGCTGCTCAGAACTTCAGAGTGGTGTGTGTCTGCAGAGTGAGCTGCTCAGGTCCCGTGGCGCAGGTTGGGGGGGAGAGTAGGTGACGTGATGGGGAGGTTATCCTGGCCTCCAGCGGCATGAACAGTGCTTGCCCTGGGGCCTCAGCATAGAGCCCCAGCTTTTCCTGTGGGGGGTGGGACGCACTTTGCCAGAGTCTTTTGTTCAAGTAACAGTCCTCACCAGAGCTTACAAGGTTGGTTCTGTTTGAGGAGGTTTTCAGGATGTTGGAGGGAGGACCTCTTGTTTTGATGTTGGCCAGCTTCCCCAAAGTGGGTCTAGCATCTCCCTTGCAGGCAGCCAGGCCTGTGGAGGCTGAGGGCAACTTCAGCCCGTCTGCCGTTTCTCGCTTCATTTTCGTTTGCTGGAAAGGGATATTCTGATCATGGTGATGAACCAGTAGATCCACATACCACTCAGTCATTTTCCTCCCATAATGCGAGGAGGAGGAGATTTTGAATACATAGATCTTTTCTGAATTAAGGTGTGAAATCCTAGCTCACTGAAGAAAGTGTGTCTGGGTGTCTATGTCTTAGTCCTACCCATCAGCTCAGTGAAACCACAGGAACCTGAACATTTTCAAGAAGTGTTTCAGGGGAAGGTTGTGTGTTGATTTCAGACTAGATTTTTGTTTTGCTTTTGACTTTTTTAAAAATTGAAGTTTTGTTGACTTACAGTTCTATGCCAGTCTCTGCAGTACAGTGCAGTGAGTCAGTTTTACCTACGTTCTTATATTTTACGTATATATTCTTATATATACGCATTTGACATATATGTTCTTTTTTTTTTTCATGTTTTTTCACTTGCGGTCTATCCCAGGAGCTTGGCTGTGGCTCCCTGTGCTCCACGGCGGCCCTTGTTGCTCGCCCGTCCTGAGTATAAGAGTTTGCATCTGCCGCCCGCCGGTTCCCGGGGCATCGGTCTTTGTCCCCCTGCCCCTCTGTAGCCTCAAGTCTGATCTGTGTGGGTCTCAGACTGGTTCTGATGCTCAGACTCAGACCTGTTGCAGGGAACTCGCGCTTGAGAAAGGCCTTGCTGCTGGTGTTGAGTCCTGGGGTAAATGTCTCCATGACCCCTGTACCTGGTGAGCTTGGGGAAGGAGCATGGGGTGGATTCGGGTGCTAATGCATCCACAAGGTGGATTCGGAAGAGCAAGGGAGCCCAGGAAGTGGGAGACAGGTGGACGCTTTATTTGATGGCCTGTTGGAGAGTGTAAATTACAGTGAATTCAGTGCATAAGTTATTCAGAAACATAATGTTCAAGTTCAGCTGTCTTAGGCTTAACAGGAAGGATTCTGTAATTCAGCAGCTTGGTCCCTCCTGGAAGTCAGCCCTCTGTATGAGGGAATCATGTCCAGACTTGGGACTGGGGCTGAGAGGGTGGGCGTCCTGTCCCCTCGGACTTCGCCACATGCTCAGGCCCAAGTCCTTGTTTCATTTTTGCACTGCTCTTTACTGGTTTCTCATGGGCGGGAACCTGGGGAGACAGCATCCAGGTGGGGGCTCCTCCCGTGCGGTGGGCTTGTGGTGTTTAGACACGCCTGGCACCCAGTTGGGTGCCGGGGGCTGGGGCTGCTGCTGAGGCCAAGGGCAGGGCCCAGGCCCGTCTGTCTGTGGAATGGTCAGGGGTGTGGTTTCCCCTGGGCTCAGAGGGCGGTGTTTGTTTTTCACTTTTCCCCTCGAGGCTGTTTTGCTCCTAGACGTGGGAGGCGCTCTCTCAGGGTCAGTGTTTTGCTGGGGCACTGTCTGTCCTGACACAGATAAGCCTGTGCAAAGCGGGTGTGGGGCTGTGGAGAGGGAGGCGGGGCTGGGAGGCTGCTGGCCGAGGAAACACCAAACCACGGGCCTGCTGCCCGTGGGGCCCAGGTCCTGCTCACCCCCTCCGGGCGCTGCGCCCCCTAGACCCCTGCGCTGCCCCCATGACTCCATGGGGGCTTCATGCACCCTGAGAGGGGCTTCTGAATCCCCAAGTGTGCCTAAACCTCCTGCACTAGTTCTGGGGAGAAGGGCCTGTGGTGCCCCTGCCCCGCCGCCCCCCTGCAGGGGGAGAGCAGGTGACAGGGCGGCTGTAACACGAAGACGCCAGCAGTGACTCAGCAAAGGCCTGCCTGGTGCCCCGGGGCTTGGCTTGTGGCTTTAAGTGCGCTCCAGATTCCGAGTTAAAAACAGTCTCAGTGGACTTCATGTAAATAGTAAGCACGTGCCATGCAGGGCACATACGAGGGGGAGCTGGTTACAGAATTCACCAAAAAGCTCATAGCCAGGAAAAGGTTGTCTTGGGGACACTGACACCTACTTCAGGAATTGCAGCGTTCAGAAAATGCCTCTGATAAAGATGTTCTTTCATGGCTGATTCATGTCACTGTATGACAAAAACCACTACAATATTGTAAAGTAATTAGCCTCCAACTAATAAAAATAAATGGAAAAAAAAAAAAAGATGTTCTTCTTTGAAGGACTTGCGCCACTGAGCTTATCTTGATTTTTACCAAAAAAAATGTTTTCTTCATGTATTATAGTAAAAACTTACTTTGTAATAATTATATTTGTAATGACTACCTACTGGAACAAAAGTCTTTGTTAGGACATTATCCCCCTTTTTATTTTAAGTCGGAAAAGGACAGTTGGTCTTGGGCTGAATTATAAAACCATTAAGTTTGAGAAAGGAGGTAAAGGATATAGAAAGAAAATGTGGATGGGAACGCCTTGTTCTCATTAACACAGAATGTAAGGGAAAGGTATTCTTGTTTTCTTTATTATTATCATTATTCATGTTCTCTTTTGAACTTTATAAGTATGCATGTGTTTTATATATTATGTATTTCTTTACATAATTATTTTCTTTATAGCTATAAAAATGTAAGTTGCCCTTACATTTGAGTAAAGATTCTAAAATGTGTCCGTTCTGTATATCTCGCATACTTTTTTAAATAGCTCAGAAATAGGCAGTAGAAACACTGCATTTCTCTTCATAGTATTTCATGTTTGGATTGGATCAGGTGCTGATCCTTGTACATGAGATTTGAAAGAAAATTTTATTAGAACTGGTAAGAATATACAAGTATTCTTTGATGTGGATTGATAATATTTTTTGAAAATTGTTTCCACCCCAAACACTTGTTTCTTCATTAATTTAAGACAAGTTTAAGTGTCACCCCGCCCTCGGGACCTTGGTCCTTGAGCTTTTGGACTGTCACCTACTTGGGAGCCTGAAGGGGCCTGGATCTCCTGTCCCCTCCCCTGTCATGGGGTGGTCTCAGGGTCTGGAGCAGGTGTTTCCGGGCCTGGTTTCACATTGTGATCCTCAGGGTCAGCTCACTCCTCCCTGCAGCCCTTCCGCAGACGGCCCCGTGGGCTCAGGCCCAGTGTGGTCTTCACGTGAGTGGAGTGCGGCCAGGGTTAGAGGCTGCCAAGCAGGGAGCCTGGGGTCTGGAGAGGCCCGGCCTGGGGCACGCCCCTTCGGGGCCCCCGTCCTCAGGCGGGCATCGGGGCGCAGTCCTGTCCGTGTTCTGGGTCCCTGCTGTTGTGGGCCACTCTTTGCTAGTCTCTGGTGTTCCAACAGTGATGGCCCTGAATCACTGTGATGGTGTATTGTAGACTGTGTAAGTGGTGAAGGAGCGCCTTTCTGTTACGATTATAGCAATTTATACAAATACACTTTTTTAAAGAACAAGTTTCTCATTCACAGTGAATGACTCGTTATTCCTTTTGTCTTCAGGCTGTTGAAAACCTTTGTTCCCACAAAGTGTCCCCGACGCTCTACCAGCAACTGCGCCAGGCCTGCGAGGGCCACGTCCAAGCACAGATCCTCCAGTTCAGAGAATATCCTTGTTTGATTTGGGCGATTCCTATTCATTACCTAAATATTTTGAAACTGAACATTAATAGAATAAAGAATGAATGAATATCCTTAATATCAAAACAAAAGCTTTTAAAGTTTTATTTATGGAAACAAAACCTTGCATTTATATCATACAACCCTACAAAACAGATTTTTTTGAAGTGGAATTTTTTACCATTTAAACTTCTTTGCTGATCTGATTAAAGTGAGAGTGTCCATTTTTAAGTCTGGTTTGAAGTATTTAGGAAACGTTCTGTCTTAAAGTTTGAGTTCTGCTATTTTTTATTCTTGTTCTTAAAACTCTTGTTAGTTTTCTGTGATTTACAACCAGTTTCCACAAACTTGGCAACATGAACCAGCCCTTGCCTGTCCACTCACAGTCTGCAGGTTGGGGGTGGCTCAGTGGTTTTCAGCTTAGGCCTCGCTGGCTGAAACCATCCTGGACCTTTGCTGTTGTCAGCAGACCCACTTCCTCCCTCTGGGACAGTGTCTGCAGAGCCTGGGGCAGGACCCTGGCAGGGGAGGGAAGGGAACAAGGCGGGCTCAAAGGGATGGGGCAGGTGAGTGCAGGCAGGTGCATCACAGGCAGGGGTGTGTGGGGACTGAGAAACCACGTTTGTGGCTTCTGAGCTTCCGGTCTTTCAGTACTCTGAGTACTAAATAGCATGCAGTAGTCTGTGATGAAGAGAGCTGAAATTAAGGGGTAAAAATTGCAATAAATCTGCCGATGTTTCTGAAGCTTTCCTTAGCAGGTCTGCACAGACTCACTAGACAGTGTGTTGTTTCTCAAGAAGATTAACACGTGCTGGCAGGATCACTGCAGACAGATGGTAAGCTTGCTGACGGCCTCTGCGATGCGGGTGTCGCGGGTGCCTCCTCCCTCTGCCGGCTCGGTGCACTGGTCCCCTCGGGCCTCCTCTCCAGCCTCTGGCTCTGCCGGGCGGGGGTTTGGGCAGCTGAGGGTGACGCCCGCTGCTCATCCAGCCGGGTGGCTTTCTCACAGTGCGTGGCCTCGCCCCTTCTCACCCCCGGGGAAGGCATGCGGGGCTGGGGGCCTGTCCTGTTCAGGGCCTTCAGACCACACACACAGGTGACCCCGGGCCTGTGACTCCTGGTGAGCCTCTGAAGTTTCCCTTGGCCTCAGTTTGTGCCTGAGAATCAAGCCCGAATCCCAGGGCTTCCCGGCACCTATAGACAGCCAGGCTTAGACTTAGTGGATATAGATTCTGATTTGACTTTATGTATGTGAGTTTTCAGGGTGACTTAGCTGACAGTTAGGAGAGGGAGAGCAGAGGTAGTATCAGTAGCTCTCCCGGGTGGGCTGAACGCTTCTGTTTCCTCACGGAGGTGAGTAGGCGGCAACAAGAGAGTCTCTTCCGGGCCAAGCTCCGCTTGAGTCGTAAAAACAGGCGAACATCCGTCAGGAAGGTTCTGTTTACTTCTGTGAGCAAAGATTCTCGACAGTCTGGGGAGCTCCCTGAGAAGAGAGTCCTGGGCCCTCCACACCCCCTGAACCTGCAGAGCTGCATGCCCACGTGCCAGGAAGGAATGCTTGAGCCCAGGCTCAGGAGACTGAGCACGTCAGTGAGGAAGGGACTGAGGTCACACGTGTCTCAGAGGCCGAGTGCTGTGAAATCCGTCCAGTCAGATTTTCTGGATTAAAGAGGAAAAGCCAGCACCAAGGGGAACAATTAAATTCAGGGACGTCAGCCGTGAGGGTCTTGGTGAGGCAGCCGTGTGTTAGATCTGAGACAGCGGTATGACTGCTCAGAGGCCTGGGGTGGACTGACCCAGCCCTCTGCCCCCAGATCATGATCCGGAGCATCTTCCTGTTCCTGGACCGCACGTACGTGCTCCAGAACTCCACGCTGCCCTCCATCTGGTGAGTGTCTGCACTGCGGCTGCCACGTGTGCCTGACCGTCTGTCCTCCGCGCCCACCGGGCCCCCTGGTGAACCTCAGCCCAGGGCGTCGGTCCCTGGGGGGTGGCCGCCGAGCTGGCAGCTGGCAGTCCTGCGTGTTCTCCTGCAGGTGATGGAATCTTGGGACAGGCCAGTAGGCACAGAGTCTCCACCATTCACTCTGCTCTGGGGGGGCCGGGCACGCGGTCCATGCCACACTGCCTCCCAGTGCTCTGCTGATCAGCTGAGCGCGGGGGCCCGGCTTCTACCTGCTCCTCACACAGGCCTTTGGGGGGCCCCGTGAGCCGGGACCTTGTGCCCCCATCACCCAGGTCCCCGCTCAGTGCCTCCTGGCCTCGGGCCCGAGTAGCTCAGCCTGTGTAGGAGCCTGTCCTGGCTTGCCCACGGCCCTCCTGGCCTCCGTCCACACGGATGGTCAGTCCTGATTTGCGTGGTGTGCCCGGGACACGAGGCTTGTGGGCGTTGGAGGGCGGAGGGGGTGAGGGCACATCCTGCTGGCTGAGTGGGAGCTGCTGGAGCCTGAGCCAAGAGCTCAGCTTCCAGAAGAGGATGCCTGTGGCCGTGGCCAGACTTCCTCCTGAATCTTTGGGCAATGAGCTGAGGACGGGTGACTGGCTCTGATTTGCATCCTCACTCTGTGGTCCTGTGGCATGGACAGATGGAGCAGCTGGAGCATGGGCTCAGGGAACATGGAGGACAGGAGATCCCAGGGCCCCGGGCAGGGCAGGGGGACCACTGACTCACGCAGGAAACAGGCCACCTGGATGACAAAAGAAGAGCAAGGCGTGCCAGACTGTCAAAAAGGAAATTTTTTTTAAAAAGTTGACACATGCACTAGTGAGTTAGCAAGTGAGTGTGTCTGGAGCGTCGCCCAAGATTTGTAAAGAGTGAACCTGACACATCTAGTTTTTTCTGTGTGTGCAGGGACATGGGGTTAGAGCTGTTTAGAAACCACATCATCAGTGATAAAATGGTCCAGACGAAAACCATCGACGGCATCCTACTGCTGGTGGAACGGGAGCGGAGCGGCGAGGCGGTGGACCGGAGCCTGCTGCGGAGCCTTCTGGGCATGCTGTCCGACCTCCAGGTGGGCCCGGCTGCCAACCCCCCGCAAACCGGGTCAGACCTCAGTGGAGACCCATGTCGTTAAAGCGTTGGCGAACATGCGGGAGTGTTTCCCCTCTAGGCGGGCAGCCACTCAGGCTAGCCCTGCGCCCAGGCCGAGGGGGGGGCCGCCCTCGAGCCAGGGGCGTGGCAGCGCAGCCAGCCGCCCTCGCCGAGGGCTCAGCCTTCAGGGCGAGAGGCTTTCTCGCTGTAATTGGCCAGTAACTCCACTCGTTTTTTAGGTATATAAAGACTCATTTGAACTGAAATTTTTGGAAGAAACAAATTGTTTATATGCTGCAGAAGGCCAAAGGTTAATGCAAGAAAGAGAGGTGAGTCACCGAGACGTTTTTAAAGTGCCTGACTTGGTTTTCATAGATGTGTATCCAAGTGTGATTTCTAAGCGTCTGTCTTTTCACACATGCAAACATTCTGCTGAAAATCTTCTGAAAGCTACAATCTAGTTTCAATTCCCAGTAGTGAGATTCTTTCTTAGTATTTTGAGGGTTTTTTTCCCCCTATTTTAGAAACTTTTCCATTGTCATCCCCCCATTAAAAAAGCCAGAAAAGCAGCTTCTGATTTACATAAAGGAGCTCAAGCTGAAACAAGATGATAAAAGATAATTTTGTGTGTGTGTGTTGCGGGGAGGGGTGCCTGTGCTGGGCAGTTTGCGGGATCTTAGTTTCCAGACCAGGGATTGAACTGTGCCCCCTGCAGTGGAAGCGTGGCATCCTGACCACTGGACCGCCAGGGGATTCTCTAAAGATAATGCTTAGCTATGAAAGATAAACCCAATACGTTAAAAATTTTCATCTGTGTGAGACACTGAATAAAATGACCGTAAAAGCTGTGGGGAATGCCAGGTGGCGGTAATAGAACGCTGACGCATCGCTAGCTGGTTTCTCGGGCGTTAGAGCCCAGCCCAGAGGCAGGCCCCGGGGCCAGCTCAGGCGGGGGCAGTTGACGTCGCAGGGCGGCCTGGCCACTGCCTCAGGCCAGGGCCTCAGGGACCCTATCACTGGGCCCCTGCCGTGTAGGCAGGTGGCAGCATGGACACCCTTCGCCCCCAGAAACTCGGGGTGTGATTTGAGAGCCCCTGCGGCCACTCTGGGCCTCTGGAGAAAGCGTGTGGTTGGTGTTCGCTGGCTGCACCGTGCGTGGACCCAGGTGCCGTGACCTGTCCCAGGCCTTGCGTCCCTTCCCCACTCCCTTTAGTCGGTGTTCCCGTTGGGCTTGCGTGCAATTCTGCTTTTTCTTTTACTAAAGCAATGTTTGAGCTTCTTGGGTCACATGAGGAATGTGTTTTGTTGCTGATGTGTTTAAATGTTCTTTCTGGAAGGTGCCAGAGTATCTTGACCATGTGAGTAAGCGCTTGGAGGAGGAGGCGGACCGCGTGATTACATACCTAGATCACAGCACACAGTGAGTACAGCTCTGGGCTCTGTCTAGGGGCCTCCTGGGGACAGTGTCCCCTCCACTCCCCGACACACGGGACGTCTCACAGACTCACTCGCTGCTCGCTGACCCTGGACGTATTTTTGCTCCTCGAGGAGTTTGCTTATTACTTGTGATTATTCAGTAGTCGTAAGTCACACTGACTCAGTGGCCTGTCTTGAGTTCCTGTCCAAAGGAGTGATTCAGGCAGAGATACTTGGTGTCTTTTTACCATTTTTAATTTATGTTATGAATCTGTAATTTATAAAAGTGTTAATGGCGTATCACTGAATGCAGGCAGTTTTGGTTGTAAACTTTGGTTGGACATCTGATGTACTGATAGAGCTGTGATTATTTTGCTACTCAGTCCCATTATTTTCTCTTTTCATCTAATTTTTTTCTCTAAATCAATGAGTATCTAAGGAGAAGTTCAAGGGGAACTTTTTTGAGTATCTGTGTCAGGCACGTAATGTTTATTCAAGCAAGGGAGGTCAGAGCAGAGATGTGGGAGATGAAAAAGAGAGATGTTTTTAAGGGGGAAAGTGCTAAACTGTGTGGGTTGTGGTGGCTCGTGGGGGGGCGGAGGCAATGAAAGGAAGGGGCAGTGTGTCAGCTCGAGAGAAAGGGGGCCGGAGCAGAAGCGGGCTGTCCCCAGACGCGGAGCTGGAGGTGCCGTGGGGACCGCGGGGGTTGGGGGTGCAGGGAGACAGAAGGCTGCGCCTGGTGGGACGCCCCGGCCTGCAGCCCCTGGTACTAGGCCCCGCAGCTGCGCCTTCACACCCTCCTGCGGGCTCACACGCCCGTGTGCAGGTGCTGCAGAAGAGCCCCCCCCCCCCGTCTCACTGAGAAATGACCGCCAGCTAAGCAGAGGACTTGTAGAGAAGGGGGGTTCCCTGGGGAAGGGTTTTGAGGAGCACTGAGGTGGCTTCTGCAGTATCAGATGACTCAAAGGTCACAGAGTAAAAGGTGATTTTCAGAGACAGCAGAGGCAGAAGGCTGATAAATGAGCCCCGGGCCGCATGCCCCCTCCCCAGGGCATGGGCACAGCTCAGATGCTGAGCCCTTGGTGCCTGGAGCCCACATGGCTGCCAGCCTCTGTCTGTCGGGGGCTGCCATGAGGGTCACGTGAGGTGGTGCAGGGAGAAGTCCCGCGGGGCCCAAGGTTAGTAAGTCCTGGGAGCGCAGCAGGGCTCTGGTCTCTGAGAGCAGTGCTCAGTGAGCAGAGGCCTGGACCCCGAAGGGTGCCGTGTCCCCTTGTGCAGGGGACAACGCCACGTGGCCGTCTCCAGGCTGTCAGGTTCTCTGTTGCCTGTGACATTCCCAGCCTCTGTGAGGAGTCGGGTTTCGATGTGTGACCCTGGGAGGACGCAGGCTGGACTGAGGGCAGAGGGGCAGCTGGAGGCGGCGGGGCTCTGTGGGACCCAGCGGGGCAGGGCGGAGGGCAGGGCCCAGGAGCCCCAGGGGCTGCAGTGCAGCTGGCTGGGGCATAGGGCTGCCGGCAGCCCCTCTGTGCGTGGGCGCCCCGCCTGCTGCTGCCCTCCTCCCTGGACGCAGGGGCCCGAGGCAGTCGGCACTGGCGCGGTCCTGTCACTCCTGGTTGACAGGCTCCTTGTGCTCCCTGCTCCCCCCAACCAGGAAACCGCTGATCGCCTGTGTGGAGAAGCAGCTCTTAGGAGAACATTTAACAGCAATTCTGCAGAAAGGTAGGTTTCCCACCTCTCGTGTGTGCACTGACCGCTTGTCCTGCATTCAGGGAGAGAGTTGGTGCAGTGCTGTGACAACGTGGGGCCGTTTGCTGTAACACAGTCAGTATGAGTCAGCGAAGGTGGTGGCCCTCAGCCCGTGGGGGCCTTGGTTACCAGCTGTGTTGAGGGATGGGCAGGGAGCACAGACGGTTCAGGCTAAAGTCCCCGGAGTCCTGTCGGGGCTGAAAGACCCCAGCCGCTGGCGGGCAGACAGCCTTGCTGTGCTCAGGCATGGGCTGACCATGAGCGTGGACACGTGGCGGACAGCTGTGGGGCCCGTGTCCACCTGCCACCAGAGCTAACGCTGCCATGTGGTCTCAGGGCTGGACCAGCTGCTGGACGAGAACCGGGTGCCGGACCTCACGCAGATGTATCAGCTGTTCAGCCGCGTGCGGGGCGGCCAGCAGGCGCTGCTGCAGCACTGGAGCGACCACATCAAGGTGTGTGCGCCCAGGGGCGGGGCGGGGGCGTGGCCACCCGGCCAGCAGGCGCTGCTGCAGCACTGGAGCAACCACATCAAGGTGTGTGCGCCCGGGCCAGAGCTGCCTCCGCTCCTCCAAGGTCAGGGGGCCTGGCTGGACCTGCCCATCGCCTTCTGGGCCCCTCGCACACATGGTCTTGGGGATAAAGAGCATCCAGGTGTAAACGTTCTTAAAGTTGCTGTTTGGCCATTTGTTGTCAGCATAAGTACTAGCGGAGTTCTATAGTCGTGGTTTTCAAAAAGGTTGTTTTTGTGAATCTGCTGTTGAAACATGATTTCATGCTTGGCTCAGCAGAATCTGTTAAACATTTTGGTATGTCTGGGTAGGGTCATGCAGAAATCCAGGATTTATGCATGTTTTGGTTATAAAAAGGCAACAGGAGTGATCTGTGTGGTGCTGGCCGGCTCATCTTGGTGCTGGGCTCAGGTTATGCACAGTTGGTGAGTTGTAGGTGGACTTGTGACCCATCTGGAGGAGACGTCGGGTGAACTGTGTCAGGGCCAGGGTCCTGGCTGCGCTGCTGCTCGGTTGGGTCCCGTGTGTCAGCATTGGGGAACCAAGCTGGGTGCACGAGGCACACGCTTGCTCTTCTTGCTGCCTGCGGCTCTGTAACCATCAGGAAGGAGATTCAACTCAATAAGAAAGATGGAGGGAACAGTCGGGACTGTGGAAAGCTTGTACACGCACTCATACCCCCAAGAGCTTGTGCCACTGTATTGAGCTGAGAGGCATAAGCAACTCAGGCCTGGTCAGCACTGGGCTTTCTGCCGGGAAAGGCAGAGGAGGTCGAGGGTTCTGCTGCCCAGGGGTCCCCAAAGAACGGGCACAGGTCCTGACACAGGAGGGCACCTTTGCAGCATCCAGTCTGGGCAGGAGACATTGAATCGTGAACACAGCCCCGGTATCTGCTGAGGATGAGCCGTGACACTGCCCCCCACCCCTGCAGGTCGTTCCAAGCCCCCCTCCAGGAGCCTCTGCGGCTTCACCTGAGCCTTTGCACCATGGTCTGCCCCACGCGCACCTATGACGTGGAGCTCCTCGTGTGTCCTGTGAAAGCCAGCAGTTTGTGTCGTCAAATAGCCAACTATACTGTCATACAGACTTCTAGTAATGTTTACATAGCATTTCTTAAATAAAAATGCAGGCTAAAAACCAGAGTCTAAACCACAGTTAGAAGTGAAAGAGAAAGAACTGTAGTTAGGAAGTCCAAACAGGTGTAAAAGATTAATAGGATTAATTTACGTGTGAGGGATTTATAAGAAAAAGTTCTTCCAGAAGCAGAATTGTAACCTTAAAGCTTAGTTGCATACCCACTTAATTTTTAGAATGTGGACTAAATTTATGAAACTTCTGAAATGATCTAGCATTTAATATTGGAAGTGATCAATTTGTTTAACCGTCATGATTGTTTGATGGCAGGAGAAAAACTGCTGTGTCAGGGCCCTGCTGCTAACTTGGTGTGTTTCTGCAGACTTTCGGGACAACGATTGTCATCAATCCTGAAAAGGACAAAGACATGGTGCAGGACCTGCTCGACTTCAAGGACCGGGTGGACCACGTGATAGACGTGTGCTTCCAGCGGAACGAGAGGTTCATCAACCTGATGAAAGAGTCCTTTGAGACGTTCATCAACAAGAGGCCCAACAAGCCTGCAGAGCTGATTGGTAGGAGACACGTGGGAGATAGAGCACCACTCAAGCAGAGGTTTTCCCAGAAGCTCAGGCGCCTCGCGGGGAAGACGGGACTGGGGCTCAGAAGGACAGCCTTTCCAACAGCCAGGCACTAGCGTGTGCTCACGTGTGTATTAACTCTGTATGTGAGCACGTGCTGTCTCCACCAGGGGGCATGTGGTGGTGGTTCTGTGATGAGATGGAGCCTGGCGTCACGAGAGAAGGGAGAGACAGAAGATGTGTTCTGGTTTGCACGGCCCCCAGCTCCAGAGCTCTTCCTGCTCAGAAACTGGCCTGGGTGTGTCCTGTAGGGACGAACGTCAGGAGGGCGACTGTTGACCTCTGGACAGTGCGGGACAGGAGATGTCTGTTCAGCCCCAACCCTGTATCCTCCAGTCAGTATTAAATGTGGTGGGATTGATTGGCATCTCTTTTACATGATCCCTTTGTATACTTATTTCATGATAACATCAAAATATATTCAGGATTCATGGAGTCTCATCAGTGAGGCAGTTTTTTTTGGAATTGTTCAGAGGCAGCGGGCAGGACTGAGTTCTGGTGTGGGCTGTTGAAGGTGCCTAGTGGGAAAGTGGAGGTGACAATACAAGTGTGTATGTTTGCGATGTTCAGAATAAAGAACGATAAGGGGAAGAGCTAAGAAGAGCAACAGGAGGAGACATTCAAATGCACCTGTTTGATTTGGCCTTTGTGCCACCTTATAGACTGTGGTTTCTCTAGAGACACATTCAGACCCTCGGGAACTTGGATTCTCCCTTCGGGCAGGTCGAGGCAGCCTGTGCGTCAAAAGCAGGAGGGCAGGCAGAGCCACTCTGTCCCTACGGGGTCAGCCCTGAGAGGAGTGCTTCCGTGTAAGGAAGCCTTGGCCGTGTGTCTCGGCACATCCTGCTGGTGGGCTGCTGCAATTTTTGTGCCAGGAAGCCCCAGTGTGGGACCATGGAGTGTGTTCTCGGGTGCCTTGAAAGCACAGATCTTAGAACATCAGGTGTTTGCCGTTTTATTACATCATAATGTCATTTTGGGAAAGTTCCGAGTGTTCAGTTTTTTCTTACAGAAATTAAAGATCTTCCTTCTTGTATTTAGGATATGTATTGTATAGTGAACGCTTATTTTTGAAATAACCTCATCTCCTACAGCAAAGCACGTAGACTCGAAGCTGAGAGCAGGGAACAAGGAGGCGACGGACGAGGAGCTGGAGAGGATGCTGGACAAGGTCATGATCCTCTTCCGGTTCATCCACGGTGAGCGGGGCTCCGGGCACACGGCTGCAGCTCCCACCGGCCGTCTCTCCCCAGCCCCGTCGACAGAGGACGGGTGGTGGCTGCTGTGGACGGAGCAAGGGGGTTTGTAGGGATTCAACGGGAAGAGCTGGCTCACATACACTTGTGGTCGCCTCAGGCTGAGTCAGCTGCTGAGGTGAACATTTTCACAGTAACTGTCAAATGTCTTACATGGTTCTTGCTTGCTTATAAATAGGTAAAGACGTGTTTGAAGCATTTTACAAAAAAGATTTAGCGAAAAGACTCCTGGTGGGGAAAAGTGCCTCTGTCGATGCTGAGAAATCTATGCTGTCGAAGCTGAAACATGGTAAGCGTCCAGGGGTGGGGTGAGCACCCCCGCACGGGGCCTCCCAATGCTCACCCACCTCCCGCTTTGTCCAGAGTGTGGGGCCGCCTTCACCAGCAAGCTGGAGGGCATGTTCAAGGACATGGAGCTCTCCAAGGACATCATGGTTCATTTCAAGCAGGCAAGTTGTGTTCTTTTCAAATGAAACAGCTTTTTAAAAAATACACTATTTTAAATTCTGTGAAATGATCATGTACGTAAGTATGTGAACTATGTAAAATCCTCGTCTTTAGAAATCACACTGTTAAATGTTTCACGCGTCCAAAACACTTCAGAATGAAAAAGAAACGTAACCCCTGGGGATTCCCTGTCAGTGCAGTGGTTAGGGCCCCAGGCTTCCACTGCCGAGGGCCCAGGTTCAACCCCCGGTCTGGGAGCTAGGGTCCTGCCAGCTGTGTGACACAGCTGGAAGAAAAAGAAAAAGAATTCCTGAAAGTGCACTTGAAACTCTGACTTAAATGTGTTTAATGACCCATATTTGGGACAAAACTAAAGAAGAACATTCCCAGTGACTTTAGAACAGGGTGTGTGGCTTCAGTGGACTATGTTCCAGGGTCTCAAACAAATGAAAACACAAGGTAAACTGTAGTTTGGAAATAGGAGCACTCGTTTTTTAATAGAGGGATTCTTTTGGGTGGTAGTCTAAGGTGACCATCTGTCTTGGTTTCTTGTGTTTGCAGTACATGCAGAATCAGAGTGACCCGGGCTCCATAGACCTGACCGTGAACATACTGACCATGGGCTACTGGCCGACATACACACCCATGGAGGTGCATCTGACTCCAGAGGTGAGCGTTCTCAAGAACCTGCGGCCTGGTTTTCACACACCAGTGCTCCAGGACCCCACACACCTTGGGGAGTGTTGAAATCTCACGCTCGCCAAAAACCCTGACCATCTGTGTCATCTCTGGGAGCAGCATTCACAGTGGACACTCCTTGTCTCTGTCCGCCGTCTGCCTGTCAACAAAGGCACTGGTTTTAAAAGCTCCCGCGTGGGAGCCTCGGGCTTCCTTGTCTGGCTGATGCTCCCACCTGTCATACCAGAGCCAGGGCCTGAGAGGGCAGGGATGGTGTGTGTGTGGCTGACACGGGCCCTCTGAGGGGGGTGGGGTGTGCCTGCCAGCGTGGGCCCAGGGCCTCCAGGGGGGAACAGCTGGACCCAAGGCCCGGGCACCCGGGCAGACGTGCTGCCGCCCGGATCCGCCCTTCCTGTTCCCAGAGCAGTCTCCTGCAATCTCCTGTTTCTGGCCCCCTAGTCAGGCTCTGTCGCGTCTTCCCCTCCTTTCCCTCTGCCCTGTACCCTGAACACACATGCTCCCTGGAAGCCCCAACGCCCTCCCTCTCAGCCTCCAGCCTGTGTCTCCAGTCCCCCACCCCAGGACCATCACAGCTGTCCCAGACCTGGCGCCCCCTCCCACGTCTCCCCACGCGACGGGATGGCCCTGCGCCCCTCCCTGCACTCCACCCGGCACTCTCACGCTCCTGGGGCTGGTGTGACCCTGCAGGTAGACGCTCTTCCCCAGAAAACCTCCACACCCCGTCTGTCCCTGCTGGTTGACACTCCCCCCACCTCCCTCCACCCAGGGTGTGCCTGCATGTGCGTGCGCTGCAGGACTAGTCAGGCCTGGAGGGGTGGCAGGGACAGGCCAGAGTCCCGGGGCCTCCCCTGGGGCAAGAGGAGGTGCAGCAAGGGTCGTCCCACTGGGCACAGCCGGAGAAGAACGCGGGCTTTGACCACGTGGACCGCCGACACTCCTGGGCGCAGAGGCTGCGGGAGGGGCCGAGGAAGCATACGGGGCCTCAGGAGGGAGGTGGAGGCCCCACCGGCTCTGGAAGGAGCTGTTGAAATGATGGCAGCACGGGGCCGCGTGCCGGTGGGCAGCTGTCAGCACGCGGAGCAGGCCTCATTCAGCCCAGCGGTGTCCTGGGAACTTGGGCACTGAGCCGTCGGTAGTGTCAGAGTAAGCATGTTCATCATAATCACACTCGCTTTCCTTTGCTGACAGATGATCAAGCTACAGGAAGTGTTCAAGACATTTTATCTGGGGAAACACAGTGGGCGGAAGCTTCAGTGGCAGACGACGCTGGGCCACGCTGTGCTGAAAGCCGAGTTCAAGGAGGCAAGTCCTGTGTCACTTTTTATGTTTTTGAAGCACGTTTATGAAAAGATGTTTTTAAATTGCCAGTAGACTTTGGTAGCAAAGAAAGAAAAGGAGGGATTGATTATTCAATATAACTCAACACTGGCTTTTTGAAGTCAGTAAAATGAAGTGATCAAAGGGCTAATATTTTAATCAATAAAATTAGTGATGTCTTCCCACCTGGTGATCAGTTAGTACTGTCTCAACATGCCCACACACAGGCTCGTCAGGACATCTCCTCACCTGGGGACTAGTCAGTACTGTCTCAGCACGCCACACACAGGCTCGTGAGGGCGTCTCCTCACCTGGGGACTAGTCAGTTCTGTCTCAGCACACGGCACACAGGCTCGTGAGGGCGTCTCCTCCCCTGGGGACTAGTCAGTTCTGTCTCAGCACACGGCACACAGGCTCGTGAGGGCGTCTCCTCACCTGGGGACTAGTCAGTTCTGTCTCAGCACACGGCACACAGGCTCGTGAGGGCGTCTCCTCACCTGGGGACTAGTCAGTTCTGTCTCAGCACACGGCACACAGGCTCGTGAGGGCGTCTCCTCCCCTGGGGACTAGTCAGTACTGTCTCAGCACGCCACACACAGGCTCGTGAGGGCGTCTCCTCACCTGGGGACTAGTCAGTTCTGTCTCAGCACACGGCACACAGGCTCGTGAGGGCGTCTCCTCACCCGGGGACTAGTCAGTTCTGTCTCAGCACACGGCACACAGGCTCGTGAGGGCGTCTCCTCCCCTGGGGACTAGTCAGTTCTGTCTCAGCACACGGCACACAGGCTCGTGAGGGCGTCTCCTCACCCGGGGACTCGTCAGCTCTGTCTCAGCACACGGCACACAGGCTCGTGAGGGCGTCTCCTCCCCTGGGGACTAGTCAGTTCTGTCTCAGCACACGGCACACAGGCTCGTGAGGGCGTCTCCTCACCCGGGGACTCGTCAGCTCTGTCTCAGGCGTTCGCGGGCTGGCAGACACACTTGCGTGGCTCCTACTCTTTCAGGGAAAGAAGGAGTTCCAGGTGTCCCTGTTCCAGACGCTGGTGCTGCTCATGTTCAATGAAGGGGATGGCTTCAGCTTCGAGGACATCAAGATGGCCACTGGCATAGAGGACAGCGAACTGCGGAGGACGCTGCAGTCCCTGGCCTGTGGCAAAGCCCGTGTCCTCCTCAAGAGTCCCAAAGGGAAGGAGGTGGAAGATGGAGACAAGTTCCTCTTCAACGCAGAGTTCAAGCACAAGCTCTTTCGGATAAAGATCAATCAGATTCAGATGAAGGAGACGGTATGTATCCGCTTCCTCCGCTTTCCCCGCTCACAGGGGATCGTAGGTCTATAGGAACTTTCGACCCTCATTACACACTCGTGTCTGTAAGATGCTTTAGCGTAGCTGTTACTACTTTTATTCTCAGGATAGGAGTGAAACTCAGAAGGACATGCGTCTAACGGTTAACTTGCTGTCCACACAAACATGTCCTAGATGATGTCTTTGTAGCCCACCTGTGTCTGTGTAGGGAGTGCCTCGTTCCACACCTGGTGGCCTGTCCTAGCAGCTGTGCCCACCCCCGGCCGTTCTCTCGTCCCCACCGCAGGGTTCTGTGTCCAGGCTGAGCATCTGCACCTTTGATCAGGCTCCCCAGGGTCCCGGCCCAGGCCGGCTCCAGGCCGCTGCCCTCGGGCAGCCTGCTGCAGGAGCTCTCACACCCCAGGGCTGTGGCCCAGCAGGCAGGCGCCGTGGCCTTGCCGGAAGGCCCTCCGCCCAGTGGGAGCTCCAGCTCTGACTGTGCAGGCCTCCTCCCAGGTCAGGGCTTGGACACGCCGTGCGACTTGAATCCGAGAGCATGGAGCCCCTCTGCAGAGCCTGGCGGTGCCTTGGACCTGGCCCTTCCTTCAGCTGAGGGGCCCTGCCCAGCCTCACTTACGCTCTCGGCCCCTGGCTTGGCTCTCTCGAGTCTCAGCTCCTCACCCTGGACTCGCTGGGTCAGAGGACAGGAGCTTTGCTGACATGAGCGCGCGCCAGGCTCCAGTCTCCAGCTTCTGGGGGTCCTCCACCTCCCTACCTGCCTGCGCCCTCCCCGCTGGGGAGCAGGAGTGCTTCATGGCCAAGTCAGTGCGACTTTCTTTGAGTCCCCTGAGCATCTTTATGCCATTTAGAAGCTCATACAAATTAGGTGGCTGTCCCAGTCCTCAGTTCTCATCATCTGACATGGGCGTAACAGCACCACGGGGCTGAGACTGGAGAGGAAGTGCCGGCGGTCCAGCTCTCGGCCACGCACCTGCAGTGCTTCACTGGTCCTGCCCCTGCTCTTTCATGGGTCACCGCTGGTGCTTTTTTGTCTTTTTAACTAATTGCTTGAACTCGAGTCCCTGGTATATTTATTGTAATATCCCACCTCTGACTTCCAGGGATGTTGTTTATGCTGAGGGGACTGGTGGTGGGTGGTTCTGTCGTTCTGAGAGGGTCCTTCCCGTGTGAGTACAGCGGGAGGTTCAGTCTGTTCCTCTGCAGTTTCTGCCTTGAGGGTCAGCTTAACAAAGACCTTCCTCTGACCCACATTTTAAAGAACATTTACTTGTATTGTTCCAGTCGTCTGTTTCAGTTTTCCTCTGAAATATTTCTCTGTGCTAGAAGTTACCTTAGCATCAAGAAAGCATTCCAGCCACCCTTCCTATTTTAAAACCTGAATGGGTTCTCTGACAACCTACTAGAACTGTCACTTTTGTTAGAAATCAGCGTCACGTATTACCGGGCAGTTTCTCGTTCTGTTTTTCAAGTTCTGTTTCAAAGCCAGCACCTATAAGTCTTTTAATTGATGTCATTATTCCTGTAAATTCACTGATTTTGGTGCTGAAGTTCAGTGGTTTCACTGGAACAAAGCTGCAGAACAGAACAGGGGTCCCCCCGCAGTCTGGCCTGCCTTCTGCCTGGAGCTTGGCAGCCCCCACAGAGGCGGCGCTGGCGCTGAGTCAGGCAGCGGGCCCTCTCCCACAGGTGGAGGAGCAGGTGAGCACCACGGAACGCGTGTTCCAGGACCGGCAGTACCAGATCGATGCCGCCATTGTGAGGATCATGAAGATGAGGAAGACACTGGGCCACAACCTGCTCGTCTCTGAGCTGTATAATCAGCTCAAGTTCCCAGTCAAGGTAAGCAGGCGTCGGCTTGTCAAGTCACCGCGTTTGCACACCCTTGGCACCGCACGTCCGGGTCTCAGGGCCTCCTATAGTCGGCCGTCTGTCCCCCGCCGTCGCTGGTCACTTGCCACAGAGACCTTCCTCTGAGTGCCGAGAGAGAGCAGCCTTCCCCAGTACGTTGGTGACTGCAGCTGCCCTCCCCTCCTCCCGCCGTGGTCCCAGCCCCAGGTTCTCTGCCTCGGGAGTGTTTCCCCACTGCCGGCGTCTGAGGGGTCCCGGTGGGCAGCAGGGAGGTTCTGTGACTGTGGTGTCGAGCTCAGGAGGACCAGGCAGTGGACGGATGCTGGACAGGCCAGTGGGGCCGTGTGTTGCCCCAGGTTCCGCAAGCCCAGGGTGGGTGGGAGGGGGTCAGGGCCCCCTGCACCAGAGGCCTGGACATTCAGCAGAGGCCACAGGGCAAGGCCTGCCGCTGTCGGGGTGGAGAGTAGTGTCTCCCAGTAACGAGAGCACAGCGTGGGGTGCAGTCTCCTTACAGGACGCTCTGCAGGCTCAGGGGCCCCCAACAGCCGCCCTGCTCGGAAGACATCTGCTCGCGCTACGATGTTGACATTGTCTTTGAAGCAGGAAGCTTTGTCCGAGTTGTCCTGTCGTGAGCTTCTGCTCCTGCACAGATGTCTATAGACGTGCGCCCTGATCACGTGACCCACATGCTTCAGACGTGCGCCCTGACCCACTCCCTCAAGGTGAGCCAGACGCCCTCTGACGGGCCCCTGCTGTTCTTTTCCAGCCTGGAGATCTGAAGAAGCGGATTGAGTCTCTCATAGACAGGGACTACATGGAGAGGGACAAGGACAGCCCGAACCAGTACCACTACGTGGCCTGAGGCCCGCCCGCCCGGGAGACACAGCGCCCCTTCAGGGAGAAGCCCGTTCCGCGGTGCCTGGGCCGCCACTGCGGGCTGCACGGGGCGGGCGTCCTTGGACCACTTTCCGGGCTCCGGGACTCGCAGGTGGCATGTGTCTTCCCTCCAGTTCTTCCTCCTGTTCCTTTAGGCGCTTGATGATTTCCAGGGCTCCGCAGAGTGGCTGAGGTTGGGTAGGCAGGCAGTCTCCTTTGTAAGCAGTGTTCTTGTGCAGAAGCTGATGTCCTCTGTGTGTGTGTGCGCGCGCGTGTGCAGGTATGAGACCCTGCGTGCTCCCTTCCGTCGCGGCAGGACCACCGTGCGCTCCGGACGCAAGCTCTAAGGCCCAGAACAGGAGCCCCTGACTAGTGAACACGAGGGAGAACCCGTAGTGTCACAGCTGATGAATCACACAGCCTACATAGCTTCTGTTCGTTCCTTTGCACCAAGTTTTAACCTGAGGCCTGGTTTCTGGACGAGGCTCCTCGCGAGGCCTCGCTCCTTGGAGAGGAGGTCGCTCTGGCGCCTGTGACGCTGTGAGCCCATCCCTGTCTCCGTTTCGCTTCCGCCGCGTTGCTTGTGAACTTTCTCTGTGGGGGGCTAGCGGGAGCCGTGCGTGCGTGTGTGTGTGTGTGCCATCCCAAGGCTGCGCCTGGCAGCCCCTGTTCTCAGCCCAAGGGCGGCTGCTGTGTGACCTGTTGTAACTGCGTGTTTGTACGATGGCGACAGTCAAGTCTGGTTCTCTTTTCATGGCCCTGGGCGGCAGCTGTCCTCCACGTGACCACGTCAGCGCCTCTAGGAGACCAGCGTGGCGCAGAGGTGGCCTCATGGGCACCTGCCGTCACGCGCGTGCATAAGGGAGCCATGCCGCGGACGCTGGTTCGTGTGGGAACCACAACAAAGATACTTTTGTGAGAACATTTAAAAGTACTTTATATTTTACATAATAGCATGTTTCGTTTTGATTAAAAGCTACCAAAGGAATTTTGATCATGGTGTAAGTGTTGAAAGCAATATTTTCTGGAATATACCAAGTTTATATCATTTGATTTTTGTGCTAAATTATTAAAAGATTCTCCCTTTTTGAAACATGCGTCTTTAAAATATGGCATCTCGTGGGTTTCCAGATGAAAACCCTCTCTTTGCGTGTCCTCTTTTCTCTTTGTAAATTTTCAGTTGTGAGTTTATCACATGTGGTCAATCAGAGACCAGTAGCTTCTGCTTCTTAGACTTAAGTTCTATGTCTCTCAATTGTTGATACTGTAATTTAATGTAGACTTACTCTGAATAAAAGTAGTTTCAATTGGGCTTAAAATCACATTAATAAAACTGGTATGCACCCGACATATTGCTCCCCGCCCTTCAGCCCCTAAAGTCCCCTCCAGGACAGTGAGGCGGCACCTGGCGCTTCCTCCTGGACCTCAGACTCACCCACGTGATGCCCCATGTCTGGTCCTGTCTTATTGTGCTTGAGGGTCAGTGACTTGAGACACAGGAGGACACGACTGAGAAGGGAAAGACAGGCAGAAAACCTCCTAAACTCGAGGAAGGCGTCCCCTTTAAAACACACAGTGGGACGTCCCGGGGTGGGCCAGAGGCTGAGACTCCGACACAGGGGCCCTGGTTCAGTCCCTGCTCAGATCTAGGTTCTGCGTGCCGCAACAGAGAGTTCACATTGCTGAAACAAAGACCGCAGGCAGCAAATGTTTTTTTAAAAAGATAGAGTGATCCCCAAGTTACAACAGTAAAGAAACTGGATATGGAAGAAAATCTGAAGTGCATCTTATTTGGAGTGGAAAAAAGTCTAATGACTTATAAGACCTCTCTTAAAAAACAAAGGTAAATGGCATTCTTAAAAATCTACATGGGGAAAAGCTTTAAGTAAAAACTGGCAAATTTGGGAGTAAAACTAAGGCAGTGCTGAATAGTTTGGTGTGCACAGGACTACAAGCCAGCCAGGTGTGATGGTGAACCAGGAGGGGCTGGGAAGCAGGCGCTCCTGGGGCGCAGGGGCTGGTCTAGGGGGCGGGGCGGGGCCGCAGGGTGGGCAGGGGCTGGTCTGGGGGCGCTCCTGGGGTGCAGGGTGGGCAGGGGCTGGTCTGGGGGCGCTCCTGGGGCGCAGGGTGGGCAGGGGCTGGTCTGGGGGTGCTCCTGGGGCGCAGGGTGCACCGGGGCTGGTCTGGGGGTGCTCCTGGGGCGCAGGGTGCACCGGGGCTGGTCTGGGGGCACTCCTGGGGCGCAGGGTGCACCGGGGCTGGCCTAGGGGGCGAGAGGGGGCCGAAACGGGGTCAGAGCTGGAGGTCAGACCGGATGGGTCAGGAGGAGGACCAGTGAGTGACCGTGCTGCCCCTGGGCTCCGGTGCTTGGCCCACGCCGCCAGGGTGATGGTCCCTCAGGGAAACTGACTAGCACAGTGTTCCAAGATGCCCGTGTCTCTGACCCACCAAAATCCACGTCCCCACGACACCCTGACACTTGCGGGGAGGGAGTTCTAATGCCGGAACAGCATTTTCAGAAAAAAGTCCTGAATGTCCTTTGACAGGATGCAAAGGAGTGTGGTGCTGTGTCCCCTGGACAGGGTGCAGATGTGATGGAGCGGGTGTCACAGCCACTGTGCCGGGAGGGCCGTGAAGGGGGCAGAGCACCCCTGCACACGCGTGTGTGCATGTGTGTAGTCACGTGTAACAGCAGCTGTTCCCCATGGTGGACTTGGAGAGCCAAGGGAACCTGTTGACTGCACACCCTTTCATACCTCCTGAGTTTTTTTGTCAAAACAGCATCTGTAATTAAAATTAATCATGAATTGTTGACAAAAACAGAATGAGGCCATCAGCCACACCCTGCCCTGGGAGGTGTGGGTTGGCCCACCCCAGGGAGCCCAGGGCCCCCAACCGAGCCAGCTGTGTCCTCCCTGCTTACTTCACAGGAATCTTTCTTTATCATGAGTCATACAAACCTCCATCTTCTTGGCTCATGGACTTACTGTTTCTCAAGAATGTCTGCTCTGAAAATGAAAATGAAGGCTCATGCTCTTCCCCATGATTCCTCCCTTCCAGTTTCCGACAGCTCTTGTCAGACTGTGTATATATAATAGACTTTGCATGTCTGGTCTGAAAGCTGCACACACAGACAGCATCTGTGACCTGCTAACCCCCCTGGAGCCCAGGAGTGAAGTGCTGTTCTCACTCGCGACAGATGAGGCTCTGGGCACGGAGACGAATGGGCTCTCCTCCCAAACACCGGCAGACAAGCAAAGCTCTTGTCACGTGTTAACTTGCTTTATGTTCAGACCGTCGTCCAGCTTTTTGTCTTCCTTGGACATTTTAAAATAAAAATACAGCAATTTTTATAAATGTATTGTTAACAACAACAAGAAAAAACAACCCACAAAATTTTGTCTGATCACTGTGATCAGCAGTTTTCTCATTAAACGATCTGCACAAACCCAGCTCATTTTCAAAGACCTTTTCCTCAGAACTCCCTCCATCCGACTCTCCCTCCTTGGCTGGGGTCCCCTTCCCCGAACCCCAACCTTCCTTCCCCTTGTGTTCCTGGTTTGTTTCCCTGAGGTGACCCTTACAGGGCTTTATCCGCAGGAAGGCGTGAGAGGACAGCATCCTGAGTCGCTGCTTGTCTGGTCTGCCGGCCTCTGCACTTGTGCCTGAGAGCGGGCTGCATGAAGCTCCCGCTGAAGCCCTGGCCCCCAGCACTCAGAAGGCCTGGCTCCCCGCCCTGCTGGTCTCCAGCCCTGAGGTTGGTTGTGTTGTGAAACCTGGGCTTTTTCCCGCAGAGCTTTGGAAACCCTGTCCCAGGCTTCTCTGTTTCACAAGACTGCAGCGGGGCTTGTTTCCCTCTGTGCCGACAGGACTCGGTGAAGACTCCTGACTCACGTCCTGCCGGGCACCTTCCCCTCCACCGTCCTGCTCTCACTTTCTGTGAGAGGAATCTGCGCAGCGCATGGGTCAGGAGATCCTGAATGGAAAACCACAGGCCTGCCCACCCGCCACCTCCGCTCTGCCGAGAACTTTCCACTTCTGTTTCTGGCCAGTCTTCCCCACAGTGGCCTCCAGATCAGCGCGCCAGTTCCTGTTTTCTGACTGCTGCTGTTCAGCTGCTAAGTCCTGTCTCTCTGCAAACCCACTGACTGCTGCACACCAGGCTCCTCTGTCCCCCCGTCTCCCAGAGTTCGCTCAAACTCGTGTCCGAGTCGGTGATGCCATCCAACCACCTCATCCTCTGCCACCCCCTTCTCTTCCCACCCTCAATCTTTCCCAGCATCAGGGTCTTTTCCAGTGAGTCAGCTCTGTCCTGGTCCTCACAGTTTTAATAGAAGACTGTTTTTTTTTGTTTTGTTTTTTGTTTTTAAGGCTATGATACTTTCTTCAAGTTCTGAGGGCACTAATTCAAATGTCTGGAGTCCTTTTCTCTTTCATTGAGTCCAAGGCAGGTTGTAACTTTTTCTGTGAAGAGAGAGATGGTAAACAACTCCTGCTTCATGGTCTGCCTAGAGTCAGTTACTTGCTCTCTGCTGTTTCTAAACAACTTTACATAAAAGCCACCCTTCATTCTCCCACAGCCACCGTGTGCTGAGGCTTTACCAACCCACTCTGGAATCGGGTGGGCAGGCCTGTGCGTCCCCCCTGGCTCCCAGGACCAGATGCCCCCACACCTCTTGGCTGCTGCAGTCCCTGTGACTGGTGCGTATTTGTGTATCTGCATGTATGCAACTGTGTGTGTCTGTGTGTGTGCTCGTGGGCATGTATGCGTGTTTGCATGAGTGTTATCTGTGTGCCTGTATGTGTTCTTACAAAGACAGGAGGACAGTGTATAAACGTAGGTGCAGATACATGTGAAGATACATGTGAAGCCACAAGACAGAAAGCTGAGGCGGTTTTTAAGGGTCCCTATTGAGGAATCAATGCTCTGCACAGGCTGCCAGCCTCCCACACGGAGGCCCCAGGTTGGCAGAGAGCAGGAGTCATGGGCTGGGGCTGCCGGCTTAGGTGGCCCAGGGGTCAAGCCTGGCTCTGCTCCATCTGCTGCCCTTAAGAAAATCACTCGTATGCTCTAAACCTTGGTTTTCTTATCTTCTAAGAGATAATAATGCTGCTTGCAGGGTTGTTCCAGTCAATACAGCGGTGCTTACAACAGAGCCACCGGCCAACGCACGTGACAAACACGGGCCGCGCCTGGGTAAGAAGAACAAATTTGGCATAAGTCTTAAATCTGCCCAAAGTGGTCCAGGAAAGTGGGAGGACAGGAATAATGAACAAATAAAATTATCTAAAGACATCAATTAAAAGACAAAGGTGTTCAGACTGGATAGAAAATTAAGACCCAGACAGGTATACGTCACCTACAAGAAAGTCATTTAACGTGTAAAGACAGATGGGTTCAAAGTAAAAGGTGAGAAAAGCTTAACCACGAGAGCCAATCACATGAAATCACACACAGAAAGCAAGAGCATACGCATGCAGAGACATTCATGCAAACACACACACAAATGCCCACACACACCCCCCAAGCTGTGTGGCTAACCTGAGGCTTCCCTGCTGGCTCAGATGGTAAAGCGTCTGCCTGCAATGCAGGAGACCTGGGCTCCATCACTGGGTTGGGAAGATCCCCTGGAGAAGGAAATGGCACCCCACTCCAGTACACTTGCCTGGAAAATCCCATGAACGGAGGAGCCTGGTGGGCTACAGTCCATGGGGTCACAAAGAGTCAGACACGACTGAGCGACTTCTCTTTCACTTTCACTTTCAGGCTTCAGTGAGGGGGAAATTGTTAGGCAGTCGGTGCAGAAGTTAGAGCCTCAGTTCTTCACCTAGTTTCAATTTTGATTCCGGTTCTCACACGTAAACATTTTTGGCTCCACCAGCCTAAAGCTGCATTTGTCTCCCATTTCTACCCATTAAGAGGAATGGCTCCCTGGTCTAGGAGGCTCATAAAACCTTCAGGCCCAGGACAGGACAATCATTAACTGCTGTCCAGTTTATCAAGGAGAAAAACTCCTGGTGGATCATCAGCTCTTAAACACGCATCTGGCTCCTAAATAATGGTCTGCAGTCCTGAGAAAGGGTCAAGGGTCAAGGGGCGGCATCACTATGTCTGGAGAAACTGAGGAACTGAGACCCAAAAGACAGCCATAAACACAACAAACTGGACATCACAACACTTACATGCACTGGTCAGAAATTACAGGCATCTGGCCCCGGGCCAACCAAAGACAACAGATCGATTCTAACAAGGACAGACTTTGGGGGCTCTTCACCCCGTCTCAGTGTCTATGCTGTGGGCTTTGTGTCTCTATCCTTTAAAATACACTCTGCCTGCATGAGTGTTTGCGAGCTTGCCAAGTCCATCCTTCACCTCCGTGAACAGAGCTCGGTTCCCCATCTCATCAGGACACGGAGTGTCTGCAGACACAAAGAAGGCACTTCATACAGACAGGTGCCCGTAAGAGCGTCCCTAAGCGCACAGACCTCCAGGGACGGCTTCCCAACACAGGCAAGAGCGAGGGAAGCAGCGGACAGCCCAACGGTCAAGGTTTCGGCACTCTCCCTTCAGTGGCTTATAAGGAGACAGAAGAACGGGAAGGACGTGAAACATCGTCAGCCGACCCGACCTCGGTGACCACAGGACGAGACGCTGAGCAACGCGCTTCAGACAGTGCGGGGACGCTCGCCCAGGGAAGCGTGTCACAGAAGGTGTGTCACAGAACAAACTCACCGCAGTAGGAGGGCTGAAATTAGACAGAACGTGTCCTAGATCACAATGACATTGAAGTAGAAATCCAACAGAAAGATAAGTGGTAAGTAACTAATGTTTGGAACTTAAGCAATACACTTCTAAATAAATAATTCAATAATTCTAACATAAATAGATAATATAAATAACACACTACATAACCTATGAGTCAAAGAAAAATCACAAGGAAAATTAGAACATATTTTGAATTGAATGAATACGAAAACAACAGACCAAAAATGTGTAAGATACAGCTTAAGAAGTGCCTAGGGGATATTCATAGCTTCAGGTGCTTACATTTTAAAAGATGAAAGTTTTAAAAACAATGACCTAAGCCTTAAAAAGCTAGAAAAAGGAGAGCAATGTATATCCAAAGTAAATAGAAGAAATAAAAAAGGTAAAAGTAGAAATCAAAAACATAGAAAAAGAACAAATAGAGAAATCAATGAAACCAAAACCAGGCTCTTTGAGAAGACCAACAAAACTGATAAACCTTTAGCTAGACTAATTACAAAGAGAAAAAAAAATATCAATATCAGGAATGAAAGGACAAGACAGCAGATCCTACAGAGAACATTATGAATCAATTTATGCCAATAATTGTACAACTTAGATCACACAGTCAAATTCCACGAAATCTGTAAATTATCAAAATGGACACAAGAAGAAATAGAAAATAAAAATAGATCCATATCCATTAAAGACATTGAATTTGTCATTTTAAACCTTTCCACCAAGAAAACTCCAGAGACTATACTGGTGAATTCCATTCAACTGTCAAGAAAAATAATCTTACACAGTCTTTCAGACACAGAAGAGGGACTAGTTCACAACTAATGAGCCCAGCGTTACCCTGATTGAAAAATTAGACAAAAATATCACAAGAAAATACAGACCAATATCCTTTAACCAAATATTAGCAATTTGAATACAGCAATATATAAAATCAATAATATACCAAAGCCACGTGAAGTTTTCCTCAAGAATGCAAGATTGGTTTAACATTTGAAAATCTAAAAAAGAAATAAGCAAAACATAAAATCATCTCAATAGATTAAGAAGATTTTGATGAAATTCAACACTTGTTGATTTTAAAAATGACTCTCAGAAAACTGGGAATAGAAGGGAACTTCCTTAACTTGAGAAAGGACATTTACAAAAGGTCGGGAAGATGCCCTGGAGGAGGGCATGGCAACCCACTCCAGTGTTCTTACCTGGAGAATCCCGTGGACAGAGGAGGCTGGTGGGCTACAGTCCATGGGGTGGCAAAGAGTCGGACAGGACTGAGCGACTGAGCTTTCAGAAGGACAGCGGGCATCTGTCTGGAATGCAAACTCTCCCCAAGGCTCTAGGGCCACACCCTCTCCCGCAGTCAGCCCTCCTGGCCTTCGTGCTGCAGACTGGCATGTTGTACTTGCCTCACAGAAACAATGTAAGTTAAAACCAGGAGTTACAAGTGCAGAAGTGACTTCACATGGACTTCAGCTCCCGTCCTGTGGCGTCCATGACTAGGGAGAGGCCCCGGGTGACCATGTCTCATTTCTCAAACAAGCTGAGGCTCGAGGCCCGCCCGCTGAGACCAGGGGCATGGAACTGGAAACCCGCCATGAGTGGAGTCACACACGTTCTCTGCCACAGACGACCTGGAACCGCTGGATTGAATCTGCTTTCTAAGAAAGCACGTTTTGGTTCTTTTTCAGGAGAGTTCCTCTTTTGTAACCGTCTAAAAGGAAGCCTACCGTGGCTGAAAAATTTCAAGGGATCCATCAAAAGGAAGTTCTCCGAGAGGCGCCCAGAACGTGTATAAAAGATGTTCTCACTGCGTTAAGCAGTGAGAACGTGTGAGCACCCAGAGTATCCCCGAGGAGAGGTGGATTTTTTAAAGTATCTCAGGATGGGAGTCTTACCTCTTTCCCCACTTGTTAACAGTTTTGAGTTGAAAGCACAGTTTGCTCTTTTTCTGACGTGTTATTTGTTAACACTAATCTCACTTAGCAGCCACGCGTCTCTTGCCTTTTATCAATGAACCAAAATTAAACATTCTTGAGGTAAGTGGGCAGGAGAACTGGAGAAGAGAAGTGAGAGAACTTGTTACCCGGGGTGTGGAGCAGGCCAGGTCTCCCTTGGGTCGACTGAGCGCCAGGGGCCCTGGACTCTGCAGTCACGGCTCCAGGCCGGGCAGCTCTGTGGCACCAGGTCCAAGGCTGGGAATCCTAATGTCTGTGAGCAGTGGTCCCTTCCGAGGGGACCTCCCAGGGAATTCTTGGGCCAAGCGTGGGTAACTTGAGTGAAATAGAAACAGGAGCACAAGATTCACCCTCTGATGACAGCAAAGGGAAGAATGACCGGTCCAGCCTGTTCACGGTTGCTGGATGTGCACACAGGCAGGTACACGCTGAACGTCACTGCTTCTTGCCTGGTCAGTTCAATCTGCAAGAAAAATTAATCTCAGAGAAAATCATAAACAGATAACTTATCTTCAAGATATTTATCATAGTAATTGTGAGGTAACAGAAAATATACATTATTAGTCTCAGGCCCTGGTTCCTGGTACAAGGCTCCAGAAACCCTTGGGATGTCCTGATAAGACCACTGGGAGCATCCTTGGTTTATACGTTTATTTGGCTGCATTAGGTCTTAGTTGTGACATCTTTGTTGCATCACATGGGATCTTTTTTGTTGTAGCGAGCAGGCTCTCTCTGGTGGCTCCATGGCATGTGAAGTCTTAGTTCCTCAACCAGGGATCAAACTGGGGACCGCTTAACCGCTGGACCACCAGGGAAACCCCAGCATTTTTTCACACCAGGTCTCTGACCCTATTCCTGACACACTTCCTAAACCCCTTGCAAGTTCCTAATGATAAGAGCTGCTTCTGTCCTCACAAGGTGACTCTGGGGGAGTTCCTGATGGCTCCTGGTCACCGTGGATTAGAAGCCATGATTAGAAGCTTGGGCTTTCAGCCCCACCCCAGCCTCAGGAAGGAAAGAGGAGCTGGTAATCAAGTTAACCATCATGTATGCCTCTGTGACGAAACCTCCAGAAGGCCCCAACAGCATGGGGTTCGGAGGGCGTCCAGGGTGGTGACCACACGTAGCAGCCCAGCTCCAGGGGACAGAAGCCGGGGACTCCAGACCCTGGGGACCCGCCCCCAGGCTTCTCACCCACTGTTCACCTGTGTCCTTCACCACGCCCTGCCCCACAGAAGGAAACAGGGAATGCGAGGAGTGCTTCTGTGAGCTCTGCAGGCCCTGCTAGCAAGTTAATGGAGGCTGAGTCGGGGGTGGGGACATGCATTTCTAACAAGCCAGACAGATGTGGGCCACTTGGGGATGCTCTTCTGGTGACCGGCTTCTGACGGGTGAGGCTAAGCCCGACCTGTGGGATGCCAGGCCCACATCCCAGCAGTGGCTGGCGTGGTGTCGGAGACGCTGTGAGTGGGGCCGAGATGAAAGCAGAGACATGGGAGCTGTGAGGTTCTCCTACAGCGTTCTTTATATTTAGCGGGGAAGCTACCATTAAGGGAGTATCATTAAGTAGAACATCACACCAAATGATGTTACATTAATCATTACCAAATGTGTTTTTATAGATTTTGTAGTAGCATGGGAAAGTAATGGTTACAAATGAGAAAAGGAGAATACAGAATATGACAATCATTAGAAAAATATTTATTTGGCTGCACCAGGTCTTAAAGAGTTTGCAAGATCTTCAATCTTTGATGCAACGTGTGAATTCTTAGTTGCAGAATGTAGGCTATAGTTCCCTGACCAGGGATTGAACCCCAGCCCCCTTTACTGGGAGTACAGAGTCTTAACCAGTGGACCACCAGGGAGGTCCAAAAAACTGTGTTTTTTAGAGCATTTTTAGGTTCACAGCAAAATTGGAAATACAGACTTTCATTACCCCTCTGCCAGGCTGGACACACACCGCCTCCCCCACAACGGCCCACCAGCGGTGGAGGGGGCATCGGTCCCCACTGAGGAGCTCGCAGGGAGGTGTCACCACCACCCAGAGCGCTTGGTTCACATTTGGAAGCTGCTCCGGGTCTGAGTTATTGCTCTGAAACCAGACAAAAGAATCACCAATCAGGCGCAGATCCAACCGTCCTGCACAGACAGTATTCTGGAGTAAGTAACTCAAAGGGTAAAACGTCTGCCTGCAATGCGGGAAACTCGGGTTCGAATCCTGGGTCAGGAAGATCCCCTGGAGAAGGAAATAGCAACCCACTCCAGTACCCCTGCCGGGAAAATCCCATGGATGGAGAAGCCTGGTAGGCTACAGTCCATGGGGTCGCAAAGAATCGAACACGACTGAGTGACCTCACTTCACTTCACTAATGGGTCCATGAAGGAAAATCTTACAGGCCTGCTCCAGCCGGAAAATACAACAGGGAAGACAGAATGAGAAATGGCCGGGGAATTCCTCAGTAGTCCAGTGGTTAAGACTCCACACTTCCGCTGGAGGGGCCCGGGTTAGACCCCTGGTCGGGAACTAAGATCCAAAAGAAAGAAAACAAACCACCAACCCGCCAAGCCCACTGGAATCACAGACCTACTGGCCCACCAGGAAGCCGTGAGGGCAGAGGTCTGCGGCTGGCAGCGACCCTGCGGCGGACAGGGCCACCTCGCCACAGCCAGCATGGCCGCAGCCTCGGAGGAGGGGGGGGGGGCTTCTCAGGTCTCTGCAGCCTGCAGTGCAAGCTCCGACTCGAGGGCCAAGGTGGGGCCTGAGACTCTGCATCTCCAACCGGCCAGGTGACGCCAACACCACAGACCCCACTCCAAGGTACCTGAACAGAGGGAAAGAAGGCCATTCACCAGCTCCCCAGGTCAACCCACAGTGTGGGGTGTCCTCCAGGACACCAACTAATCAATGGTGTGCAAAGGGACGGGGCCCTGAGACACCTTCGAAGACAATAGTCAGGCCTCCTTGGAGCCACAGTGAGCAAACTGGCTGAAAAAAAAAAACTTTTTGAACAACTGGAGAACCATGAACATCAACTGGAAATTAATTACTAAGAAACTGTTATGTTTTGGTTGTACATTAGCTATAATAATGGCATCCTGCTTATGTAAAAGCTTTACATGAAAAATAAAATGTCCAGGGTTTGTTTTATTAAACTCAAGCTGAAGAAACAAGCAAAACACGAAGCAGGTGAGGAGGGACGATAAACCGTGAGAGTAACAGGCACCACCGGGCTCACCAGATTATCTTGTTTTTATTCAAATTCTCTTTTTAAAATTTTCATAAAACAAGTCTAAAAAGCACTAAGCAACATTACTATTTTTGCTTAGCATATCTCAAGAAAGTGTGTGTGCGTGCTTAGCTGTATCCAACTCTTTGCGACCCCATGAATTGTAGCCCGCCAGGCTCCGCTGTCCATGGAATTTCCCAGGCAAGAATACTGGACTGGGTTGCCATTTCCTCCTCCAGGGGATCTTCCCACCTCAGGGATCAAAGTGGAGTCTCCTGCATTGGCAGGCAGATTCTTTACCCCCTAGCACCACCTGGGAAGCTCAAGAAATAGTATAACTTTGAGCAAAAGAGAAAAAAGCCACAGACTCCCTGCTGGGCTGTTCCACTCGATTTCACGTTCTTTCAACCACTGCTCCTCTCCTTCAGACGTGGAGCCCACACCTCCAGGGAAACCGGCCCACACAGCTCTGGAGGCGGGTCATTTCACAGGTAAAGAGGCCCTGCCTTTCACTGGAGCTTACACAGCTCACTGTTACCAAAGCCCATCCTTAAAGACGTCATCCTGAGACTTCCCTCCGGCCCGGTGGTTAGGACCCTGCGCTTCCAATGCAGGGGCCTGGCTTTGATCGCCGGTCAGGGAACTAGATCCTGCATGCTGCAGCTAGGACTTGGGAGAGCCAAATAAATATTTTTTAAAAAATAACAAAAATAAAAAGGCTGTCTCCAAAACAGTTCAGAAGGTGTGGAGTCCCTTGTGGTTTTCCACATCCTTCCTTCAACCAGAATAGATCAGATTCCCTGGCGGTCCAGTGGTTAGGGCTCTGTGCTTCCACTGCAGGAGGCATGGGTTTGATCCCTGGTCGTGGAACTAAGGTCCCAAGAGCCTCCGGGCTCAGCCATAAAAAAAAAAAAAAAAAAAAACAGACCTAACCCTAATTAAGGATTCAAACAAAAAACAACACCAAATAAGAAAATTCCACCATATTATTTCCCACACTTTATAAAAACATAGCATCATAGAATTTTTGATTAATCTTTCATTTTCTGCTGTTTTAAAAGCCCTGTCCTTTTGCTGAAACAAACTGCTTTGGGTCTTTAAAAAGAGAAGATTTTAAACGCATGTATTAGATATTTGGACACAAAAAAATGGGCTCTGAAGGGCCTAAGAAAATAAAACTGCCTGCTGAAAGGACTCTGGGTAGCTCACAGTTTCCAAAAGGAACGCAGATGCGAGGAGAGTGCAGGCATGAGGGGGCAACAGGAGCCACAGCCGAGGGTGCGAACCTGACCCCGTGAGGGCGGCACTGGCCCTTCACCACTGACCTGACTCGTGAGGACAGGGCAGGCCCTTCACCACCCAATACGGGTTCCTGGGCAGCTAGCTTCTCTGCCACCCACATTCAGAGGGTAAAATGTCTCTCAACACAGGAAGGGGCTTCCAAGCCAGGAAACCAACAATTGATAGGTCTTTTTGTTTTCATACTAAGATTATTTGGTAGTTTCTCACCATCAGGAAGTTAAGACAAAAGGGCAATGTTCTAGTATCATCCAATTACTCCTGAGCTTAGCACTCCATTCTGTAAGGACAACGTGGGCTCAAATGATACCCTAGTGGGGGAACATCATGTTACAAACTGCTGCCGCTGAAGGGCGTCACAGTAATGGCACAGAGACGGCACCTCTTCTTCTCCACAGCGCACCTGGACAGACAGCAGTCCTCTCAAGTGATGCCGCTGAGACTCTGCCCCACCCAGAACAGCAACAAACAAGAACCTGGAAAGATCCCAGACACCTAACAAAACCTCAGTGAGCGAATTGACTCTTCAGTAGCAGTAGATTACTGCCCTGGAGGGCAGAACAGTGGACTAAGAATGCAGCCTGCCAAATCAGCAACGGAGGATGTCTCGGCCATTACCCTTCAGTGACTGCAGCCACCCCTGAAGGTGCAGCCTGGGGAAACGCCCGCCACCCCGCAAACCTGCGCAGCAACCAGCCCCACAAGTCCTGAGGGAACGTAGCATGGGAAAGCACAGGTCACTGGCCCCAGAGAGCTGGGGTGGAGATCAGGGCAAGACTTCAGCGAGCCCAGACTCCTGCATCTTCTCACACAGAGAAAGCACCAAGTTCCTTAACTTGGGTTATCTGGTTTTCCTTAACAATAATCTTCTGACCTTTGAACTACCTGCCCTTTGTTGCAAAAACTCCTATATACCCTGGCTTTTTCTCTGGGCTATTTGAGATGCTGTCCCCCAAGCCTGAAGTCCTAAAAATGTCAGAGGCATAAAGCACAGCTCTCAACTTCTAGCTTGTGCATCTTTAGTCAACAAAAAGCCAACAAGCCTGGGGTTCCCTCAGCCTCTTAACGTCCTTCCTCTTAAGTGAGGCCCCGCTGAGAGTCTTCCCTGTCCAGGACAGCAGCAAAGATCCAGAAAGGTCCCTAAGCATCTCACCAAAACATCAGTGAGTCCACACTGCAGTCTTCAGGCCCTTCAGCGTCAGACTTTCTCAGCGGTGTGTTAGAATCTGGAGCGGAAGGGTGGGTAAACCGGAAAGGAATGACAAGGAAAAGACAAAACCTACACAAAGCAAACACGTGGAAGGTCAACACCACCACCCCCGCCACGGGAATCACAGTCTGTTGGGCGGGGTGCCGGTAGGCGGCTCCTGAGCGGGTGGTCGGAGGCGCCGAGGCCGCAGCGGGCGGGGTGGACAGGGCTGGACGGCCGCCTCTCCGCAGAGGCCCGGCGCGGCCGGACCGCAGTCCAGAGAAGAGGACCTGGCAGTCCCGAGGCGCGCGGGGGACCAGGGCGTGGGCGAGAGGCACTTAAGGAAGGTTGGGGAAGCGGCGGGCTGGGGCTTCCCCGAAACTTCCGAGCAGACGCTGCCCCGCCCGGCCCCTCTGGGACGGTCTCGGAGGGCTCGCAGCGGGCGCTCAGCGAGCCCTCCGCGGCCCCTCCACCTCGGACTATGTCAGCCTTCCTTACGCCCGAGCTCTGCGTGCTTCCGGAGTGTCCACTTCCCCGCCCCCGGCCCCTACCCGGCCCTCGTGGAGACCCTCAGAAAGTGTCCACTTCCCCGCCCCCGGCCCCTACCCGGCCCTCGTGGAGACCCTCAGAAAGTGTCCACTTCCCCGCCCCCGGCCCCTACCCGGCCCTCGTGGAGACCCTCAGAAAGTGTCCACTTCCCCGCCCTCGTGGAGACCCTCAGAAAGTGTCCACTTCCCCGCCCCCGGCCCCTACCCGGCCCTCGTGGAGACCCTCAGAAAGTGTCCACTTCCCCGCCCTCGTGGAGACCCTCAGAAAGTGTCCACTTCCCCGCCCCCGGCCCCTACCCGGCCCTCGTGGAGACCTCAGAAAGTGTCCACTTCCCCGCCCCCGGCCCCTACCCGGCCCTCGTGGAGACCCTCAGAAAGTGTCCACTTTCCCGCCCTCCTCCAGGAGCCCCCCCGACGCCGAGGCCACGTCCCTGCAAGGCACGGCCGCCGAGGCGCACCCACCCTCGGCCCGCAGCGGAGAGCCGCAGTCTGGTCCTCCCGCAGCCGCGGGACGGACCCGGCGGCTCCGTGGGCAGGTGACCGGCCGCGTCCCCGCCCGCCCTTCGCTTTCCGCGACCTGGGACCTGACCGGGATCGCAGGCGAGACCTGCGTCACGTGGCGCAACGGTCACGTGCCGAGGGCAGGTCACGTGCAAGGAGGGCGCGGGGCGGAGCCTGAGCTCGCGCGCTCTCGCGAGACCCGCGGGGGTCACGTGACGGCGCGGGAGCGGTGCGGCCTCACATGACGGGCGCCGCCGGCCGCGGGGTCTCTTTCTCGCAGCGGGCGCAGCGCCTGGACCTGCTGCCCTCTCGCCAGCCCGGTCAGTCCCCGGCCCGATCGCCCGGCCAGGCCCGGCCCAACCGACCCCGCCCCGCCCGGCTCCCGCTCGCGCCTATGGCGGCTCTCGGCGGCGCCCGGCGACGGCCGCTGGTCCTGCTGCTGTTCGGTGAGAGGCCGGGCGGGGGCCGAGGGCTCGGGGTCCGCCGGCTGAGGGGCCGTGCGGGTCCCGGGGACGGAGGCTCCGGGAGCGCCGTCCGCCCCGGACGGGCCGGCTGCCGGGGGCGGGGTCGGCCCGGGTGCCTGGAGGGGACGGAGGGTCTTGGGGCTGCCCTCGGGCTTCGGAGCCCGCTTCTGGGGTCCGTTGGCGGAGACTTGGCGGGTTCTCAGCGCTGCGGTTCGTCTCCTCACCTTGGGGGCTCCGGTGGTCGCGGAGGGCTGCGAGCGGCTGCACCCGAGACGAGGACGGGGCGGGCCTCGGTCCCCGCGGGGAACAGGGCGGGCGGCGACCCCGGCCTCGGGAGCCCGTCCTGCGGGCTTTACCCTTGGCCCTGCAGGCCGGCACGGAGCGCTGACATGTGTTCTGACGTCGCTTGCTCGCTGTGCCTTCTCATTAGGTTATAACGACCTCGTTACCCCGGGGAGTTTCAGGGAGCCCGCAGTGGACAAAGGGCCTGGCGTCACAGTGGCCGTGCTCATGTCTATCGAGGCATCGTCGGAAGAGCGGCGTGTGTGTGACTCCAGAGTCGTGCGTGGTTGCGGGTGTTTTCTCCGTTGAGGGATTTTGCTCTCATTTATTTGTCCTAATGAGAGAGAAACCGTGTTGACTGAACAGGAATCACTACCTAGTTTGATTTGACTTTAGGGCTTTTGACAACTCTCTCTCTGGCACTTTCTCTCCTGGTCCCCATGACACGGGAAGATGAAAGTGCTAGGATCTGAAAAGTGCTACTGGAGCGCGCTAGAGTTCAGCAGACACAGAGGCACTTTCCACCCCTACCTTCTGGGAATTCTAGACGTTTGCTCTGCAATCCTGTTGCTGGTGACAGAATGGATTTTGATTTCGCGTTCTTGTTTTGCCTGTTGTATAAAATGCATTCTTTGAGCTGCCAGACCAGCCGCAAGGGGTGACCTTATTCCATCAGCAAACCTGGAGCCTAGATCTCCCTGGCAGGTGTCTTGAGTTAGGTGAGGAGTTCCTGGGACGAGTCTTGTCGTGTCAGGGTGGCTGGCTGTTCTTTATTAGAAAAGCTTGCCTGCGTTACAAGTTTATTACTGTGTTTTATGTTTTAAAAACTCACCTGATGAAGAGAAAAATCCATAACTTCTCTACATTGATAGCTTGGAGTATCGTGCATATAATTACTTTTTTGATGTCCATTTTGTCATGTCTTTTAAGTTTTATATTTGATTAAAAATCCGTTTTAAGAAAAGTTTTGTTAAGAGCTTGGATTTGGATCTGTTTAAAGTAATGTTTATTTTAATACACAATTTCACCAAAAAGCATTTTTCTAAAGATGTTTCAGAGTTCTAAATTACAAAGTCATGCTGCATTAATAACTAGAAATTTAAGTTTTGTTTGAAAATTTTGTAGAAAGCTAGGCAAATGTGAACTGAAACTTTTTGATACATAGATCAAGTATTACCTAATGGGACTCTTGACCGTTGATGTCACCCAGATGACCTTCCCCTTTCAAAATGAAGAACTGTTGCTTACAAAATAGGGAGAAAAAAAAAATTTTTTTTTTAACCGATAATGTTACTCTCGCTTGTGGGAGTTTGTTAGTTACACAGGTTGGCGATCCAGTTCTTCATTAGGTTTGAAGTTTAAATGTTTTAGGTCCTTAATTTTGAATTTATATTGTTAGATCCATGCTAGGCTGTGGTAGTCCTTTCTTTGCTTGTCCGAAAGACTTGACTCCATGTGTGTATGACCTGCACATCTTCTGGAGAATCTGTTCAGCTGTGTTGTGATTATGTTTATGCCTGTGTCTTCCGTATCCTACAGCCTATCTCAGTCTCACACATTAAGTGCTCAGGACCTGTGTGAAGAGAACGTCCAGTTTGACAACAGTGCCCCCTAGCAGAACATGCATGTCAGCTATTCGGAAATGTACACAGTAGTCTTAGAGGTTGTGATTCTGTGGTTGTGATTCTTTTTCTTCTTTTAAGTCTTCATACATGATTATGTATCACTGATTATAAAAATACTGGGTTCAAAAGACTTGATCTTGGATTAGAAAGTGATTTCTTTTAAAAAGTTAATGAATCTATTGACTTGTTCCTCTAGATGGCAGTCTCTTTCACATCTCCAGTGAGCGTCGTAATTTGAAACGTAATCATTGCTCGCTGAGTGTTGGAGAGAAAGTGTTCAGGTGTGGTGAGCTCGACAGGCATGGTCTGAGTCAGCAGGCCCAGTTCCAGATTGGCTCTTCTCCATCGTGGCAGTGTGACCTTGAGCATGGTGGTAAACTCTCTGCTTTGGACTCCCATCTGTAAAAGAGAGTCCTCATAGTGTCTTCCTATTAAAATTGTCACAGTAATTCAGTTACCCGGAAAGCACAGTACAGGTGCTCGTTAAATAAAACACCTGACGGTTTGTGTCAGTTGCCACGGATTCAGTGATGAGCTTGGTAGGTGAAGCCTTGTGACGCTGAACGCGTCGGTGGTAACAGCTCATTCTGAAGGCGGGCCCTGGCCATGTTCTCAGTGCTCCGCTTGCTTCAGCTAACTTGATGCTCTGACAGCTCTCATGTCCGCTCACTTATTTTCACTGTACAGGTGCCTAAACTGAGGGTTTGGTGATTCCTCCAAGCCCAGCTCATAGGGCCAGGAGTGGCGGAGGAGTCTGTTTAAGATTGCGCTTTCACCTTAGGTAGGCATGCTCCCACAGCTTGTTTTGGAGACTGGAATGTCTCCAGATGGAAGTTTTCTGAAGGAATAAGGTATTTCTCACGGGACCCTGGAGAGAGGATGACGGCGAGTCCTGAGTGAAGGGTTGCCCATGGTGCAGGTTCTGACCTTCAGGAGGGACACTCCTCAAGTTATGAAACATTCTGACTTGAGGTAGTGGTGTTTTTATAGAGTTAAACTTCTGACCATTCTCATACATGCGTTCTCTTAAAATTTTATGTTATAATGCTGTTGTAGACATTTTTCTCTTGACCAAAATTGACTTGTGATTTCTTGTTTTAATTGAAAAATTTCTGGGCCTCTCCAGAATACATGTGGGCCTCTAGCGCTGCTGAAGTCTGTTTGAAGTTTGTTTTAGTAATATTTCTTTGTTCTTTGAAAGCTCAGGTCCTTAGCATGTTTATTACTAAATGAGGGAATTATGTGGTTGAAAAGTTATTTAATGTGAAGTGTTTTCTAGTAGAGTGCTTTGAGTCAGTAGGAAGTGTTTGGTGATTTAAGGAACTCTTACAGGAGAGCAGCTTGGTAGGAGCTGATGTGGGAGGCAGTGGCCTGCCCCACTGAGCCCGTGGCGCACATGGTGGCACGTGGATCCCACAGTCAGGGCAGGGCAGGGCCGCCCAGGCCTGGGGTGTCCGTGTGCACCGGGCGCTGGCCGGCGTCCAGTGTCCGCCTGTCTTCTGTGCCCGTCTGCCTCTGCTGCTGGGCCTGCGTTTGCCTGGCTGGCGCCTCAGCGGCTCTCGTGCGTTTACCCTGTCGCGCTCAGAGGCGTCTTCAAGACCTCCGAGTGTCAGAACTGAATCATGGGGTTTTCCTTTTAAAAAAAACAGTATTCGTTCATTGGAAATGAATTTAGTGTCATCTTACTTGAGTATTCTGAGGAGTAGCTTAAAAATTTGTGAATCAAAACAGACAAGAATGTCCGTGATGCCCTCGGTGGCTTCGTCCTTGTGTAGCAGCTTTCCTCTCTCGCTCCAGCTTGATGTTTCTTCTACCTGAGGCTTACGGGTGGACTGTGGGGATTCTGTCTATCCTCTCTGCTTTAGGCCTAAATAATAGTTGCTCTGAGGATTTTATTTGGTGCCAGTTGCAAGGGTGGAGTGAACTGGGTTCACTGGAGTCACTTATACATGAGCAACAGGGACCACACGTGGGAAGCTAGCTGCTGCTCTCGGAGTGCACCACCTGGGTCGCCTTCACCCTTAGAGCCGTCGGAGGCAGGTGTGTCCCGTCCTGGTGAAGGGTGTGCAGGGACCTATGCTGCAGAAACACAGAGGTGTGTCTCTTGGCACGTGGCCACACCTCTGCTGGCTGAAAGCTGTTTGGGTTTAGAAGGGTCAGAACATCTATTCCTGCCCATCTGTGCGAGAACCAGGTGCTGAAGTGCATGGCTGTAAGCTCAGCTCTGTGCCCCTAATCAGGGTGCACCTGTTGCTAAGCTGCCTGCTCGGGCTGTGGCCCTGGCCCTGGCCCAGAGCCGCGGTCACGCCCAGGCTGGACAGCTCCCTTCTGCCCTTCCCTCGGGCACTTGGCTGTGGTGCAGCGGTGGCGTGGGGTCCTAAGGTCGCACAGCCAAGCCCAAGAGCCAATGGAGTTACTGTGTTTTGAGGCCCTTCTGGAAGAGGGTAAAGAACTCTGATCTTCGAGTCTATGGCTTTTCCTGCTCTGTCAGCAGGTAAATCGGGCAACTCTTGAGCTGCAGCGTGGGTCCACCGTTTGTGTAGAATGTCAGCGTTTGGTTCCAAGGTTCAGTCCGTTCTCCAGGACCCTGCCCTGCCTCCCTGAGGTCCTCTGAGGAACCAGCGTGAGGCCATCTGGGCCTGGGGTGACCCCACGGACGGGGCGGCTTTCGAGAGGACAGTGTCACGGTGGTGTGGGGGCCGGAGGCCCTGTGGGCCCAGCCCTCGGTGCCTGCCTGTCCCGGTCTTTTTGGCAGTTAAGCAGCTTTCCCAGTAACAGCCACGCTGCTGCAACTGTGAGCCACAGACATTTTCAAAAAGTCACACGGTGGTTTCTCTCTGGGAGTCAGCAGGCCTCGTGCACGGCGCATCGGCAGTGTTCGTGGTGAAGAATGGCAACGGGACCGCCTGCGTCATGGCCGACTTCTCTGCTACCTTCCTGACCAGCTACGACACCAGGCGTGGGCCCCAGGTAGGAGAGCCCGGGCCTCCGCGCCCCGCTGTGTGCGCGTGTGCTGGACCTGCTTGACCTCCCCACACGCGCGCGTGTTCTGGGTCGCGCACTGCGGCGTCCCGTGGCGCCGGGTGGTCTGTGCTCACTGAGGCTGCAGTCACACAGGCCGTTGTGGGCTCTGCTCTCTCGGTTTCACTCTGGGCCTTTTCCAGCTTTCCTCATGAGTACATTTCACCCTCACAACGCAGTGCTTCATTACGCTAACGACACGGTTTTGCTCGCCTGTCACCTGTAGCTGAGCTCTCTTCTTCTGCCTGGTGTGCAGCTCTGGGAATAGAGCTTTTGTGATCTGTTGGTTTTGCTTTAGATAAACTGTTACGCTGCAGGAATTACATGTGAACACGTGTTGGAGGTGCAGGGTGACTGCACTACTTTGCTAGGACGTCCCTTGTGGTTTTGTTACAGCAGCACTGCACTTCCGCAGAGTGAGGACTTCTCGCTGCTGGCCAAGGTCCCTGACAAATGAGCAGCGCTTCTCTGCTTTTGGTGCCGTGCTTACTTGCGCCCGACTCTGCTTCCCTGTGGACTGTGGCCCGCCAGGCTCCTCTGTCCATGGTGTTCTCCAGACAAGAGCCATTCCCTTCTCCCTCTCTGTTGATTCTTCCTCCGTTAATTACCTGCTTGTGAACTTTGCACTTACTTCTTCCATTTACGTTTGCTCCTGTAAATATGTCCTTGCATCAGATTTTGCTGCCAGTGCTTCGTTGAAGCACCGCTTTTCTTACCCATCCCCATGTCCGCCGCACGCCGTCTGCTGGCGCCTGGAGAGCAGGGGCAGCCCAGTACTCCCAGGAGGAGGAGGACGAGCAGGTCCTGCGGAGCCCCCTGGACTTGGCAGCCGCCTGGGCTCCTCTTGATGTAAATGATGTTTGTCAGACAGAAGGGAGCGCTGCAGGCTTGATCCATGGAGATGCCTCTCGTAAAGATTCGTCCGGGCACCTTTTCATTTCTACTTCACTTTTTTGGGGTTTGAATTTTTAAGTATTGTTTCATTATATGTTAATCGTATTACACAGGTGGGATCATTTGTTTGCAGTAATGTGACTTCCCACTTCACAAAATCTCTGTCACAGTTGTGGTCTGTCTACAGGACAGGGCTAAGACAGCGTCTCGCTGGCCACTCGCTGAGTTCAGGTCATGGAGATGGGCTTCGGTGGTTCTGTAGTTGTTTGTTTTGCTTGTAATAGTTCACGCAAACAGTTCTGCAGTAAACTTCATTTTCTCTTTGTTTAGAGAGACATGTTCTTTAAATAAGCTCTGTAGCAGTCACGAAGGTCTGAGAGTATCAGCTCATCCGGACCCAGCATGAATTATTTCAGTTTATGTGATAGATTTATTTTCGTTCTTATGTGAGGTAAAATAACATCAGTGAAGACAATGTTAGTAATTAGGTCATCCTTATCTTACACTTGAATTACTTTTTGGTCTGTTACTTGACATAAAATACTTCCATGTCTTTTGTTTTTATGACAAATGTATGCATTGTTAGTGATGTCTGAGGTGGAGAGGGTCTGGGTTCCGAGCTGTGGTTTCTGAACCCTGTAGTAACCCGTCGTCGTGTTGGTTCCAGAACGTGTCCTTCAATCTGCCACCTGGTGCAGAAGTGTCAAACAGCAGCTCCTGTGGCAAAGAGAATGCTTCTGACCCCAGTCTCATGATCACTTTTGGAAGAGGCCACATGCTGACCCTCACTTTCACCAGAAATGCAACACGTTACAAGGTCCAGCTGATGCGCTTTGCTTATAACTTGTCAGACACAGACATTTTCCCCAATTCGAGCTCCACAGGTAAGAACTGGTGTGGACCAGTGATGAGGTGAAGAGACCTGGGTTGGGGAGTATCTAAACTGCTTTTAAGCAAGCACTTCAAAGGGTTAAAAACCGATTTTTTAAAATATAGGAGTCAAGACTGTGGAGTCGGTGACCGACATCAAGGCCGACATCAATAAAACGTACCGGTGTGTGAGTGACGCCCGGGTCCACATGGGCAGCGTGACAGTCACGCTCCGAGATGCCACCATCCAGGCCTACCTGTCCGGCAGCAACTTCAGCAGGGAGGGTGAGGACCCCGCCGGGGCCCCGGCCCCCTCTGTGGGGAAGGCGCCCTGCTCTCTGAGGTTGGGTTCAGATGGGGTGCGGGGCAAAGCAGGCAGACCCTCTGCCCTCGTCATGGAGTGGATGGGGTCGGGGGGGCAGTCTCTACACAGAGGCCTCGCCCACCACAGTCCCACTCAGGCAGGCGGGCCCGGGGTGCCACTCAGGAAGACCACATCCCCCTCCTGTGAGATGAGCGTGCTGACCTCTCAGGGGGCGTGGGGGGGCCCAGGAGTCTGCAGAGAGTGCCCTGGGCACCGCACGGCCTGCTGTCTTCTGCGTCCGACTCCCTATATCCTGTTGGTCAGCTCACAGGTCACTGTGGGGGAGGTGGCATCCCCCCACCCTGCTCCTTGTGCCAGCCTTGCCTGGTGGCTCAGAGTGGCCGGCAGTAGGCCTGGGCCCTCCTGCTCCCAGTGGGGCTGCACGGCCAACAGATGAAGGTTAGTGTTTGTGATCAGAGATTTAATGTTAAAAAGAAATCCAAAGACTGTTTCACAACAGGTGAAGGTAAGGCTTTCCGTGCCTGTGACCGACCTCTTGTGGGGAGCAGCCACAGGCCCTCGCCCTCCCACTCTCATGCTGCTTCTGTGCTCGCATGGTGGAGCCAGACACCCACGGCCACCATCCGCAGCAGCCACCACCTGGCCCTCCTCAGAGGAGGCTTGCCAACCACTGACCCCACAGGCACGTCAGTGGCGGGGCGGGGGCTGAAGGAAGCCCCACGTGACCGGGAGATGCGTGGCCCGCGGCCCCATCACAGGGCTGAGGGGCAGGTCCTGAGGCCGCCACGCGGCCCTGGTCAGGCCAGCCCTGGAGGGTCCCGGCTGCTCCTGGGGCAGAGAGCACGTGAGGCTGTGGGTGTGAGCTGGGGTCTATGCGCTCGGGGGTGCCCATGGCAGCAGGTCACGTGCTCTCAGGAGCCCGGGTTCGCAGTCAGCAGCTGAGCGTGGGTCTCAGCAGAGGGAAGCAGTGCGGACTCAGGAGGTCAGGCCAGGCGGGTGGCATCTGGGCACGCCTCACCTGACGGCCGCCTTCTGCTTCTGAGGCCTCTGAATGCAGGCACAGAGACTCATGTTGCTGTTAAGGTAAACAATCGCTTTGTTTTTAGAGTACTGGTCTCAGAGCAGTTTTAGGTTCACGGCAGAACCGCAGAGGGTACAGATTCCGCACGTAGCCTGGTCCCCACGCAGGGGCCGCCCTCTCGTCAGTGGCCACATGGTGGTCTCTCTCCAAGGAGGGACGGCACAGGCGTGAGGCCCCTGCATGGGGTTCTCTCCCTGCTGGGGTCACCGCCCACCCGTGGCCCCCTTGTCTGCTAGGTGTGGCCTCCTGCCCGCCCTGAACGGGCTTGCGGCAGTTGTGGCCTGGGCATGGGTCTGGGCTCCAAGCCTGACCTGCGGGGCCGCCCCTGCTGGCCCCCGGGGGACACGGGCTGCTGCTGGCCTGTGGCACGTGTCCAGTGTCTGCCCCGCCTGGCCTGGGCGCTCCTGACCCTCTGCTGTTGCCTCGGGGCCGTGTCCAGCCTGGCGTGCAGGCGCTCAGACAGTGTGTGAGCCGTCACTGTTACATATGGCCTCGGAGACACCGTCCCAATGGCACAGGCCACGGTTGAGGTTTTGTTCCTGACTTCACGGGAGGTTTGTTCTGCGAGAGGATGTCCTTGTGGGCGAGGGGCCGCCCGAGGCCCTAGGGTTCCAGGAGCAGGAGGAGCTGGGAGTGCAGGCAGGAGTCGGGGGCCGGGGGCAGCCCACTCCCGCTTAGCATTTCTGGAGCCCTGGCTCCCTGGAGGCTGAGCACACTCACCCCACTGTCCCCGCAGAGACGCGCTGTGAACAGGACCTGCCCACCCCGGCCACCCCAACCGCACCCCCCCAGCCCTCGCCCACCCCAGCTCCCGCGAGCCCCACGGTGTTCAGGTACAGCGTGAATGGCACCAACGGAACCTGTTTGCTGGTCAGCATGGGGCTGCAGCTGAACGTCACCTACAGGACAGTCGACAACAAGGTGGGCTGGCCGGAGCCCTGCTCCCTGCACTGGGTCCTGGGACAGGTCGTGGGCGGTGTGTCCTGGGGCGCTCGGCTGGACCCCCATCCCCCCGGGCCGCTGTCCTGAGGCCACAGAGCCGGAAGCTGCCGTCCCCTCGGGGCAGGTGTGTCAGCCCTGAGAGAGGGCGGGCTCTGCCGAGTGTCCACCAGGTGCTCAGGGCTCTCTGCTCGTCTCCCCGAGGCCAAGGGCCTGGGGTGGCTTGAGAGACAGAGGCCTGCCCCTCCTGCAGCGATGAGAGCCGGGGAAGGCTGCCGGAAGTACAGAAGCTGTCTGCACCCAGCAGTCTTCCCTGAGTGGACTTGCGTCTCTCCTCCTGGTTTTGCTCCTGTGGACGGGCCGTGGAGCCACTGCCTCCCGGCCGCCTCCGCCCGCTCAGGCCCGGAGCTGGTGGGTGGGGGGCTGAGCCTTGCTCTCCTCACAGACGGCGACCAGAGAGCTCAATGTCAGCCCCGACAGCACCACCTTCGGGGGCACCTGCGCCGCCACGCTGGCGACCCTGGAGCTCTACAACAGCGACCTCCTGCTCCTGGTGCTTCAGTTCTCATTGGTGAGGCCCCCAGCCCTGCCTGGTCTGCGGGACCCCGGCCCCCTAGCCTGCGTCCATCAGCAGGACCCTCGCAGTACTGGTGGTGTTGCAGGAGCTGGGGTGGCCTGAGGCCTCGGGTGCTGTCCCCACCCCATCTTCGAGTGGCATCCCCGTGCCCCCACTCTGCACCTCTGCCCGGGGCGAGTCCAGTCAGCAGGAGACCAGGGGCGCACAGACACGGCCCTGGTGGACGTGCGTGCCTCACTCTGCAGCGGATCGCTGTGCTTCTCCTGATAAATGCTTTCCCGGAAAGTGCAGTGTTGGCTTTTGGGGAGCATGGCTCCTTTAGCCCCTATCCTAGCAGACTCCGGCTCTGGGCAGGGACTGTAAGGAGCCACCTGGAGTTCCATTACTGAGACGACAGGCTGCCTTCTCGCTCCCGAGCGCCGTGCAGTTTCCTCCTGAGGCTGGGGGCACCGGCTGTCACTGTCACCAGCGGGTGACCCTCCGGTCTGATGGTGACCATGTGTTTGTCGTCTTCTCTAGAACGAGAGCTCCAGCCGGGTTTTCCTGCAAGGAGTCCAGCTGAACCTTACTCTGCCCGACGCCAGAGGTGAGACCTCCACCCCCGCCCCACCCCGCATGCCCTGCAGGTGGCTGGCACGCTCACCCCTCTGCCTTTGCAGGCCACAGCTTCACGGCCTCCAACAGCTCGCTGAGCGCACTGCAGGCCACTGCGGGGAGCTCGTACAAGTGCGACGCCGAGCAGCGCCTGCGGGTCACCAGCACCTTCTCCCTCAACATGTTCAGAGTGTGGGTGCAGGCCTTCCGTGTGGACGGGGGCAAGTTTGGGCCTGGTGAGTAGGCAAGGTGGTCAGGAGCAGGGCCCCGGCATCCTCTGCCTGTGTCCCTGACTCCGCAGGGCCAGCCCGGCCATGGGTGCTCCCACCACCCTCCAAGCAGGGCTGGGGAGGCCTCCCCACGAGAGCCGTTGGGGCGAGCCCGATGTCTGTCTGTCCGTCCCGCAGTGGAGGAGTGCCAGCTGGATGAGAACAGCATGCTGATCCCCATCGCTGTGGGCGGCGCCCTGGCCGGGCTGGTCCTCATTGTGCTCATCGCCTACCTGATCGGCCGCAAGAGGAGCCACGCCGGCTACCAGACCATCTAGTCGCGGGCACAGCCCCGGCCGCTTCCCTGGGCTTAGGTCACTGTCGGGGGCACTTTCTTGCAAACTGGTTTTCAAATCTGCTTTATCCAACGTGAAGTTCATCTGGCAACACTTACTATGCACAAGAGAGTAACTATGGAAATGACGGTGTTAATTTTGCTAACTGGGTTAACTATTTTCCTAACTGGTTAAACTGTTAATATTTACCAAAGTAGGACTCTTAAGGGGGTGGGGGGTAAGAGCTTTTCTAAATGGGCACAGGCTCCACTTTGGTTTGGCTTCCTGAGACCATGGTGTTGGGGCTTTTCACTCAGATGTAAGCCTCACAGAGGGAGGGTCTGGTCTACGGCTTTGTTGAAGGCGGTGGCCGGGCAGTGAGCGTGGAGGGCGAGACACAGACCCAGCTCCTCAGTTCAACCTCGGCGCCTGGCCCGGCCCGGCCCCCAAGCCTCAGGGCTCCCGGCGCTGGGTCCTGGGGCCCATGCACTGCCTCTTGAGAGCTGGCACTTTTTAAAATAGAAAAATGGGTGTTATTTTTATTTTACTTTTTTGTAAAGTGATTTTCCATTTTCTGTTGGAGGTTTGGGGTGATCCTCTGTCCGCACCGTGTACAGTAGTCCTTCCGCTCTGCTCATCGCTTGCAGCTCAGTGGGCTGTGTGCCAAGGATCCCCTCTGGGGCGCGTTGCCGTAACGATGCTAATAAAACATCTGTCTGTCTGGGCCTCCCGCATGCTTTTGCTGGCTCCCACGAGAGGTGGCAGTACGTGAGCTGGGTCAGCAGGTCAGCTTGGGGGGCTGCCCGAAGGCCAGCAACTCGAGAAAGGCGGTCTTTGGTTAGGACCCAGCAGGGGGATCCCGCTTTCTGGGGACAGATCTCTGTGGAAGACGGTTCCTTAACCCAGTCCTACAAGTTGGTGGATGAGGAGGGGTGCTCAGGCCCAAGTAGGCAGAGGCTGGCCCCTGGCCACCCCCCAGCAGCCCCGATGCAGGCCCCATGAGCTCCCAACATGGCCGTCTCCCGGGGGGGCAGCACCCTGCCATCTGCAGGGTCAGTCTCTGCAGGGCAGTGGGGTTTGGAGCCCCTGCCGGGGCACGTGCCCCTCAAGCTGCAGCTGGTCGGCTCCCGAGGCGGCGAACCTGTCAGCTGGTCCCCTCCCAGGACACGCCGTTTCCCAACCCCTGCCTGTGCCCACTGTCCCCACGTCCTGTGCAGGGCACAGCCTGCCTGGGCGAGGGGTTTCCCACGAGCGACGCCATATCCAGACGGAGGGAGATGGCAGTTGCAGGGTGGAGGGCTGGGGCCTCCGGCCGGGAGAGGAGGGGTCTCGGGGCACCTCCTCCCCACGAGTTCTGGGGTGACAGCTACTCAATTACACCTGGTTTACATGCCGTCTGTGCAGCCACTCTTAGACTGCAGGCTCAAGAGCTGACGTTACGAACACACGCACCTCACATTACACACACGTCAGCATCTCAGGTGAAAATATGTATTTAGAAACAACAGACAGCTCCCAGTGAAGAGCATGTACAGAAGGACCGCTCAGTCGCCAGTGACTGCTCCAGCCGGAGGTGGCAGCTCGAGGCATCAGCCCTGCACCAGCAGCCGCGCCCTGCAGCGCTCCCGCAGCCGTGCGATGCTGGCCCTGGACAGGCTGCCAGGCTCCGAGAATATTCTCTGGAACAGAAATGGGTTCGTTTAGACCTTCCCAGCTCCTGGTGGTGGCTGGGCTGAGGCCAGCGAGTGGAGGAACGTCAGTTTCCTTCACACGTGACAAAGCAGAAGGCGGTTAGTGACACAGCTCCAGCATCAGTACAGACGCCTCCAAAGCAGCCGCACTGCCCCAGGGGACCAGCGGGGGCGCTGGGGCCACGGCTGCCGGACCTTCCCTGGGAGGGCAGGGCAAGTGGAGCCCTTCCCCCAGAGGATGAGGGCGTGGGGAGCAGAGGAGGGCTTACTGCAGGATTGAGCAAGAACAGGCCGCTGGTGTCCCCCCAAACGCCCGCAGGGATTTCAGCAAAGCGCTCTGAGGACCAGGGGTGGGGCGGGGGGTGGATATGGTCCCAGGGTGTGTGTGCAGCTGGGGCCCAGCTCTGAACATCAGTCCTCAGGCCAGGCCACGTCCTGGCTGCAGCCACTGCAAAGCTCAGGAAAGTGCCTGAGACAGGATGTCTGGCCACAGGGGAGACGGCACACGGGCTCCTGCCCCCTTACACTCGGGTCACTTTTAAAATGCTGATTCCAGTCCGTGAAGTAAACATCTGATTCCGAAGTCAGAGGTTCTGAGCCACTGGAATTAAAACTGGGTGACATCCAGTTTCCACTCTTAACTGGCTTTGTGTGTGTGCACTAAAGCCACACCATTTATCCCTGAGCCACTCGAGGTGTGCGGCTGAGGAGTGTCAGGTCTGCGCCCGTGGGGTCGCCTTCCGGCTCCTCCTCATCTCCCAGCCTATTGCGTCCCCAGCCCCCACTTCCATCTCTATAAACCTGACTCCTCTAGGGGCCTCGCGTTAGTGGAATCAGTTTTTGTCCTTCTGTGACAATCACTGAACATGATGTCTCCAGGTTCATCCAGGGTGGAGCAGGTGTCGGATCTCCCTCCCTCTTAAGGCTGAGTGAAAGCCCGCCGTGTGTCTGGACCACACTGGTTCCCCATCCACTCGTGTGGCCTTGCAGGTCACGTCCACGCTGCAGCTGCTGTGACGCTGAAGTGAACGTGGGTGGGCAGCGTCTCCTGGAGGTCCTGCTTCCATTTCCTTTCGAGAAATACAGCAGTGGAACGGCTGGATCAGACAGTAGCTCTTCAGCTTCTGAGGAGCCTCCATACTGTTGTCCAGGGTGGATGCACCATTTTACACTCTTACTAACGGTGCACAAGGCTCCCTGTTTGCATGCTCAGCAACACTTGCTATTTGTGGTCTTTTGGATGACAGCCATTCTGACAGGTGTGAGGTGATATGTGGTTTTGATGTGTGTTTCCCTGATGAGTGAACTGGAGCATCCTTTCATGTGCCTGCTGGCGACCTGTGTGTCTTTGGACATCTACCTACTCAGGTCCTCTGCCTGTTTTTGAACGGGATGCCTCAGCTCCGTGTCCAGCTGAGGTCTCCGTGCGTCTGGACGCGGCCTGCACACACACCCTCCTGTTCGGGGGGTCACCTTTTCATCCGCCACTGCTGCTCTTCGCTGCACAGAAGCTTTCAAGCCCCACGTGGTCCTAGTTTGCTATTTTTGCTTTTCTTGCCTGTGCTGAGTTCTTTGAGTTCTGACCCTGTTGTAACTGCTGACTCTCTTAGCAGCTCTGAAACCTACTTGGGGCCTAGGAGAGACTAGACTTGAGAAGCGGAAGCAGGAAGGGACTCAGACTTGTTTCCAGTAAGAGAGAAACTGCCTCATGACAAGGAGAAGGGAAGGAGCCTGGGGAGCGAGCCCCGGGTGTCTCAGTGGCTGGAGAACAGGCTCTTCTGGGGGTTCAGCTGGTCTCTTCAAATTACAGTGCTCCTAGCTTCCACGTGGGATCTAGGAGATTCTAGATGTTCTGGGGCAGGACTTGAGAGAGCTCTGATGCATAAACTGCAGTGTTGCAGAAATACAAGTTTATAGAGACCCCCAAGGAAATAAGACCAGGGTCGCTTCCCACCAGCACGTCAGGTGAGCGGCCAAACCTGCCGTGTGCAAAGACACGTTTCTTTACACAGCACTTTTTCTGCCGTCTGGGGAGATGCTCCCCCCGCCTCACCCTCTGCGATCTCCTCGAGTCCACTCAGCTCACAGGGCCCAGAGCACGTCCAGGCCAGAACACCAGCCACCCCACCACGGACACGCAGCCGTCAGGGACAGGCAGGCCGGCCACCCGCCCTCAGTGGGCACCTGCTGCACTTGGAAGCCCCCGCTCCTCCCTGGGAGCCCCCCACTCCTCCTCGGAAGCATCACGCTGAGCCCAAGAGCCAGATACCAAAGCCACACGGCCTGAGTGTCCGCACCACAGGCCAGCAGAGGCTGGGGTCAGTGGCCCCCTGGGGTCACCCGTCCCCGATTCCTGCCCGCCCCCGCCTCCCTGAGGGCCTGTGGGACGGGGCACCCAGGTCATCAACTCAGGCGATCTGAGCTGTCTACACAGCCCGCACCAGGCCTGGAACACAGCGGGGGGGACGGACAGGTGTAACCCCACCAGGGCGGGAGAGCAGGCAACAGGGTAGGGCTGAGGCAGCTGGGCGCGGCGTGGGCGGGGCTGTCACGGAGGCCCAGGGCGGGGTCGCCTGCCAGGCTCGGAAGAAGCCAAGGAGTACCCCGACAGGCTGGGGGGGTCCCAGGGGGCGCCGCCCCCCGGCCGACAGGGCGGGGGGGCGCGGGGTGAGCACGCTGGTGTCCTGGAGCCCCTCCCTGGGTGCCCGGGGGGCCACGGGCGTGGCCGACACCCACCTGCATGAAGCTGTGGCACTCGGTCACGAAACGGCCCCGGGCGACCTCCTTGAACTTCTCACAGAGGTCGGGGACGCTGGTGGCCTCCAGGATGGAAGCCTGGTGATGCTTGAGGAGGGTCAGGGCCACTCGGAAGAGGATCTTGGACCCCTCACTGAACAGGCAGTCCCAGACGCGCAGCACCGTCTGCGGAGGGAGCGGCGGGTCAGCGCACGGCCCTGCTGCCGGCCCCGGCCCCAGCCGGGCGCCCTCACCTCCACGGGCAGGACATCCACGAACAGGCAGATGAACCAGCGGGACGCGACCAGGGTCCACAGCACGCCATGGCCGTCCATCAGCGCCGCCACTGCCGGCAGCTTCAGCCTCACCAGCTCCCCGAGCACCTCCTGGTCCGTCTTCAGGCCCAGCATCGAGGGGCTGTAGTAGTCTGCTGTGGGGCAAGGGGGCAGGGACGCGGGTCTCACAGTCGGGCGGCATCAACCTGTGTGCCCCCAGAGCCAGGTGGTGGGGGGGGCCCCCCGGGGACCCTTCGCAGAGGACAACCCACCCAGAGTGGGAGCCAGGCCGGTGAGTGGACAGTGAGGCCGCGCTGGCACCCATCACGCCCGCCGCTCATCTGTCTTTTGAATGGATGCTCTCTTGCCAAGGAACTTTCTAGCTTGTTAATGTGGTGTATCATCGTAATGGTGTATTTAACCTAATGCTTAAACTTTGCCATAAAAGTTCAGTAAGCAATCAGTGTAATAAAGTTTGGCCATTCACCGCGGCAAAGGAACAGACATTCTTGCTAAGTATTTTCGTTAAAATGGAATCATCAGGAACACTGACATGACGGTCACATCACCGGTTTTCAGGGTAAGCATGCGCTCAGCCGAGCCCAAGGCTGGAGAAGCCGTTGGGTCAACACCACCTGGGGCCTGGGGCGCCCCTCCCCACCACGACCCCTGCCCCCACCCCCCACCCCGCCAGGCTGCGAGTCAGACCTGCCGCCCCCTCTGCCCCCGCCCCCCCACCCCGCCGCGATGCGAGTCTGGCCCGCCGCCCCTTCTGCCCCAGCCCAGCAGTGCCCAGTCTGGCCCCGGGGGCGGGGGCGGCCCTGAGCAGCTCAGCGGAGCAGACAAGCGGATTTGCGCAACGCAAGCTCAGCACCGTCTCACTTTGGCTACAGAGGCTTATGGCAGCTCCCAGAAGAGTCAAGGTCAGGCCCCGAAGCCGCCACAGGCCTGAGCCGGTTGCCGAAGGGTCACTGAAAGCCCCCTGCGGGTCGGCTGAGAACACCTACAAACCCCGCCAGCCAGCCCCACCCGTGGGGTCCCGTCTGCGCAGAGGCTGAGAAACTTCTCCTGGGTCCCTGGTCCAGCCTCCCCTCCGGCGCCGAGTCAGGCCTCTCCCGGGGCGCCCCCTTTGTACACAGCCCAGAGCTGTCAGCATGGGGGGCGGGGGGATGAGCAAGGCTGCGGGGCTGGGGGAGCCCCGCCGCCCGCCCTGGGCCTCGCTGTCCAGCTGCGGCGGGGGAGCCACCTGCTTCCCGTGTCGCAGGGCAAGCAGGTGGGACCGGCTCTTCGGGACCCGGGTGCATCCGTTCACTAAGGGATGGACCCCTCCCTTATGCGACATCCCAGCCCCCACCTCGGCCCTGACAAGGTGGGAGGCGCAGCGGGGCTTCTCAGCAGGCTCAGGAGTCGGGGGGCAGATGGGTCCCTGGAGGAAGAGGCTCGGGCATGACTGTTCTGATGTAAAACAAGCCATTTTAGGTCTGGGTCACCCTGTGATCTAGGTCTTTGCAGAATAAAAGGTCTCAGCCGTTAGAGATTTTGCGGCGGTTCAGTCGCGCATCCTGTCCGACTCTGTGATCCTGTGGACTGCAGCCGCCAGGCTCCTCTGTCCATGGGATTCTCCCGGCAAGAACACTGGAGTGAGCTGCCATTTCCCTCTCCAGGGGATCCTCTCGATCCAGGGATCAAACCCGTGTCTCCTGGGCCCCCTGCACTGGCAGGCGAATTCTGTACCACTGAGCCGCCCGGCAAGCCCAGTTATAGATTTTAAGGGACAAAAGGTGCACACACACAGCTGCGACCAGGCCGGGGTGACAGCTGCCCCACAACAGAGACAATGCATCAGTGCAGACTCCCAGCTCTGTTCCCAAGGTAAAGATGAGCCGGAAGCACTGTCCCAAGCTGTTCCAGAACTCCGACGCCCTGGAGCGCTTGACCGGCAGGCCGCAGGGATGCTAAGGGATGGCAGTGCTGACCTCTGTGGCCCGCGGGCTTGAGGTCTGGGCCCAGGTCCCTGCCGATTCTCCCGCCTCCAGCCCCAGCAGGATGACGCTCAAACGCTTAGGTTAACACGACTGTTTGCTGCTGGGGACTCACAGCTCCGGGAGAGACCCCCACATTCCCTGTGAGGACCCATCCTCCCGCCTCCAGCCTGGCCGTGTCTCTCTTGGCTTGTCACCCACCACCAGATGAGCCCAGTTTCAGCAACCAGAGTGTCTGCATGCCGGCGGCTAGTCTTCTGCTGACTTGGGACGAGGGGGAAACGTGAAGTCCTGCAGGGAGCTGTCTGAGTGGCCAACAAGCGACACATCAGACACCAGCACGGATGCTGCTCCAGGGCTGGCAGAGCCCGGCGGGCCCAGCCAGGGGACCGGGGGCGCTGCATCGCCACCTCGTTAGGGTCGCACTCTCCCTGCCTCTGCTCCTCCTCGGCCTGACTGCTCTGAACTCGGGGTGTCATGGGCACTGGGGGGAGGCCTCCGTGGCTGCGCCCACGCCGCTGATGTCCAGCATCGTTCGGCGCTGAGACCTGGCCTCCCTGCTCCCGGGAGACCATGGTTGCTTCACCCCAACTCGGGGACCACGCAGGTCTCCTATTTTGTAAACTGCCCATCAGGCATATTCTTCACCTTCTTTTCTGTCGACCTCTATCCACCTAGACTTTTAGGAATTCTTTACAAGCTAATTGTATGGATCCCTTTTTACTCTGTGGAGGATGTCTTGTGTCAAAATCAGTTTTTAATTTTAACATCATTAAAATGATCAATTGTGTCTTTTATGCTTTCTGAACTTTGTTCAAGGACGTCTTTCCTGCTCTGGAATCATGACACTGTTCTCTGTCTCATTTCGAGTCTCAAAGCTTTGCTTCTTCACGTTTAGAATCTGCCTGGAATTGAAGCAAGGGTCTAGTTTCGTTTTCTTCTCTATAGGCAAAACTGTCACGGTATGACGTTTCAAACAGTCTTCTACCTGCTCCTCGATACATCTCACGTACCAAATACAAGAGATGGACAGACCCGTTTATCCGCCGCTGACCTAACAACTGTCACAGCACCTAATGCAACTCCAGCACTCTCCTCTCCAGGCTTCCCTGGCGGCCCAGAGGTAAGACTCTGCCTGCAATGCAGGAGACCCTGGTTTGATCCCTGGGCTGGGAAGATCCTCTGGAGAGGGGCATGGCAGCCCACGCCAGTGCTCTTGCCTGGAGTACAGAGGAGCCTGGTGGGCTGCAGTCCATGGACAGGGCTGAGGGACTAAACGCCACCAGGACGACACTCCTCTCTCCAGCCTTCCTGGCTCAGGCCGGCCAGTGATCCTTCCATGATTAAGCCATCCTTCCATCCTTGACTAAGCCGTTATCCGTCCTTAATGTGTGGATTAATCCATCCACATATTAAGCCATATATTTAAGAAAACACTACCCTATAACCATGGCTCAACTCCGGGTGCCGACGTGAGTATTATTTTAATGAGATCTGTGTTCGTATCCCTCCTGAGATCAGCCTGTACGACAGGAAGGCTACACCAGCTTCACAACGCGGGTTGACGAGTTCATCTTTCTCTGTTTTCTGCAAGATTTTTTAGAAAGTGGGAATCGTCGGTTCGTTCGTGTTTTCCTGAGATGCTTCTATCTGTGCATTTGGCCTTTCAGATGTCCTCTCTCCAGCTGTCAGCCTGTATTCTCAAACCATCCGTTTGTCTCTTCACTGTACTTGAGCTCTTGAGTGGCTCTTGAGAGTCCCTGCAGCGGTTCCAATTCCAGTGCCTTTTCCACTTCTAGATTCCTCATCCCCTTCTTTATTGGTCTTGTCAGACGTCTGTCTATTACAACAGTTTTCCCAAAGAACCAGCTGCTGTCTCAGTTCACCTTTCTATCCTGTCATTCTCTGTCATGAACTTCCACTGTTCCGCGTGCGCTTGTGCACCTGTGTGCACACAAATGTGGAGCAAATGCTGCAGACGCGGACACCACCCTGCTGAGCACGGGCGGCGAGCACGCCCAGCACAAGTGGGACGGGGGACACCGAGGACAGCGGCCACCGCTCAGCCTCCATCAGTGCTGCAGTCTCGGAATTCCAGAGATGCGGGTTATCTGTGCAGCTTTGGTGTAATTAAGACAGAAGCAGCTAAACGCAGGATGCGGACGTGCTGAAATGACCTAGCTGGTGCACCCAGAGGCCCGAGGACTCACAGCCCTGCCCACCCCAGCAGGCACGATGACCCCTCCCCCCAGCCCTGACCGCTCACCTGGAGGTTTCTTTTTGTTTTTTAAGCAAGACCCGTTTTGCTGTATTTTAGTGGGACTGCATCTAAGGACTACTGGAAACGACATGTTCTAACTTTAAGTCTCTGTAATGAACCCCTGCGTGGGGGGCACCTGGAGCCCTGCTTCCTGCTTCTCGGGGTCGGCCCCCCGCCCCCCAGCACCATGTCTTCACCTGCTTCTCAGCTGCTGTCGCTGCCAGGCTTTTAGGCTTTGCTCCCTGAAGTTCCCCAAATGCCCAAACGACACCTGGAAATGGTGACGGTGGGAACCTCCATCATGATTCAGTCTCTGAGATAACTGAGCAAGCGGCTCAGCAGCGCCCAGGCTGAGACGCAGCGCTGCCCGCGGGGTGGGGGTGGCAGGGGAGAGGCCGCCGCTCCGCTGGGCCCCCCGTTGTGAGAGTCTCGCTTCAACTCAGTTGCAGAAGGACGGTCAACCTCTCAAACTCTCAAATACGCCTTCTGTCTCGTCATGCCCTGACTTGTCAGCAGCATCGTTACAGCAACACCAGAAAGCGGGACTCCACGTACCTGGGAGTATTCTGCCCACCAGGGCGTCCAACAGCCAGAAGGCTTCTTCCTCACTCTTAGTCACCAGGATCAGATACCCAGCGATGAAATTCATCCCCTGAAATCAGACAAATGTCACCAGGATCAGACACCCCACGATGAAGCTCGTCCCCTGAAATCAGACAAACAGAGGAGGCCTGCGCTGACACTGGCTCCACCCCCAGACCCTGTAACCGTGTGGCTGCTGCCCGCTAACTCCCCATCTTCCTCGTCCTTCCCTAGAACGCATGTGATTCTGGAATGACCGTCCGGGGTAGCGTCTGCCTCGCAGGCTCTGCCATCGACAGACACGTGCGGTCAGGCCTGATTCTTGGACTCTGCAGGGCACGTCCTCGTGAAACCCTCACTAGAAGAAACCACACGGGCCGCTCGGGCGCCACCTCCCACGGCTCTGAATGCCCAGTCGTCCTCTCGGGAGGCCTGACCTCTGGCTTGGGGCCTGGAGAGTGGGTACCCCACCCCCCCAGCCCCACCCTCCTGCCCACACCCCCCAGGACACAGTGGCCTCCAGAGCACACAGCAGGAGGGCCGGCAGCCCGAGGATCGGCCCCCGGGCTCACGGTCTGGGCTGTGCACACGCGTCCCCACAATGCTGCAGACAGGACACCTCCAGGGGCGCAAGAACTGATCCCCACCGCCTGCTCACCGCCAGCCGCCCGGCTTCCCAAGGAGGCCCTGCATTCTGGGCCAGCCCGCCACACGCACTCACCCACACGTGCATACACACACGCACGTGTACACACACACCACCGGCTCCGAGGCGACAGGCTGCTGGTCGCCACATCCGGTAGCACACCTGTGCTCACGTCCGTGGCTGCCCCCTCCCACTCCCGCCGAGAGCCCCGGCTGGGCGAGGCCCCGGGGTCTGTGGGGGCCCAGGGCTCACCTGGCAGTAGCCCACGCCGGGGTTGTGATGCCCGTAGGCCAGCAGCACATTGTACAGGAGCCCCTGCAGGCAAGGCTCCGCGTCCTTCCGGAAGCGCACGTTGTCGGGGAAGGTCCTGCTCATGTCTGCGGAGACCCGCAGAGCGCTCGGGGCGCCAGCACAGGCCGCCCCCGGGCCCCCAGCGCCCCGCAGCCCCTACTCTCCGATCAGCACCAACATCAGCTCCCCTCCGCCAGGCTGCCGGGTCCCCAGCGTCTCCTCCCGTCCCCACGCCCCTCTCTGAGCTGGGGACGAAGTGTGGGTGAAGCGTGAGCAGTTACATAACGCTTTGGAAATTCTCCCCAATTCTTAAGACTGAAAACAGAAGCAGGCAGGACATGCTGAGAGTTCCGTTTGGAGATAAAGAGACAAAACTGAAAACTACCCAGGAGGCACCAGCGGCGAAGAACCACCTGTCAGGGCAGGAGACATGGTTCAATCCCTGGGTCGGGAAGATCCCCTGGAGAAGAAGGCAGCCCACCCCAGTATTCTTGCCTGGAGAATCCCATGGACAGAGGGGCCTGGTGGGCTACAGTCCATAGGGTCGCAAAGAGTCGGACATGACTGACTTAGCACAGCACAGATAAACTCATCACCACCAACTTCTGTCTGCAGGAGGGTGCCTGGCGGCCTCTTCCACCTCCGCCACCCCCTCCCCGCCCCCCGCTGCATTTCTGTGAGCCTGCGTCCAGGGCAGAGTGAGCGGGCTGGCGGACACCATCTGACCCTGCCTGGAGCAGAGCGGCGGTGTCAGCGAAGCGACACACGTGGACACCGCTGATAACGCCAGGCCTTCACCTGCCCACAAAGACCAGATCTGAGCCAAACAGCAAACTGGCTGCCTCAAAGCATGTAGTTTTCAACCATATGTTTTTTACAAAAAAAGATTTCTTTTCCATGGAATTCTGAACATTCCCCAAACTAGCACCTATCGGGGGAAATGAGTTTTTCGCTAATTCAGAGTAGATTGACCGACTGTGCTCACGCCTGTGTGACGATCCTTATGATGAGAAGCTTTAGCAGGTTTTGAAATCTTTCTCCCCGGCCCCTGCACGGAGGCAGATGTGGTGAACGTCCCGTCTGGGCTGATGCACGATGCACCTGCTCTACTGACCCTGCACCACGACTGACGCAGACTCCCTGACAGCAGACCAGAGCGGCCGTGTGGCCCAGCGATTCCACCTCGAGGTCTGTCCCCAGAGCACTGACCGTGGGTCTCAGAGAATTACTTGACACCCTGTTCAGCCAGAATTCACTGTAGCCAGGGGGTGGAAGGCCTGACGCACACACAGCTAGGGTGGACCCCTCGGACACTGTGCTCCGTGAAACCAACCAGATACAGGACAGACACTGCCTGATTCCACCCACGTGAAGTCTAGGAGAGTCAGATTCACAGAGACAGCGAGCAGACGGTGGAGCCAGGGCTGGGGGGCTTCGTGTGTAAAGGGGACAGAGGCTCCCTTGGAAAAATAAAATGGTAAACTGCAAGGTGTGTACGTTTCACCGTAATTAAAAATAAAAGTATCCAAACACTCTACACCAAACAGAGCCTTTAAGATTCATTTCTCAGACAAACAACCACCCATCACTTGCGGTCTCTCCCTGCCCACGTCAGCACTGCTGTCCCTGCAGAGGGAACCCACGTTCCCTGCAGGTCACGACAGCGTCTGTCCCGAGGCCTCTGGCCAGGGTTTTCTGGGGGCTCAGGGTGCGGCCAGCAGGCTCAGCGGCCCATCGCCTTTTCCATTGCAGCTTTGGGATCCGAGACCACTGTTCCTTACGCTGGGGCCACACCACTTTCTCACTGTCCCCAGTCAATCCCACCTCCCAGACATTTAAAGTGACCAACTTTTTAAATGAAGTACTTTGTGTTTAACTTTGTTGTTCTCAGAAACTGGTAAAATCGGAAAAATGGATGTCTCTCCTAAAGATCTAGTTATTCAACTTAGGTTACCCGTTTTTCTGAGGACTCTGCACTTGTGAGAGCCTGTGGGCAGTGAGGAAGCTGGGGTCACGAGACGGGGGCCAGAGCGTGACGTCTCCGGACGCTCGGAGTCGGGCGCAAAGAGCGGGCGCGGCGCGCGGCTTCCTGCAGCTGCGTCTGTGCGTCCTCGGGTTACCCAGCCCATGTCTCTTCTGACGGCTCGCTCCGAGGCCTCCTCATGCCCCTGGACAGCGTCCTCACGGAAGAAACCCACTCTCTCTACCATTTTCTTACCACCTAGCTGCCCGCTCAAGGATTTTCTGAACCAATTCAGATCATAGTCCTCCTGTCAAATAAGCCCCCATTTTGCTTGTCCTTTGAGAAAGTGGGAATCAGGGGTGTGCCTTTGACAGCATAGGTTTCCTCATCCCCATCACGACCAGGAGTCCGCCTGCAGACACACTTCCCCTGGGGGAGGTGCCCTCACCTGCAGGGCCGCCCCCACCCGCAGGGCCGCCCCACCCTGGGGGCCGCGTCCCCTGGCCGACCCCACCCACGGGGCCGCCCCACCCTGGGGGCCGCCCCACCCTGGGGGCCGCCGTCACCTGGCCGCCCCCACCCACGGGGCCGCCCCACCCTGGGGGCCGCGTCCCCTGGCCGCCCCCACCCACGGGGCCGCCCCCACCCACAGGGCCGCCCCACCCTGGGGGCCGCCGTCACCTGTCCGAATGGCCTCCTCCAGGCTGGCGCTCCGCTCCCCCTGCAGGAGGCGCTGGTAGTAGCCGGGGTTCCGGTCCATCTGGGCCTGGGCTCCGCTCACCCCCATCCAGACGCGGGCCCGGTGCTCTAGTGGGACGCCCTTGCGGATGTAGCGCTTCACTGAGACAGGGAGATGGCAGCTTCAGATGGGCCCGGGGGTGGTGGGGGCGGCCTCCTGGGCCCCAGAAGCTGCAGGGAGGGGCGCCCCTCCAAGAGTTTCCATTGATAGCTCTCACAAATCAGTAAGTCAGACATGGAAGAGGCAAGACAGGCATGCCCTGCCCACAGGTACAGGCCCACCCTACAGACGTCCGCTCTCCGCTCATGCTGAGCGGTCGGGGGGCCGCAGCAGCCTGGCCTCCACCTCAGCAGCGGTGCGGGGACACGGGCTGCCTCCCCGCAACCCGGCCTGCCCCGCACGCTGGGCCAGACACCACGGCCCTGAACGCAGATCAGCACTGGTTCAGGCACCCGCTGTACCAAACAAAAAAAAATTACAGGAACAACGTTCTAGGTTAGAAGCAAAAAAAGTGCTGCTGCTGAAATCTTACAGCTCAAACTGACGGCCACCAGTCCACAAGCTCCTGAAAGCGCCTCCCGGAGGCCAGGTCGCGTGCACCCGCCTCTCTTGGGAGGGTGGAGGGCGTGCAGAGGGCGTGTGGGACAGGAGTTTGCAGAGGCTGGGGGATGAGGAGGAAGGCCCAGGGGAAGGAAAGGATGGAGCTGAACACCACCCGCCAGAGGCAGAGAAAGCCAAGAACCCTCTGCAGCTCAGAGGCACCCGTGCAGCTGGAGGATCACGTGCGGCCAGACTGTCTCGGCCAGTGTGACGTGGTCATCCCGCTACTGGACGTGCTATTTCAGTCTATCAGACACAGCGATCATTCAGAGGGCCGTCCCTCCGACCTCCTACCATTTACACAGCACCTCAGGGCTCGGCATGCTCAGGGGTGCCCTGAGTCAATCCTCCCTCAGTCAATCCCTCCCTCCCCGCTCCCGCAGCGGGGGCTCAGTCCTGCCTTTGGGCAAGGACCGTTCCCACTGAGACGGGGCAGAAGGAAAAGACGCAGACGTTCGCGGTAACTCCACGGACGGACCGCGAAGAGCGGAAATAAAAACACTGCGACGGTACCACGGCAGCACCACAAATATCAACACGAGGACGACTTAGGTGTAACTCTAAGAGAACCTGCGGAGAAACCAAAGAACCAGAAAAAGGGAGAGACGCCAGCGCACCTTCAGGATCCCCCGGCAGCCCCACGGCCTCGGCTAGCCCCCGCTCCCCCAGCCGAGGCCTTCACCCACGTCCAGGCCTGCAGGTCAGCAGCCCAGAACCACGCAGGAGGGCACCCTGAAGGCGACCAGCTGTGCTAAACCTTGCGCGTGGGGCGATTACCTGAGTGTGCGTCTGAACACACTCGCACGGCAACACGCCAAGAAGAATGAACTTCACTGCGAAGTTTTAAACAGTTAATAGAAAGTATGAAAAGGGAAGTGCCAGTTGGCTAAACCCCCAACTCTGGTGTCAGACGTGGCTAGGCAGACCATACCTCGATCATGCCTCGGTTTCCTTCCATCCCTGCAAAATGGAAGCAAAGTCCAGGGCCTGAAATACAGTTAGGGTTCCGGACTCCCAGTTGGTTTCAAGAACAACAACAACATCCAGAAGTTTCAGAGAATAAGGGCTTCTGCTACTTTCACTGCCTGTTATCTGACTTTACTCAGTTTCTCTGGAAGAGGAAGAAAATGGTTCTCCCATCTTCAGAGCAAGGGCAGGGCTGATCCACTCTTCATTCCGACATTTGGAGGACTGTAAACTATGCAGCAGAAACAGGTGGGAAATTTTTTTAAGGAGAAGCTCTACCCCAAAGAATTAACTCCCAGCTGTCTGTCCCAGGAGTTAAGCAGGTTCCCAGGGTTTTCTTTTTATATTTGTCTTTAAACATATCTTGCAATTTCATTCTTATTCAGATGGTGCTCCTCACCCACGGGGCAGGAGAGAAAGAAGAAAACAGGAGGAGCTCCCGTCGTCAAGTCCGTCCACGCCAGGATGGACAGGGGTGTGGGGGCAGCTCGCCCGGCACGGCTGGCCAGGCCGAGCGCTGAGAGTGAGTGAGAGATCGCAGATCCTGGTGGACCTCCTTCACCGACAAAGAAAAGAAACCACGTACCCGCAGCTAACACCCTCACGCAGGCTGAGCTTCAGCGCTCATCTGCAGATGTGGACACAAGTCCTCTCAAAAGAGAACACACACAGGAGAGCCCAAAAGCAAGATGCGGTTGAGGAACGGGGCAAAGGCGGTTCTCCAGGTGTGGTCGCCGGTCTCCAGGTCAGGGCCCCAAATGGAGCTCCCACTGCCCACCTGGGGCCCACGGCCCTCACGGGCTCCCTCCCACGGCACGTCACACAGCTGTGGACACTCCGGCCAGCCCAGAACGGCTGGCAGGAAGAAACTGTATTCCCACTCCCTGACTAACAAACCCACTCCAGGTTACGCCTGACCACACCCTCGGAGTGCCTTGGGTGCTGCAGGAGCCCCAGCCGTCACACCCGGAAGCTACACCAGCTCAGCGGCAACACCCCAGACGACAGAACCAGGTGAGCCCACAGGCCGCTCGCCAGGTTTCCTGAAAGGACCCCAGGCCACTATGCCCTCCAGCTCAGCTGACAGAGAACCCCACCCCCAGGCCAAGGCTCACCAGGAATCAAGTATATCTGCTCCTAAACCTGCTACGCCATAATTACAAAGTTTAACCATCATTACATAAATTTAAAAAGGTAAAGCAAAAAAGACATAATAGTGGTTTCAATAAAACCAAATTAAATGTCCAGAGTCAGTTGGAGGGCATCACCGACTCAATGGACGTGAGTTTGCACAAGCTCCGGGAGTTGGTGATGGACAGGGAGGCCTGGCATGCTGCAGTCCGTGGGGTCGCGAAGAGTTGGACGTGACTTGGCGACTGAACAACAACAGTTTCCGCAGGAAAGATACAGAATTAGTGGGCCCTCACTGTACAAAAAAAGATGACCAGACTCAAATGACAGAATCGAAGGGGAATGCATGTCCACACGTGTGTCATGTGAAAAGGCTCATGAACGCCTGGATATCTTGCAGTGATTCTCTGCGGCGTTAACTGACCTCTGGGTCCCTGTTGGACAGGAGGTCTCCTCCTGCATGAAAGCAAACGGTGCACCCTGTTCCTGGGGGACAGGGGACAGTCACAGCTGCCCCTCTACGGGAGGTGGGGGCCTGGGCAGCTGAGAAACTCAGTTCAATTCACACCTTCGAGTGTGACCAAGATGTTCTCCCACGTGCAAAAGTTGTCTACCTTGTATTTTTATATACTTGTACATAACTTTAAAAAAACAAATCAAAAGAAAAAAATGAAGCCAAACTGAGCTGGAAGCACGTTAATGCCCAGCAGCAAGGCGGGCGTGGCCCTCGGTGCAACTAAAGACATCTGCCTTTCAATGACGGATGGCCCTTCAAAGATAAACCTTGACCTGCCCCCGCCCCTTAAAAACTTCCTTCCTTCGGCCTGGACGTGCCCCTGTGCCCACCGTCAGCTGGTGCGGGCCCTCCTCTCCTCACCCCTAATGCTCTGGTCACACGGCTCAGCCCCAGGCAGCTGGGACCCCTGTCCTCACCCCTTCACTGTCATTAACGCCCTGTGTCAGGAAGCGCCCCTGGGGACACTCCTGCCCACTCCTCACCTCCTGCCGGAGGGTCTGAGGACACAGATATCCTCAGGGGGAGAGCAGGCAGGCAAACCATTCTTTCATTTATTCAACACACAGCTAAGGGACCATCAGCCACCCCAGAGGCACAGAGGGATCTTTGACCCCAGCGGGAAAACTAAGGATGAAATAAGAGCCCCACGTGGAGGACCGGAGAGAGGCAAGGAGAGGGTAGGAAGTGTGGGGCTGCGGGGTGAGACTGGAAGGCTTCCCGGAGCAGGCGCTCCAGTCCAGACCTGAAGGAGGCCGGGGCACAGCCTGGGGCTGGGAAGACCCCCAAGGAGAAGCAGGAGAGGAGCTGAGGGGTACAGGAAGCGCCCCGCTTTCTCTCTGACGGGGACAGGGAGCGCTCCGCACAGAAGCCGGCAGGAGCACTGCCCTGGCCGCTCGCTCTGGAGAGCAGGAAACCCGGCTTCTTCTGGAAAGAGGGCCACGGCGCCATGCGTCTCAAAGGGCGAGCAGGCCCCACGTCCAGGCGAGGAAAGGGGGGCCTCTCACCTGTGCGCCTGCGCGGGGCACGGCTGGGAAGGGGGCGGCGCCCCCGGCCTCGAAGGAGCCCCAAGTCCTGAGCTCCCCCGAGCGCACGGCACCGACCGAATGACTTGTTGCGCGCCCGCTGGGTCAGGCGCCGAACTCACCGGTCATGCTCCTCTGGACACCACCGCCGCCCTTTATAAGTTTGGACCATTTGATGGCTCTCCTGGTGAGGATCACCAGGTAGGTGGAAAAAAATTCTTCATAAGCTGCATAATCAAAGTCTTCAGGCCTTTCAAACCCATACGGATCGATCCTACCGCACAAAAAGGCCCAGAGTAAAGTTCCGCGCGCACGTGGACGTGGGACCCTCGGCACCCAGCTGCCTGATCCCTGCGTGGGGCGCGCGGGCTCCCTGCCCCCCCACCCGGCCCCGCAGCAGAGGCAGCGGGCCAAGCGCGGGCGCGCACGCAGCGCAGGGGCCGCCCAGGGGCGCGCAGGCGCCCGCACCGCCGCCCCCGCCCGCGCCGAGACACCCGCCCCGCGCCCCGGGGCTGGGCCAGGGGCGCACGGACCCCGCGCGCCTACCTGGGGACACGGTCCCGCGCCGCCTGCGCGCGCCCCGCGGCCGCCATGCCGGGAGAGGCGGGAGGGGGCGCCCGGGCCGCGGGGCTGGGGGTGCCAAGTTCACCTCCCGGGACTCGGGGCGCCTCGCGTCCTTCCGCCGGGCCGCGGGCGCCGGGAGGCGGGGCTGGGGGCGGGGAAGGAGGGCGGGGGAGGGAATGGGGGGCGGGGAGGGATGGGAACGTCTGGGGACCCGGAGGGCGGGGCGCGGCCCGGAGGGAGGGGGTGGGAGGGGCTGCACCTGCTCCTGCGCGCGAGCCGCGAGCCCGGAGCCTCGGAGGGGCGCGGCCGGGCCGGCCCTCGGCCCCCAGGGCGGGGAGGGAGGGGGATGGGGGCCCCAGGCGGGGTCGGGGAATGGGCCCCGGGCGGAGAGGGAGGAGGCGCGGGAGGGGGATGGGCCCCTGGCGGGGAGGGAGGGGGGTGGGGCGCGGGGGGATGCGGCGCGGGGATGGCCCCGGAGGGGAGAGGACCCTGGGCCCCGCGAGGCTGACGGCCCGGCCGGCGCGTCGGGTCCCGCCGCCCCGCACCCCGCACCCCGGGGCCTCCCTGCCTCAGCCAAGTTGGGAGGAGGTGAGTCCAGTTTAGATTCTTCTGACAGCTGGCCAGGCCTGCGTGCCCCGCGGGTCCGAAGGCCGGCGTCCTGACCAGTGACCAAGGCCGGCGTCCTGACCTGTGACCGCTGGTTTACTGTTCTTTTTACAGAAAACGACCGTTTTATTTTTAACTTGCTCTCTTTTAGCCTACACTTTCCGACCTGAAAATAAGACACAAATAAGTGATCTTAATCCGTGTGCCACCGTCCCTTCCCCCAGCCTATCCCTGCCTCCCACCGCCCCAAACCAGGCCCGGAAGCAGGGGTGCAGGCCCTGCCCGAGCCGCCCCTCGAACTGAGCCGGCGGCTGGGGTTCCCGCACACGCGGGAGGGGGGGCACGCCCTGCCCGGTGGCCGTCTGGGGTGACCAGGGCTGACCGCTCGCGTGCCCTCCGCTCCCGGAGGAGGCAGAGGCGCCCCCCAGGGCTCTCCCCACAGATGCTTAGGATCTGGGGAGCATGAGCCACGGCTGGGAGGGAACAGACATGCCGCCCCGCCTGCGCCTTTTACTCTGAGGGACCTGCCTGCAGACACCAACAAGGCGGTCACCACGCAGTGTGCCCACTGAGCCCGCAGGGCGGCCCTGGCCCAGAACAGCGTCTTCCTCCCCGTTCAGCACCACGGTGCCCTGGTGTTTCCATGTGTGGCCTGAAAACTGCTTCTTGTATTGGGAGGCCCTCAAGAATGTGCACAAACTGCATTTTGAGTTTTGCTTTGGAAACGTGGTGAGATAAGAGGATTTTAAGGTCCTTTAAATTTAAGATTTAAGGGACTTTCATAGCCCCCCCGGCATCCCAAGAGTTCTTTTTAAGAACTGGATTCAGAACAGCAGAAGTCAGGCGCGTTGGAAGGCACCACCCTACCGACGCCAGGGAGCCACGGGCTGCACGGCCCACTCCACCAGGCCCGGCCCATGGGGACAGTGTCTCCCTGGGACTCTGATGTCGTTTCCGGTGGCGGGTACCTGTAAGCCATGTCTGGATATGGTAGGAAGAGCGCTGCCAGCATCCACTGCAAGGCTTGCTGGGCTGTTGTGAACTCGCCTGGCCCTTAACATTGCTTTTTCCGGAGCATCCTGTCGGAGATCTAAGCAGGGAGCCTGGAAAGTAATTTGGGGAACATGCCTGCCCCCAACTGGGGACGTCTGTCTGTCTGTTTCCACGGAACTCTGTGGGAAATTCACGCTCAGTTGAACAGAACCACAAAGGCCCCCCATTCGCTGATTCTGGGGAAGTTCTCCAAGCCCTCAGCTTAGCTTGCTTTGCTTTTGAAAGACGCAGAACCCCTCCTCAGCCTTCGCCCCAGGTGCCTCCTGCAGACTCCGGTCCACAGGCTGGTGAATGGCCTTTCCACCAGTGCGGGGCCCCGGCTCACCCGGCGTCGACCCATGCTGGTCTTAAAAATCATCAGGCACGCAGCCCCCCCACCGCCGGTGCCCTCAGCCCCCTGTTTCTGCCTGTCCCAGCAGCTGTGCTCCCTGGACAGGGCAGCTCCCAGCCCGGGCAGGTGGCTCCCTGCACCCTCTCCCGTCCTGACGTTTCTGTGGGCCCACACGTTCCTCCTCCCCATCTCCAAGAGCACATCCGGCATGTGCCCCCTGCCCCGGGCCCAGGCACCCCCGCAGCCCTGTTGGTGCTCCCTCGGCCTGGTGGGCGTGCCTCCTCCCGCGGCCTCTCCTCCTGCCTCCTGCCATCTCTGGTGGGTTCCAGCCACTGTGTCCCGCCACATCCTCACACCCTGCTGGTCCCAGCCCCACAGGAAACGCAGACCACGGACACGTGCTCTTGAACATGATAGTAGTGCCCCGACCAGGGGCCTCTGGGGCCAGATGAGACGTGGGTAAGCGTTAGATAAGAGGAGGCCCATTCAGGCAGCGTGGCGGGAGAGATACAGAGAGGAAGGACCCTTCCGGAGGCAGCCAGCGGTCATGACCAGAGGGCCCTTCGAGGGCTGCCGGCCCCGCCGCCAGCACCTGCCCAAGCCCCCTCCTCAGGAGCAGGAGGCGGCCGGACCCCTATGTCCTCTGCGCTCCTCCACCAACCTGCAAACGCCCGCTGCCCCGAGTGTCCGGGCCCCCGCGCTGGCAGACGCCCTCCCTTCAAAGCTGACCGTGGTCCGCAAGGGCAGCTCACATCCGCAGCCAGGGAGCTGGCTGCGCACATGTTCCCCCAGGGCGGGGGTGTGCCCACACAGCCCCCCAAGCCGGCGCACGCCCACAGGGCCCTGGCGTCCCACAGTCAGGCGGTGTGAGGAGCCAGGCCCCACGTGAGAGCCACTGGCCAGAGGACCGGCTCCCCGCAGAGGCCCACTGGGAGGGTCCGAGGGCCCCACCCGCGTGTGCGCGCGCCACCCCAGGCCCCGCCTCCCTGCACGGCGCCCAGTTCTTGTCGCCTGACTGCGAGAGCTGCTGCCATCTGGGTAAGATGTGCTGTCCGAGCACTCTGGTTCCGGGGGCGCCCATCCCTCAGGACTGACGGGGGGTCCAGGCAGCACCACTGACCACTGTGAGCACCGAGGGTGGTAGAGGGTCCCCGCGGGTCGGGCTGGGCCAGCCACCGGCGCCCCAACCACCCATGGAAAGCATCGCAGCTTGCTGCTCACACCCTTTCTGATAAAGTGTGAGTCAGGTTTTCTTTATTTTTGACTGAAGCAGAGTAGATACGGGTAGAATGATATGATATCTGAGTTGGCTTTAAATAGTCTCCAGCAAGAGGGAAAAGGAAACAGTGGCTGGAACACAGGCAGAATCACTAAAGAGGGCCTTTTCATGTCTGTTTGAATATTTCCATAATTAATTTGGAAATGTAAAGAAGAGATGTCCTGTCCCAGCTGCTGGGGCAGCAGGGGGCTGTTCCGGGGCCAGGCCTGTGGGGACAGAGGGATAGACGTGCTCAGAGGGTCCTCAGAGGTGCTTACGTGGCTCCGGCCCTCCTGGGAGAGTAGGTGGGTCCCCGGCAGGGTCACAGATACACCATTAGGGACGGGGGCGGGGGCATAGGAAAGACCAGTGTGAGGCAGCCTCAAGGCTTACAGTGACCCCGCCAGACACCCCGTCTCCACGTAGCAGCGGCCCCGGAGCCTGGACTTCAGGGCATTTCATCTCCATGTCCCCTCCACCCTTTCCTCATCCCTGTGTGTGAGGTCCGGCCGGACTGATCTCGGGCGGCCTCGGCCTGCTGCGGCTTGGAGGGGGCTTGGGTTCCCAGGCAGAGACTGAGGCCAGGTCCCAGCGGTGAAAGCGCCAGGTCCTGGCCACTAGGCCCGGGGTCAGTGACCTGGCCCTGGTCCTTCAGCTTTGCAGAAAGAACTCCCACAAAGACGGGAAGGAGTGGAGTGAGTAGAGCGCTCATCTCGACGAAAAAGAGTCCAGCGCGCTTGGGCAGACGCGGGCGGACTCAGGGAGAGAGGCACTGAGTCAGGCCTCGTCGCGACTTGAATAGCTTTTACGGGACATTTCTTCCGGGTTTCCTTTGGCCAGTCATTTCAATTTGCCTGGTTCTCAGTCCATACTTGGTCTATCTCAGGCTCTTCCCAAGTGCGCACACATCTCTTAGACAAGATGGTTTTACCGCAAAGGCGTCTGGGTAGAACATCCCTTGACATGAGCCCCCTTTGGTCTCCAAGGAGCCTTTCTGCACACATGGGGTCCGGGAGGTCTCCTGACTTCACGAATCAGAGATGAGTGGTCTGGCAGGGCCCAGCCTCCTCCCTTAGTTATCCTGCTGTTCCCATCTAGAGTTTAGTCAACAGGGAAATGAATCTCCAATAGCTTTCCCCCGGGGGCTGGGCCATCAGCCTCCCACTGCAGGACCACAGAGGGCATTGGACTGTCCCAGGCACAGCAGGACATGCGGTCTCCCTGTGTGGGCCTCTTTTCAGGGCAAAACACCCTCCCCAGGGCTGCAGGGGTGGGATTCAGGTCCTGGAAGCTCGCCCTGTAGGTGGGGACCCTGCACATGGGGGCGGGGTGGGCTACAGTCCATGGGGTCGCGAAGGAGTCGAAGGTGACTGAACTACTGAACCGCAGCCGCTGGCCCGGCCATGCCAGCTCGTGCACGGAAGGACGGGAGAAAACCCGAGGTGGTGCCGCTGCTGCTCAACGCTGAGGCCGCCGCCCCCCGCCCCGCCTCCCCAGCCCACAAGCCCGGCAGGAACTCCTATCCCGGCCCTTTGAAGAAGAAAAACAGGTCTAGGGAGCTGGCAGGTCCAAGGCGCTCCTGCCTGTGCGGTAATGACGCAGGCACTGGCGGGGAGGGGTGGGGGCGGGGTGGCTTGGGGGGGCAGTGACTGTAAGGCTGAGGCCCTTGCGGGCGGCTTGTCTGGTCGCCCGCTGCTGTTTGTTCTGCCTCCCTGCTCTCTGAACACACATTTCGAGTGTCGGGCACTTTGAGCCTCTGGGCTCTGTCCTGAGCTTGGGATTTGCTTCACGAGACATGTTTCTGAGAGTGCTGCCTCTGAATAAGACACATCTTTGTAAGATACAATCAGCATCTTGAAGAACCCCTGGACACTCCAGGACCACAGTGAGCTTTTGTAGGAGACCCGACGGCTGGGAGAGGGAGCAGGTCTGGGAGGGCCCCTGGCGGCGAGAGGGAGCAGGTGCAGGAGGCCCCCCGGGGAGGCAGTGGGGTCTGTCCCCGGTGAACTGGCAGACGGGTCTTCAGGCCGGGCAGGCGTCCCCTCCCCGTCCTCCTCGTCTTCCTTCAGTCACAGGAGCCCCCCTGGCCAGTGGCTTAAACAAGCGGAGCTCATTTCTCCCCACCCTGGAGGCCGGGCCCACAGCCGCGGTGGAGGCAGACCCCGCGTCTGGTCCGTACCTGGCCGCCTCGCCGTACGCCCATGTGGTGGGCCCCTGGGCACGTCTGTGTCCCGATCCACTCTCACTAGGACACAGGTCAGGTGGGATTGGGGCCACCCTAGTGATCTCATTTGACCTTAATCCCCGCTTTAGAGGTCCCGTCTCCAAAAAGGTCACTTCCAAAAATATATCTACTCGAAGTGACAAGGCTCTCAACTTTGGGATTTCAGAGCAGCAGTGTAACGAGAAAATAGCCCAGATTCACGGCGTTTGGAGAAACCCAACGTGCATACACCTGGGACAGGGCTGGCTTGTTTGTCACCGAGTGTGGGGCCTGCTGACGCTCACGCGTGCTCACGTGTGTCTGCACTCAGGTGTGACCCGCGTCCCGGCTGGCAGCCCTGTCCTGAAAGCCTCTGGAACCGTGACCTGGTTTCCTCTGGCCGAGAGGAAAGGCAGTCTTTTTGCCTTGGGGGTTTTTCTGAGGGCTGTTCTTCCAGGAAGGACAGTCTCGAACTCTGTTCCTGACGGTCTGAGCACGGTCTCTGCCGTTTGCACCACGGACAGCAGCTCGGACCCAGGTCCCGCTTTGCTCTCCAAGCCGGTCTCAGGGTGAGGGCCTCGGGACACCCCAGGTCAGGTATGGGCGCCCTGAGGCCTTGGGAATGTCCTTGACTCGTGAAGGTGCGTGTCAGCACCCCAGGCCAGGAGCCTGATCCCTAGAGCATTCGCTTTAAGAGACACACAGGTGCCAGAGCCAGCGTCATGCCAGGATTTCAGGCAAACACAAGAGCAGGTCCTGTAGGGCCTCTGTGAGTGATCGTTAGTCACCAGGTCTCATCCCGGACACCGTGATGGCCGGAAGGGCGAGAGCAAGTCTAGACCATATGTTTTACTGGAAGCGTTTCCTCTGGGGAGAGGAGAGGACTGGGAGCTGGGGTTAGCAGGTGCAAACTATTATGAACAGAGTGGGTGAACAACAAGGGCCTACCGCACAGCTCAGGGAACTGTATTCAGTATCCTGAGATAAACTGCCATGGGAAAGAGCGTGAAAAAGAATGTGTGTGTGTGACTGAATTCCTTTGCTGCACAGCAGAAATTAACACTGTGATCGACTACACTCCAGTAAGATAAATTTAATAAATAAAATTTCCCCAGCGCGGACAGGGCATGCCCCTCCCTCTCTGAGATGCTGGGATACTCTCTGAAGCCTCTGGGCAGGTTTGCATTCCGATGCCTTCTCGGGGCTGTGCCCATGGCCGAAGTGAGGACGCGGGAGAGGGTCCCCGTGTGGGGAACGTACCCCCGGAGCCGGTCTGCACGATGCCACTTCCTCTCGTGGAGAAGACAGGAGTTTCACTTCTGTGTGTGTCACAGCCTGTCCTGGGGTCTTCCTCCCAGACTCCCGGCAAGTTCCCAGAGGCGGACGTTCTGCCCACAGATTCTGGGAGAAGGAAACCTCCCTTGGCCGCCCACCTCTGTGGGAGGTTTTAGGGGCTGGAGAACGCTTGGTTGTTCGTTTTGTTGTGAGGCTGGGGTGCGGCCTGGGGTTTGGGGGAGCGATGCCTCTGCTAGAGCTTCTGGTGGCCCCAAGACCACCTCCCTGCCTCCAGCACCGTGGAGCCGAGACCCGGCCCCCCTGTGGGCTCTGCTCCTACGTCTTCTCCAACCTCTCTTGCTCCCATTTTCCAGGGGCTCTAATGGGCTAGACTTTGGGGCATATTTCCTTCCAGACTTTCTAACCCATGTAGGGAATAGAACAGCAGGTATGCGTGCACACACATGTACGATGCACACATACCCTACACATCTGTGCACACACCACACATACGTGTACACATGTGCGCACACACTCGTGCACACACACTCACTCAGTTTAACAGGTTCTCATTCTATACAACGTTGGAGGCATTCTTTTTTTTGGGTGGGGGGAAGCATTCTTGAGTCCTCAACCCACTGTCATGCATCGCCCAGCCCTGCCCGTCCTGGCCCCTCTCAGACTGGGAGTAGGTGTCGGATGACCTGCCTCCATGTGCCTCAATGAGATCTGGAGTTAATCACAGGAGGAGGAGTTCACTCTCACGGCCCGTCTGCGTGACGATTACGGACAAGACTCTCACCCACAGGGACTGCAGGGGGGCAGTGGCTGTGTCCACACAACCCCCGGAGGCAGGGACCCCCGCTCTGCCCCCCCAACCTGCCCTGTGGGCACACTGGGGCGGCCCCTTGCTGAGTGGGGGCCAGTCCTGGTCCCGAGCAGGATCAGCCGCGGGGAGGGGGCCCCGCGCCCAGCGCGCTGAGCAGGTGAGCCACGAACCCCTGTGTCTGCTCGTCTCAGGGGAATGGTGGGGCCCAGGCCCCAAAGAGCTCCTGGGCCTGCAATGCCCTCTGGTGGCTCTGGTGATGCCGGCCGGCCGGCCCAGAGCTGAGTCTGTGCCCAGCAGGTCTGAGCCCTCCCTCCGCCTGGTGACCTCGGCCCGAGACTTGGGGACGGGCAGACAAGGACGGATGGTGGGCACTGGGGCAGGTCAGCAGGGACCGTGGGTCAGCGGGGACCACAGGCGCTGGAGCGGGTCACCAGGACTCACAGGTCAGCGGGTACTGCAGGTCAGCGGGGACCACAGTCAGTGGGGACTGTGGGTCAGCGGGGACTGTGGGCCCTGGGGCAGGTCAGTGGGGACCGTGGGCCCTGGAATGGGTTGGCGGTGACCGCAGGTGCTGGGGCGGGTCACCAGGACTCACAGGTCAGCAGGGACAGCGGGTCAGCGGGGACCTTAGGCGCTGGGGCAGGTCAGCAGGGACTGTGGGCGCTGGAATGGGTTGGCAGTGATCGCAGGTGCTGGGGCGGGTCACCGGGACTCATGGGTCAGTGGGGACCGTGGGTCAGCGGGGACCGTGGGCCCTGGAACAGGTTGGCGGTGACCACAGGCACTGGGACGGGTCACCGGGACTCATGGGTCAGTGGGGACCACGGGTCAGTGGGGACCGTGGGTCAGCGGGGACCATGGGCCCTGGAACGGGTTGGCGGTGACCACAGGCGCTGGGACGGGTCACCGGGACTCACGGGACTGGGGGCGCTGGGGTGGGTCAGCGGGGACCGCGGGTCAGTGGGGACTGTGGGTCAGTGGGGACCGTGGGTCAGCGGGAACCGCGGGTCAGTAGGGACCGTGTGTCAGCGGGGACCGCGGGTCAGTGGGGACCGTGGGTCAGTGAGGCCGCGGGTCAGTAGGGACAGTGGGTTAGCGGGGACCGCGGGTCAGTGGGGACCGTGGGTCAGCAGGGACTGTGGGCCCTGGAACGGGTTGGCGGTGACCGCAGGTGCTGGGGCGGGTCACCGGGACTCACGGGTCAGCGGGGACTGGGGGCGCTGGGGTGGGTCAGCGGGGACCGCGGGTCAGTGGGGACTGTGGGTCAGTGGGGACCGTGGGTCAGCGGGAACCGCGGGTCAGTAGGGACCGTGTGTCAGCGGGGACCGCGGGTCAGTGGGGACCGTGGGTCAGTGGGGACCGCGGGTCAGTAGGGACAGTGGGTCAGCGGGGACCGCGGGTCAGTAGGGACCGTGTGTCAGCGGGGACCGCAGGTCAGTGGGGACCGTGGGTCAGTGGGGACCGCGGGTCAGTAGGGACAGTGGGTTAGCGGGGACCGCGGGTCAGTGGGGACCGTGGGTCAGCGGGGACCGTGGGCCCTGGAACGGGTTGGCGGTGACCGCAGGTGCTGGGGCGGGTCACCGGGACTCACGGGTCAGCTGGGACTGGGGGCGCTGGGGTGGGTCAGCGGGGACCGGGGATCAGTGGGGACCGTGGGTCAGCGGGAACCGCGGGTCAGCAGGGACCGTGGGTCAGTAGGGACCGCGGGTCAGCAGGAACCGCAGGTCAGTAGGGACCGCGGGTCAGCAGGGACCGCGGGTCAGCGGGGACCGCGGGTCAGTAGGGACTGTGGGTCAGTAGGGACTACGGGTCAGCGGGAACCGCGGGTCAGTAGGGACTGTGGGTCAGTGGGGACCGTGGGTCAGCGGGAACCGCGGGTCAGCAGGGACCGCGGGTCAGTGGGAACCGCGGGTCAGTAGGGACTGTGGGTCAGTGGGGACCGTGGGTTAGCGGGAACCGCGGGTCAGTGGGGACCGTGGGTCAGCGGGGACCGTGGGCCCTGGAACGGGTTGGCGGTGACCACAGGCGCTGGGATGGGTCACCGGGACTCACGGGACTGGGGGCGCTGGGGTGGGTCAGCGGGGACCGCGGGTCAGTGGGGACTGTGGGTCAGTGGGGACCGTGGGTCAGCGGGAACCGCAGGTCAGTGGGGACCGTGGGTCAGCGGGGACCGCGGGTCAGTGGGGACCGTGGGCCCTGGAACGGGTTGGCGGTGACCGCAGGTGCTGGGGCGGGTCACCGGGACTCACAGGTCAGCGGGGACTGGGGGCGCTGGGGTGGGTCAGCGGGGACCGTGGGTCAGTGGGGACCGTGGGTCAGTGGGGACCGTGGGTCAGCGGGGACCGCGGGCGCTGGGGCAGGTCACTGGGCCTTGGGCAGGGCAAGCTCTCCCTGCCTCCCGACACTGGGAGACAAAGAAGTGAGTCTCAGGTGAGTTTAGATTAACTTAGGAAACAGTGACACAGATGAGTGCCTGTGATGTGCCACGGTCACCACAGCCGCCGGGGCGCAGAAAGTCAGAACTTCTCGTCTCATCACTTGCTGTCGTCCATCAGCAGAGCGAGCGTGGAGACCAGCATTCATTGGCTGGCTCCTTCAGACTGTTTCTGAAAGACTTAAATTTCTCCTCTGACCGTGTGTCTCTGGTGCGTCCACACCTCCGCCACGACCCCGCCTGGCCCAAGACTTGGTGATGAGCAGCACGCGGGTGCCTGGGCTCCATCCTGGTTCCTGGCTTGAGCACCTGGGACCCTCCGACTCTGCCCCGGTCATTCATTACAGGCCCCTTTGGGCCTCACCCGGGTTTCTGCCGAGGTGGCGACTCTGGAGGTGGGGGAGACCAGCGCCCTGGTCAGAGGCGTCTCATATAGTCAACATGCAGCCTGTTACAGGAGCAGAGTGTTCCTGAGCCAACTGAACACCGTGTGTGGAGCCGTCCTCCTGGGGTATGCTGAGGATCCGTCCTGCAGAAGCGCAGTTTTCAGCAATTTTGTGGCTTGTCAGAACAAAGAACGTCAAACAAGTCAGGGATACATTCTTCCATGGTTAAAAAAAAAAAGTGGCGCGTGAGATCTTAGTTCCCTGAGGAGGGATTGAACCTTCGACCCCTACATTGAAAGTGCAGTGTCTTAACCACTGGACCTCCAGCGGACAGAATCCAACACGGATGCGCTTTACTTCTGGTCAAAGTGTCCCTTTCTTTACCAGTTAAAGCAGACTTACTGTGTGTCTGATGGGCCGCAGGCGGGCTGTTTTAGAGGCATGGAGCCCAGGTTAACTCCTGGCTGAGCCGGAGGGGTCTCCCCAGACCTGGGTATGGAGCACTGCTCCCCTCAGAGGCTTGGAGCGTTCAGTCCCAGCCCTGACCTCAGGGGGACGGAGGCTGAGCTAATCACCAGCCTCCAGTGAGTTCACCCGTCCTGCCTGGGGATGGACCATCCATGGGAGCCCGAGGTGTGGGGCTGAGAGCGCCACGCTGTGGACTCAGGGGCGCTGGGGGCCGATGCCACACGGGCAGAGGAGGCCGGCTAGTCAGGACTGTCCTGTCTGGGCCCGCCGGCCTCATCGTCGGCTGTCCACCCGCCACCTTTCTAGAAAGCTGGCCGTGAGAGCAAGGTGTTGTCTCGGCTTCGAGAGCTGCCCCAGGGCGGTGGGAACCCCAGTTTACAGAAGTGAGGGTGTTGGGGGTCCAGCACTGCCTGCTGACCCTGGGGCTGAGCCCAAATCTGTGGAGTGGACGGTGGATGAAATGAACCAATTGCAAGACCTGGCTGGCATCCAGGGAACCACGGGAGGAGCGGGCCGCGTGGGAAACCCGCGCCGGCTCTCAGTGTGGTGGGGGGAAGCAGGGTTCCTGCTTCACAGGTTTGGGGCTCTCCCTCCCTGCAGTCCGGGAGCACCTGCGCTGAGCAGGCCTCCAGGAGAGCCCTGCGTGCGCATGCGTGTGGGGTCACGGTGATGCCCCCAGCCTGCAAACCTGGGTCCTGTGACCATAACCGTTTGTCTCAAAAGCTTACCCACGTGTGCTCTGCCCTCTAACAGGCAGGAGGCCTAGAACTTTCTGAAAGACTGTCCCACGTATGCTCTGCCCGCTAACAGGCGGGAGGGCAGCTTTCTGAAAGCTAGAACTTTCTGAACTTTCTAGAACTTTCTGAAAGACTGTCCCACGTGTGCTCTGCTCTCTAACAGGCGGGAGGCCTAGAACTTTCTGAAAGACTCTCCCCGGGGTTACAGTCCTTGAGTGGCTCGAATAGAACCTCCCTCTTTTTTCCTTGGATCAACTATTGATCAGGTTTTCTCTGGATATGAGAAAAGCCAATTTCCTTAGGCTCTCAGTTCTTTCAGGGCAAAGGCCCAATGCCTTCACAGGCTGCAGGTAGATCCACACGCTGGGGGTCCTGGGGGCACCCCCTGAGCCAGGCCAGTCCTCGGGGATGCTCACACCTGCTCTTATGAGAAGTCCTTCCTGGGCAGAAGAAGGGGAACAGGGGACCCCGTCTCCTGCGTCTCCAGGCACCGAGGAGCGCATCAGGAGAGGCTGGACGCAGGCCCGCCCCAAGAGCAGCGCTGGACTCTGGAACGCCAGGCCAAGGCTCCCATTGGCAGCCTCCCTGTCCGCCCTGGTGTGGACCCCAGGCCCTGCTCTGGGCACTGCAGCCTCCCTGGACATTGCGGGGAAGCGGCCACTGCCTCCCCTGGCCCCCGCTTCCCATGGGCGGCCCTTCCTCTCCTGGGGGCTCTGCCCAGCCCCCAGGCACCTGCACATCCCAGGACGGCCGCTGGCCTCGTCCGAGCCCCCGGGGCCCCCCCGTGAGTCCCGGGACGGCCACTGGCCTCATCCGAGCCCCCCGGGGACCCCCCTGCGAAGCCTCTGCTCCTGCTTCCTGACCTGAGACCTGCCGCCTCCACAACCGTCAGAGAGGCAAGGACCAGGTGTGTGACAAGCCACACGTTTATTTCCTTTCTTAAGATGATTTCCAGCTGAATAAAGTTAGTAGAAATTCAAAGGAAAGAATACCACAAAATGTATTTAGTTAATCCTTGCCTAACGGATAATTTTAGAGTTAGCTTGTATACAAAGGAGGATAAAATAAGGAACATTGAATCAACAGCTGAGGGTTAATATGTAATCAAATATTTAAAATGACCAAACGGCAAAGATGCCCTCGATACACAAATGCGCAACGCTGGCTTTGTAAACTCCTGAGTGCTGCTGTTCCCGACGGGGCACCTGAAATAGAGATGCGCTCCCGTGATCCTGGCAACAGTGTCTTGTCCATAAGCAACACGCGTGTACACACGTGGGGCTCACAGGCGGGTCTGTAAACAGAGCCTGAAAGTGCTGAATCGAGGTGAAGGTAGATGAGCTGCTTAAATATAAGAATGAGCACGTTAACTAAAACGCGGATATAAACATCGGCGACCCGCCCGCCCACCCACTGCGGCAACAGTTATTTCAGCCTGGGGTCTCGAGGGTCTTTCTTCTGTAGGAAAGACGTCACACTTGCCGTGCAAACACTTCCCCCCCACCACCAAGCTCGAAGGACTTGGTGGTCCAGGACCAGGGGACACACGACCCCCAGCAAGTCCTCGGGGGTCTCCAGAACCAGGAGAACACCCTGACCCTCAGGAAGCCCTTGGAGTCTCTCTTCTTTTCTGGGGGTCGCTGGGCCTGGGGTGCTGGGAGGATGGTGTACTGGCAGTGGGGACCATGGGAGGCGGCCCCTCGGGTCACAGGCTCGGGGTGGGTGGGGGGTTCAGGTCGTGTCTCCACGACTCTAAGTGACACCACTGGCCGCATCTCAGTGGACGTTCTGGTCTGTTTAAAAATAGCGACAGACCCCTCCGACTTCTCTTTTTAAAAAGGGAACACACAGTGTACAGTGTTTTCATCTCCTCCGTCTTTGCCAACCATTGCTTCAAATCCTTTGTGGATCAAAGTATAAATCAATAAAGAGGATAAATCAGATGGTGCCACCAGGTGCGGTAGGGGGTAGGCACCCCCCAGCCCCAACCCCAGCCGAGGCCCGGGCCTGAGCAGGTGGGCCTGCGGGAGAGGGGTCAGGCGGGGGCCTGTGCTGGGCTCCCCACGCCTCTGCCAAGGGCTCTGTGGGGTCTGCAGCTCGGGGGGCTGCCCCCAAGCCTGGCGCACACCTCCTCTGACCCCGGCCCCTGCAGGTGGGCAGCCCCGGGGCCAGCACCCTTGGTCCGTCACTTGCCTGCACCCGCCCAGGCCCCAGCAGGACTCACAGGCCCGTGGACGCTGCTCTGATGGCCGTGGGACAGATGAGCCGGGTGACAGGTCCCTCTCCTCTGCAGGTCCTGGAGGGAAGCGCCCTTGGGGTCATGCAGCTGGAAGCAGCACTAGGAACGGCCTTTCACGGTCAGTGTCCACCGGAACTGACTCCCCGGGTCTGTTGACTCTGGCCAGGCTGGGGGGCTGGAGCGGCCATGCCCAGACCCCAGTGAGGCCTGGGCCCCTGACGCCACTCGGGGTCACTTCGGAGGCCTGTACTTGTCACTGGCCCTGAGGATGCTTGGCCTGAAGGACAGCTCGAAGGACCTCTCATCACTGAAGCTCTGGGCTCGGTACTTGGCCAGGTGTGGCCCGCGCCTGGCGCTCCCCACCCCGGGAGCATCTGGGGGCCCCTCCTGGGCAAGGACACGGGGCGCAAGGCTGCTCCCCAGCTTGGGTGTGGGCACTACAGAGCCTTGTGCTGGCCAGAGGCTGGGGGCCACCTGGCTCTGCCCCTTCTGGATGCGGGAGGGTGCCTGGCTCTCTCTCTCCCAGGGACTGGGGGCCGCCTGGCTCCGCCCATCCTGGATACTGGAGGGTGCCCGGCTCTGCCCCTTCCTGAGACTGGGGGACACCCAGGTCTGCCCTTTCTGGATGCTGGGGGCCACCTGGCTCTCTTCCTCCCAGGGCCTGGGGGCTTCCTGGCTCTGCCCCTTCTGGATGCTGGAGGCTGCCTGGGTCTCTCTCTCCCGGGGACTGGGGGCCGCCTGGCTCCGCCCATCCTGGATACTGGAGGGTGCCTGACTCTGCCCCTTCCTGAGACTGGGGGACACCCATGTCTGCCCCTTCTGGATGCTGGAGGCTGCCTGGGTCTCCCTCTCCCGGGGGCTGGGGGCTGCCTGGCTCTGCCCCTTCTGGATGCTGGAGGCTGCCTGGGTCTCCCCCTCCCGGGGGCTGGGGGCTGCCTGGCTCTGCCCCTTCTGGATGCTGGAGGCTGCCTGGGTCTCCCTCTCCCGGGGGCTGGGGGCCGCCTGGCTCTGCCCCTTCTGGATGCTGGAGGCTGCCTGGGTCTCCCCCTCCCGGGGGCTGGGGGCCGCCTGGCTCTGCCCCTTCTGGATGCTGGAGGCTGCCTGAATCTCCCCCTCCCGGGGGCTGGGGGCTGCCTGGCTCTGCCCCTTCTGGGTGCTGGAGGGTGCCTGGGTCTCTCTCTCCCAGGGACTGGGGGCCGCCTGGCTCCGCCCATCCTGGATACTGGAGGGTGCCCGGCTCTGCCCCTTCCTGAGACTGGGGGACACCCATGTCTGCCCCTTCTGGGTGCTGGGGGCCGCCTGGCTCTGCCCCTTCTGGATGCTGGAGGCTGCCTGAATCTCCCCCTCCCGGGGGCTGGGGGCTGCCTGACTCTGCCCCTCTCCCAGTAGCGCTTGGGGGCCCCCCTGACCACCCCTGGGGGCTGGAACCTGGGGCGCCTCATTTCTGCCTGCAGCGAGCATCACTCCCACCGAGCAGCTCGCGGGCCGTGCTGAGCTGAGGGGCATCATCTGACCCACCTGGGCCTGTGCTGGGAGCGCGGGGCTCCCTGAGGGGAACGGGGCTTGGCTCTCTGCAGCTGGGGCCCTCTGCTCCTCGGGGCGGCTCTCGGCGTGCCCCGCCTGCTGCCTCTGCGGGCGCCCTGGGCCCTTTCCGGCACGCCCACCGGGAACCTCCTCTGGGGCCGCCTCCTCCCGGGGCCGGCTCCCAGCCTCCCTGACCCCTCGCGAGTTGGGCCTCTCGCCCCAAAGGCCTTCTCCCTTCCTTCCAGAACCACCCCGACTCACAGCCCCTGGGGACCCCCCCTCTCGTCCAGGGAGACTTTCTCCCATGCCCAGGCTGGTCCTCTCTCCTCCCACCACTTGCCTGGAAGCCTGGAGGTCAGGGTGCTTCGGGACTGCCCTGTCCCCCTGTGGCCTGTCTGCTGCTGTGGACAAGGGGGCGGGCTGACGGGAAGGCCTGGCACTGAGGGGAAGCTGTTCACTGGACGAGAGGCCCACCCTGCCCTCTGCCTGCTGCGTCTCAGGAAGCTGCAGCCTCGGAGTCCCTGCCGCGTGGCTGCCCCATGGCGCCGGCAGGCCCGGGACTGGAGCTGGGGGCTCTGCGCTGTCCCCACAAGGGCTCTGCCGCGCGGTGCCTGCGATTCTGCCTCCTGCGGCCACCTTCACTCCGCCTGTGGCCACATCACCTGCGGCCAGTTCACGCGAAGCCACCGGGCGGGGCTGGACAGCCAGGGTCGGAATGCCAGGGGCCTCCTGAGGGGGGCCGGGCGGGGACCCCAAGGCCGAGCTGTGGCCGCCGGGCTGGCAAGCAGCCTCCTCGGCCACGACGCCCACGAGACCCAGGCCTGCGGGCCCCCCAGCACCCCCACCCTCCCCCTGCCCAGCTGCCCCGCTTCTGGGGCTCGGGGCTGGGGGACTCCAGGAGGCCCCACCCACGGGCTCCCACCTGGGTGCTCTGACACTGGGTGGTGTCTGTTCATTTTCGGAGGAGGCTCTGTTCTCACCAGGATCACAGCTGGTGCTCCCTGCAGCTGTCAGCACGCACCCAGCTGACTCCAGGGGTGGTGGGAGCCCCCCGCGTCCTTCCTGCTCACTCGGGGGGCTCCTGTCCATGGGACTCAGGCTCCTGGGCCTCATCCCAGCCCCAGCCGGTGCCGCTGGCCACTTGGGGACACTCGTCCCGCTCCTGCTGCCAGGAGCCATGGGCGCCGGCTCGTGCTGACCACTAGGTGCACAGCCCGCGTGGCCCCTCTGACGGTTCTCCCAGGCATTGGCGTCGCCACCCGGCCGTTCCCGCGGTTCTGACGGCCAAGGCGGCTCAGAACTCATGGGGGACGCGTCCTCCCCACGAATGTCCTTGGGCTTCAGGAGCCAGTGTGAGGCCCCAGGCCCAGGTCTGGGGTCCTTTCCCCCCAGGGAGCTGTTCTGTGGCTCTGTCGGGGCCGCCGCAGGGACGTCTGGACCGCGGGCAGCAGTACCGCGTGGGGCCGTGAGCCTCGGCTCCGCCCCTGGGCCCTCTGGCTGCCGGGCGGCCAGGCTCAGTTCCAGCGTCGGCGCACCCCAGCTCCTGCTCTCAGCCATGGGGGGATGTGGGGTGCCTGGGTTTCCAGTCATACCGACCCCACGCAGAGGACCCCAGCCTTGGTCTCCCAATGCCCTTTGCGGGGTGGCGGGAGGGGGCGACATCGTGTGGACCACCGGGAGTCTGACGGTGACCTGCGGGGGCTCCATAGCCGGCTGTGTGCGCCGCACGGCCTGGGCGGAGGGTGCAGTGACTGCGGCCAGTGGGGGGATGTGTCCCGGCGCCTTCTCTTCTGGGAAGCTCTCCTGGATGGCGAAGAGGGGTTCCGACACCCAGTCCACACTTGTGTCCATCTCATCCTCTGAGCTGCAGACGGTCAGGGTGAGCTCGGGACCCACCCCCGCGCTGCCTCCGGAGAGTCCTGGCTGCGGTCCCAGACTTGCTTCCCTGGCTCCCTGAGCAGCCCCAGGAAGACCTGGGCTGGCTGGGCCCAGCGCAGAGCTCACAGGCTTGCCGCCAGGACAGGCTTGGCCCCCAGGGGAGGCTGCAGCGGGGGCTGTCTGGGGAACACACTCGAGCCCCACACCTGGGAGCTCTGTCTCCAGGCCGTCCCTGGAAGCTGCACGCCAGGGTGTGGAGGGCTGCGGGGGCCGCCACCCCGGCTCTCTGCTCCCGCCGGGGGTCTCTGCCCCGCCGGGGGAGGTGCCCGTCTCCCCTTGGGGCGCACGGCCCACGCCCGTGTGGGTGACTCGGGTGCCGTGGGACAGCCAGCTCCGGGGCCCGCAGACCACGGTGGCGACGCTGAAGGGCAGCGCGGGCTCGGTGGAGCAGGCCAGGAGGCGGGTGGTCGGTGCGCGGAGGCAGCTGCTGGCCAGGGTGGCCACACGCAGCACGCGCGGCTCCGGTCGGTGCAGCGTCCTCCGCGGCGGGCGCTTCTTCGCGCGCTCCTCCGCGCGCCGCGGCAGGAGGCCGGCCTCCGCGCACAGGCCGCCGCTCTGCGCGAACTTCTCCCGCAGCCTGGCCAGCGCCGCGCTCCGCCCGCCGCCCACCCTCGCCTTCGCGGCCGGGCCCCCGGCGGCTGCGGGCGGCTGCGCGGGAGGCTGCTCCGCGGCCTGCTTCTCCTCCGCGGCCAGGAACACCTTCAGGATGCTCTTCACAGAGCTCCTCCCAGCCGGGAGGGCCCGCGGCTTCTCGCGGCCCGGCAGCTCCCTGCCGGGGGCCGGGCGGCCGGCCGCCTCCCCGGCCTTCTCCAGCAGCTTGTGGATGGTGGCCGCCACCAGGCTCCGGCCAGGGCCCTGCTTGTCCTTGAAGATCAGCCGCCCCACCTCTCGGGTCTTCTTGAGGCGGGGCTCGCGGCCGCTGCCCATGAACCTGGCCTGGAGCAGCTGGAAGCGCGTGGGCCGCCGCTGGGCATCCTGGGGCCCCGGGGCCCGGCTCGCCCTCCGGGCGGCAGGAGGCCCCGGGGGCGCGTCCTCGCGGTCGGCCAGGTAGAGCAGCAGGCTGCTGAGGATGGCGCGGGCCGCTGGGTTGCACGTCACCCGGCTGACCCTCTTTTTCAGGGCTTGTACGTCGATGGGCGTCTTGTCGCTGCAAATCTTGCTGTTCCTGGGGCTGCAGAAAAAGAATGAATCGTCACAGATTTTATCATCTAGGGTGAGCCTGTACAACATTTCTCATGGGACGATCCCATTTAAAACACCCCAAGAAGCCCAGGAATGGGGCCTGGGTGCCGAGGGGCTTAGCTTCTAGTCGTCCGGAGAGTTAGGGTCGCCCACGCCCCTCTGGGCCCCTGTGTCCCTTTCTGTTAACTGGTCATTGTTCTGACCCCGGCCCTCTGCAGAGCTTGGAGAGAGCACTTTGGAAAATGGCTTGCACCTACAGTGTTCACATTTTTTCAATGCGGGCCTTCCTTGTTTGAAGATACAGGCAAAGGAGAAAAGGAAAGGTATTCCCATTTGAATGCAGAATTCCAAAGAATAGCAAGGAGAGATTAGAAAGCCTTCCTCAGTGATCATTGCAAAGAAATAGAGGAAAACAATAGAATGAGAAAGACCAGAGATCTCTTCAAGAAAGTTAGAGATAGCAAGGGAACATTTCATGTAAAGATGGGCACAATAAAGGATAGAAATGGTATGGACCTAACGGAAGCAAAAGATATTAAGAAGAGGTGGCAAGAATACACAGAACTATACCAAAAAGATCTTCATGACCCAGATAACCACAATGGTGTGATCACTCACCTAGAGCCAGACATCCTGGAATTCAAAGTCAAGTGGGCCTTAGGAAGCACCACTATGAACAAAGCTAGTGGAGGTGATGGAGTTCCAGTTGAGCTATTTCAAATCCTAAAAGATGATGCTGTGAAAGTGCTGCTCTCAGTATGCCAACAAATTTGGAAAACTCAGCAGTGGCCACAGGACTGGAAAAGGTCAGTTTTCATTCCAATCCCAAAGAAAGGCAATGCCAAAGAATGCTCAAACTACCACACAATTGCACTCATCTCACACGCTAGCAAAGTAATCCTCAAAATTCTCTAAGCCAGGCTTCAGCAATATGTGAACCGTGAACTTCCACATGATTCAAGCTGGTTTTAGAAAAGGCAGAGGAACCAGAGATCAAATTGCCAACATCTGCTGGATCATTGAAAAAGCATAAGAGTTCCAGAAAAAACATCTATTTCTGCTTTACTGACTACACCAAAGCCTTTGACTCTATGGATCACAACAACTCTGGAAAATTCTGAAAGAGGTGGGAATACCAGACCACCTGACCTGCCTCTTGAGAAATCTGTATGCCGGTCAAGAAGCAAGAGTTAGAACTGGACATGTAACAACAGACTGGTTCCAAATTGGGAAGGGAGTATGTCAAGGCTGTATATTGTCACTGTGCATATTTAATTTATATGCAGAGTACATCATGTGAAATGCCAGGTGAATGAAGCACAAGCTGGAATCAAGATTGCCAGGAGAAATATCAATAACCTCAGATATGCAGATGACACCACCCTTATGGCAGAAAGCAAAGAGGAACTAAAGAGCCTCTTGATGAAAGTGAAAGAGGAGAGTGAAAAACTTGGCTTAAAACTCAACATTCAGAAAACTAAGATCATGGCATCCAGTCCCATTACTTCATGACAAATAGATGGGGAAACAATGGAAACAGTGAGACTTTATTTTTTGGGGCTCCAAAATCACTGCAGATGGTGACTGCAGCCATGAAATTAAAAGACACTTGCTCCTTTGAAGAAAAGCTACGACCAACCTAGACAGCATATTAAAAAGCAGAGACATTACTTTGCCAACAAAGGTCCGTCTAGTCAAGGCTATGGTTTTTCCAGTGGTCATGTATGGATGTGAGAGTTGAACCATAAAGAAAGCTGAGCACTGAAGAATTGATGCTTTTGAACTGTGATGTCGGAGAAGACTCTTGAGAGTCCCTTGGACTGCAAGGAGATCCAACCAGTTTATCCTAAAGGAAATCAGTCCTGAATATTCATTGGAAGGACGGATGCTGAAGCTGAAACTCCAATACTTTGGCCACCTGATGCAAAGAACCGACTCATTGGAGAAGACCCTGATGCTGGGAGAGATTGAAGGAGGGAGGAGAAGGGGAAGACAGAGGATGAGATGACCAGATGGCATCACCGACTCCATGGACATGAGTTTGAGTAAACTCCGGGAGTTGGATAGGGAGGCCTGGTGTGCTGCAGTCCATGGGGTCACAGAGTCAGACACGACTGAGCGACTGAACTGAGCTTTGTCTGCATAAGGTAGGAAAAAGCATAAGGAGCTTCTATTCTGTGGTTCTGTCAGTTCCGCCATCCGCACCGTGCCCTGACTCAGCCCCAGGGGAACATCCCCAGCTCTGAACTCTGCCCGCTGTGGACAGTGGCACTCAGGCCCTGGAGGGTCTGGCAGGGGAGACTCAGTTCCGGGTCTCACTAGGGTGGGAGTGATGGGGGCGGGGACGATGGCGTGGTGGCCCCAGGGCAGGAGTGGGTGCACTTTGCTGTGCGTGGAGGGAGGAGGGCTGAGGCTACTGCCGGGGCCCGCCTTCCTGAGCCCCTCGGAAACACTCCCAAAGAAACCCCGAGACTGAGGGGCCTGAGCCCCCCGCCCCCCCGCTGCAGCCCTGTCCCCAAGGTCCTTTCACTCCAGCCCGGCCACCAACCGCCGGTGCCGCTACAGGATTCCTGGGGCGGGGGTCTCAGCCGCACTTCCAGACCAGACACTCTCCCCTGAGCGTGTCCGCCGAGTGCTGTCGAAGCGCCCTGCCTGCTGGGGCCCCAGCCTCTGCAGTTAGTCATTTGGCAGGCAGCCCAGCCCTCCCCTGCTGGCTGCTCGTTCCCGGAGAGGATCGGTACAGGGCGAGGATTACTGTGTGTGGGCCCAGGACACATGCTAAGTGGCTGACGCTGGGGGTGGCGGGCAGAGCCTCGGAAACCAGCTCTTCTGAGTCTGCGGGGAGAAGTCTGTGCTGGGCAAGTGCTGGACACGCTGCGGGCAGAGACACTGAGGCTGGACGCAAGCCTGCGAACAACTTTCTTTTCATACTTCTACTATTTTTGCAGAAGCGAGAACTCCATTTTCAGAAACTGCACACGAACTTCTCTTAAGGGGCCGTCGGGGGTTCTGTGGCGGTGTGAGAGCTGTGGGCCCCTTGGTGAGCCGGGCGCACGCCCACTGCCTGGGAGCGGATGTCGGGCTGAGTTGCTCCCGTCCAGGCGGAGGGGTCTGGACGCGTCCGCCGACTTCTCTTGGGAACCCTGGGTTCACTGCGGCGCCGTGAACCCGCACAGAACACGCCTTCGCGCGTTCGCCTTGGCCCCCAGGACCCAGAGCGGCTGGTCTCGGGCGCGAGACTTGCTTTTCTGGCGGGTGTCCGGAACGGAAGTGGCTGCCGGCCCAGGGACCACCGCGAGAGCCTCGTGGAGCGGGGCCTCTCCAGCCTGGAACCCTGAAGTGGGGGGCGAGGCTCCTCAGACAAGCCAGCCCTGAAGGCGCCGAGCCCCGAGGGGCGCAGTGACCGCGGCTGAAACAGAGACAGCGCGGCGGGGCGGCACCGGGCGTCTGACGCCTGCGGCAAGCTGAGCGCTGGGCCCGCCGGAGGGGCCGTGCCCGGGGCTTGCGGGCAGCCCTGCCAGCCTGTGTCCTCGTTGGCAGCTGCCCCGGCCCTCCCTCGGCCGCGGCGCGCTCCCACCCCAAGCCTCTGCAGCAGCTGCCCATCACAGGGGTCCGCCCAGCGCTGCCTGGAGGACTGGCCGCCCCGGCTTCGTGTTCAGCCCCTGGGGGTGGGCGTGACCAAGCCCATCCCAGGAGGAGAGGGTAGCACCGTTTTTCCCGGGGCCCAGTGTAAACAGTAGGGCCGCAGTAGACCTTCCCAATGTAGTCCGGTCAGGAACTCAGGCTCCCGAGAGGTCACTTGAAACACAGGATCACCAGTCACCGACAACGACACCACTTCCCACCCTGGCTCATGCCGGCCCCCCGCAGCCGTCACAGGGGGGGCGGGACCCCGGGGTCCTCCCCCCCACCCTTGTCCTAAAAGGCAGAGTTGGTCCAGCGCCCACCGGGGCCCCTGGTCTGCCTCACCGTGGGCCGAGTCTGGCCTGGGCTGGCTCTACCGCTCATTGGCATGTGTCCAGAGGCAGCGACTGGACAGCCCCCGCCCCCGTGTCCCCGTGAGATAAGGGTCTCCCGGGCACAGGCTGCCTCCAGCGCTGAGGGTCGGATACTATTTCAGGACCTGAGATTTAAATAGCAGAGTCCTGTGGGGACGCACCCATCATGCCTAGCGACAGCTGCTGCCGTGTGTGTGTGTGTGTGTGTGTGTGTGTGTGTGTGCGCGCGCGCGCGCGTCTGTGTGCGTGCGTGTCTGTGTCTGTGTCTCTGTGTCTCGACATGTCTCTGTGCGTGTCTGTGTGTCTCTAGATGTGTCTGTGTCTCTAGGCGTGTCTGTGTGTCTCTAGATGTGTCTGTGTCTCTAGGCGTGTCTGTGCGTGTCTGTGTCTCTAGGCGTGTCTGTGTGTCTCTAGGCGTGTCTGTGTGTCTCTAGGCGTGTCTGTTCTCTAGGCGTGTCTGTGTGTCTCTAGACGTGTCTGTGTGTCTCTAGATGTGTCTGTGTCTCTAGGCGTGTCTGTGTTTCTAGGCGTGTCTGTGTGTCTCTAGATGTGTCTGTGTCTCTAGGCGTGTCTGTGCGTGTCTGTGTCTCTAGGCGTGTCTGTGTGTCTCTAGGTGTGTCTGTGTGTCTCTAGGCGTGTCTGTTCTCTAGGCGTGTCTGTGTGTCTCTAGATGTGTCTGTGTGTGTCTGTGTCTCTAGGCGTGTCTGTGTGTCTCTAGGCGTGTCTCTTCTCTAGGCGTGTCTGTGTGTCTCTAGGCGTGTCTGTTCTTTAGGCGTGTCTGTGTGTCTCTAGGCGTGTCTGTGTGTCTCTAGGCGTGTCTGCGTGTCTGTGTCTCTAGGCGTGTCTGTGCATGTCTGTGTCTCTAGGCATGTCTGTGTGTCTCTGTGTGTGTCTGCATGTTGTGAGAAGGAGCGACGACCCTGCAGTAACTGGGGCCCAGTGTGAGCACAGAAACAGTGGGCGAAGCTGGGTGAAGGGAACATGGATTCCTTGAGCTGTTTGCGATTTTGTGCTTAAAGTGCTTGAAAACAAATGGGACGGGACAGGGAGGAAGGAAAGCCACTGCTCTGACAAGGGCCTGCGGGGCCCTGGAAGCAGACCGCCCCTGGGCCGGGGGCCGCGTGAGCCCTGGTGGGGTGGGTGAGGCTCCGGGTCGCAGGTGGGCTGCTGCTGCCTGTGGCCGCAGGGCTGGCCCGTGGTCAGGCTCCAGCCGGCCAGCATTCCCTTGCTCGAGTCTGGGGGCGGGCAGTTGAGGGGAGAAGCCTACGGAGCTGGCGTGGGCCTGGCCTGCCCATCACCTTGTCTGTGGCTCGGCACTGGAACCTGACCCCGTCCAGGGAAGCTGAGGCTGAGCGGGTGGCCGGGCGCTGGAGCCCCAGAAGGCTCGAGGCTGGCATCCGCCCACCACACTGGGTGCTCATGTCGTATCTACTCCTTCACCGAGAACAGGTCAACACGGGGGCTCTTAACCCAGGTGGTCAGTGCTCCCACTATCGCCCCAGGAGGCCCTCCCACCTTCAGGGTGAGTCTCGGGGATGGTTTTCAGACTCCACGTTTGGCTGGAGCACAACGCTGGATGTTTCCTGCTCCGTGGGTTGGCGTGTGGTTGCTGTTTCCCTCCGTCTGCTCCGGTGCTGGGTTTACAACTGATGGGGGGTCAGGGAGGTGGTGGTGCTGGGGGTGGGGATCGGCTTGTTGGAGGGCCCCTCCCTGAAGCCGTGGTGCAGGGTGTGAACCTGCGGCTCTCACGCCCCTGTCCTGACCAGCCGCGGGGCCGTGATGCAGGCATGCAGCACAAACGCAGGAGGGAAATGGTCACAAACTTGGGGCAACGGAATTTCAGGCAAGAGCTGAAGAGATGGAGAGGGACGTGTGTGATGGTCTAGGGAAATGTCCAGAGAAGTATCAAGTGAAAAACGCCCAAAACAAGTCATAGGTATTGTATCACTCCTATTTGTGCAGAGAAGTCGTGTGTGTGTGTCACACAAGTGCACGTGTGTGGCGCCCCGCTTACCCTGTGTGTGTGCAGAGCCTTCTGGAAGCACGTGTAGGAACCGTGACCTCTCACCCTGGTGACACTAGTCGGGTGAGAGTTTGAGGGATCCCAGGTCCCACACCCCAATTTATGGGCTGGGTTTCTGAAGCTGTGTACGCATATCCCTTTTCTAATAAAAATGACATCAGCGAGTATTACATTTTAGAACATCTGAGTAGGTATGAGATTCTCTTTCCTTTTATGATTTTTTCCTTTTCAAGATTTGCGTTTCCCCAGAATAGGAAAAGGAAGCAGGGGAACGAATTTAACTCTAATTTTATGAGCCTGAGAATCTGTGTGTTTTAATTTATAGTCAGTGTGTAAGTAGACTCACTGCCTGATTCCCAAGGAGGTGGTTAGTTCTCCTGCATCGTCAGGAGGGTGGAGGCCCCACGGCTCTAGCCCAGCGGCTCCCAGTCCCCTGGGCACGCGGCATGGAGACCGTGAGGAAGACCAACACGTCCTGCGCGCCTGGGCCGGGGTCGACTTACCTTAGCTGGCTGCCATTCCTGGAAGACGACTCTGTGAATCTCCACACCCCAGCCCTGCCTGCATCCACACGGCGGGGCGCCTGCCCTACCCCGACCCCAACTGCCTAGCGTCCTGCGCACGGAGGTTAGTTCAGTGGCTCAGAGCCATGGCGTGGAGCCCCCTGTCACGATGTGCGTGAGGCCAAGGGCTTGTCAGCGGCCAGGGGCCCCACGGGCCGGCGCAGCACCACCCACGGCCTCTGGAAATGCGACCCCCGGTTGCTGCGACCCGGGGCTGGGGGTGAGTGCCGTGCGGTCTGGTGGGGATGCGCCTGACTGCTCCGCAGCAAGCCTGCACCCTGCAGGGCCTGCCACCCCAGGACGGGCCCGCCAAGCCGGCGAAGTGCGTGTCGCGTGTCAGCCGCCACCCACTGTCTGCTCGCATCAGCCGCTGCCTCACAAAGGCTGTGGTCAGGGTTATTTTTAACAAGAGCGAGTGTCCTCAGGGAGAAGCCCGACCACAGGGATCAGGCCCAGCTCTGTCCTCATCGGCGAGCCTGGGGCAGGGCAGGGCCGGGTGCCGGGGCTGCACGCAGCCCCGTTTCCTGGCGTCCTCGGTTAGTTGCTCCCGGAGGGGTTGGTGTTAACCACTGGTGTGATTAAACACGCGGGCTGGAGGTTAGACAAGTGCGTGGGGCACCCCAAAGGCTCGGGCTGGGGGCCGCTCTTCTTCCTGGTCTGGACACGCCGCGGCGAGGGTGCAGATGGAGCGGCTGCCCCCTGGGGCTGGGGACCAGAGGTGTGTGGGGTGGACAGGCCCCGCTAAGTGCTAGAAAGCAGCCGTGCGAGGCGCCCTGCGGCCCAAGGCCATCCCAGCTGAGCCACCGCGGTTAGTGCCGTCCAGCCATTGAGCAGAGAGCGTTAGTTTTGCAATAGAATAAAATACACCGAATGTCCAAGAGGCCTTTTGTGACCTTGTATTGGGAGGTCTGAGGCTGTCAAATGCAGAGCGGCATCAGTAAGGCACGAGGCTCTGCCAGGGCAGGGAGAATACGCTCAGCGGACAAACAATGTATTTTATGCCCAGTTAGGCCCTGGGCACCGGGCGGGCGGGTTAAGATGACACAGGGGCTGCGTGTGGCCCCGGCGGGGAAGGCTTTACTTCTCCTGCGTGGACAGGCGGTGCAGTGCCTCGCCCAGGCGCCTCAGCTCCTCCCGGTGCTCCAGCTCGCGGTACAGGCCCGCCGGGACGGCGTCCAGGCCTTGCAGCAACCCGAACAGGCAGCCGGCGATGGCCCCGGTGGCCCCGCCCTCCCCTGGAAGAGGCGGGCCCTCAGAGCCGCCCCGCGGCCCCGCCCCCGGCCCCGCCCCCAGCCCCACACGCCCGCGGGCGCTGAGCCGCCTTGGCCCCTGCCCCGCCCTCGGCCCCTGCCCCGCCCTCGGCCCCTGCCCCGCCCTCGGCCACAGCCCCGCCCTCGGCCACAGCCCGGTGAAGGTGCGGGGTTCCCCGCCCGCTCCTGGGACGGCCGAACCGCCCGGTGTGCAGAGGTCCTCCCAGCCTGGGGCCCAGCACTCAGGGGCAGCCTCTAAGGGGTGATGTCCCCACGGCGCCCCCCACCCGCTGACCTCAGCTCCCGGCCTCCTCCTGCCTTCCCGGCCGGGGCTCTGGGTTGCTGCCCCCTTCTCCCCTCCTCCTGCCCCGGGAGGCACCTCTGGCACCCCTGGGCACTCGGAGAGGCCCCCTGGTCTGGGGAGGGGGTGCTCCTCCCAGCAGGAGGCCCGCGGGCGGCCCCTCACCTCCGTGGAACATGGCACGGCGGCACAGCTCCGTCCAGCTGCCCTTGGCTCCCAGGAGGGCGTCGTAGGCGATCATGGGGGCGTCGTGGCCCCGCCGTCCTCCCCGACCCTCAGAGCTCCACTTCCTGTAGGTCTGGGGAAGGCACCGCAGGTCAGAGGCCTGGCCTGGGCCACACCAGGGGCCTCGGGGCACAGGTCCCCAGTGCACCCCTGCACTGTGTGACGGCCCTGTGTCTAGGCGCCGCCCCCGCTGCGGGTGGACACGGGGCAGGAAAGCCCTGCTTCCCAGGGCTCTCGTACCCCGGCCATCCCGCAGACAAAGGCGGTGAACTCTGTGATGCAGACCGGCGGCAAGGGGCCTGGAATGCTGTGGCCGGCGCCACTGCAGCCTGCGTGGGGCACGGGGACAAGCGAGGCTGGGCGGGGTGCTGGGTGTTTTCTGGGCTGCAGACCGGTCGGTGGACACGGTGGGAGCAACGGTGGCTCAAGCGGCTGGGGGCTCAGAGCAGGTCCCTCTGCCTGGGAGAGAAGACTGACAAGGGGCCAGACACAGCCAGGGAGATGGACACGGGCAGGTCACACTCCTGCACCTTGGCAACAGAGCCAGGTCGGTTTGAGGCAGCAGCGTCTCCACAGGAAGAACAGTGTTACTGAGTCTTTCTGCATCAGGGGACTCATGAGAGATAAATGAAAGGGCAGTAAGAAGCACTTGAAAAGGGAAGGCTGGATGCGTCTTCTTTCCCTACTCCTCCCTGACACCTGGAATGCGGGTGTGCTGGCTGGAGCAGGAGCAGCTGCTTTGGACTATGAGGCAAGTTCTCAGAATAGCAGAGCAGCCACACAGGAAGACCCTTAGTTCCTCACTGCAAGAGGCTTCTGACCGGCTCTGAACACCCCCTCTGTGAGGATAATGAATGTCTGTCTTGGTTAAACTATAGTTACACAGGCTTTTTCTTGTGCTGCCAATCACCATCCCAGTGATTTCAGCCACCACAGGGGTTTTCTAAGCATGAGGAATGCCACTGGTTTGCACCAATTTATTCATCCTCAGTTCAGTTCAGTCGCTCAGTCGTGTCCAACTCTTTGCGACCCCATGAATCACAGCACGCCAGGCCTCCCTGTCCATCACAAACTCCCACAGTTTACTCAAACTCATGTCCATTGAGTCCGTGATGCCATCCAGCCATCTCATCCTCTGTCGTCCCCTTCTCCTCCTTCCCCCAATTATTCATCCTAGACAACCCTATATGCCCAGTTTTCAGAAGAGATGAAGTGAGATGGACTATTTTTGCACAAATTGTGCTTATAATCAAAAAGATGAAAAGATAGAAGCAGCACCCATTTCAAACAGGCTTCCTGCATGAAGTCTGCCACAGCCCCCCAAATGCAGCTGCCCAGCTCACCTCCCTGGTTCCCCAAAGGTGGGGGCGGCAGGCAGGACTTGGCTGGGGCCCCGGGCAGTGGCCCCCACTTCTCCCACCCCCTCCGTCTCAGGCCCAAGAGCCTACTTTGTCCCTCTCCTCCGCGTCGTAGCGGTCGGGGAAGCTGGCCTCGTCCTCGGTGTCCTCGATGATTTTTCTCTCCTCCAGGTAAAACTGCCACTTAGCTTCAAAGTAAAACCAGTGCTCCTGGTATTCTAAACACAAAGAGCAGGTGAGCAGGCTGTGCCAGCTGTCCAGCCAGGTGCCATGGGCAGCGATGGGGAGGGCCAGAGGCAGAGCCCGTGCCCCTGCCCAGCCAGGGGTGGAAGGGGGCCTGGCACCTGGCTTTGGCGATGGCTCCCGAAATTAAAAGATGCTCACACTGTAGCTGCTTTGAGACACTAGCAGGGAAGATGGAGTTGGGAAAGGATGCTTGACGATGTGCTGAACTAAGGCAGCCATCACAAGATCAAAGTGCCTTCTCATAGAAATTCTGAACCTGAGTGTTTTTATTAACTCAGTGCTGTGTCTGCAAAGTCAGGAGACAGGACGTTCATCACCTCTAATTAATGGCCTGACACCCGCGCCCCGGAGGTGCTGGCGACTCTTCTGAATGATTTGTGCAGCTGCCCGGCTCACGGATAATGCCAGGGGTCGGGGGGAACCTGTGTCTCAAGAACCCAGAGAGGGTCTCCACACCGGGCCGTCCACCCCCTGGCCAGGTAACACCACCGACCTTCTTTGTGGGGTCCACCTGTCACATGGAGCTGCCTCCCCCTGGGCCTGGCCACGGGGGCGGGGTGGGGGCGGGGCTCACCTGCCAGGTGCCGGATGGTCTTCTTGCAGTACTCCTCGGCCAGCGGCACTGTCCGCAGCATGTCGCGCCCCCACTGCTCCAGCCGCTTTCCCTGGACGGCATACGACGCAAAGAGGGCAGTGCACAGAGACCCGAGGAAGCCTGGGGCGCGGGAGAGAGGCTGGGATGGACCCCCCGCCTACCAGGGCCACACGCAGGACAGAGGCCAGGATGGACCCCCCGCCTACCAGGGACATGCACAGGACGGAGGCCAGGATGGACCCCCCACAGCCACGCTCTGGAGAGAGGCCAGGATGGACCCCCCGCCTACCAGGGCCACACGCGGGACAGAGGCCAGGATGGACCCCCCGTCTACCAGGGCCACACACGGGACAGAGGCCAGGATGGACCCCCCGCCTACCAGGGCCATGCACGGGACGGAGGCCAGGATGGACTCCCTGCGGCCACACTTGGGAGAGAGGCCAGGATGGATCCCCCCACGGCCACAATCGGGACGGAGGCCAGGATGGACCCCCCGCCTACCAGGGCCACGCTCGGGACAGAGACCAGGATGGACCCCCCGCCTACCAGGGCCACACGCGGGACAGAGGCCAGGATGGACCCCCCGTCTACCAGGGCCACACACGGGACAGAGGCCAGGATGGACCCCCCGCCTACCAGGGCCATGCACGGGACAGAGGCCAGGATGGACTCCCTGCGGCCACACTTGGGAGAGAGGCCAGGATGGATCCCCCCACCGCCACAATCGGGACGGAAGCCAGGATGGACCCCCTGCCTACCAGGGCCATGTGCGGGACAGAGACCAGGATGGACCCCCCGCCTACCAGGGCCACACGTGGGACAGAGGCCAGGATGGACCCCCTGCCTACCAGGGCCATGCTCGGGACGGAGGCCAGGATGGACCCCCCGCCCACCGGGGCCAGTGCTCCTGAGCGTGGCTCCCGGTCAGCCCGAGCCCCGCCCACGGCTGCGGCGTCACCTGTGGGGTGGTTATGTGTCATCCTGCCGCACTCCACGCTGACCTCCACCAGCGTCTCCAGCCGCTCTGGCTTCCAGTACCGCATCCCCACGCACATCGCCTTGGTGGCGGCACCAAACCCCGAGCCTGCAAGAGGGACCTGCGTTCAGACCTCTGCCTGTAACCCCACCTAAACTGGACACACACAGCAGTCTCTGCCCACGCTTATCAGTGTCGGTGAGTCAGAAGCAGGGACACTGCCCACATTGCTGACAAAGACGGCAGACGAAAGAAATCGCATCGCGGCTCACGCTGGAGCACACGCAGCCACGAGAGACAGGCTTCCCACTGGGGTGGGGCCGCCCCCAGCATGCCCTGACTGGGAAACGGGGAGCGAGAACTATGTCCACGTTGCACGTCCAGTCACGCATGCCCCTCTTCCTAAAAGCTGCTTCTCTGAGCTACAGCTGACCACCTACCCTGTGCATTTAACAAATGTGTGTTGTCTTGACATGCTACCCCCAGGAAACCAGCAGCCAAAGAAAAACTGCACACGTATCTGTCGCCCCAAAGGGTGCTTCTGCCCCCTCCTGCTGTTCTCACCAACCACAGATTAGTTTGCATTCCCAGAAACGTGTATAAACAGAATCATGTAGAAAGGAGTCTTTTTGCCTGGCTTCTTTAACGCAGCGTAACTGTGCTGAGATTCATCCACGCTGTGCGTCCGTAGCTGGACTCCGCCATGAGGCTGGAGGGACCAGAGCTGGTGTGTCCACTTCCAGCTGATGCACGTTTGAGTTGTCTCCAGTCTGAGGTTAATACAAATAAGGGTACTATGAGTACTGATGACCCAAGTCTCTTGTGGATAGATGCTTTCTCTTCTCTTGGGTAAACATCTCTGAGAGGAAAGTTGAGCTTGTACGTCGCATGAATGTCCAGTGTTGTAAGAAACTGCAGGACCATGTTCTGAAGTGGCCACACCACTGCACATCCCCCACCCTGGAATCTCCGCCATTTCCAGACACCACTGCCAACGTGAGCTCGCCTGGAGGTTGGGAGTGAGCCTGTGAGGTTTGAGGTGAGCTCGTGACGTTAGGGGTGGGCCCGTGAGGTTGGGGGTGAGCCTGTGAGCCCGTGAGGTTAGGGCTGAGCCCATGAGGTTGGGGGTGAGCCCGTGAGGTTGGGGGTGAGCCTGTGAGGTTTGAGGTGAGCCTGTGAGGTTGGGGGTGAGCCTGTGAGGTTGGGGGTGAGCCCATGAGCCCGTGAGGTTGGGGGTGAGCCCGTGAGGTTGGGGGTGAGCCCGTGAGCCCGTGAGGTTGGGGGTGAGCCCGTGAGGTTGGGGGTGAGCCCGTGAGCCCGTGAGGCTGGGGGTGAGCCCGTGAGGTTGGGGGTGAGCCCGTGAGGCTGGGGTGAGCCCGTAAGGCTGGGGGCCTCTCGCCGTGGCTCCTGTGTCGCCGTGATAACGGATGCTGCTTCATTGGCATGCACACGTCTTCTCTGGTGAAGCGCTTGTTTTAGTAGTTTTCCCACTTTTGTATGGGGTTGCTTTTCTTAGAGAAGGCAACGGAAACCCATTCAAGTACTCTTGCCTGGAGAATCCCATGGATGGAGGAGCCTGGTGGGCTGCAGTCCATGGGGTTGCAAAGAGTCGGACACGACTGAGAGACTTCACTTTCACTTTTCACTTTCCTGCATTGGAGGAGGAAATGGCAACCCACTGCAGTGTTCTTGCCTGGAGACTCCCAGGGACGGGGGAGCCTGGTGGGCTGCCGACTATGGGGTCGCTGAGTCGGACACGACTGAAGTGACTTAGCAGCAGCAGCAGCAACTTTTCTTATAATCGGTTTTTTAATCAGTTAGTTACTTGTTTATGGCTGCAGTGCATCTTCGTCGCTGCACGTGAGCTTTCTCTGGTCGTGATGAGTGGGGGCTGCTCTCGAGTTGCGAGGTGTCACAGTGGCTTCTAGGGTCAGAGTTCGGGTTAGTAGCCGTGTGCATGGGCTTAGCTGCTCTGCGGCATGTGGTATCCTCCCAGACCAGGGATCTGATCCACGTCTCCCTCAGTGGCAGGCGGATTCGTAAGCACAGGGCCCCAGGGACGTCCCTTATCGTTAGGCTCAGAGCTCTCTCCGGCTTCCCTGGTGGCGCGCTGGTAAAGAATCCACCTGCCGACGCAGCAGACACGGATTTGATCCCTGATCCGGGAAGACCCCACATGCTGTGGAGAAACTCAGCTCACGCCCCACCACGACTGAGCCTGTGCTTTAGAGCCTGGGAGCCGTGACGACTGAGCCCATGGCCGCAGCTGCTGAGGCCCGAGCGCCCAGGGCCTGTTCTCACAGCAGGAGAGGCCCCTGCATCCCTGCAAGAGGCAAGCGCCTGCTCTGAGGCTGGAGGAAGCCCCCGGGCAGACAGAGACCCTGCACCAGCAACAATAAATAAACAAAGTTACTTTTTAAGAGAGTTCTTTCCGTCCCTGGGGTTCACATCCCTCGAAGCCTTGTGCTCAGCAGTGCTTTCTCCCAGCTGGTGGCCTGCCTGCCCAGCCTCTCAGCGGGTCTAAGGCGGGAGAAGGCGCCTGGGGGCTCCTGACTCAGCTCCCCGGGCGGGCTCCGGGGCCTCTGCCGCTGCCGGCAGCCTCCCCATGAGGACTCTGGGCCCGCGTTCCTGTCGTCATCTCCTTCACAGACTTGATGCTGCCCTGTGGCCTGTGTAGCCCTGAGCTCCCGTTGGTGGTCAGCGTGTGCGGGCTTCTGTCCCCGGCTCCCTCGGGCGCGGGCGCCTCACCTCTCTGCCCGCAGAGGCTGCTCAGCCCTGACTCCCCTAGGCGTCGGTCTGACTGCATTTCCTCCGTGCCCGGAGGTGCTGCTTCTGATGGAACCAGCCGTCCTCAGCTTGGCTCCGCTCGGGAGGCGCGGGCCTTCTTCGTTGTTGGTTCTGAGTGATTTGATGGCTGTGGGTCTTGTTGGAGGTGTTTGTCTGCTTGTTTGTTTCTTATGCTTGGAATCTGTTGAGTTTCTGGGGCACGGGAGTTCACTTCTTTAAACTCTACTTTGGGCAGCTCTGGCCCACTTCCCCATGTGGCTTTTGTTCCCCCTCCTCCTCTAAGGGCCTCCTGCTCTGAGCTGATCCACGGCTCCCTGAGGCCCGGCCACGCTTTCGGGTTCTTTTTCCCGTGTGTGTCCCACTTGTGGACGGCTTTTATCGCTCTGCCTCAGACTCACTAACATTTTCTTCTGAAACGTCTGACCTGCATGAATCTCACTCAGTGCGTTTTAGACTCAGACACTGTAGTGTTTTTCTCTAGAACTGTGATGTAGGTCTTTTGTATACTTACATCTCTCCTTAACTTTTCAAAAGTATAGAACACACACAGTTTTATATCCTCACCTGTTAACTCTAATGACTGTCAGAGTTTGTCATTTCTGATTTACTGATATTTCTCTTTATTATGGGCCATACTTCCTGCTTCTTTACTTGCCAGCAGCATTTGACTTGATGGTAGCCTTCAGCAGCACCCCAGAGGACGGGCCTGCCCTCAGTGTGAACCCAGAGGACGGGCCCAGGACCCCAGCAGCAGAGCCCTAGAGGCAGAGGCTGCCTGCCAACATCACCCCACACAGATCATCACAGAGACAGACATTTTTGCAGGTGGTGATGCTTTCCTTGATGTGTTGGCTCAGAATGCACATTTAAAAGGAAAGCAGGGGCAATTATCCTTAAAGCAAGCCAGGGACGGTGACTGATGCCGGCATCCCCGGTTGGCGCCCAGGCTGGGCTGGATCCCCAGGGTCCCCTTGGGGGTGACGAGCCAGGCCATGTCCCAGAGGCCCTCCGGCCTCACCTCCTCAGAGGGAGAGGAAAGCTCCCTGACCTTTCTCATTGAACGGCGTGTGCCACGCGAGGAGGTAGTTGTCCGGCTTCAGCTGGGAGCAGCCCTCCAGGGTGGCCGGGTCTGCCCGCTGCTCCGGGAGCTTCTCTAGGACATCCACATAGCGCCGCACCATTTCACGGTAGAGGTCGTCCAGGCACCAGAAGTCTGGGGAGAAAGCGGGGGTCAGATGAGCCCCCAGCACACGGCCCGCCCCCACCACAGGAGGGAGGCCCTGGGACCGGCTCCCCGGAGATACCTGACCGCAGACGCAGTGCGCTTTGGATTTCATCTCATTTTCAGAGGCTGTGGTTTCTCGTTGTTACACACGAGAATCTAAAAAGCCCTGGGGTCTTTGTGCACGGCCAACAGCTCTGACAACAAGGCGCCCGCTAGCCAGACCCCTGCCTGCTCCGTGCCCTCAAGGTCCCTCGTCCAGGGCGCCCAGAGCCGCCCTCCCACTCCAGCTGCCCATTCCCCACTCCAGCCAAGCCGCCACGCACCAACCCCCCCCCGACCCCGTCCCCACCGTCCCCACCGCGACCCCGCAGGAAGGCGGTCTGGGGACGAGCGTGTCCTTGGAATCTCAGGGTGCCAGGACGGGGTGCCAGGTGCAGAGGGCTTGGCTGACCAGCTTCTGGATGGCCTCACATGCCTCCTCCACAGGGTCAGGACCGCATCTGCCTGCTGGAGGCTCAGCAAGGTGTTGTGAATGGGTTTTGAGCATTTCTGCCATTAAGTGAGTCCACAGCGTGGTGGACAGAGACCACACACCCTCCAAAGCTGGGGTCTGGGGGGCCTGGTCACACAGAGAGCGGGTGGGAAGTTGCGGGCAGAGGGCGCGCCTGTCAGTGAGGCGGACGGCACTGGGCCCTGTCTGTGCAAGGCTGTGTGCGGCCCTCCCAGTGAAGCCCCGTCTCTGGGGGCCGTGGGGTGCAGAAGGACGCTGCCCTCTCCCACCCACCCCGGGCGCAGAGCCGGCAGTGGAGCCCCATTGGCATGAAGCCCAGGTGGCCTCCGGCCCCGTGCGGGTGGGGAAGGCAGACGCCCGAGTCCAGGCAGGGTGGGGGTGCGCCGCGGGTCCCAGCGCTGCTCTGGGGGCCGCGCTGGTGGGGGAGTGGCTCCTGTCCACCCCTGTGTCTCAGCAGCGGGTGCAGGCCTGGCACCGTTTGGCCGCTGCTTTGACTCTGGGCCGGGCCACATTGCCTCGGTTCTGAGCCGGCAGGGGTGAGTCCCGCCTGTCCAGTGGAGGGTGACGCCAGGTGACGCCGGGTGACCCTGGCGACGTCGGGTGACGCCAGGTGACGCAGGGTGACCCTGGCACGCCAGGTGGCGCCGGGTGACCCTGGCGACGTCGGGTGACGCCAGGTGACGCAGGGTGACCCTGGCGACGTCGGGTGACGCCGGGTGGCGCCGGGTGACCCTGGCGATGTCGGGTGATGCCGGGTGGCGCCGGGTGACCCTGGCACGCCAGGTGACGCCGGGTGACCCTGGCAACGTCGGGTGACGCCAGGTGGCGCCGGGTGACCCTGGCAACGTCGGGTGACGCCAGGTGACGCCGGGTGACCCTGGCACGCCGGGTGACGCCGGGTGACCCTGGCGACGTCGGGTGACGCCAGGTGGCGCCGGGTGACCCTGGCGACGTCGGGTGACGCCAGGTGACCCTGGCTGGGGAGGGGAAGCCCACGTTCTCTGTCAGCTTCTCTACCGTCTCCATCCAGGGCGAGTAAGCCTGGCCCTTCCAGACTCCCCTAAAATGGGTCGTTTTATTCTGGAATCACATTCTTTTTGAAGAGACAAAAGTTATTTAAAAGCAAAATGGCAGCCAAAGCCCGGGAGCTGATCCTGAATTCAGAGCCACAGAGCCTTGCGCCCTCTGGCCCGAGCTCCTCCGCGTGGTGACTCGGCCTCTGAACTCACTTCTCTGTCTCCCACCCGACAGATCCACGTACAAAGCCCCCTGTGAGCCTCCCGGCTGAACTCATAACAGAGAGAAGGCAGGAGACCCATCAGGATCACTCAGTAACACCGACGTTTCAAATGCCACCGCAGGCAGCGCGGGGAGGAGGATCGTGGGGCCGGGACCCGCCCGCCCTGCTGGGCCCTGGACGCCATGCCCCACTCAGCGCTCGCTCCTGCTCGGCACTGCACGGCGGAGCGGGCACGGCGCGGGCACACCGCTGCTCCGCGGGGCCTGGCCCTGCCCATGGCCACACGCCTGGGGCGGCGAGCCCTGCCTGCCTGCCTGTGGAAATCACGTGAAGAGCCCCGGTCTGTCGGGCCCCTGAAACAGCGCAGGCCCTGCAGCCCCGGTTGGGTCAGGGCTCGAGAGGCAGGCCCGAGGCTGCCGGGCTTCTGTCTGCACTTGCTGGGTGGCGATGAGCCGATGACGCAGCTCCTCTGCGATGGCTCCTTTGCCTGTAATCCACCGTAATAAAGTTGACCTGAAGGGTGATATGAGGATGCGAAGACAACACCCGTGGGGACACAGGCCCACAGTCAGGGTCCGCTGGGCTGAGACGCACGTGGCTCAGTCAGTCGCTCAGTCGTGTCCGACTCTCTGCGACCCCATGAATCGCAGCACTCCAGGCCTCCCTGTTCATCACCAACTCCCGGAGTTTACTCAAACCCATGTCCATCGAGTTGGTGATGCCATCCAGCCATCTCATCCTCTGTCATCCCCTTCCTCCTGCTCCCAATCCCTCCCAGCATCAGGGTCTTTTCCAGTGAGTCAGCTCTTTGCATCAGATGGGCAAGGTATTGGAGTTTCAGCTTCAGCATCAGTCCTTCCAATGAACACCCAGGACTGGTCTCCTTTAGGATGGACCGGTTGGATCTCCTGCTGTCCAAGAGACCCCCAGGAGTCTTCTCCAACACCCCAGTTCAAAAGCAACAATTCTTTGGTGCTCAGCTTTCTCCACAGTCCAACTCTCACATCCATACATGACCACTGGAAAAACCATAGCCTTGACCAGACAGACCTTTGTCAGCAAAGTAATGTCTCTGTCTCTGCTTTTTAATATGCTGTCTAGGTTGGTCATAGCTTTCCTTCCAAGGAGCAAGTATCTTTTAATTTCATGGTGCAGTCACCATCTGCAGTGATTTTGGAGCCCCCCAAAAATAAAGTCTGTCACTGGTTCCATTGTTTCCCCATCGATTTGCCATGCCCCTTACACAGGCTACAGTTTGTTATTAAAGAAAAAAGTTGGGCTGTTTGAAAACTAAACTTAGATGTTTATAGGGTGAAAACACGTTCTGGGGGCACAGACTTGCCCGAGTGCATCACGGTGACCCGTGTCCAGAGGGCCAGAGCCCATCAGAATTGGGCCCGCTGCCACCGTGCTCCTGATCCACACACTTCACCCGGGCGGATTCCGCCCTATTCCTGCCAAGGGGATGTGACTTGCTCCAACCCGGGGTAGCACGTTCTTGACAGGAGCCACGCCGGGGAGTCCTGGGACCACAGTGCAGCCTGGAGACCTGCCGGGGACTCTGCCAGGCAGGCAGCACAGGAGGGCACGGGGACGGGACGCAGAGGGGCCTGGGACCTGCCCAGAGACTGCCCGGAAGCCCCACAATCGCCCCACCCACCCGCCCCGGATCGCGGAGTCTGCAGACTCAGAAGGCTGGCTTGTCAGGTCAACCTGCTGTGACACTATCTTATCTGAGGCTTAGGGCTCCACCCGCTGTTTGGAGCAGAAGGCATTCCTGTGCCGTGACATCTGAGCTAAACCCGGCTCCCGGCGCGGCTGGGGGTGACACACAGTGACACACACATTCCAGCCGCTCCAACCGCCCCAGGTTCTAATTTTGCAGTGACGTGCTCACCCTCTGACAGGTTTTCAACAGCAATTGTAAGGAGGCTGTGCCTCACCCAGACACCCGCTGCTTTTCCGAAATTCAGTAAAAACGTGTTCCTGAAATCAACCTGCTACTTAAGGAAACTCTGTTCCCCCCAAATCCAACCAACTTCATAGCGTTTTCTTAGGATAAAAGAGAACCTGCAGCAACTCTCCAAGCTAAATCCTGTTTTGGCAGATGGCATTTTAACCGCAATTCATCAGAATTTAGAAGCAATTCCCCCCAAATATCATCTTAATTGGCCCAACTGCAAACTGGCTTATTATTTTATATATTTTTTGAAATAAACTCAGAAGCAAGCTACCTATTCACACAGAAGTTGAGGCTTCGTCCCAAACAGGCCCCAAATGAGCCACCTGATTGCATTTAGCCCTAAATACACAGGCTCTGCTGAGTGAACATTTACAAACACAATGGAAAGCCTTGGTTTAAGAACCCGAGTCTGCAGGTAAGCAGAGTGAAATGACACTGTTGCCCGAGAGGCTGTCTTGGAACGCAGCGGAGGCACACCCCATTTGCTGGGGACCCCATGTGGCAAGCCAGTCAACCCCTGGGCTCCAGGCCCCTCACCTCGGGGTCCCCCCGCCCCACCCTGCCCCAGGGCAGAGCCTCACCTGTGACGAGGGCCCCCGCCGTCGACATGTGCATGATGGTGTTGCCGCTCACCGGCCACGTCTCCGGCGAGAGCACGAGGTTGTCCAACCCGCCCCCCTTCCCCAGCTCCTCCTGCACCCTGGCGCCCAAGCCACTGCTCTCCCTGGCGGCGTGCCCGAACCCCAGCGCGTCCCCGACGGCCCCCAGCAGCATCGCAGCCTGGAACTTCTCCATGTCTGCCCCCAGCTGCAGGCGCCCGCCGTGCTGCTCAGCCTTCAGTCCGCCCCGCTGACCTCCGGGCTGGTCATCCTGCAGCCGTCAGGAGCCTGCCCGAGCGGCAGGCGCTCCTCCTCTGTCTCTGCAGGTGGCACCAATGAGAACACCGTCTGGCCCGCAGCTTGCAGCCTCGCCCAGAGGCCCGCCCACGTGGGGCGGCAGCGTCTCTCCACAGGCCCGGGACTCGGCTGGCCCTTGTGTGGAGGCGTCTGCGGCTCAGAACAGCCCCGGGCGGGCGAAGCCGCTGCTCTGGGGACATCTGCCCAGTGACATGGAGGAAGCACTCACGTTCCCAGAGCTCCGGTGTGGAACCCCCACACCCAGGCTCAGTCCAGTCAATCACACGGTGCACATCAGCCTCCCGCAGCCAGGCTGAGACCCCCAAGGCCCCCGGCCCCTCTGCCCCAGTGACCCCCCAGCCCCCAGGCTCCACCCGTCCGCCTTGTCCCTGCGTCTTCATGTTTCCTGGACTTAAAATCACACGGGTCGCCCTCAGCAGCCTACGCCTGGCTCCTGCACCCAGCACCCTGCTGGGACTCAGCTGTCACGCGCGTGGCTTTGGTTTCTGGAGGGCATGTGACTGTGGAGCACGTTGATGATAGAACTCTGCCATGCGGGGAGGGTGTCCCCCAGCCCACTGCCGGCAACGCCTCCCTGACAGACACAGGCCGTTCCATGTGGGGCGGGACGCGGGGCCCCCACCCCTGTTCCACGGGAGGAGTGTTCATGGCGGTGCCGAGGCTGGGGGGTCCAGGTGTAAACCAGGTGTCTGGACCTGAAGCCCAGGGTCAGAAAAGCCGGCATTTGTGTCCCCAGGCTTGTGGTAGCACAGGACCTGGTCCCACATCAAACCAGGACACCAGGATGCGAGGGAGGTATCTGATAAGTGTCAATGACAGCAAGATGCTAAGGTCCTAAGATCCAAAGATGCTAAGACACCAAGATGCTAAGATCCTAAGGTGCTAAGATCCTAAGATACTAAGATGCTAAGATCCTAAGATGCTAAGGTGCTAAGATCCTAAGATGCTAAGATACTAAAATACTAAGATGCTAAAGTGCCTGTAAGTGAACGGTGGCATCCTTGCAGCCCGTGTTGAGACTGAGGCTCTGGAACACGACTCCAGCTGGCGCGGTTCTGGGAGACCCTGAAGCCGCGGGCTTCACAGTGAGTGCCATCGGGCTGCTGGGCATGCGAACTCCCTCCCCGAGGGCAGCCCTCTGCCAGCTGCCCGCTGTGGGGAGAAGGACACCACTCAGCAGAAACACTCATCACTGAGGCAGAGGCACCGTCCTCAGAGGTGCTTGGGGCAACTGCACACCATTTGGCTGACGTGAGCCAAGAGGATACAGGGAGTGGAGCCTTGGCCGTGTGCCGTGAGCGTGGGGGTGGCTGACCCGCAGAGCTGGGAGCTGGGAGCCGGGGACGTGTGTAACCTCCCTTGTAAGCTTCTACTAAGCTGACATCACAGACCAACACGCATGATGTCACCACCACAGAGGTGGTGCTGCTCAGGCCAAGAGGTGGGCGCAGGGCTTCCACGTTTTTTCAACATCTCATTTGGTTAATCCATGTGTCTTCAATGATATGTCAGTGGATCAGTTGGGTATCCAGTTCTCATCAGCCAGAGGAACATCTGTGTATCATGAGATTTCTGTGTATCCTGGGACCTGTAACTGCCCACCGGAAGCAGGCACGCTCAGCAACGGCTGCGTGACCCCGAGAAAGGAGAGGAGAAAGTTCAGGCCGTCCACGTGGGAGGCGGCAGGCCAGACACAGCAGGGAGGCCCCCTGATGGGGCGGAGGAGGACACCCAGCGCAGAGCGTCTGAGCGTCCGGGGCAGAGCTGAAAGCCACCACGGCCCCAGAGAGAACTTCAGTGTTTCCGTGTCCTCGGCGCTTCTGCAGCATGCATGGAGGGAATGCTTACGATGGAAGGATGGACTCCGGCCCCGTGCAAGAGGCTCTGTCCAGTCACTAAGCTCTGGCCTCTGCTGATGAGCAAGAAGGCCCTTGTGCACAGACTGCCTTTCCCACACAGCCTTAAACCTCAAGGAGGAAGCAGTGCCGCAGACCTCGCGACTCTCACAGGTCTGAGTCCTGCAACCTCTCTGAATGGGACTCTTACACGTCAGAACCCACAACGCCTCGATGGACCCTGTATGCGATTGTTGAGGCATCTGTTAAAGCTCTAAGAGCCCCAGGCTTGAGGGCAGAGGTGGCCTGTGTTTTCTTTGAGGCCACAGCAGTGGGGCTGGGAGAGGTCAGCGACTTCCGGGCCTTGCACTTCGTGGGGGGCTGGCCCCCCAGCCCACACCGCCTGCCTGGCTGGGTCTCCAGGCCTCAGGCCTGAGTGGCTCCTACTTTTGGAAGCCAAAATAAACTGCACAGTCTAGGCACACTTTCCACAAATCTGAGTGCATTCCCCTCTCTCGTGAATTGCCCCAGTTTCTGTCTCATAAGTGGGGCCGCGGTGGGGCGACGAGTGTGCCTTGATGTGATCGTCTGCATTCGAGGTGCGGCCCACCCAGCGCTTCTCAAACCACCACACGAAGCCACTTCCAAGATGGGCAGGCGGGTCGCGGTGCCCACCTGGACGGCACGCGGGACAGCCGCCCTCCCAGAGCCCCAGCTGGGCGGACCCCCAGGAAGGAAAGGAGGTGGGGGGGGCCACGCCGGAGGCCAGAGGCTCGGGGCGCCGGCACTCTGCTCCACGCACGCGCAATGCGGTTTCCGGTTTGTGGCATTTTTGGGGACAACCACGTGTGTTTACCTTCTGAATGTGACTACACATGAAGGGTGGGAGGGTGGACGTAAGTACTCACATTACAGACGGTAGGGAGGAGCCAACAGTTGGTTTTTAAATTTAAATTTATCACAAAAGAAATTCTCACGGAAAAACGTCTTTTTAAATGTAATAAAATAATCTTTTTTTAAAAAAGCATACTTTATGAAGCTTCTTAGGAAGCTGAACTGACACCATTAGCAGTAAACAGACCCCATGACTTACACACAGTTTCAAGTCGCTGTGCAAACCTCAACAGCCCATCGACCTGTAAAATCATTCCCATGAACGTCCAGAGAAAAGTGAGGTGAAAACAGAACTGATGAAGCTGGATAATTCAAAAACTTCCATCTTAATCCTGGCACAAAATCTAAAAACCTCAGCGTCCACAACAGCCGCCTTCTCAGGACAGGTTTCCAGCCGCCTGACTAGCAGGTTCTTAGGTGTGGTTACCGGACCACCACTGGCTGTGAGAGCACAGGGCGGGCAGAGGCTGCAGACAGGCTCCGCCCGCCCCACAAATACGGCGGTCGCGGAGGGCTCCGACAGCGGCAGCTGGGGCCCCGTCTCCAGGCGCATGGCGGGTCAGGAAGAAACGAGCGGCAGGCACAGCTGACCAGCATCTCCTGCAGGACGTGGTTTCCGTTCATCCAAGTCCAGCTCAGTTTTCTGCTGAGACATGACTGCTTTTACCACCTGTGACCACTGGCCTTGCGTATTCTACAAAATCATCTATAACAGGCCATGCTCCTAAAGGAAAACAAAAGATATTTAAAAATCGGCAGTTTAGAGTAATATTTTTTATAGTCAAAGGATTTTTTCACAACCCAACATTAATATCTCAAGAGCTCAAATGATTTTAAACTTCTACACATAAGGGATCAGCTGAAATTACCCTCCTCGGCTCTGGCTGGCCCAGGCGGTAGGTGCTGTGTGCTGGTGTGCATGCGTCTGTGAGCAGCGCTCACCGCCAGCCCCGCTGAGCACATCTGCGGTCATAGCCGTGCTGGGCAGAGGGGGCTGGGAGTGGACATTCTTTCTGAAGGAGCAGCACCCGCAGTGCAGCAGGTGGGAGAATGTTCCCTGAAATGTCTGGGGGGGGGGCCTGCAGGTGGGATGGTGCTCAGGTGAGTAAACATAGGCTGGAACCCTCTGTGTGCTTCCACAGCGCACTGGAATAACCGCTGGCCACGCTGGGGTCAGCGGGCCCCAGTGACCATCCTGCTCTGTGGTCCTGCCTCGGGGCCTCTGCACACCCACCTTGAAAGCTTCAGCTCAGAAGAGTTCCTCTCGACTTTCAACGTGAGTGATGTTTTCTCTTGTGGGATTTACAGGACGTAATAAGTGAGTACTAGCCACTTCATCACTCCTATCTCACACACGGGGCCGGGCAGGGGTCAACGGGGACCCACCTGCCCACTGGCCATCACCTGAGGTCTGCGGACTTCTCCTACCTTCTTCATCACAGTTGGACATGTCATCTGCGATCATGTTTCCAAAATCTAGAAGAAGGTTCCAAGTGTCCCTTGGGATTGATCTTTTTTGATGCTCCTAAAAGACAAGAGGAAAGACCAGCAGACCGCTGGCTCGGACGGAGCTCTCAGCCTGGTGATCTCAGAACATACCCTGGCCAGGAGTGAGGACCAGGTCAACACTGTCAGAAGTTAATACAGCAACAGCACTTTGGGTCGGTGTTAAAGAGCTACCTGATGCCAACGTGCAGATGCAGAAAGCAGACTTACTGAAACACAAAATAAAAATTATTGACTTTTATTTCAAATAGAAAGGCAGCATTTTTTATCTCTTTATCCAACCCTGAAACCAGTTCAGAAACAACGTGGGGAAGCGGCATCTGGATGCGTTTATTTCCTGTGAACCAGGCGGCTCTCTGCAGGGGTGGGACGCTCTCCGTTACTGACACTTCAGACACTGGAGGACCCGCCCCTGCTCCTCGGGGGCCCCCAGCTGGAGAGCAGCCCCAGGTCTTCCGAGGCTCCCAGCCCCCGAAGGCCTGTCTTTGCACACATGAGTGCACGTGTCCACAGATGGCTCCCAAGCTGGTCACGCACACGGCGCATCACGCGTGCTTTCCTGCTGACCCACACGTGCCCTGGGCCTCCTGCTGCACATGCTGGGGTCCTTCCCCAGGCTGCTCCTGGGGGACATCCCACATGCCTCCACTAGAAGGACTGGTCCTCACAGAGCGGGGGGCCCTGAGCAGGACAACACAGCCTCCTCCCGCGGTCGGGGGGGGCCCGGCGCCCTGCACCCTCCCCTCGGCCGCGGTCACTGGGGGGTCTCGGCCCATGAACACTGGGGCAGGGACCACAGACGCACAGTCTGGAGGCGGCGTCAAGCAGCCTGGCCCGAGCCCATGGGCACCATTTTCTGCAGGAGGCAGAGCGTGGCCGCGGGTGGGCTCCCTGGGACCGCCGCTGGGGACACTGGTTCCTCAGGGCCCGCAGACAAGCCATCGGTTATTAGGACAGTAACTGCCCCGGCTGACCCCTCACGTGGGGACCCCGTAAGCAGGAAGACGCTTACCAACAAGAAGGTGTTCCAAAGATCTAGAAACTTAAACCTTCCGGAAAACACCAGATTCCAGTATGCCACGGCCATTTGCAAATCTGGGAAAAAAGAGAGAAAGCGCTCAGTGAGTCCCAACTCCTTTTCCCAGAGCACAATGACCATTTCTTGGCACGCTGGCGCTCACTGAGTAGCACTCGGCAGCCTTACCCACGGTTACATGAGGGCTAAGGCTTACAGGAGAGCTCCTCAAGCTGTGTACAGTCTGATTTGGGACCTTGGGGAAAATGGCTTTGGAAAACAATTTGTGCACCAGGATATTTGGATGTGTCAATAATTATCCCCCAATTAATCCATTATAAACACTCTGCTCATGTACTGGGCTTTGTTAACTGCTGGGCTGACCTGGATATGATTAACTGGATACAATTAACACATACCACTTATATATATATACATTAAAAAAAACAGCCCTACGCACTTTCTAAGTGATGAACTACAAGTTTAAAACTTGTTTAGAAAGGAAGGGACACAGTGCTTTCCAAATAGACCTTCCTTGCCACGGTAAGAACTAAAATGGAATCTGATTCAAAGGTCGATCCCCTAAGTATTATCAAGACTTGGGATTTCTTAAGGTAAAGCCAAGACAAATTAGCATGTTGTTTGGTCACTAGTAAAAGTCAACGCCCTCATTTTTCCCCAGCTGGAAGGTAGTGATGATTCCACATCTAAACAGACTGACGCCGTGGGCTGCATCATGAGATGGGATGTTCACGGACACAGAAGCTGAGCGTCAGGGCTGCAGGAGAGGGACGCGTTCTCTGCTCACTGCAAGGCTGGTATCGATTTATTTCTGTGTGATTGATACACAAGAACATCAAGGGGCTGAGAAGGTTACTACTTGAAGCTGACACCCTTCAACTGTGTGGGCTAGTGCTCATCACTTTCAGATGATACAACAACAGTCTTGTACTGAAATAGTGCTTATAAGTGCATGCTAGGAGAAGGAATGCAAAAAGCCGATGAATAAATATTTAAGGTAACAAATTCTTTCAAAGCAAAATGTTCTACTAAACACCTTCCAAAAGATTTTCATCTAAATCTGGTTTGGTCCGACTTGGACAGAAGTCATAAAAGCTGAAGCTCTGACCTGAGGTTCCCAAGGTCAATCATTAGAAATGGATGAGCAAGAAATACATGAGTAGTAGCCAACTTCAAATAAAATGCCTCTATTTCATGTGTGTTTAACGTCCATGAGATAACTCAGTCTGAAATAACCTGGAGCCTTAGAAAGAAAGCAGTGGTCAGAAAACTCGAGGAACGGGTAGAAGAGGAGGCTGGCTGGACCTTACCTACGGGCCTGCGTCCTGCTAGGCCTACTTCCTTATCACTCAGGGAAACCTACGCTCAGCTCATCTCAGCGAGGGGAACCCTCACACTGAGAATGGAGCCAAACCTGGGGAAGAGAGAGATAAAGCTTCATGGCAGACACTAACTCTGGTTACCTTTGGCTTCATTTGTTCCTAGAAACCCTTCTTGTAAAGTTCCCGATGTGCATATTTGTAAAGCACACAACTCACAGTAGATGCCTGCATTTTCAGAGACCCAGCAGCACCTAAGTAAACAGGCTGAGTGCTGTTCTGATGGACCTGGCCATTTGCAAAACAACAGCAACACTCAAAGTGATAGAACTTGAGAGCTGAGATCAAGAACAAAATATACTCTACTGACCATGAAAGGAATCATCAGAGCAGCTATTTTCTTTCTATAACCTTTGAAAAACCCTACCTCCTGAATAAGAAAATGATTATGTTCCTAAGTAAAATTTATGTCTGTGATGCTCCATTTAGAATTAGATCATAAAGATGACCATTCTGTCAAAAAAATCTTTGGGCTGATGGAAAAATTAGTTAATAATCATGAAACTTTACTTCCTCAAAAATAATGATTTCTCAAAGCCAACTGATTGTGGACTCTAGCCAGTATAAAACCGTGCTAAGCATCTTACATTAAAGCAAAGCCTCAAGGAGTTTTAATTACCTCCTCTACTAGGCTAAGGGGGCTCCACTAGTAGCTCAATTGGTAAAGAATCCGCCTGCAATGCAGGAAACCCCAGTTTGATTCCTGGGTCGGGAAGATCCCCTGGAGAAGGGAACGGCTACCCACTCCAGTATTCTGACCTGGAGAATTGCAAGGACTGAACAGTCCATGGGGTCACAAAGAGTTGGACACGACTGAGCGACTTTAACTAGGCTAAAGAAGCAGAAACAGCAACCCACTCTAGTTTTCTTGCCTGGAAAACCTCATGCGCAGAGGATCCGGGTGAGGTACAGTCCATGGGGTCACAAAGAGTCAGACACGACTAAGCAACTAGGCAGCGCTAGGCTAAGGAACAACCACAACACAGCACACGCCCCTCTCGCTGCACACAACAGACACACAGGCCTGAAGGGGAGTTCCCACCCCTTTCCACTGCTGTCCATACTTTCTCAGGAATTATAGGAACACGTGTATCAACCTCTTTAAATTATATTTAACCCTTCAGAATACAGACAAGGTCACATACTTTGGAAATTGTAAAATCAATTGTTCCAGCTGGGGTTCACAGCTGTAAAATTACTCTTTTTTTTTTAAAATTGAAGTACAGTTGCTTTGGGAGATAGTGACAGACAGGGAAGCCTGGCGTGCTGCAGCCCATGGAGTTGCAAAGAGCCAGACCTGACAGAGTCACCGAGCAACAGCAACAAATAACCGTCACTTTACCCGCTGCGCTAGTTTCCCTGATGGAGCAGCATGAATCTTCCAGGGTCTGCCTTCCCATCGTGACCTCCCTCCCGTCGTGACCCTCCCTCCGACTCCCCCACACTCATCTGGCTTTGTATCTTTTTAAAAAACCCTCAAAAAACCTTCTAAAATAAAGTGTGATGTTTGTGAAGTGTCCAGGTATGTAATAATTTTCCTGAAGAGGCTGTTGTTCCCTTTAATATGATTTTATGTTCTCTCAATGAGTCTCATGAAGCAAAGACACAAAGTCAGTAGCTGTTCCAATTCTTCAGTGACTGATTTCTGATCAACACCTTATTTGTCTGTAGGCATAAAGTGGATAATGACTTTTTTCTTGGTGAAGGAATTACGGGATAAATTATAAATTTCTCCTGCTGCCTGACTTAGGCAGAGTATTTAAAACAGAGGCTACACACGCTGGGTTCCAGGTTGCAAAAGTGCTTCAAAATACTTCTCCTCACACTGAACTTCATGACCAAAGAAAGTAAATTTATAAACTTTAAAATAGGTGATTAACTTGGACTAATTTACAACCTCTTAGAAGTTACGGTGGAATTTTAAAAGCATGGCAAACGTGATGACTTCAGATGGAACAAATGCCGTAGGATCTCCAGGCAGCTCCCACCTCCCCTGCCTGCAGCCCTGCAGCCTTCCGGCAGGATCAGCACCCTGCAGGGGAGCCCCGGTCAGCCAGGGCAGGCGGCACCCAGCTGCAGTGGGAACACTGCTGGGCGTCTGAGCTGGCCTGCATGGCATGGAGGGCTGCCCAGCAGAGCCCTGCAGAGTCCTGAGCCAAAGGATCACACGCCACAAAAAGGATGGCTGCCCGAAACCCCGAGCCTGAGGTTCTCTGTGACGCGGCAACAGAAATACGCGGATTTTATAATCCTCAGATAAACCAAAACTCAAACTGGAAGAGTCTGAGGTTCTCTGTGACGCGGCAACAGAAATACGCGGATTTTATAATCCTCAGATAAACCAAAACTCAAACTGGAAATACAAGCTTAAGGTTTTCTGTATATACCACATACGGCAATGCACAAGTAACATTTTGGCAAAATCACACATCTCTGAAAGAAGAAAAATGTAATCCAACACACATCAGAATTGGTCCAAGTAAGTTAGCATTAAACCCCCAGCCCAGGACGAGGTTAATGTCGCCTGCCCGCGTCTCTAACCCGTTAGACAGCTACACATCAACGTGAGAGAACGAAGAGTATCTGAAAATTACTCCACATTTAAAATCGTAGTTTTGGCTCCGCACATCAGGAGTGACTGCAGGCTGAGTGGCTGGAGCGTGTGGGACTGTCCCAGCGGCGAGGGGCGCCCGTCAGGGGAGACCCTGGTGGAGGGCACCGCCTGGAGCCCTGCTGGCCACGCCCGGGCGTCCTCTGGAGCTGACCAGCGTCTGGCAGGCCTACTCACCCAGCCCCTTCTGCCCTGGGCTCCGAGCGAAGGTGAAGGTGAACTGGTAAAGGTCCTGGAACCTCACCGTGTCCTTGAGCTCCCGCTCCAGTCCTGGCAGCAGGGCTTTCAGCTGCCCTGCACTGTCACACCTGGGACAGGACACAGAGCCTCACGTGGGCGTCGTGGGGTGGCAGGCAGAGCTCCAGCCTTCCCGTGCTCCGAGCGGCCTGAGGCTCGGGCCTGAGGGTGGAGCTCTCGGGTCCCTGCTCTGGCTACAAGGGCTAGAAAGGGCTGGCCCTGTTTGTGGTGGTAACCCCTGCTCTGTGAAGAAACCAAACCCACTGATTTATATGGACCATGGACTGCATCTTAGTAGAGAGGCCACTGGGCTTCCCAGGGGTGGTTAAAGAACCCACCTGCCAGTGCAGGAGATGCAAGTTTGATCCCTGTGTCAGGAAGACCCCCTGGAGAAGGAAATGGCAACCCACTCCAGTGTTCTTGGCTGGAGAATCTCATGGACAGAGGAGCCTGGTGGGCTACAGCCCATGGGGTCGCAAAGACTCGGACACAACTGAAGCGACTTACCACGCACACAGAGATGTCATTAAAATTAAAGAAGGAACCCCACAGAAGCTGCAAGGCTCTCCTCGCTGTGTGGGCTGGAGCACAGCCAGGGGTGAGCCCTGCACCCGGGGCCCCGCAGAGACCAGTGCCCCGGCCTGACGGAGATGAGGCGGGACGAGCCGGGCCCTCGCTGAGGGCAGAGCTGAGCCGACCTGCAGCCTGGAGGAGGCAGGCCGGCAGACTCAGGCCGCTGTCCAGGGTGTGCTTCCTTACGGTGGGCCGGACTTGAAACAGCCAGCACAGGAAAACAACTCTATCGCTTTAAGACTGAATTTTCCTCCAAAAAGTCAACAACCCTTAGGAATATTTAAAAGCCCTCACTAAAGCAGGCTTTAGAACAGTGAAACATAAAATCTGTCATTTATTTTGACTGCCTGGCAAGGAGGAGGCTGAGAGCCACATGTCACTCACCCGCGTGCCCCGGTGAGGCAGGTGGAGCCCGCGTGGGGCTCGGTGTCTGGCGAGGGAGCGGGACCACCGCCCCCCTCCTCCAGGCCGTCACCCTGGCTCTTCTCCGCGCCTCCATCACAGCATTAGCACTCCTTGGCAGACCCATCAGTTATCCCTGCTTTGCAGTTGACAAATGGGAACTCCCGCGTTCTCCTTTGTGTCTGGGCTTCTCTGTGTGTGCGAGGCTCACCCCTGGGCCTCTGGTCGTTCTCCGTCGTCTCACAGCATGCCACCGGGCTGACACTGCAACACTGCTGTCCTACAGGTGAGCATTTCGGCTGGTTCCAGTCTTCTGGTCATGAAGCATGTTGAAGGTTCCCGTATGTGTATCCTGGCACACAGTGAATGTGCGAGGCACACCCACCTGCAATTCCACAAGTCTTGTCAAATCCTTCTCCAGGGTGACTGCCCGCCAGCGACACTCGGCAGCTGTCCTAGAAGAGGACCTGGGAGGCCCTATTTTGATGTGCTCTTGACTTGCAGCCCCCTACCCCACCCCAGGAGTGAGGCTGAGTGCCTGCTTGTATCTTCACTGGCCCCTTGGAAAGCATCTTCTGTGAAGGGCGTGGTCGTGTTTCCTGTCCGTTCTCAACCAGGTCATCTTTTTCTTGTTTTGTGGGGATTCTCGTCAGCAGAGCATCTCACAGCCCCCACCCCCTTTCCCATGTGCTGCCTCCTGGTGCTATTTCTGGTCAGAAGTTCTGATTTCAGAGCAGAACAATTTACTCACTCGTCTTCCCTGCAGTGGTTTCTGATGTTTCACCACCTGGGCTACTGGACGGCCGCAGGTATTCTCCTATTTTCTAAAGTTTTCTGCCTTCAGCCCTTCGCACTGAGATCTACAGCTCACTGAACTGAATTTATGGTCTGTGTGAGGCAGAGACCAAGACGAACTTTCTCCCATCAAAGTGTTAGTCGCTCAGTCGTGCCCAACTCTTTGTGATCCCATTGACTACAGCCCGCCAGGCTCCACTGTCCATGGAATTCTCTAAGCAAGAATACTGGAGTCAGTGGCCATTTCCTTCTCCAGGAGATCTTCCCACAGAGGGACTGAACCTGGATCTCCTGCTTTGCAGGTGAATTCTTTACCATCTGAGCCACCAGGGAAGCCACCTTTTCCCACATGACTAGCCAGTTCCCTCAGGACCCTTTCGTGAAAAGCCATTTTTTCTCCACATCTCTAAAAGGCTACCTCTGCCATAAATCAAGTGTTCTGGAAACACCAGTTTATTTACTGGCTCTCATCCTGCCCCACCCCACATACTGCTAATCACTGAAAGTGCATATGTAACACTTACATATCAGTAAGTGTTACATACGGATAAAATACCCACCCCTCCCTTTTCTGTTACTACAATAAATTACATTAATTGACTTTGTAATGTTAAACAGATCTTGCATTTCTGGGCTACAACAAACTGTCATGATGATTAATCCTGATTTTTGGTTGACTCTCTTTGGAGGCTTGATTTATTTTGCTGAAAATCTGGTTAGTATTTTTGCATCTTCTGTTCATCATGTGTCTTTTGATTCTTATGACTGAGAGAAGCTTATAATTTTCCCTTTTCAACATGTCCTTTCTAGGTCTTACTATCGAGGTTATGCTAGCCTCAAAACATGCTAGGAGTTTTTTTTCCTGTACTCTTCTCTGGTGTGAAACTGGTGTTATTCTCTTTATTAAAAGTTGGGGAATATGTGCCAGTGAACCAATCATGGCCTCAAGTTTTCTCCTTGAAAAGATTTTAAATTATGGGTTCTGATTCTCTAAGAGTTACGGACCTGTGTCTTCACAGGCCCATTTCAGTAAGTTGTCATTTTTTTTTTTCATTTATCTTTATTTGTTGGAGGCTAATTACTTTACAATATTGTAGTGGTATTTGTCATACATTGACATGGATCAGCCATGGATTTACATGTATTCCCCATCCCGATCCCCCCTCCCACCTCCCTCTCCACCCAATCCCTCTGGGTCTTCCCAGTGCACCAGGCCCAAGCACTTGTCTCATGCATCCAACCTGGGCTGGTGATCTGTTTCACCCTAAACAATATACATGTTTCGATGCTGTTCTCTTGAAACATCCCACCCTCGCCTTCTCCCACAGAGCCCAAAATTCTGTTCTGTACATCTGTCTTCTGTTTTGCAAATAGGGTTATCATTATCATCTTTCTAGATTCCATATATATGTGTTAGTATGCTGTAATGGTCTTTATCTTTCTGGCTTACTTCACTCTGTATAATGGGCTCCAGTTTCATCCATCTCATTAGAACTGATTCAAATGAATTCTTTTTAATGGCTGAGTGATATTCCATGGTGTATATGTACCACAGCTTCCTTATCCATTCGTCTGCTGATGGGCACCTAGGTTGCTTCCATGTCCTGGCTATTATAAACAGTGCTGCGATGAACATTGGGGTGCACGTAAGTTGTCATTTTTAAAAGAACTTCTGTATTTCATTTAAGCTTTCAAATTTATAAACATACAGCTGTTCATAATAGGCTCATTTTATCTGTAGGGTCTATAGCAATGTCCCCTTTCTTTCTATATGGCTTATGTGGCATTCATTACTTTACTGGTCTTCTCAAATGTCAAGTTTTTGGCTTTAAGAATCCTTTCTACTTATAGCTTTAAAAAAAAATCATTAAATTATTGCCTGTTTAAAAATTTTAATTCCCTCTGTCTGCACTGAGTTTAATCTCCTGTCCTTTTCACTACTTGCCGAGATGGATGCTTTCCTTACTGAGTTTCAACTTTCTAAAATATGCATCTAAGCTGACTCCTGCATGTTCTCATACAGTTTCATCCCTCAAAATACTTTAATTTCTGTTGTAACTTCTTTCTCAACCCAAGGGTTATTCAGAGGTACAGAATCCACACAGATTTCAACCTATCTAGCGAACTGTTTGTTACATTCCTTAGTTGTACTGTGGTCAGAAAGCACATCCTGTATCACTTCAACTCTGGGACATTGTTGTACTTTACCTTGTGGCCCTGTTTCCGGTCAATATTCATAAATGTTCTTTTTGAAAAGAATATGTATTCCTAAACATCAAGGGCAATGTTCTATTTCCTTTTCCAAATCTTCTATTTACTGCTGATTTTTCACCCACTTAGTCTACCAGTTGGTAAGATGTGTGTGAGAAGATGGGAGGACATATTCCCCACTGTGCTGGCAGATTTATATAATTTTCTTTAGAGTTTTGATTTCTGCTTTAAATCAACTATTACTGTCCTGGTAAAATAAAATTTTTATCACTGAGAGACGGTCTTCAGAATCCTCCTGCCCCCACTCTTCCCTCTCCCCCTTGCTCTTTAATTCATTTACAAGACCTTCCCGCCTTGCTGTCTCATTCATCCACATACTGGCTGGTTTCTCTGTGTCAAAATGTCTCTAGTGGACACATCATATGAGGTCTTCAGGGAATGTGATTCCAGGTGCTAACACCATCCTGCTCTGCCTGCCTTGGGCTGGAGCTGGGGAACCGGGAACTCACAGGATCTGTATCCACAGAACTCCAGGGCCTTAAGAGGACAGAAGCAGAAAACCATGGAGATGACACCGACCAGACCACTGCAGGATGAGTCTCCAGAGGATTACTAGAGCTGACTGACACTCCACTTTCAATTTTCTGGCCCCTAACCAGCAACTCAGGTGGTCTGAGGACACCAGTCTCCCATCTCCCCAGGTTGTGGGCCTCCTGAGTAAAAGCACCTTTTCTTTTTCCACCAAAAAAAAAAGAAAGAAAAAGAAAGTCTTTCATTATCTGTAGGATTACTTTTTGCTTTGAAGCTTATTTAATATACTAACAGCCACATCAGCCTATTTTCGGTCAATGTTTGCACAATACTTTAGACTCTGTCCCTCAAACCGCTCTGTGCCCTTGTGTCTCAGTTCTATCTGCTGCAAACAGTATATACAGTAGTTGATTTTTAAAAACCCACCTAGCATTTAGTTCACTTACATTTAATGTAATTACATAAATGCCAACATTTTTAGGCTTAAATCCTCCATTTTATCATGGGCTTGCTATTTGTCCCACCAGAAGTTAATTTTCCTTGTGCTCTTTTTTCCCTTGGATTCTTTCAGATTGAATTTTATGTTTTTATAGTGATTATAATATATACAAAGACAGAACAAATATTTTTTCCCACTGTTTTATCTTTTTCATTTTCCCAACAGCATCTTTTGACGCTGTTTTTAACTTTGATCAAGTCCAACTTACCACTTTTTTCATTTATGGCTGGTACTTTTTCTGTCTTTTCTGAAAAAGCTTAACCCAAAGTTATAGTTTCTGAATCTTTGTCTAAAACTTTGTGGTTTTAGTGTCTGGCACAGGTCTACAATCTAGCCCCAACTGATTTTCAGGTATGGTATGAAGGAGCGACTGAGGTTAAGTTTTTCATGTTTGCCCCATTGTGTCAGCATCATTTGTTGAAAAGACTCTTTTTACCCCCCATTGAAATAATAAACACTAACAATCTTGCAGTCAATAAACAATGTGGGAAGACTTTGCTAACTCATCAAGACTTATTCTAAAGCTACAACAATTAAGAATATGTGGTGCTGGGTTAAAGACAGATAAAACCACCCACGGATACAGCAGGGAAGACCCACACAGACAATTTTTTGTTTTTAAAAATGTCAAGGTATTTCATAAAGTTTATTCAGTTTATCTAAGAATCATCAAGCACCCAAAGAAAAGGTGTAGAATTAACTGTTAAAGGCAGGTATTTTAACCATAGTGAGGAGTCAACAGCCAAGAAAAGTGTGAGGAAATCATAATGGAGCAGACACAGAAGCCAGAGTATTTCTAGAGCTTAGCACTATTTAGAGGCAAACAGTCCTTCATGTCCCTAAAAGCACAGGTTATTCTCCACAGCACAGTTCACTAATACATTCACAAAACTTTTGTTTAATATTTTAAATGGTACTTTCACCTTTAACTGCCCCATGAAGTGTGGAGAGAGAGCAAGCCACTGACCATCACTAACTTGTGACCTTAAATTCTATTCTGTAAACTCCAGATAAGGAGGCGTGAGATGATCTAAAAACATTTTGGGAAGATTCATGCTCAGAATCTTTAAAACATGTATTTAAAATTATGACACTTCATAGGCTAATAGGAATTTTAAAATTTTATTTGTATGATGTATTCCTAGACAATGTCTAAGAAATGCCACTAATTGTCTCTGTAAGAAGCACTTATTTCCAAAAGCTCCTGTTTTGGGACGATTTTAACAGGGGGAGTAACTGTGGCCCAGCAGTCATGGATGTTCTTTTAACGGGTCTTTCCGGTTCTAAGATCACTGGAATGTCTCTAGGCTCTCACAGGTGCAAAGAATAGGAACACATATGTGATTACAATACTGTTATAAAGATACCTGTTGTTCAGTTGGTTTTATTCAACTTCCGGGAATGTGGGGAGATATTAGAAACAAAGTCTCATAGCACTTATCATCTTACCAGAGTCCTGGGTTCAGTGAAAACAAGCACCCTGTCTGCACAGCCTTAGAACATGTTTACCTAAGGCTTTCAGTCTCCTTTGGGAGCTAAAAATAAGTGAGTTTAAGTTGTCAACACAGAGACCTTAGAGTATCAGCAAGTCAGCAGGCTGGCTTCCACACACTTCATGAAACAGTGCAGTAAGCTTCATGGTTAAAAGTCATTTATGTTATGTGCTTTCATGTACTTCTCTGACTTACCTAATAAGTAAGAAACATCTTAAGGTATTAGTGAACCTTTTACTCCAACTCTAGGTAGAGCGGAGAAGTCGTACAAGCAAAAACACAGAATGACATTTTATTAATGCTTAATGCAGCAACACAACAAATTATACATTTAGTACACAGTATTATGAAATAAATTAAATGGCTGAAAACAAACAAAAACACCTGGATGTTTATGACAACTCAAAACTGGAAGAAAAAAATTAAAAAGGAGAAAGTGTAACAAAAGGAATTAATCTGAATAAAAATACTGAACAAACCTTAATTGGAATTCAAAAGAAAACCAAAAGGTTTACTAGTACAAATGCACAAGAAATTTGTAAAATATACAAGGACATAAATTGATATGAAATTTACAAGTCGCTGAAAAATAATGTTGAAAATACTTTCTTTTCTGAAAAAGTTTGAACTGAGACCAGTTTACTTACCCAAGTTCTGTCATGCCGTCCACAAATTCCTTTTCACTAAATTCACATTGAGTTGCAGCCCTGAATTTCCACGCTATAAGCAAAACTGTGATACTGGCAGGATCTAGGCTTAAATCATCACAAAACTGTTGAATTCCATCAATTCCAATTTTATTTTCATCTTGTGGGTCTACAGTTAAAATTAAGGGAAAAAATAAGTTAAAAACTTGGATATTTTGGAAAGTATTACTAAAATGGGTGTAAAGAATGTATTTTTAGTACATCAATCAATGCACTGCAATTTTCAAGCATATATGAGAGAAATAGTAACATAATAATTTATCCAGAAAATACTCCTATTTTTAAAACCGAGGTTTCTGGGTTTTCAGGGGGAAAAAAAAAATCACTGAAACTTCTCTGAAAATGTCATTATGAATAAAAATTTTGACTTCCCTAGAGTAAAATAAAAATTCAAGTTTACAGATTTTTAGCTTGCCCAAAGCAAACTGCTATGAAAAACATTGCATGGTGAAGTATTCACAGTAGTTCAAGTTTTTGCCATCACCTTGCCAAGGCAAAAGAAAGATAATGTATTTTTCAAAAGTGATTTTATTTTTTATAGTGCTAATACCACTGCACAACACTTATTTTTTGGTCATTTAGTTTATACATTCATGTTTAACAGCTGAGAAATTCTGGCTTACCCCTCCCCTAATTTCTAGTTTAGAAATAAAACTAAGGAAGTTAGCATTTTTCCATGGGAAAAATCAAACAGCGAAGCCTACTAAAGCATCAGTAAGAGTGCACAGTGAGGCCCCACGAGCTCGCCTGTCTCCGGGCCCGCCTGGCGGTGGTCTCTGGGCCGCCTGGCGGTGACATGCCGCCTGCTGCTGTGGGAGGCACCAGAGCAGGCCGTGGCACTTCACTTGGAACAAGGTCAAGTGCAGCAGACTCTTCATCACACAGGGTCGGACTCCTCAGTGCTCAGCACCACATCTAACGTACGTCGTTACCCGAGGAGACCACCGGCCCCCATCACTCGAACAGTCACCAAGACCCTCCAACTCTATGCTCCCAGGTTGTGAGAGTGGGCTCACGGCACAGAGGGGCTCGCCACATCCCGACTCAAGCCTGTGCTCCTCACACGGCACACGGTCAGGAGGATGGGAAAATGGGCCTACCATGCCCTCACCTAACAGCCTTCCCGACAAACTTCACATACGTCATTTCTGGATGCATTAAAATAGCTTGGAGGCACTCATCTGTATACATTCTGTAAGGACAGATGTTTGTCAACAGTCTCTAACTATATATTTATTTTTAGGGCCCAAATCTTGAACTAAAGAATAAAGGTAACTTTTGCAAAGGCAGCTGCACACATCTGAATGACTTATAAAATCAGTTCAGTAATTAACTTAGCCAAAAAATCTAAAGGATACTGAAAACAATGCTCCTTTTGGAGAACTACAAACACAGATCTGCTCTTCTAACCACAGAAGGTTTCTGAACTAAGATTATAAAAAAAAAGAATGCAATTTTCAGTTGATTTATTTGTATCTAAATAGATTAAAATATACACAGTATATTTTCAAAAGTAAAAAATGAAAACAATAACAAGAACTCAAAGTCTAGGAAGTTTGTGTTAATCCTTGTTTAAATGAGGGTTTTCACTTTCTGCGTTCTATTTTTTTAAGTTTTGGAAACATAAGAGTAACCTTAGAAGCTGCTAGAAAGAAAAAATAACTCAACTCTTGAGCCACTGCCGCCTTCCCACTCAGCAGACCTGACGCCTGATGCGGAACTCGGAGCCCGTGGAGCTGTCTGGATCTGCAAACTTGTTTTGCCTCATGACTGTATTTTGAGAGGGAAAGCGCCATTCTAAGTGCTGATTTCAATAAAAATAACTGCTGTCTCCAACTGACAACATAAGGTCTCTCTGCCAAGAGCTCTTCCAGAAGCTTCTGCCACTGGCACTGGTGCAGGACTCTGGCACCACCAACCATGGAGGGCAGGGTGACCTGCACCTCCTGTCAGAACTCCTCGGACGATGTGGAATAGTTCTCAAGCAGCCTTCTCACCAGGTACTCCTGCCCAGCGGAAGTGCTCGGGAAAAGTACTCCTGTAGCTGGCGTAGCCCCCTGGCCTGGACACCAAGCATCCCACCAGTGACTCCCCACAGCTGACCCAGGCCGTGGATAGGAGGGCTCGCTGCCCATCAGCCTTTAGACTGTGCGCCTTGTCCCAGCCCAGCCTCGAGCCATCAGCAGCCACGTTCCGATTAAACTAACTAAACTGTAGAGCTGACCATCAGCAAGGGAGGGGATTGCGCTCCTAACATGGCACACGGTCGGAAGCCTTGGGACACGGCATGGGAAACTCCCAACTCCACCCTGCGCCCTGGACATGCGGTGCCTCGGTGCCCTTACCTTTGTACCTGTTACACAGCCGCTCCAGTCTCTTCCTGTCCACGGAGGCTCTCATGGATTCCCTGTGAACACGCTCGGGTGCAGGAAGCAGCTGTCCGTGGCCAGGTCTGCTGTCTACTTGCTCTGCTCTAAGCAGTGGGCGGCACTTCTCTTGCCAGCCTGAGTAAATGCCATGAACTGGTGGACCTTGTCCTTCTGAGATGATTTAAGCTTATGCTCTGGGAAGCGAGAGAGGTAGGAAAGCCAATGAGGCCGGCTCTGAGGCCGGCCCAGAGAGCCTTTACGGCTCGATCACCAGCATCTACATTGTATCTGGACTTAACTTCTCCCGGGTGACCAGACTGCACTTCAGAACTACAGAAATACAAAGCTTTGTTCCCCACTGAGTAAAAACACTGGACAGCCTTCTGAAAATTCAAACGACAGTATCTATATAGTAACAAATATGGAAAGTCTAAACTCCCCCAAATTAGAAATATCAGTATTCTATGCAAAATACATTTTGATCTTTATCTGGTTCCCTTCGAATGAAGTGGGATGCTGCTTTTTTCCCTTTGAGTCTCAGTGAAATCCCCCTTTCTAACACACATGTGCCATCTGATGAAGTGAGGCCAGAGGGTAACCCGAGGTCTGCCCACAACACCACAGCCCACCTGTGGGTCCTCCTCAGCGTCAATTAATTTCAGGCCCTAATGACCAGGAGAAGGCCCTTGAGGTTTAGAAACATCATTATTTTAAGTTTTCCTCTGTCTAAAATAAGCAGAACAACACTGATGAAAACACACACATGTAACAAAAAATTGTGTGAAAAGTAACTTATAAAAGTTCCAAAAGCAGGAACAAAAAGCCCGTGATGATTAAGTAAAGATACTAATAATGAGAAGTTCATGTACATGAGACAGAAATAAAATGGAAAAATAGGGCAGAGGCTGTGGGTGGGTAGTAAATAACAAAACTGCCCTGTAACTGCACTATATATAGTATATGATGAAACCAAATAGTATTTTGATGCTTCCAGATACCAGAATGGTTAAGGTTTTATTTATTGAAGGTAACCTGATGAAGACGACAGCAGCAATGACGGTGATTCACCAAGGTTGTAAATCAAGAGACACTAGGGCCTTCCCTGGCAGTCCAGCGTCACACTTCCACTTCAGGGGGCCTGGGTTTGATCCCTGGTCAGGGAACTAAGATCCCACATGCTGCATGGTGTGGCCAAACCGTCCCCCAAACCAAAACCAGACCCATCTGCTGCTGCTGCTAATACTTTATAAAAAACAATAATATGATAAAGGGAAAAATTTTACTTTTAAAAGGATTTATACTGTTTTGTTAAAAAGAAAAGATGACAGTTTACAGAAGCACATAGAATAAGTTGTAACTTACAAAAACATGTAATTGGAAAACAAGATGTAGATGAAGAAATTAGGGAAAAAAAAAGACAAAAAAGGCCAGAGATAAGATACAGACATGCATACCATATATAAGAGCTGAAAGCTGAAAATTAGGCTCTGAGCTTCTCAGTTGCCAAAGCAAAGATTAGAGGGGACAGTTCATGTCACCACCTTCTTCAGTTTCAGTGCCAGGAGGAGCTGGGCCGTTTGGAGGTCACGCCTAAAAAATAAATTAATAAAGGTCCATAAATTGGCAGGACCACTGCCTACACTTCAAGCTCTGATGGACTTCACTAAGGCTCACCATGCCAAGGAAATTAAATGATTATTGGCGGCTTTTAAGGGAAGTGGGTGGGCTTTTCCTAAAAGCCTTATCCTCTTAAAATGTACAAAATTCTTGAAATAAAAATGTGGATAATCTAGGAGAAATATCAGATAAATTCTCTAACTTCTGGAAAAGGTCTCAAGACTTTTAACTGTGACCTTGTGAAGAACCACTTCTGTGATGCGGGCATCAAGACTGACCATAGATCGAATTTAGATACGTCTTTAAAATGCCCTTCCAGAGACACCGAATACAACAAGGTCGCTTCCAAGGGGCCGACCCAGTTAACGGTGTAAGCTGAGTCACCCTGATGGTTCTGGGTTCAGTAGGTGGGGAGGGGGGCAAGGAGTCAGACCCAAGTGCCCCCTTCACTCTCCCGCCTCTCCAACCTCTTCAGAAGGCCCCAGGCTCCTGCCCACGCAGCCCCTTCCCCTGGGCAAGCGCGGTCTCTGCTTTCCGGACCGGCTGGACCCATCCCTCCGGACCGGATTTGCTCCACCTCCTCCTCCGCGGCGCTCCCACCGGGAGGGTGTGTCCTCACGCCGCCCCTGCCCCTGCCCCTCCCTCCTGGACCCCCTCTCCTGCCCCGAGCCTCTCCCCAGGATCCCGCTGCCAGGAGGGCGAAGGCCGCCCCAGCGCAGCCGGCTGCGTCCTCTCCCTGGCCGCCTTCCGGTTCCTGGAGGGTACCCCGGTCTGCCCCTTCTGCACCTCTGGACGCCCCCCGCCCCATTCACTGCGGGGCGCTCAGCTCGCACCGAGGAGCCGAGGCTGAGCGTCCACTGGCTCAGCGTCTGACGCCGCCACGCGGCTCCCGGCCCGGCCCCGACAGCGGAGAAGGGTCTGGGGCCCCGCGCCCGGGCCGGCCTCTCTGCCGGGTCTCGGCCCCAGCGTTACCGGACCCGCGACTGTCGCGTCGGCCCGGGACCCGGCTTGCCTCACACGGAACCCCTCCGTTACCGCGCTTCCACGACGCCTCAGAGCACAAGCCGAAGGCTCCAGAAGCCCCTCCCTAGCTGCCCCCCGCCCCGGGCCCCGCCGCAAGTCTCCGACCCGGTCCTGCCCCCGCCCGCGGCCACCGCGCCACCTACCCTAGCCCCACAGCGCCCCGGATCGCGCCCGCCCCGCCGCCTGCGCCGTCCCCGCCCGGGCCTCAGCCCGGACACCGTCCAGGGACATAGGACTCCGACTCCCGGCGTGCCGCGCGCGGCCGGGATCCAGGCCGCGCTAGGCCTCCGATTCCCGGCGTGCACCGCGCCGCCCCGCCCCGGGTCGGGGACACCGCTCCCCGCCTCCTTAAAGGCGCCGCGACGCCCTCTCGGCCGCGTCGGCGCCGAGCGCGTTCGGGAGACGGCGGGCAGAACTGGCCCTCCGGGCGCCTGACCTGGGCCCCGCCCCGGGGGCGGCCCTGCCGCCTGGGAAGGGATGCGGAGAAGTCGCCTCCCTGTCCTCCCCTCCAGAGAGCCGGACCCTGGACGCGCCGCAACCGGAACGTCCGGGTGAGCGCTGCGCGGCGTGCGGCGCCGGGCCTCGGCGCGGCCTCAAGTGCGGCCCTCAGGGCTCCCTTCCCCTCCCTGCCCGGGGTCTGCTGTCTCCTTCCCCCGGGGTCTGGGCTCCTCCCTCCCCGGGGGGTCTGGTCTCGCCCCTCCCTCCCCGGGGGTTCTGGGCTCCCCCACCCGGGAAGTCTGGGCTCCTCCCTCCCCGGGGGACTGGGCGCGTCCCTCCCCGGGGGGTCGGGGCTCCTCCCTCCCCGGGGGGGTCTGGTCTCGCCCCTCCCTCCCCGGGGGTTCTGGGCTCCCCCACCCGGGAAGTCTGGGCTCCTCCCTCCCCGGGGGACTGGGCGCGTCCCTCCCCGGGGGGTCGGGGCTCCTCCCTCCCCGGGGGGGTCTGGTCTCGCCCCTCCCTCCCCGGGGGTTCTGGGCTCCCCCACCCGGGAAGTCTGGGCTCCTCCCTCCCAGGGGGTCTGGGCTCCTCCCTCCCCGGGGGTCTGGGCGCGTCCCTCCCCGGGGGGTCGGGGCTCCTCCCTCCCCGGGGGGGTCTGGTCTCGCCCCTCCCTCCCCGGGGGTTCTGGGCTCCCCAACCCGGGAAGTCTGGGCTCCTCCCTCCCAGGGGGTCTGGTCTCCCCGCTTCCTCCCCAGAGCACTCTCTCCACCCTCGGGGTTCCGCCGTCTCCCTCCCCCCGGCTTTGTGCCGAGGACAGTGCCGCACCTGAGCGCCTTTTCCAGGCCCGCGCACCTGGCGGCGGATGAGGGACGGGGAGGGCACGATGGGAGCGCGGGCGGGGGCTGTGGACGTAGGGGGGGTTGGACAGTCCACACCCCCCCCATCCCCCAGCCAGATCCTCGGCCCAGGTGTGCAGAGGAGCGCCCCCCCCGCACCCCCAGTTCCTGCGGGACCTCACCTGGGAGCTCACACGTGATTGTCCAGGGGTCATGCAGTCTCCGGGTCCCTTGAGAAGGAAGCACAGCATGGCCCCGAATTAACGCGTGACTCAGGGACAGCCCCAAACCCAACTTCTGGGAGCTACTCCGAGGAGGGGATCCTCGAGGGTGGCTGCCAGTCACGGGACAGGTGCCAGTGATTGGATTGGTACCTGTCCAGAATACTTGATTTTGTACAGTTTAATTAACCTTACATACTTTAAAATTTATTATTGTCCATAAGAATTTTTTGTCCTTCCTGTTTTGCTTTTTAAATTCATTTTCCAGTTCTTTTAGTGATTAGAAATGAACCATAAGTTGTATTTACAGGATTATAAGTGCTTTATCTTTTAAGAAATACAATTTTCATCATCTAACTTGTTAAAGTGTAAAATAGGCTTTTCAGGTAAAATCCTGCACAAATCTCATTGAGTTAGGTTGGTTCCACCCTGGGTGTCCCTGCCTCCTTCTTTGTTGCTGTTTTGTGCTTGGAAGCTTTGGTGGAATATGGCCAAAATGCTCATATCAAACCTTCCACTGCAAATAACCCTCCTGCTTTCTTTTTTCCAGAGGTTCTGCACCTGCTAACCCTGATCCCACCGGGCCCTGGAGACTCGCTCTGGAATTCTTGCCTGGAGTTCTGGTGCCAGGTCAGGCCCTCCTCCTTCAATTTAGGGCCAGGGGTTCAGCTGGGTGTGGAAATTTTAAGAATTCATTATAAGACCAAAACAAGTCCAAAGTGTCTTTTTTTAATAATTAAAAATAGCAATAACAGGGACTTCCCTGGTGGTCCAGTGGCTAAGACTCCAGGTGCCCAATGCAGGGAACCCACCTTCCATCCTTGATCAATGAATTGGATCCCACATGCTGCACCTAAGACCTGGGACAGCCAAATAAATAAATAGAATTTTTAAAGAAGGAAAATATATGCCATTTATTAAAAAAAAATAGCAATAACCAAATAACACCATTTACTGAAGAGAAAACATGTTACAATTTAGTAGTCCCTAGGATTTGGTAGTTGAATATGAAGGTAAAATGAGAAGTTTATGAAGGAGGAGTGATTCATCTTTTTAAAAAATATTTATTTGATTGCGCTGAGTCTTCTCTTTGGCTTAAGGGATCTTCAGCCTTTATTGCAGCGTGTGAGACCTTTAGCTGTGGCATGTGGGGTCTAGTTCCCTGATCAGGGATTGAACCCGGGCCCTTTTCCCTGGGGGCACGGAGTGTCAGTCACTGGACCACCAGGGAAGTCCTGGTTCGTAGTTTAAGTGTCTGTAAGTAATTTCAGCTTTATGCTCATAGACGTCTTTCTATCAAAAGATAGACGCTCTTTTCAGTGGACGTATTAATGACTACGACTCGAATTCTCAAAGATTTCTTATTAAAGTGACTTCCCCCTGGGTGTTGTCGGGGGGGGGAGAACTAACTACAGGGGCTTGTCTGCAGAAGGAACCCTTATAATGGACAAAGGGTTTTATTCCCGAACTAGTTGTGTAGCAGTTTATTTTTCTGAAGTTTGAAATTTATAAAAGCTTCACTTTCTGTGATCTTTTGAAGAAAACGTGTGTGTCTAGATCTGTGCCAGTAACTCAGCATCTGAAATTTGTGTCTCAGTTCTGAAAGATATTAAATATGCACATTTGAAGTTGAGCTTAATTTCTTTCCTTCGAAACCTTAGAATCTTAGCATGTGAGTCAATAAAATAACAGATCAGCACATATTGCTGGTATCATTGTGACTGGTCAGTGGTTGGTTTGTTTAAGGTGGTAACATTTACTTAAAGCTGTACTGAAACTGCACGGGGAAGTCAGTAATGCTAACAGCTCTAGCTGTGTATCCTGTCTTGTCGGGAAGTGAGCTGTCCAGAGTCTGTGGTCCTCTGGGAGACGTGGGGACACAGGGTCTAAATACATACTGAACAGATTCCTGACTTCTTCATCAGAATATGGGCCAGCATGCACTCTTCAGCGGGTAACTTCTCATTGTCATTCTGACCATGGGTCACGCTCCTTTTCCAGTGGGGGCCTCTTCAGGGTCTGCCTGGGACAGTCGCCCCCACTATACCGTGGGTCACAGCAACCCCTTGTGCCTTCCTGAGCTCTGCTGTCCACTCTGTTGGCTGTGAGTTCTTGGTTTGTTTGGGATTCTTAGAAACGCACACTCTTACTTTTGCTGTGTCTAATCTACTTTGCCTGGGAATCCAGATTAAACTCATTAGAGCCGGGATTACCAGTGAAGTGAAACAATATTTGTACACTGTAGAATACCACGTGCATCCCTGGAAGCAGTGGGTTTTGCTTTCTCCCTGGTGTAGGACTCGGGCCACACTGCCCGGTTCAGGGGGTGTCAGGGACGCCTTCCTGGACTCTCCCGCATCTGCGCCTCCTCCGCCTCCTCCTGCCTCTGTGCTCATCCTTTCTGGTCGGCTCCTGCGTGGCCTCCACCCGCGCCTTGATTAGCCCTCTTCTGGAAGGCGCAGCCCGGTGTGCCCCACAGGCGGCGCTGAGACCCAGGGTCCATCTCGCCCCTCACCCCACAGGCGGCACTGAGACCCAGGCCCATCTTGCCCCTCACCCCACAGGCGGCACTGAGACCCAGGCCCCATCCCGCCCCTCACCCCACAGGCAGCGCTGAGACCCAGTCCCCATCCCGCCCCTCACCCCACAGGCAGTGCTGAGACCCAGGCCCCATCCAGCCCGTGTGCCCCACAGGCAGCGCTGAGACCCAGGCCCATCTCGCCCCTCACCCCACAGGCGGCACTGAGACCCAGGCCCCATCCAGCCTGTGTGTCCCATAGGCAGCGCTGAGACCCAGGCCCCGTCCCGCCCCTCACCCCACAGGCAGTGCTGAGACCCAGGCCCCATCCTGCCCCTCACCCCACAGGCAGTGCTGAGACCCTGGCCCCATCCAGCCCGTGTGCCCCACAGGCAGTGCTGAGACCCAGGCCCATCTCGCCCCTCACCCCACGGGCGGCACTGAGACCCAGGCCCCATCCCGCCCCTCACCCCACAGGCAGCGCTGAGACCCAGGCCCCATCCCGCCCCTCACCCCACAGGCAGTGCTGAGACCCAGGCCCCATCCAGCCCGTGTGTCCCATAGGCAGTGCTGAGACCCAGGCCCCGTCCCGCCCCTCACCCCACGGGCAGCGCTGAGACCCAGGCCCCATCCCGCCCGTCAACCCACAGGCAGTGCTGAGACCCAGGCCCCGTCCCGCCCCTCACCTCACAGGCAGTGCTGAGACCCAGGCCCCGTCCCACCTGTGTGCCCCACAGGCGGGGTGCGCCTCCCTGAGGGAGCAAGCACAGAGGCCTGGTCCGAGGCAGGGAAAACGCTGCAGTGTGATTGTGGTTTGTGACTGTTTCTTTTCTGTCCCTGATATCTTGTTAGCCTGCACCTGTAGATTCATGCTGGAAATTGGACCGAGGTCCAGGTGACTCAAGGAAGTGGATGGTGGCCCAAGCCCACTGGTGACGCTTCAGCTCCACCTCTGGCCCCTGGAGCTGGTTCCCGGCTCCTCGTCTGTGATGGGGAAGTGGGTAGCTTCCCTGGCCTTGAATGGGATTGGTGTATGTCGTTTGCACATGGTAGATGTGGTACATACGTGAGAATGAACTTCCCTTAAAAAATTGCCTTTAAATTCAGGTGTAACCTTCCAGGCACCATACTCTACATTCAGTATTGATTGTAATCTAGATGCCTTAAATAACTCAGATGTTTCTATTAATCTAGGAAAAATAACATTTTCCTCAGAAAACTGATAGCTTTTAGTAATTATGTAGTACTTTAATCTCAATAGCAATGAATCATCCTTCAACCATATGTGACAGTTCCTCTCTTCTTCAGCTGAACATGTTTGTCTGAAATGCCTGCTCAGCGTAGCTGGAGTCTCTGGGCAGTCTGGCCCTGTCCCTGAGGCTGGATCATGAAGGTGCCGGGGAGGAGCCGCTTCTGGATGTGGCTTCCATTCCTGCAGCTGCTGGTGAGCAGCAAGCAGCCCGAGGGCGTGGCGGGACCCGCTGGCGAGGGGCCGCGGGGCCGGGGGGCGGCTGTCCCACAGAGGAAGCCCTGGGTTCTGGACGGCTGCCGGAGGCTCTCCGGGCTCCTGCGCCAGAAGGCCGCCGTTCTGAACAAGCTGGAGGACGCGATCAGAGCCGTGGAGAGGGACGCCAGCCTCTCGGACCAAGAGAAGCTGTTCCAGGTGCACACGCTTGAGATTTTCCAGAAGGAGCTGAATGAAAGCGAGAACTCGGTCTTCCAGGCTGTCCACGGCCTCCAGAGAGCGCTGCAGGGCGACTACAGGGACGTGGCCAACATGAGGGAGAGCAGCCGGCAGCGCCTGGAGGCCCTGCGTGCGGCGGCCATCAAGGCAGGTCCGGGGCTGGGGCTGGGGTCCGGTCCAGCCGGTGTGGGAGGGCAGGCCTTGAGCAGTCCACACTTGAGCTCGCTGGGTCTCTCGTGCGCCTCCCCCAGGACAGCCCTGGGCCCGCAGACGAGCAGCTCGCGCTCTGCGGCGACCCCGCGCGCGAACGGGCCCCTGCGCTGCCGCCCGCGTGTCGAGTCTGGTGAGGACTGTCAGCGTTAGGCTGAGTTTCTCAAGGCCCGCATGCTGAAACCGAAGTGTCAAGGTGGCTTTAAGCAAATGTATGCACTTGAATTAAGGACTGTGATGAGTGATACTTTTAAAATGAGAAGAAACTTTTGTATCAGATGTAATATTTATAGAGCATTTTAAAGCTGTCATTTATGCCATCTATTAAGTGGCAGGCACTTTAAGTATACAAAGTATCATTATTCATCTTCATGGAAAGGCTATGATATTATTACACAGCTTTAAAAGTGAGGATACAAATTATTAAACTTTTTTTCACCCGAGTGTGGTATTTCTGCTAGCAATAAGATGATGGGGTATGTAGCTGCCAGGGTGTGGTTCTCTGTCTGTTGTGAGACAGACCGTGACCTGCCTGCTAGGGTGCTTCCCTGCCGTTTGTGACCGGGAACCTCTGAGAGCTTGCTCCTGCTGCGTGCGGGCTGCCCAGGTTCCCTTCTTAATAAGCGTCATTCTTCATTTCTCACGCATGAATAGGAGGAGACAGAATATGTGGAACTTCTGGCAGCAGAAAAACATCAAGTTGAAGCCCTTAAAAACATGCAGCATCGAAACAAAAGTCTGTCCATGCTGGACGAGATCCTCGAGGATGTGCGGAGGGCGGCAGACCGTCTGGAGCTGGAGATTGAGGAGCATGCCTTCGACGACAATAAGGCGGTGAGTGGCCCGCGCGCTCCCCGCTGGGGTGTGCGGCTGCATCAATAAGGCGGTGTGCGGCTGCGCAGGCTTGCTCGCGTGTGTTGGCACAGGCAGGAAACGCAAGCGGAACGGCCACACTGCGCCCCAGAAAGGGACCCAGTGGATGCGCCCCGGTTCCCCTGCTTGGCCCCAAGTCTGCCCTACATCCCACCCCCACACCCCCTGAGGCCCGTCTGCTTCCCGCCTGACAGAATTCTGGAGGCGGTCCTCTCTCTCTCTCTCTCTGCGGGATACATGAATTTGAATGCATCTGGCTGGTTTCACTGAGGTGACATGGTCCTTCCTGCAGGTCAAAGGGGTCAATTTTGAGGCGGTCCTGCGGCTGGAGGAGGAGGAGGCCGACTCTCAGCAGAACCTCAGCAGGCGGGAGGTGGAGGAGGACCTGGGCCTGAGCATGCTCATCGACTCCCAGAACAACCAGTACATCCTGACGCGGCCCCGGGACGCCACCATCCCGCGGGCTGACCACCACCTCATAAAGGTCGCCTGGCCCCCCCGCCCCGCCCCCGTGATCGGATTCCTGTTCCGGTTCTATAGTTGTTAGGCCCCCCGGAGCGAGCTGCGGCTCCTCCTCGGAAGCTCTGGAGGCGCCGCGAACTGCCCCCCACCTTCTCGCCTCCCTCTCCCCTTGAGGTCAGGCAGGGCGCCGTCCCCCACGGGCGGCCCCCTCCCCCGCTGACCGCTGTGTCTCACCCTCCTGCAGGACATCGTCAGCATCGTGATGCTCTCCCTGCCCTGTGGCTGGCTCTGCACCACCATCGGGCTGCCCACCATGTTCGGCTACATCATCTGCGGCGTGCTGCTGGGGCCCTCCGGACTCAACAGTATCAAGGTCAGAACAGAATCTGATGTGCAGGGCTTGCTGAGCTTGAATCAGTGAAGGTGGCCATTTCTTACAAAGCACATCAGAGATGTCCTTTAGAATTTAGTAGGAAATCTCTAAAGCATAGGAACATCATTTTGTTCATTAATGAGTGAGCAAGTTGCCCAGAGAAAATGCCCTGTTCACGTCTTTAAAATGGTATTTGTTTTAAAGAGTCTGTGCAGTAATACAGTGGGTTGGGTTATTCAGACCCTGAAAGGAGCTGAAAAGGCTGGAGTAAGTGCCCTGCACGCTGAGACGCGGAGGGCGGAGCGGTGAGCAGGCCATGGTGCCCTGCAGCCCAGGCAGCCCCTGTGGAGGCCGTCTGCCGAGGCTCTCCCGGCAGTGAGGAGAGCCCCCAGCCTCGTGTCCTCTCAGAAAAGCACAGTGTGCGCACGAGGGAAGGAGAGAGCCAGGCAGCGGGTCCTGGCCCCCGGCCGCGGCATCCCTGACGCAGGGCGCGGGCGGGCACGTCCATCCCCACCCTGCTCAGTGCTGCCCCGTGGGCCACGCAGGCCGGGCGAGAGGCCTTCAGGCTGACCGGTCGTGACCGCGGACAGGCTGCCGGCCAAGAGCCCAGACTTGGGGAGGCGCGCGTGGCTCCGCCTGTCTCTGGGAGCCTGGTTTCATTCATGCCTCGGCCTTGAAGGAGTTGTAGTGTGACTGAGAGGCATGAAAGGCTGTCGCTGGAAAATACCCCCCTGCCTTGTTCCACCCCTCCCTGTAGACACACAGACGCATTTTCCTTTCCACTTTCTCTTAATAGAAAAGAACTAAGGCTAATAGATCCAACTGGGTAGTATGGGTATTGTTCTTAATAAATTACCTATACCATGGAAAAAGAATTACAATAGATAAAGACACCAAGATAAGAATCCAAGATCATACTAGCCAAAAGTGGGAGTGGGTAATGGAGAAAGTGTAATTGTACTTAAATGTACCCCAGTATTTATCTTTCCTAATAGGGAGTTAATAGACTTTCAGTTTCCAAGTCAAGAAGTATAGGTTTAAGTATGTTACCTTAAAGTCAGGTTGCAGCCCAGTTTTCAAAAGGGGGGAAGATAGTAGCAGTAAGGAAGCATGCAAAGCAGAAGATACAACAGAAGAACGAGCAAGCGTGTTTTATAACAAATATTTGTGGGATAAGCTCTGCTACGAAAAGACACAGGTTTGCAGATGGTGTCAGGGGAAAAGCAGACGTTAAACAAGGTCGACTCAAAATGAAATGACTGAAGGTTGAGAGTGAGAGGAGGAAGATGCTGGCAGAAGCGGGCGGGTTGCTGGTGTTCACAGCCTGGGGACCACGGACGTGCCCAGCGGAGGCCGGGGCGGCAGCCAATGCACGAACGCTCAGATTCTAGTGTCACATGTTCAGGAAACACTGGGAAGACTGACAAGTTGGTGGCTGCCATGAAAACCTCAAATGTGAATAATGTACGTAGCACCAAATACACAGGCATGAACAGCGTTCTCTCCTGTAGTGCAGGGACACGGGGTGAATGCGCCTGTCCGTCAGGACCTGTGGGGGTGCCAGCCATGGTCCAGGGGGAACCCACGCTCCCTCTCAGACCCAGGGAGTGTGAGACTCTCTTACCAGTTAAGCTTCAACCTCAGTGGTAGTGCCTCCCGGTCCCCACAGGAAGCCAGTGGGAGGAAGTAATAGAAATGTAGTGGCAGTTAATGAGTTTGAAAACACATGAATTCATGAGCTGGTTCCTAGAAAATAAATAAAAACATTCCTCCAGCTAAACAAGAAAAAAGGAAGAAAAGCACCACACTCAGCAAGTCCAGATTTTCTCAGATACAGAGGAAACCTAGGTAGCTCATGTTTTTGGTTTTGTTTTTCTTGTAAATACTGGGCTTTTTGGGATAGTTCCACTGAGTATGTTTGGACAAGATGATTCTGTGAATATCTTAAATACGTTAAGTTATATGGTTTTAAAACTTCCTTGTTTTTCAGTCGATTGTACAGGTGGAGACATTAGGAGAATTTGGTGTGTTCTTTACTCTGTTCCTTGTTGGCTTAGAATTTTCCCCAGAGAAGCTAAGAAAGGTGAGTCCACATGTGCTTGTGGTGTTCTCCCCTCCAGCCTAACATGCTCTGTGCTCAGCATCCACATTCATGGCTTGCCCAGCAGGGTAGAATATGATGTTGTAGTTTAGTGTTATTTTCGGAACATAAATTTCAAAAGATAAGTGTTTTTCTTTTTAGAAAAAGTGGAAATACCATGAATAAGTGGAATTAGCTTTTATGTGTCTAATTTCAGACCAGGTTTGAGAAGGGATATGTTCAGACTTACTAACTTCTGGGTCCCACCAAGAGGGTCCAACTCTGCTAGAGGCTGAAATACCATAGGGGTTGAAAATTCAGTGTTACTCTGGGGGGAATTCCTGGTTCTAATTTCTACATAAGTGGCAGATTTTGACTTAACTGCTCTATCACTGTAAGATGAAAATATCTGAAAGATTAGTAGTACACATTTAGGGCCATGTGTATGAATAAACATTAAATTAGTGGAAGCTGCAGTTCCCCCTAAGTGTCTTGGCTTTTAGAACGATTACTTGGAAAGCTGGCATATTCCAGAATGGAAATGGAGTTAGATTGGAAGTAAATTAATGAAAAGCCACTTTGTGTTTGAACAGACACATCACATAGGAGGAGAAAGCTGACAGGGACAGGATAGGGGTGGTGATGGACGCTGCTGGTTGCAGGACGGGTGGCTCCCGGATCCCTGGGTTTCCATGTGTGTTCAGTTTACAGACGTTGAGGGTGGGAGCGAGGAGGGGCAGCCTCTGGTGCCCCCATGTCCCTGGAGTGGCCATCGCAGTCGCCAGCGTCCTCATCCAGGCCGTGAGCATTGGGAGGATGCCGGTGTCCTCTGCCTCCAGAGTGTCGTACTTTATCCTTTCCTGCACTGTCAGATGAGAGCAGTGTCACCCACTGCGATGTTCCTGTCTTTGTCGGGGTGACGTCTGTGATGCTCTGGGGGTTTTGCACCTGTTGCTGCAGCCTGAAGCAGGGCTCATGGGGCAAGTGTGTATCCGCGTCGGGGCAGGAGCCTGGGTGGGACTGGCCCCTACTGGGTGCCTTTGGGTGTGGGGTGAGCTGGGGTCTCTGACGGCCCCTCAGCTCCAACATCCCCATGCGCCACTGAGCTCCGGCTGCCCCCTGCCTGGCCGCCCTGACCCTTGACCTGCCCCAGGGGCGCATCCCGCTGCTCTGTAGGCAGGCTTGAGGCGCGGCGTGGTGGCTCTGAGCTGACGGCTCTCTTGCTGTGTTGGGTACATGTGGGAGATTGCTGGTAGGGCTTTGAGGTGTTAGTAACCATGGGCAGGCCCCTCTCAAGCCTTGTGTGAGTTCTCCCAGACGCCTGATTAGGGGCTGTTCAGAGATGCCTGGCTCTGCGGGCTCCTTCCTGGGCCTTGTGGCTGAGGACACGTCTCTGTTCTGCCGTCGGGCCGCCCAGGTGTGTCCCCACACCGACCCCCAGGACCCTGGACAGACGCTGTTCCTGTTAGAAGGGGGGCTGTGGGGGTCCTCGGCTCCAGCTGTGTTCTGAGGCTGCGGTGCGCGTGGAGAGGGAGGGGGCGTGCTTAGTCCTCAGCAGAGCCTGGTGCGCATGGGTTTTCCTGGTGGTGTGCCCTGTGTTTACTGTGGAATTGCTTTCTGCACGGCCGGCTGGCTCCTGAGCAGCTGCACGTGCTCCTCGGGGCTGTGGCTGCGGAGGCGTGTGTGCACACATGCTCCTCGGGGCTGTGGCTGCGGAGGCGTGTGTTCACACGTGCTCCTCAGGGCTGTGGGCTCAGAGGCGTGTGCACACGTGCTCCTCGGGGCTGTGGCTGCGGAGGCGTGTGTGCACACGTGCTCCTCGGGGCTGTGGCTGCGGACGCGTGTGTGCACACGTGCTCCTCGGGGCTGTGGGCTCAGAGGCGTGTGCACACGTGCTCCTCAGGGCTGTGGCTGCGGACGCGTGTGTGCACACGTGCTCCTCGGGGCTGTGGGCTCAGAGGCGTGTGTGCACACGTGCTCCTCGGGGCTGTGGGCTCAGAGGCGTGTGCACACGTGCTCCTCGGGGCTGTGGCTGCGGAGGCGTGTGTGCACACGTGCTCCTCGGGGCTGTGGCTGCGGAGGCGTGTGTGCACACGTGCTCCTCGGGGCTGTGGCCGCTGAGGCGTGTGTGCACACGTGCTCCTTGGGGCTGTGGGGTCAGAGGCATGTGTGCACACGTGCTCCTCGGGGCTGTGGCCGCTGAGGCGTGTGTGCACACGTGCTCCTTGGGGCTGTGGGGTCAGAGGCATGTGTGCACACGTGCTCCTCGGGGCTGTGGCCGCTGAGGCGTGTGTGCACACGTGCTCCTTGGGGCTGTGGGCTCAGAGGCGTGTGTGCACACGTGCTCCTCGGGGCTGTGGGCACTGAGGCGTGTGTGCACATGTGCTCTTCGGGGCAGTGGGCTCAGAGGTGTGTGCACACGTGTTCCTCGGGGCCGGCTGGCTCCTGAGCAGGTGCACATGCTCCTTGGGGCTGTGGGCGCGGAGGCGTGTATGCACACGTGTTCCTTGGGCCTGTGGGCGCGGAGGCGTGTGTGCACATGTGCTCCTCAGGGCCGTGGGCTCAGAGGCGTGTGCACACATGCTCCTTGGGGCTGTGGGCGCGGAGGCGTGTATGCACACGTGTTCCTTGGGGCTGTGGCCGCTGAGGCGTGTGTGCACATGTGCTCCTCGGGGCTGTGGGCTCAGAGGCGTGTGTGCACACGTGTTCCTCAGGGCCGGCTGGCTCCTGAGCAGGTGCACATGCTCCTCGGGGCTGTGGGCGCGGAGGTGTGTATGCACACGTGCTCCTCAGGGCCGTGGGCTAAGAGGCGTGTGCACACATGCTCCTTGGGGCTGTGGGCGCGGAGGCGTGTATGCACACGTGTTCCTTGGGGCTGTGGGCGCGGAGGCGTGTGTGCACATGTGCTCCTCAGGGCCGTGGGCTCAGAGGCGTGTGCACACATGCTCCTTGGGGCTGTGGGCGAGGAGGCGTGTATGCACACGTGCTCCTTGGGGCCGTGGGCTCAGTGGCGTGTGCACATGTGCTCCTCGGGGCCAGCTGGTTCCTGAGCAGGTGCACGTGCTCCTCGGGGCCATGGGCTCTGACGTGTGCACATGTGCTCCGCGGGGCCGTGGGCGCTGAGGTGTGTGTACACACCCCTGTGCTCTCCCAGGTGTGGAAGATCTCCCTGCAGGGGCCCTGCTACATGACTCTGCTCATGGTGGCCTTCGGCTTGGTCTGGGGCCACCTTCTGCAGATCAGACCCACCCAGAGCGTCTTTATCTCTACCTGCCTGTCCTTGTCGAGCACACCCCTGGTGTCCAAGTTCCTCGTGGGCAGCTCCCGCAGTGACAAGGAAGGTAGGTGGGTGCGTGTTCTGAGCGATGCTGGAGTTCACTGACTCGAGTCCACATGCTCTTAATGACGTCTTCCCAAGCAGGCGACATCGACTATGGGGCGCTGCTGCTGGGGGTGCTGGTGACTCAGGATGTGCAGCTGGGGCTGTTTATCGCCGTCCTGCCCACGCTCATCCAGGCGGGAGCTGGTGCTCATGCCAGGTATGGTTTCTGCCACACTTTGGCCCACAGTTTGTTTTTCTGGCTTCAGATCATTTTTTATCAAAATACTCTTTAGCACTTTTTCCCAAAGACATGGGACTTGTGCAGCACAGGCTGAGCATAGTGACAGCCGTCACACTCCTGGGCTCAGGCTCAGCTCCGTGGCTCTGGGCAATCACTTTATTTCCTCCTTTCTAACCTGTATGCTTTTTCTTTCTTTTTCTTGCCTTATTGCACTGGCTAGAATTTCCAGAACTTTGTTGAATAAGATGGTAAGAAGAGATGTCTTTGCTTCTTCTTGATCTTAAAGGGAAAGCATCCATTATTTTCTTCATTTAGTGTGATGTTAACTGGGATTTTTGTAGTTATTCTTTATCAGTTCCTAGAGTTTTTTTTTTTTAATCAGCTCAGAAGTTCTGTCTTGAGTGCATGTTGGATTTTGTCAGATGCTTTTTCTCCATCTACTGATACGATTGTATGGCTTTTCTTCTTTACCCAGCTTATATGGTGGATTACATTGATTACTTTTTGAAAGTTGAACCAGCCTTGCATATCTAGAATAAATTCTACTTGGTTATGGTTCAGTTCAGTTGCTCAGTCGTGTCCAATTCTTTGCAACCCCAGGCACACCAGGCCTCCCTGTCCATCACCAACTCCCGGATATAATTCTTTCTATGCATTGCATCATCTAATTTGCTAGTATTTTGTGGAGGATTTTTGTGTCATGAAAGATATTGGCATGTAGTTATCTTTTTTATTCTTTCTTTATCTGGTATTGGTATTAGAGTAATACTAGGCTTATAAAATCATTTGGGAGGTGTTCATTCCTCTTCTGTTTACTATTTTCTGGAAGACATTGCATAAAATTGCTGTTAATTCTTCCTTAGATGTTTGGCAGAATTCTCCAGTGAAACCATCTGGGTGTTGAGAGTTCCTTTTTGAGAGTTTTCTGGAATTAGAAATTCAATTTGCTTTATAGTTACAGGGCTGCTGAAATTATCTGTTCATATTGTTGAATTGTGCTAGTTCAGTTTTTTGAGGAATTGGTCTGTTCCATTACATCTGTCAAATTTATAATTGTAGAGTTGTTTGTAGTATTTTATTTTCCTTTTGATGTCCGTAAGATCTGCAGTGATTTCCCCTATTTAATTCTTTATTAGTCCTTTCTCAGAACCAGCTCTTTGTTTCACAGATTTGTTGTCTTTCTGAGGTTTTGCTTTTAATTTCATTGTTTTCTACCCTCGTTGGTATCATTTCTTTCCTTCTGTTCGCTTTAAGTTTATTTTGCTCTTCTTTTTTAGGTTCTTGGTATGAACTCAGATTATTGATTTGAAACCTTTCTTCTTTTCTACTCTAAGTATTTAGTGCTATAAATTTCTCTCATAGCACTGTTGGCTGCACTCACTTATTTAAACATTTTGAATTTTTATTTTCATTCAATTAAATGCATTTAGTTTTTTCTTCAGTACTTCCTCTTTGTTCTGTGGATTGTTTAGAAATGTGTTGCTTAATTTCCAAGTTGTTTGGTGATTTTCCTGTTGTATTTATTTTATTGATTTCTACTTTGATTCCACTGTGGTAAGAGAACACACACTTTGTATGACTTCAGCTCTTTCACATTTATTGAGGTTTGTCTTCTGGCCCCAGGTATGGTCTGATAAATGCCTCAGAGTCGCCTGAAAACAAAATGTATATTTTTTTTATCATTATTGAGTAGAGTACTCACATATATCAGTTATTCCTGTTTGTTCACATGTTGTTCAGTCTTCCTATATTCTTGCTATAGTTCAACTACCTGTTGCTGCTAAGTCGCTTCAGTCGCGTCCGACTCTGTGCGACCCCATAGACGGCAGCCCACCAGGCTCCCCCGTCCCTGGGATTCTCCAGGCAAGAACACTGGAGTGGGTTGCCATTTCCTTCTCTAATGCATGAAAGTGAAAAGTGAAAGTGAAGTCGCTCAGTTGAGTCCGACTCTTCGCGACCCCATGGACTGCAGCCCACCAGGCTCCTCCGTCCCTGGGATTCTCCAGGCGAGAGCACTGGAGCGGGGCGCCATGGCCTTCTCTGCGGCCACCTGTTGAGGGAGGCGGTATTGAAACCTCGGTTGTAACTCCCTGTTGGTCTGCTTCTCTTGCTTCATCGGCTTTCACTTTATGTGTTTGGGGCTCTGTTGTTTGGTGCATTCATATTTGATATCATTTTGTTTCTAGTAATATTTCTTGCTCTGAAATTCACTTTATCTGATATTGATATACATAGTCTCTCATGATTTTTTTTTATTCATGTGGACAACAGCACATCTTTTCCTTCCTTCTACTTTCACCCTCTTGTACTGTTGTATTTGAAGCAAGGTTCTTACAGATCACGTTTTGCTGGATGATGTTTTTGTGGTCAGCTCAGCAGATGTCTGTCTTTCAGCTGGTGCGTTGAGACCACTCACATTAAGGTGGACGCTCTTACGTCGGGACTTGAGTCTTGATGCTTTATGTTGTTGTCTCAGTTCCTTGTCCGTTTCCATTTCCCTGACGTCCCAGTGTCGCTTGCTTATTTTTAGGGATTCCGTCTCGGTTTGTTTAGAGTGCTCTTTATTTTTATTTACTTATTTTTTAGAGTGCTCTTTAATGTGTGGCTTTGTGTGGCTTCTGTCACTCTTCGGGCATCACAGTGTCCCCACATGGACTTGATCGTCGCTGTCAGCATTTCACCACTTCTGGAGAACGTTTCACGACTGGTGTGAAATGTGGATCCTATTTCCTTCTAGGGCTTTTTCCTCCCCTACTTTTTAAATGTAATTGTTGTATTTTCTATTTTCTGTACTTATGTTGAGTGCTGTATCTGATGGCTTTTTAAAGCTTTGCTTCAATAATTAAATTGGATTTTTAAGTTTTATTTTATTTTTTCTACCTTGCCATGCAGCTTACAGGATATTAGTTGCCAGCTAGGGATTGAACCTGGGCCTCTGGCAGTGAAAGCTTGTAGTCCCAACCACTGGACTGCCAGGGAATTCCCCTGAAATAGGATTTCTAAAGCTCACGAGAAGTATTATTTACTATACTTACTGTTTTTCACCCGTCTGACCTTCCTTCTCTCTTCTGTGCTGTCTCGTTTCTGCTCGAGGACACCGGTCCCTGGCTCGTTGTTAGACTGCCGAGGGCAGCAGGCTGCCTGGGTGTCCCCACCTGGGCGTCTCCGCTCCTTCGTCCTGAGGGGCGTGGCCGGGCACCCGTCGGCAGGGGTGTTTCTTTCTTCCAGGCCTGGACATGTGACGCTGCCTCTCTCTCCTCTGACGGCTACAGCGAGAAGCTGGCTGTCCTTCAGATCTGCATTTCCCCGCGAGCAGTGCACGGTTCCCTCCGGCTGCTTTTCTTTGTTTTTTGTTTTCAGACGTTTAATTACAGTGTGTCTTGGTGTCTTGGTCGGGCCCACGGCGCACACGGCAGACGTCTGTTTCTCGTGGTTCCGGAGGCTGGCATCCTCTCAGACCGCTGTTCTCCCACGTGTCACTGGGCGGGCGGGGAGGCTGCAGCGCTCTCTGGCCTCTCCTGTGAGGCCGCTACCCCACCGCTGCCCCGCCCCCCGAGGCCTGCCCTCTCCATGGACGCGCTGGGGCCGCAGCACCCGAACCTGTGAGCCCGTGACTCTCTCTGGGTCTACTCTGTACGGCATTCGCCCGGCTTCTTGAAGCCCCAGGTTTCTGTCTCTTGCCTAATTCAGGAATTTCAGCTGTCGTTTCCTCAGGTGCTTTTCCAGTCCCCCTGGCCCTCATTCCGGGACGCCGTGGTGCAAACACAGCCCTTCTCTTGCCTCATGGGTCTCTGAGGTGCTTCTTTATCTGTCTTTTCTGTCTGTGGTTCAGACTGGGTAAATTCTGTCGGTTTGTCAAGTCCACAGGTCCCAGCATCTGTCATTGCCTCTTTGCACTTCAGCTCATCCAGCTTTGGTTATTATGTTGTTTAGTTGTATAATTTCCATTGATTCTTTTTTTCTTTTTTAACTTCTGTTTCGTTGTTGAGATTTTGTTTTTTATCCCTTTGTTTCAAGAGGATTTTTAATTTGCTGTTGAATCATTCTTATGACAGTTGCTTTAAAATCTTTGTCAGATAATTCTAACAATGACTGGGTTTTGATGTCGGAATCTCACTCAAGTTGTGGTTTTCCTGATTGTTGGAGTTTTGAATCTGATGAGTCTCTGATTCTTTACTCATTTTTAAAGCCAGAGGCCTCGTGTTGAGGTGTGGTGGGGGGTGAGGGGGGTCATCTTCCTGCTGGGCCCCGCCTGGGGGTGCTCAGACAAGCCTGCCTCATCTCCTATTGGCAGGTGGAAGCACTTTGTATTTTATATATTCGCCTTTCCCCAGATGTTATTCTGAGTTTCAGCAATCCAAAAGTGATTCAGATCTCTGCTCCACCCCCAGGTAGCTCAGCCCGGCGGGGAAGGTAGGAAGGGCAGCTGGTTAACTGAGATTCCCGGGGTGGAGGCCCCAGCCCTCCATCGGCCAGCCCCGTGGCCCGGGTGAGGGAGCTTCCTGAACACGCCAGACATCAGTGTTCTCGCTGGCAGGATGCAGACGCGGTGGGAGGAGCCTGCCTCCTGGATGCTGTGTGCGGGGCGCTGACAGGGGAGACTCTCAGAGCCGCGAGGGCATCCCTGGGACGTGCAGCCGTCAGAGTCTATTTAGCAGGAAGGCAAACTGACTGGTTGGTCCCTTTGACCCTAAGTTCTTTAACTGTCAGAAAAGCAACCTTAGTCACAACCTATTTCTTCTGGCTACAGATTTTCAGGGTAACGGAACAAAAATCTGGACAGAAAAGGGGTTGTAACTTTAGCTGGAGATCATTTGAGTTCTGTTTGGGATGTACAGTAAGTCACTCCCAGGAGAGGTGGGGCCTTCTCCCGAAACAGAAGCAGAACCGAGGGTGCAGCACTCCCGCAGAGTGCAGACAATACTTGGGAGCAAGCCCCTGCTGGCTAGACAGCTGCAGCTCACGCAGAGACTTGGAAAGCTATTCTTTTCTATCTTCCTGACTTAAAGCTCACCCAGTACAGGTCCTGGTCCAGTTGATTTCATTCCAGTTTAGTCACGAGAGGCTATGTTGACTGAGAACTTTATTGACAAGGCAAAGTGCCCTGCATTGTGTTGAGGTTGTAAAAAAGGCAGCAGCACGTCCAGTGTTTCTCGGGTGAAGCTGGGGCTGCGTGTGTCTCAGCCCCTCCACTCCAGGGCGTGCGCCCCGCACAAATGGGAGCGCCTGTCTGCAGAAACAGGAGCACCTGTCCCCAGGTGTCCCCTGTGTGGCTGATGGCAGCACAGCCCTGCCTGAATCACATACTGATGTAGATGGATTTTACCTGAAAGTGTTTTACCACAGTAAACAGAAAAGCTCATGTGTGAGTGTTCATGGCAGTATTAGTCATATTGCCTTTATTCTAAAAAGAGCTTCGTGCAGAGTCCTTTTCTCTGTGACAGGTGACAGGGGCCTCCGAGCTCTGGCTTTGGGGTGAGGGCCTGGCACCCCCAGGTGGGAAGCCTGCAGTGTTGTGTTCAGGGCGCGGTTGCCTTATGAAGGATTTCAGATGGGGGTTAATCCTGGTGAGGAATTTTATCACCTGCCCTTGACAGAGACACATAAGCTGTCAGCCATGGATCTTTGCATCCTATACAGTGTACCTGCTCCAGAGTGTTGATTGCAATACAATTCAGCTTCTCTATTTAAGTAACTGAATTTCTGAGATTAACATTAAATGGATTTTATCCCAGCATTTAGGAATAAAGATGTGTGTGATCTGGGTAATTTGTTTTCTAACCTTGAAAAGGAGCAGAAGGTCTTTCTGCCGGACTGGGGCGTGCCTTGGGGAGAATAAGGTCTGTCTCTCTCCCCAGCGTCACCATGGAGGCCCTGCGGCTCCTGGCCCTGGTCGGGCAGGTCGTCTTCTCGCTCGCCGCCGTTCTGCTCGTCTGTCTGCTGGTGAGGACCTACCTTGTGGGGCCTTACTGCCGGAAGCTGCACGCAGAGAGCAAAGGGAACAAGGAGATCCTGGTCCTGGGCATCTCCGCCTTCACCTTCCTCATGCTGACGGTAACACCCAGCCTCTCGGCACGCAGGCGGTCGGGGCAGGGCTTTCTGGCTCACGCTGCTCGTGGCTGGCCCGTGTGAGACGCTTGTTTGCGCCCGTGCACCGTTGTGCTCATGCTCCCGGCCAGGATGTGTTCTCGTATCTGTCCTGCATGCCTCACACCTGAGTGAGAGTCTATGTGAAACCATCTTGATTGTGTCTGATGAGAATGAGCTAGTCTCAGCCTAACTTCTGCTGCTGTAATGTGAGAGGCTCATAGGGAGGCTGGTTTTGGATGCAGCCTTTCCAGCTAGTAAAGAATCCGCCTGCAGTGTGGGAGACCTGCGTTCGATCCATGGGTTGGAAAGATCCCCTGGAGAAGGGAACGGCTACCCACTCTAGTATTCTGGCCTAGAGAATTCCATGGACTATATAGTCCATGGGGTCGCAAAGAGGTGGACACGACTGAGTGACTTACACACACACTTCCCAGCTGAGGGACAGGCTTCTCGTAAGGGAGGGCATGTGTTCCAGGAGACCCTGTAAATGTCCCAGTTGTGGCAGCATCACCTGCAGGGTAGCCGCTGCACCCCTCGTGTTTGGCCAGTCAGGGATCATGTGCAGGGAGTCAGTCCTGTGGCTCTCCCGTGACTCCAGGCCCGAGGGCGCTGCTGGTCTGCGGCGTCTGTGTCCACACTGGGCGGCATGTGTCGCGCTGTTTGCTGTGGCGGCTGTGAGCACCTTGTCCACTCCCTCCCGGGCATGTGATGGGCTCCGACTCCGTCATCTACATGTAGGGCCTGTGCTGCTCTTGTCTTTGGTTTAATCCAAGTTAAATGCACGTCTGCTCCCTCCCTCCAGGCACCAAGGGGTGGGCACAGGGTCCTATGCCCCTTTTTTAATGCTCAGGAGTTGGGCAGTTTATTAATTTAGAATAGAGAAAGTGTATCACAAATACTTGTTCTCACTCAGAAATTCCACAGCGGTCTCCACGAATGGTGGTTTCAACTGGCTTACGACTGTTCCCTCTTGCTTGTGGACAGTGACCTGACATTTGTCACTGTGTCTTCTCTGGGGCCCTCCCAGGATGCTGGGCAGGGGCCAAGAAGCTGGGCTGTGGGGGTTTATGGGGACCCCCAGCACATCTGACAGGCCCTTGGGTGTGAGTCTCGGCAGAGACGCTGCCGCACGCGCCTGGCATGGCCTGTGTCCCCCCAGGTCACCGAGCTGCTGGACGTGTCCATGGAGCTGGGCTGCTTCCTGGCTGGAGCCCTGGTGTCCTCGCAGGGCCATGCGGTCGCCGAGGAGGTCGTGTCCTACGTGGAGCCCGTCCGCGACTTCCTGGCCATCGTGTTCTTTGCGTCCATAGGTGACCGTCCGCCAGGGGCGGTGCCCCTGCCGGGTCTTGTCTGCTCTCGTGTTTTTACTAACAGTTTGTGCGGCGAAAACAGTTCCCACGGAGGCTAGGGACTGAGGGACTCTCACTGAGGAGAGAAGGTCTGAGCTGAGGGGCGCGGGCTCCTAACGGGTGGTCCTACATGGCCCCTGCTTAGCGGGGTGGCAGGTCCACGTCTGTGCGTCCACAGCGAGTGTGGGGGAAACTCTGATTTTGATACAGCAGTGCTCAGGCTGCTGCCCTGGGAACGTCCCCGTGGGTGGGGAATCAGCCTGGCCCCTGCTCAGCCCAGCACTGCTTGGTGGGCCGGTCGGCCCCAGAGACGTCAAGTGCGTGGCCATGTAAACGGGCTCCTGGTTTGGTCCTGATTCCTGAAGTCCAGGCCTGCCGCACGGGGCTCTGGGTGGGATGGGCGGGGGACACCCCGTCCCTTCCTGTCTTGCTTGCGGGGGTGCAGGGAGGCTGACCGCCTGGCCTTGGAGGATCACCCGCCCTGTCCCTGCAGGCCTTCATGTGTTCCCCACCTTCGTGCTCTACGAGCTCACTGTCCTGCTGGTCCTCACGCTCGCGGTGGTGGTCATGAAGGTATGGTCGTGCTTGTGAGATCCACTCTGTCTTTGGTTTACCCGACACCCCGCCCGCCGCCTCCTGCCTGTGTGACCCCTGCCTCCCGTCCCTCACCCGTGCGGCTGGGACAGCTTGGACTTCTTGGGTCAGGGTGACCCTCCGCCTCTGACTCTGTTGGAAATGGGGGCTTAGCAGCTTGGAGTAAGGAGCTCTGGGCCCTCCAGGGAGGCCTCGATCTGTGCTTTGTCTTGTCCTGAGTCTAAACCACAAACATACATTTTAATGGCCCTGGAGAACTATCTTGCCGCTGTGTCCTTTGTGGTTTCAAACTGTTGAAGTGCCTGTGTTAACATGTGACCCAGGAGCGGAGGGCGGAGGAGGGGTTTGCATCAAAGGAGCCCCCCAACCCACCCGCAGCTGCTTTCCTCAGGCCTCATTCACAGTGTGTTAAGAGGACAGTTCCATCCTGACTGCTGCCCCGTACTCCGAGGCCGCAGGCCTGGGTTCCCTGGGGCGGGGATTCCTCAGTGTCCTCTTGCGTGGCACTGTGGTGGGGGTCGGGCAGGCCACTCTGGGCATGACCCGCCTCCCTGCAGTTCGTCCTGGCAGCCCTGGTCCTGTCCCTGCTCCTGCCCAAGACCAGCCAGTACATCAAGTGGATCGTGGCCGCCGGGCTGGCCCAGGTCAGCGAGTTCGCACTGGTCCTGGGGAGCCGGGCACGCAGAGCCCGAGTCATCTCCCGGGAGGTGAGTCTGCCCCGCTGTCGGGGGGCGGGGGGCCAGGGTGCAGGTCGAGGTCCTGGGGACTGGCCCCTGGACCGCACAGCGGTGACGGGGAGACGGCCCTGCACGGCCCAGCCCCTGCTGCGAGAAGCCCCGCCCTGCCCTGCTGACGCCCCGCCCCACCGCAGGGAGCCCCGCCCCTCCCCGCTCACGCCCCCGCCCCACCACAGGAAGCCCCGCCTCTCCCCGCTGACGCCCCGCCCCCGCAGGTGTACCTGCTCATCCTGAGCGTGACCACGCTCAGCCTGCTCCTCGCTCCGCTGCTCTGGCGCGCTGCCGTCGCCCGGTGCGCGCCCCGGCCGGAGAGGCGGTCCAGCCTCTGAGGACCACGGCCAGGCGATCGGCGGAGCTGTCACCGCTCCCGGACCTGCTGCGCCCGCACTGGAGAGTCTGGGGAGGCCGCGTCCGTGTAACGCTGCCTTGGCGGTTGTGCCTGGATGTGCCTTTTCTCCTGAAATTACCGTTAACTTCCTGTTCTTACTCCATCGCTTTGCGTGTTTTTTGGTAAAGAAAAAATGAAGGAGGCTTTTTTATTTATTGTACGACTTTTTGTTGTAATCTGTTGGTGGTACTTTATTAATGTTTCTGTGACGTGAGCTTTTAATTCTGACAGTTCGGAAAGTTACTTTTACTTAAAGTCTGTGTTTTCTAGAGACAAAGGTCTTTTAAATGTCTGTTTGCTTTTTATTACAATTTTAAAACACTTTCATGTCAATTTTTATTAGGAATACCATTCCTTTAAAGTATTTGGTTTTGAATCATGAGAATATGCATTCTTAATAAAGATCTTTATGACCAAAATATGACTAATTGGAATTTATTGATTTTATTAGATTTTTGTATTGAGCTCATCTTCATTGATTTTTAAAATAGAGACGTGTCACCTGTTACCTCCCTATTTAGAGATCAGATAGATGCACAGCTATCTGTGAAGGCCAAGTTCTGACTTTAATTCTAAAAGTGTATATTGGTAATTATGTGCCCCATTTTAGAAAACCATGCAGCTAAGTTCTGATACTTAGAAAGCTTTCTCGAAAGGGTGCCTAAGTGGAGAGTTCCTATAAATAATGGGCTTTAAGAGCCCAGCAATTTGACCAGAACCCTTGGCATAGAGGGAGAGACATGTGAGGGATGATTATGGACCACAGATGTAAACTATGAGGTGCAGTAATATAAACTAAAACATTAAAATGAAGTAAATTGAACTAGTGTGAAGTAACTCAATGGAGAAATGATGTAAATGTGCTTATTTTTAGAAACCAGCATTACTTTTACTCCTTTCTAGCATTCCAGACGGTGCTGTTGCCTCTGATCCTTGGGCACGTGGACACTGGGTGGGGAGGGCTGCCTGGGGAGCCCAGCCCTGCGGCCCACCCGGTGACGCTGCACTCTGTCCTCGGGTCTCTGCCTCCAGCGCGTCCTCTTAGCTCTCGCGTCTCCAGCACCCACGGCAGAGCCAGGGGCTCTCAGGTCTGACTGCGTGAACCCTATCTGATGTGCTGACATCAAGTGTTCCCTCAAATGTGGAGTTAATACCACTCTGAGACTGAAGTGATTAATAGATGTGTCCTTTGTGACAAGAGGAAATGCTGTTAGAAAAGCCCTGTGCTGGGAGAGGCCTGGACCCTCAGGACTGCCCAGAGCCATGAGGATGGCACCCGGACTGGGCCCACCCCGCTCTGCCCCGGGACTTGGCCTCTTCACCTTTTACTCACCGGTGTCTTCACCCTCGCCTCTCTCAGTCCTTAGCATCCATAAGCCTGCTCCAGTCTACCCCATCGCGAACTCACAAAGCCCTCTCTCAACGCCTGTCCTCATGCTCCCGTTCCCATGTAGACTCCAGAAGGCCCAGAGCCCACTAACACCCATGCATGGGGCTACAGGCCGCCCGCCCCCCAGAATCAAGCCCTGACCCATTTCCTCTGGGCCTGTGCATGGCCCGGCAGGAACTTCAGGTCAGAAGGAAGTGGCATGATACACTTCAAGTGAAAGGAAAAGACATACCACTCAGAGTAGTTAGGAACTGTTACTCAGTTTGAAGGAGAAACGAAGTTTTACAGACAACTTCATTATCTGTAAACTTGGAGAAACTCACAGTTTCTTCCAGACGAGCATGCTTGGCCACAAAACAAGTCCCCCTAAATTTAAGAAAACTGAAATCCTATCAAGCATCTTTTCCAACCACAGCAATATGAGACTAGAAAACTGAGAATAAGAACTGCAAAAACACAAACACGTGGAGGCTGACCAGCGTGCTGCTAAACGACAGATGGGTCACCGAAGAGGTGAGAATACTTGGAGACAAATGGACATGGAAACAATGATCCTAAAATCTACAAGGTGCAGCAAAGGCAGTTCTGAAAGAAAAGTTTATAGTGATACAAGTCTACCTTGGGAAACAAGAAAATCTCAAATTCTACCCCACAAAAACACTAAGTCAAAAAGATACATGCATCTCTATGTTCATTGTAGCATTATTTACCATAGCCAAGATATGGAAGCAACCTAAGTGTCCAAGAGTGGATAAGGAAGGTATGGTGTTTTTATATACAGTGGAATACTGCTCAGCCATAAAAAATAACAGAAAACCTTGCCATTTGTGAAAACATAGATGGAACAAGAGGGTAGAGAGAGTGAAATACGTCAGAGAAAGACAAATACTGTATGATTTCACTTGTATGTGAACTTAAAAATGAAATGAACAAACACAACAAAATAGAAAAATAAATACAGAGAACAAGCAGGTTGCCAGAGGGGAGGAGTATGAGGGAATGAGTGAAGTGAGTGAAGCTAAGAGAAACGAACTTCCTGTTGTGAAACAAATGAGTCACAGGGTGAAATGTACAACGTGGGGAATATAGTCAAGAACTAATAACTTTGACAGGTTGTAACTAGACTTATAGTTGTGATCAATCCATAATGTATACAAGTATCAAGTCACTGTGTCCTGCACATGGAACTAGCATCGTATTGTTCAGTAAAACAGCGACCACAATGATGGAACAGACTAGCTGCAGCAGGATCCCCGGAGCGGTGGGCGCTTGGATCAAAGGGGTGCGGCCATGGAGCTCGCACCAGCCCTCAGCAGCCTGACCAGACTCTCCCACATGGGAGAGAGAGGTTTTTACCTTGTTGAGGGCACTGATGTGCCGTGAGCACTACCGTAGCCCTCTGGGACAGTCTGCAACAACATGTAGGCAAAGAGCAAAGGCCCCACGCCAAGGCCCTCAGGAGAGAAAGCACAGACTGGAGTCCAGCGTGCAGGCCAGAGCAAGTGAATATATGAGGTGTGTGTGTGTGTGTGTGTCTGTGTGTGTTCTAGTAATGTGACACATTTATTGATTTTCTTATATTGAACTACCTCCATATTCCTTGAGTAAATGGTGTATAAGTTGATGAAAAATAGGAATCTACAAATCCTGGAAGCTCGTATGAAGTCAAGTATGATAAACTCAGAGATCCACACTGAAACACTTTATAATCAAACTCAAAGGACAAAGATTGAGAATTGTGAAAGCAATGAGGTATGACTCATCACTTACAGAGGATCCTCAGTAAGATTTTTCATTAGACGCTATGGAGGGCAGTTGTGGTCATTCAGTTGCTAAGTTGTGTCCGTCCGACTCTTTGCAACCCCATGAACTGCAACCTAGAAGAGACTAGAGATCTATTCAAGAAAATCAGAGATACCAAGGAAACATTTTCATGCAAAGATGAACTCAGTAAAGAACAGAAATGGTATGGACCTAACAGAAGCAGAAGATATTAAGAAGAGGTGGCAAGAATACACAGAACTGTGCAATAAAGATCTTCATGACCAAGATAATTGCAATGGTGTGATCACTCACCTAGAGCCAGACATCCTGGAATGTGAAGTCAAGTGGGCCTTAGGAAGCATCACTATGAACAAAGCTAGTGGAGTGATGGAATTCCAGTTGAGCTATCTCAAATTCTAAAAGATGATGCTATGAAAGTGCTACACTCAATATGCCAGCAAATTTGGAAAACTCAACAATGGCCACAGGACTGGAAAAGATTTGTTTTCATTCCAATCCCAAAGAAAGGCAATGCCAAAGAATGTTTAAACTACTGCACAATTGCACTCATCTCACACGCTAGTAAAGTAATGCTCAAAATTCTCTAAGCCAGGCTTCAACCAATACGTGAACCGTGAACTTTTAGACCACCTGACCTGCCTCTTGAGAAATCTGTATGCAGGTCAGGAAGCAACAGTTAGAATTGGATATGGGACAACAGACTGGTTCCAAATATGAAAAGGAGTACGTCAAGGCTGTATATTGTCACCCTGCTTATTTAACTTATATGCAGAGTACATCATGAGAAATGCCGGGCTGGATGAAGCACAAGCTGGAATCAAGATTGCAAGGAGAAATATCAATAACCTCAGATATGCAGACGACACCACCCTTATGGCAGAAAGTGAAGAAGAACTAAAGAGCCTCTTGATGAAAGTGAAAGAGAAGAGTGAAAAACTTGGCTTAAAGCCCAACATTCAGAAAACAAAGATCATGGCATCCAGTCCCATCACTTCATGGCAAATAGATGCGGAAACAGTGGAAACAGTGGCAGACTTTTTATTTTTGGGGCTCCAAAATCACTGCAGATGGTGACTGCAGCCATGAAATTAAAAGACGCTTACTCCTTGGAAGAGAAGTTATGACCAACCTAGACAGCATATTAAAAAGCAGAGACATTACTTTGCCAACAAATGTCCGTGTAGTGAAGGCTATGGTTTTTCCAGTAGTCATGTACGGATGTGAGAGTTGGACCATAAAGAAAGCTGAGCACTGAAGTATTGATGCTTTTGAAGTGTGGTGTTGGAGAAGACTCTTGAGAGTCCCTTGGACTGCAAGGAGATCCAACCAGCCCATCCTAAAGGAGATCGTCCTGGGTATTCATTGGAAGGACTGATGCTGAAGCTGAAACTCCAGTCCTTTGGCCAGCTGATGTGAAGAACTGACTCATTGGAAAAAACCCTGGTGCTAGGAAAGATTGAGGGCAGGAGGAGAAGGGGATGGCAGAGGATGAGATGGTTGGATGGCATCACTGACTCAATGGACATGAGTTTTGAATAAACTCTGGGAGTTAGTGATGGATAGGGAGGCCTGACGTGCTGTAGACTATGGGGTCGCAAAGAGTTGGACACGACTGAGCGACTGAACTGAACTGAACTGAACTGCAACCTGACAGGCTCCCCTGTCCTTCACTATCTCCTGGAGTTTCCTCAAACTCATGTCCATTGAGTTGGTGATGCCATCCAACCATCTCATCCTCTGCCATCCCCTTCTCCTCCTGCCCTCAA